TCGCAGAAGTGGATTTAGCCTTGGATCGTCACTATCCCGAACATTTCTGTGAGGTACTTGCCTTTGATTTTTTTATTCACCGTCCAAATCTAGGTTTTTTTCTTAGCTTACCGTCCTCCTTCCACTTCAAAAAAAATTATACTATTAGCTTGTTGAAACATTTATCCAAATTTTTTTACTTCCTTTCACTAACCATTTGATTGGCGATTTCAACCTTCCAAAAAAATTGATTGGTCTTCTCTGACTTCGACTTGCCCTCTTTCTTCAGTCTTTCTCGATTTTTACTATCACTTCTAACCTTACTCAATTAGTTCACTCTCCTACTCGTTGCACTTCAAGCACTGCTAACATTTTTGGACTTACTTCTAACAACCAACCCTTCTCTTTTTTTCGGATTTGTCAGTTTCTGAACCACTCTTAGGGTCCGATCACTTTTTCCATTCTATTTTCCATTTCTGTCTGTTCTCCGATTAACCACACATCATCCGTTCGAAAGCTCAATTTAAAAAAATGTAATTTTTTTCTAGAGTTAACGACTTAATTTCTTCTTTCAACTGGGATCGGCAGTTCAGCTATTTTTTTCCTCTGTTGAGAGTAAATTTTTCTCATTTTTTTAAAAAAATTTTTTTAATGAAATTGTTCGTGATTCCTGTTCTAGTTTTCTAACTCCCCCTCAGTCGTCGCCCATTCAACCATGACAATCGTATTCGCCGGCTAAATATTAAAAAGAGCCAGTCTCATTCGTGCTAATCTTTTCAATAATTCTACTCGCCTCCAATTCAATCTACTGTATAAAAAAATCAAAGCTTGTGCCTCCTCCATCTCCCTGGCACAGGAAACTTACATTGCTAACAATTTCAACCATGTTCAACTTTCCAAATATATCTCCAAAAAACTCAAATGTTGTTCTTCCATCCCCAACATTACTTACAACAATTCCCTTATTTCTGAAAGCTCCTCAAAAGCAGATGTTTTTGCTCAAATTTTTAGCACAAATTTTTCTGATGAAGTTTACGATTTGATGCCCATTTTCCCTTCCCCAAAAGCCACTAACTGCTCTATTTCGTTCACTCCTGAACTTGTTTATAAAACTCTGATAGCTTTACCTCCCAAATGCGGTTTTTCGCCTGACTTAATCAATCAACTTGTTTTAAAAAGGTGCTCTACATCTATTTCTATTCCTCTGTCTATTCTGTTTAACGAATCTTTTTATTCCGGTTTCATTCCACCCTCCTGGAAATCTACCACGGTAATTCCTATTTTCAAACGTGGAAAAACTTCAGATCCGTCAAACTACCGCCCTATATCCTTGACACATCCTTTGTCCCGGGTCTTTGAAAGGATTATTTGTGATATGATTCGCCGGAGATTCTCCTCATTGTTTTCTGAATCTCAGTTTGGTTTTTTAAACAAACGATCTTGCAAGCTTAACCTTCTATCTTGCCTCTCCTCTTGGCAAAAATCTATCGCCTCGAAAAAATTTGTCGATGTTGTTTATTTTGACTTTGCCAAGGCTTTTTGATAAGGTAAATCATTCTCTGCTTGTTCATAAGCTCAAGAACTTTGGTCTTGACGAAAAACGTTGTTCGATGGTACAAAAAAACTTCTTATCTGAGCGTGTTTCTAATGTTCTGATCGATGGATCTCGTTCTTCTCTTACTTATCTCAATACTTCCGGTGTCCTTCAAGGAACTGTATCTGGTCCTTTGCTTTTTTTCTAATTTTTCATCAATGATATTGTTAACTACATTGACCATGAAACCTCAATCTCTCTGTTCGCTGATGATATAAAAAAATTTACAGTTCTAACCCTGAATCTCTCCAACGTAGTATTAATTCCATATTTGAATGGTCTTCCATTTGGGGCTTTGCCTCTTGCTGCGCACAAAACTTTTTGCTATCAACCTTGGTCCCCTCAATCCCAAAACAACTTATTTAATCAATGGTCTGTCTATTCCCAGAAAAAAACCATTATCCGTGATCTAGGTGTTCTTATCGATGATAAACTAACTCTCGCTCCTCACATTAACAATATCGTTTCTTTAGCAACCCTTCGTTCCAATCAGATACTCAACTGTTTTCGTTCCAAATCACCTGATCTATTGTTCAAAAATTTTTTTAACACCTATGTAAGGCCTATTCTAGAATACTGCTCCGAAGTTTTTTTAACCCTCCCCTTAACTCTGATCTCTGCTACAAACTGGAATCTCCTCTCAGAATTTTTTTCTCGTAAAAATTTTTTTATTAGGTCCAACTTATCCTTTGAATCTTACTCTGATCGCCTTGAACAATTTGATATCTCTCCACTTTACCTCAGACGAGCTATATCTGACATTCTGACCCTTCATAAAAATTGTCTTCGGTATCGATCATTTTCCTCAGTTCGAACTTTTTTTGCCCTCAGGTCCAATTTAAGGCGAAATCCACTTCGACTGCGTTCTCAAGGTCAGTTTTTCTAATGATTTTTTTTCTTTAAAAACAATTCCTACTTGGAACAAACTCACTTCCAAATTTCAATTCAGCCACCACCCCAAGTCTTTAAAAAAACTTACTGGTCAATCTACCATTGCACGAGATCTTCTTGTCTATTCCTCCACGACTCAAATGATGTATAACTGTATAATGTATTCTCTCAAATTCTAGATCCAAGTGAACTCGTTAGGGTTCACGCTGATCTGTCAATAAATTATTAAATTATTAAAAAAAGTGAACCCTATAGGGGTCTCTCGATTTCATTTAAAAAAACCTTTTTATTTATACATTTTTTTCTCATGGTAATGCTTAACTGTCGAACAGCATGTCCCCTATAGGGACCACTTTTTCAAGCTCTAGTGAACCCTCTAGGGGTAGGTAAAGTGGCATCTAGAGGGGACCTTTCAAGACTTTTTTTAAAGATAACAAGATTAGTTTCTAAAAAAATGGTTGATTAGGGTCAAAAATGACTGGAAAGGAAGGCATATGAGATATTTCTGATATCAGTGAGAAATCTCGTATTTTTTTGAAACCGTAACGTTACAAAAAAATTCAGAAAAATTCCCAAAGTGCATGGCGGATGGTGGTCCTCAAAAAAACAAGAAAAAAATGCTTAATTTATGAAAAAAATATTAATTATGAGAACGGATAACTTTAAAACTTGAAAAAAATGTATTACTTTCTCAATTACATACAAAAAAAGACAAAAAAATTCACTTGGACCACAAAATTTCAATTTTGGACCATAAAGTGTTGAAAAAAATGGCAGGAAAAAGATAGAAAAATTTGAAAAAAATAAATAAATTTTCAGACATTTTTCCATCTTAAATTAGGTGCTATAGGCGTTTTTTTCATTGATATTTTTGGACTACATAAAAGACCTGCCATTACAAAAAAATTCGAAAGGTCAGAAAAATAATAGGGTGAGAATGCCATTCCACATAAATCCATTCAATGTAGTTTGAATAAAAAAACATTTATTGTTCATGAAAAAAACTTGGAAATCATCATTTATCTCCTTATAATTAAAAATATATTAATCACAGCGTAAACTATCGATTATAATCGTCAAAAAAAAAAAAATGCAAAAAACGTCTTTTTGAAGAAATTTCTAGGTGAACTTCTGAGAGACCTCTTTAGGGATCAGAAAACTTACGTAAAGCAAAAAATTCCAAGTCAGTCCTATAGTAAAACTAACAATTACTGGACTTCTGAGAAGTTCTTTGAAATGAAATTTGAAGAATTATTGCACCGGTCTTCTCTGATTCTTCTCGTAGCCACTAGGACGTGAGAAAACTCTTTTTTGGGAAGAAACATTTTTTAAAGACCTACGTGAAATTCTACAATTTATCGATTTCGAAATTACTGAGAATAAGAAGAAACAAGCTTATACATATTAGAAGTCCAAAAATTGATTAAAGAGAATTTTTCAGTGTCACCTCTCCAGTTAGAAGAGAAACCTCCTGGCTTTAAACCGACTTTTTGAAGCGATTCGAATTTTTTATTTCGCGTGAAAACAGGAAAAAAACGACTTTCCGAAGTTTGAAGTCCAAAAATTGATCTACAGACAGTTATTCTTCCATTATACCTCTCTAGTTACAGTAGAAGCCGACAAGCTTTCAAAAAACACTTTTTTTCAAAAAAAAAAAATGACGTTTGGGAACTTTTAAAAATACAACCTTTTTAGAATCTTATTGGAGCTTATCTAAAAAATCCCTCTCAAGCCTTTTCAAGGTGAAAAAACTCAAAAAAAAGCCTTCCTTCTACCTTATAAGGATTTGAAGACGCCTTTTTGTTAACCTTCTTTAAAATTCATTCAAAAAAATGAAAACACCTTTTTTGATTTAAAAAAATAACTTTTTGAAGTCTTTCGAAAATTATAATTAAGATGATCAACACCTCTGAAGTTCTGAAAGCTTCGAAAAAAATTCTTCAGACCCTTCAAAATTTTGAAAAAGTGACCTCAGAATCAAGTTTCCTTCAATTCAACCAATTTTTCAGAAGAAAAATTAAAAAATCGGATTTTTTCAACCAATCAACGTTTAGCGTCTTCAAAACCATCAGAATTATCAAACTTCTGGATTTTTCAGAACCTTTGAAATGTCGAGAAATACCATTAAAATTTCATAAATCTCTCAAAAACTTTAAAAAATTCAATCAAATCGGTTTCAATTTTACGTTTATTCAGACCACTAAACTTTTTAAATTGTTTCAAATTGTCAAATTTTTTTCAAAAAGTCCTGAGCTTTGAAGCATCTTATACTACCTACGCGGCTTAAGAAAACCTTCGAATTACTAAAAAAAAATCTTTAAAAAATATTTCAACTGAAAGTTCTAGGATCAGTACAAGTAGACCTTTTTTTTTCTTCACAGCAAATTTTTAGATGCTTTAAAATTGCTCTAAAACTAAGTTGATGAGGCTTTAGACCATCTTGAAATACCTCAAGAACATTTTAAAATCTTCCCAACAACCTCAAAACCCCTAAAACAGCCCCTCGAAACGCACCTTTATCGCCAGACATTCCAAATCAAGTCGGCAGCTTCTCCGAGCGACGAGAGACGTTCCCATGCGAAGAGACGAGAGACGACGAAGTGTGTGTAGTTTGATTGAGCCGGTTTGGTCGGACGATTGAATTCGGCTCGGGTCGGTTGCCGGAAAATAAGGTGACCGCCCCTCCGATGAGAGATCGAGTGACCCGGAGGGCGCAGACGGCTAGCGTGTCCGTTTTTCTCCTCTCATGGCCTGGAAATATGCAACCTTTTGAACTTGTAGTTTCGCTACAAAATTCCGATGTTTCGTATGTAGGTCTAGACATTTTGGATCTGCTCAAAAAGTACAGTAACCCGTGCGCTGAATCAGCCTTTTGAAGCTTCGATTCCTTATTTTTCAGAATAGAAAAAATTTAAACTCTACCATAAATCAATAAAAACTGAACGTTTGCACCTTTTAGCCAAAAAATGAGATGAAATCCTTCAAAAACGAACATTTTCTGCTTTCTTTTTCACTAACTGTCTCGTGTCCTTTAAAAACAAGCGTTCACTTGAAAAAAAAACCCTTAGGAGGCCACTTTCGAGTTTTCCGACCATATTTAGAAGAAAACCTCTTAAGAAACCACTACTGATTCTGAGAAAAACCCTCAAGTGATCACTTGAATCCATTCAGACCGATCCATTTCATTTTTTAAAAATCTGTTTTACGGTATTCAACACCACATGATTCTCTAAACCCCTAAAATGACCCCTTGAATCTTTTTCAAATCGAAATTTGCCATTTCCCCTCCAAAAACCCTTAAGTGATCCCTTGAATCAAAAACCCTCGAGTGATCCCTCGAATCAATTTGAATCAAAAACCCTCAAGTGATCATTCTTCACGGTATTCAATACCATATGTTTCTCCAAACCCCTAAAATGACCCCTTGAATCCTTTCAAGTCAAAATTTGACATTCTAACGACAAAAAACTCTTAAGAACTCACTTTAAAAAAGTACGGAGAATGGCTAGCGCCTGTAAAACGGTCATTTTAAAGGCGCACCCGACCACAAGCGACTTGCGCCTGCCATACTTATTTAAAGGAAGTTTTGAGCCATTCCAAACGCGGGCCCGTGTTATTTTGATCATCAATTCCATCTCTGCTCGGCCGACTCTAATCGGCTGCTCCGAAATTAGACTCGACCCTTATTTTCGGCTTACACCTGGGATAACTCACACACACACACCCTCACTCAGACCGCGTAGTATTAATAAGAAAGGTGACCACAAATCGGTTTGTTCCGTTGCTCAGACACCTCGATAAGTCACATTTGGTAATTGGACCAGAACACACTGTGGCTCTTTCCGAGGAGAAAGTGCGCTCTGGGGCTAATTTTGAGGAAGTTTTGAACTATTCGAATAGAAAATTGTTTCGAAAAAATACTCGTCGGAAAAAAAAACATGAATGATCAAAAAATTGGGCCAGAACACACTGTGGCTCTTTTGCAGGAGAAAACGCGCTCTGTGGCTAATTTTGAGGGATTCTCAAACGATTCAAATTGAAAAGTCGTTTGGAAAAGTTGTAAGCTTGATATTGGATACCAAGGAGAGCCCAAACCATTTCTTTTGAAACTTAGAGTCCCAATTTTTGCTGTGGCTCTTTTCGAAGAGAAAGTGCGCTCTGAGGCTAATTTTGAGGGATTTTCGAACGATTTGAAATGAAAAATGTTTTGGAAAAGTTGTAAGCTTGATAGTGAATACCATAAAAAGAGCTAAAACTTTTTTTTTTGAAAAAACCCCTCGGAAAACGCATGAATGATCAAAAAATTGGTCCAGGACAGGCTTCGGCTTTTTTTAAGAAGAAAGTGCGCTCTGGCGCTAATTTTCGAAGTTCTCTGGGATTTCTGGAAGATTATGGGAAAGCTTATTATCAAAATTCTAAGATTGTCCAGTTCTATCGACTTCGAGGGCTTGAATATTTAGTTTTCTTCTTTTTGTCAAAAATCATCCGGTGATTGGACGAGAACACACTGTGGCTCTTTTCAAGGAGAAAACGCGCTCTGTGGCTAATTTTCGAAAATTTCAGAGATATTTGAGCGTTTCGAGTTGAAAATTTTTCCGAAAAGTTGTGAGCTTAAAATTAAGATACTTATACTAAAAAGTCCAGTTCTATCGACTTTTTAAGTTACATTTTTGATTCAAAAACATTTTTTTGTAATTCAAGCCTTAATCTTTTGCTTCACTCGTCGAAAAACGCGTGAATCATGCTCTGATTGAAGGAAAACCCAATAAGGCCCTTTTTCAGGAGAAAATGCGCTCTGTGGCTAATTTTCAAATTTTTTGCATTATTTATTCGAAAAATAGCTTCTAGACAGCGTAAAACTCCAGAGTAGTCTTGAAAAAATGAAAAATCTCGACTAGAACAGACTAATTCTCCCACATTCCTTGTTTCGTTGGTCGGAGACCTCCTAAAATGTCGCCGGCTAATCCGAAAATTAGAACAGTCTGGCTCATGTTAAGGTGAGAGTATGCTTCATGGCCAATTTTCATGCCTTTTTTGAATTTTTGAGCTTTCTATGAAAGATATATATTTTAAGAAGAGCGTTTGAGCTTCAGAAAAAACTTGCAAGATGAAAATTGAGCTTCAAAAAAGCTCCAATCATCTGTGCTCTATGGCTAAATTCTGCTGTATCTTAAGAATTCCAACTGAAATTGACTTCTTGCGAAAAATTTACAAGGTCAAAGCTATAATTGAATCGAAAATTCAAGCACAAACCATTTTCATCCACTGAAAGTGTGCTCTGTGGCGGATTATCTTCATTTTCCTCTATTTTCTGGAGGTTTTTTGAAAAAAAAACCACTGGGTATGATTCATGTGTTTCAGATGAACCTATTTTCTTTTTTTTTCTTTGAAAATATAATTAAAAATCGATGATCGCAAAAACCTCCTTCCTAATGCCAACCTTCCCACTAGCCTACTAGTGCGCCTACCTCTCCCCCGCCGCCGAGTGCGCCGTAGCTCAGCGCGAAAGCGTTTGCGCGAGGCTCGAGAGGTCGCGGGTTCGTCACCCCGCCTCGCTGCGATGACGATCAACTCTTACCTACAAAGACACACGCAATGGCTTAAAGCTACTCGTACTGTCTGAGCAGTTTTGCTTTTTTATTTTCAAATTTTAAGCTTTTTCCGCACTCTCAAGTGATTTTTATTGGGGAAAAACGGTCTGGGGAAGGAAATGGGAAAAGTTGCTCTATTGTAGGAGCCTTCGGAGGAACACGACGGATCTGGGTGGGCAGGGACAGTATTCAGCGTCGTGGCCTGTAAGTTTGGCGATATTCACAAAAATAAAAAGGCTATTTTTTCACAACTAAAAGCGCGCCAAGGATAAAAGTGTAGTTTTTACAAAATTCTGTACAAAAAAATTGGATGGAATCGCGTCAAAAAAATGATCTAAAAAAAGGCTAGAAAAATCTGTAAAAAAAGTGAATTTCATGAGGGAAACGTTTTGATGGAGAAAAAAAGAGCTCGAAATTCCTGAGAAAAAAATCGTGGTTTTGTATAGATACTCCAATAAATGCCTCAAAAATGACAAAAAAATCTAAATTTTCATTGGAAGTTTTTGTAACATAGGATACACTCAAAAATATTCAAAAAAATACTCGGAAATCGGAAAAAAATAGAAAACATCAAAAAAATCCTTTTCATCACTCAAACAAAAAAACCAAACATTTGTAGGTTCAAAACCTTAAAAAAGTATCCTGAAGCCGATTTTCTACCTGTAAATCTACAATTTCAAATTTCTCACCTGGAATACCGACCCCGCCGGCGACACCGTCGACTCCCGGATTTCCGGCCGTTCCGGGAGCTCCAGGGGTTCCAGCCGGTCCTTCCTCGCCTTCAGGTCCGTCAGCTCCAGCTTTCCCATCTTCTCCAGGAGGTCCAATCGGTCCTTGGGCTCCAGGAGATCCAGGAGCACCCGGCGTGCCTTTCTGCACCTCGAAGTCCTTTCCAGCCGGTCCAGCTTCTCCGGGGACGCCGTCCTGACCGGGGAGTCCGGCATCGCCGGGCGGTCCGTCGGGTCCTGGAGAGCCAGGTCCGGCGGCCGGAAGACCGTGAGTTCCGGGCTGACCGTCAGGACCGGCGACTCCGGCAGGGCCTGGAGGTCCCGCTGGTCCGGCTAGTCCTGCCGGACACTTGATGCAGCCGGTTTGCTTGACGTCGCACGCCGGTCCGGTCACCATGTTCGGGTTGTCCATTCCGTTGGGTCCTGGCTGGCCGGCCACTGAAAAAAGGGGTCTTCGATGTCTTGATGGGGTCCATTGAAAAGTTCACAAGATGCTTTTGTTCATTTTAAGAAGATAAGTTCATGAAAAATTCGAAATTAAGGTCATTCAAACCTCCAATGACGTCATAATCATGTCAAACTTCAAAAAAGAGTCATCAAAATTTTTCAAAACTTCGAATGAAACCCAAAAAAGGCTTGTTCTATGAAAAATGAGCTCCTTTTTTCAATCTATGATTCTCAAAGGCTTTTTTAAAGTTTCAAGCTTTTTTTGGGTACAAAAATGAGCGCGAAAATCGAGCCGAGTGATAAAAAATGCCTATTAAAAAGATTTTTCTGTCCAGTCCCCAAAATTAAAATTGAAAAGAGCTTATTGATAGATAAGAAGCTTTTTTTGGTACCCTATTCGAAATTCCGTAAAATTTGTCAGTTCAAAGCTTCCTTCACATGATGATACTGTCATTCGCAGGATGAATGGAGCCAATTTTTCTATTTTTTCTTTTTTTTCTGCTTTCTCCACTTCAAAATTCTGGTTAAAAGGCAAGTTCCGTGGAGCGCACTTTCAATAATTTTTGGAGCCGAGTGATAAAAAAATTTTTTTTCTTTCTACCCCTCAAAATTAAAATTGACAAGGAGATAAGAAGCTTTTTTGGTACCCTTTATTAAAAATTTCATGAAATTTTGTCAGTTTGAAGCTTCGTTCACATGATGATACCGTCATTGTAGGATGAATAAAGCCAATTTCTCTATTTTTTTTCTTTCTGCTTTCTCTACTTCAAAATTTTGGTTAAAAAGGCAAGTTCCGTGGAGCGCACTTTCAATAAATTTTTTTGCCAATTTTTCGACCACTTCTTTTCAGGTAAAAAACCAACTTCCAGGAGTTCCAGCAGCTCCGGGTGGTCCTGGGGGTCCAGGTGGACATTGAGGAGCCGTGTCGCATTGGCACCAGTCCGGCAGGGGAGCGAATCTGAGGAAAATTCCATTTTTCCGTAAGTTTTCTAATGATAGTTCATTCATAGCAGCCTAGACTGATTTTCAGGGAAAACCCACAAAAATTGCGTTTTTTAAAATTTTCTTTGCTTTTTTGGGTTTTACAAAATTTTATCTGGCTTATGAAAGGTTACTGTAGATTTTCAATGTCCATTTGATGGCCGCATTTGGAATGGCTATACCGTAACGCATTTTATGCTATTTTGACCTTCAATCATGGTAAAGACTTTACGGAATCCACGTCACAATGGCCGCGTTCGGAATGGCTCTACCGTGACCTCTTTTTTGTCATTTTTCGGTTTCAGTAATAGTATAGATAATACTTGATTTATGTCACGATGACCGCATTCAGAATGGATCGATGACGTCATTCTACACTAGGGAAAAATGACGTCATCAAAATGTAAAAGCTTCTCTTTCCCAATGCATTTTTCGGGTTCAGTACTGTTACAGTACGCATTATATGGGGTTTCCGACACAGTGACCGCATTTGGAATGGATCGATGACGTCATTCTAAGCATAAAAAAATGACGTCATAAGAATGAAAAAGCTTTGATCTGAGTAATTCGGGCCTTATTTTATTTTGATCTATAAACGGATGAATTTATTTTTTTCATAATTTTTTTTATGATAAAACGAAAATTCATGATTTATATAGAATTTAGACCACCAAGAGCAAATTTGAGGTGTCGTTTTCAAACTCTCAATACACCTCACGACATAATGCAGACTTTTCCCCTACCGTAACCCATCATCAAAGTGCTCAAGCCATTCCAAATGCGACCGAAAAATTACCTCTTATCACGGCGGAGAAGCGGATTCTCTCGTGGTTTCGACGGCGGCGAGTGCTGGATTTGGATGTCCATCAGGTCGACCCAAACCGAGTCCGTATCGACCTGAAAGCCGACACAATTGTACTCGTCGAGCTTGTTGTTCAGCACCTTGAAGCTCTGGACAACATGGACGATTTCCAGCTGAAGTTCGGTCATCTCCCAGTACATCTGCGGCAGGTAGATGAGCAGGGCGATCAGAGCCGACGCCGCCGAGGCCGAACTTAACGTCACCGCCACTGATGCCGGCTTCATTCTGACAATAAATCAATGAGAATCAAGTTTAGGGCAATATTCATCGATTTTTTGTGAACGTCAACTCAAATATTGGCTAAGGGTTTAAAGGCATTAGTTCCAAAAAAAATCCATCTTCTGTCTCTTAGTAGAGCTATGGCGCCTAAAAAAGGCTCAGTTTTTTTCAAAAAGTCTGACGGATAGAAGAAATAGCGTTATAATGGTGGAGATTCAGACGTCCGTAGATCAGCTATAAAGCACTTTTTTACCTGAAGGAAGAAAACTAAAGTTGAAAAAAGCAAATTTCTGAAACTTTCCGTGAGATTTTCTTCTTTTTTGTCTACTGGCGGCTATTTTTTCCCCTGGAAGTGCGCTCCATCGAAATAAAAGATTTTTCGGCGAAAAATTGATTTCTGAACGAAAAAAACGACTTTTTATACTTTTTTGGAAAATTTTATAGCCTCAAAGGTGAAAATTACTCACTTATCTATTAAATATGTTTTCACGAGACACTAAACCGCCCTAAAAACCTCGAAAAATATAACCTGTCTGAAACACAAAACCAACGCATCTCCGAAAAAAAAGGGAAAAAGAAGGAAAAGAATGGCAATTGTCGGATCCTTGTGGCTTTTATACAGGTCTACCGCGTCAAGTTTTTTGAATTAGCAAAGTGGGCGTGGCCAGCCAATGATTGAAGAGACGTTTTTTTCGAGAGGGAGATGAGGAATTGGCAAGAAGCCAGGGAGGAACAAATTTGAAGAAAAAAGTTGAATGAAGCATAATAATTCGGAAAGATTAATGACGTCGATTTTAATGACGTCATTTTTGAATTTCAATGACGTCATTTTTAGAGTTTAATGACGTATTTTTTAAATTTCAGTGACGTCATTTTTGGTTTTTTAAAGACGTCATTTTTGGGTTTTTAATGACGTCATTTTTAGAGTTTAATGACGTATTTTTTAAATTTCAGTGACGTCATTTTTGGTTTTTTAATGACGTCATTTTCGGATTTTAATGAGGTCATTTTTGAATTTCAATTACGTCATATTTGGGATTTTAATGACGTCATTTTTTTGGGTTTTTCGATGACGTCATTTTTAGAGTTTAATGACGTCTTTTTTTAATTTCAATGACGTCATTTTTTTGGGTTTTTTTAATGACGTCATTTTTGGGTTTTTCGATGACGTCATTTTTTTGAATTTAATGACGTCTTTTTTTAAATTTCAATGACGTCCTTTTACATTTTGAGGTAATGGAAAAACGTGAAAAAAATTTAATTTATCACTAGAAAAATTCTGATTTTTTTCATTTTAAAAATTTTTTTTATAACAAGTTTTTTTCTAATGATTATAAAGCTCTCAGATAATTTTAAAGTCAATTTTTAATAATTTTTCCCATTTTTTTAAATCTTAAAAAAACTCAAAAAAATTCAATTTTTCGCTCCACGGAACAAAAAAACCTATTTAATGACGTCACTTCAATTTTTAAATGCAATCCTTCTCTGAAAAATGTTTGCAGAAAAAAATAATTTCCTCGAACAAAAAGTATTATTTTTTTCATACGGTAATATTATTCTCATCTCATAAAAAAATTGAAAAATTCAAGAATTTTTTTGAATTTCAACTTCAGATTACGGTAGTCAGAAAAAGTGAGTTCTGTCCGTAATCTAGATTTGTGCTTCAAACTCTATTTTATAGTTAAAAAAATGAGCTTTTTTTCTTTTTTTCATCAACCAGAAGCATCAGGGAAAAAGAAAAATAATTGAATTTAAAAAAATCGCTTTTTGCAGAAAAAGTATTCGTTTTTTTCAGCTAAAAAAAGTGAAAAATTTTGAATATTTTAATATTTTACTTCAAATTATTGTATATTCCATTCATTGAAATAAGTTCCAAAAACTGAAAAAAATGGTTTTCGCCGCGAGACCTTAATAATTCTTCCCCATGCTCCTTTAAATATATTTTTCAAAAAACTTTCCTTCAAACCTTGGCAATCCATTAAAATTCCCATCTCATGCCAAGATGGAATTTTGTCCAAGGTGAACATGCCTGAATAAATTCAATTTACCAGCCCCTTTATTGCCGATTTTCTCCCTTTCCGTTGTCCTTCGACTGGAAAAAAGGACAATGATTGATTTGATTCTACTCGGAGACGAATATTGTAAGGAAAATGAAACAAAAAACAGGCGCTTCGATAATTGGAAAACGTCTGGCTGAAACGGGAAACTGTTCGCGCTTTTGAGGATCCGAAGAAAGTTCGTTTGAAGCTTCTTTAGCTATCGTAAGAGAAGGATTATTTAGAGGGTTACGGTAGCCTAATTACAGTATTTAAATGCTGAAAAAAATTTAATTTTGAGAAAAAGTTAAGTAAATCCCATCGAAAACTTGTCTTTTTTTCTGTTTTTTTATTGATTACGGTAGCTTAGTTACAGTACCCAAACTTCAAAAAATCCGTTTTGTAGCTGAGAAGAAGTCTTCAGAGGGTTACGGTATCTATGTTGAAAAAAAGTTGAGGAAATCCCATCGAAAATTTGACTTTTTTCTCAATTTTTCAATTCATCAAAAAAAATTCAAATGGAAAAAAAAATTCTTCAGAAGGTTACGGTAGCCTAATTACAGTATCTAAAATCTCAGAAAAATCAATTTCCATTCGTATGTTGAAAAAAAGTTGAGGAAATCCCATCGAAAAATTGACTTTTTCTTATGTTTTTCAATTGATTACGGTAGCTTAGTTACAGTACCCAAACTTCAAAAAGTCCTTGTGTGGCTGGAAAGAAGCCTTCAGAGGGTTACAGTAGTCTAACTACAGTATCTAAAAATCTGAAAAAAATTTAATATTGAAAAAAAGTTGAGAAAAAAATTGGAAAAATTGCCTTTTTTTCTGCTTCTAATTGATTACGGTAGCTAAATTACAGTACACAAACTTCAAAAAATCTGTTTTTTCGCTAATTTCCTATCTATATACAGAGTTGGGGAGCCCTGCCTACGGTATATACAGTAACCAAACTGCAAAAAAAAAACATCTTTTCTTGCTTTTTCCGTTTATAAAAAAATTTCTGGGAAATTATTATTCCATCAAAAAAAGAACAGTTTCCTTTGATCTTCAATGAAAATGGATTACTATAGCTTCAGTTACAGTATCCAATCCGAAAAAAAAAATTAAATTTTCGGTTCGAAAACTTGAGGTGCCGCTAAGCCATTCCAAACGCGACCATGACCTTCAAAATTACACGTCTCAGATACCGTATGCCATATCTTACTGTAGAAACTTTCTTTCCAAAAAAACCGGTAGATTGTTTTCCCAATGTCTTTCTAACAAGGCAGGTAAAAAATTATCCCCTCAATTAAACATGAAAAAATCGGGCGGCGATTTCGTCGGCACCGATGCGCTCAACCGAGACGTTGCCTATCGCATTTCGTGTTATGCAAATGGGGCGCGGAATGAACGAAAGAGGGCGAAAAAAAAAGGAAAAGGACACGAAAAGTTTGCCAACAAGATCCAACTTTGAAATCCGATCATTGGAACAAGATTCTTTGGAGGGGGGGGATTGAAAAGTTGAAATGTTTAGGGAATGGCCCGCTGCGTCGCGGTCGCGCTGCGTTTTGATTCATAGCTTTGAAATACTGCTCATTTTGTTTGGACTTTGGTAACGCGCCCTGGAAGTTTTTAAGCATTTCTAGTGACCACTTTAGTGACATCACCCCCCTTAAGTGATCCCTAGAAACGCTCAGAAATGTCCGGCTTCCATTACCAAGGTCCCAGGACTTCAAAACAAGGCCACGAGAAAACCGTTTTAGGGTCGGGCGCACTTTCCTAATAACCCCTTTGCCGTTGATTCCATTCAGAATAGTAAACGCATTTTTTTATCAATGGAGCGCAAAAGCTAATCGGAAAATGGCTCATTTTTCCTTCGCAAAATTTTCGAAAATCGAAACTTTTTCTATGGTAGCAAGGTCTACTCTCAACTTTAAAAAAACCCGATTTTTCAAAACGTCCGCACTTTAAAAAATTCATTTATCAACGAAATAAAGTGAAGAGAATAAGTTAATCATTTCTTTTTCTTGACCACTTTTGGCTGGTTTCCAGATGACGTCATTTTTTCATTCTTCTCTTCAGATGACGTCATTTTCTTTTTATTTTCTTCGGATGACGTCACTTTCTTTTTCTTTTCCTTCGATGACGTCATTTTCTTCTTTTCTTCAGGTGACGTCAACTTTTTCTTCTCTTCAAATGACGTCACTTTCTTCTCCTTCTTTTTCGGCGTCGGTGAATTTCTAAAGGGGCCCCTGGAGGGTTCAGCTGGAGTTTTTTTCTTCTTGGGAACTTCAACTGATGACGTCATTGGCACCTTCGTAAACTCTGACGTCATAGGACCACTAGATGACGTCATCGGAGCATTCTTCTGAGAAGTGTCCGCTGATGACGTCATCGTAGCTTTTGAAGTCTCCGATTGGAACGTTTGGAGCGTTTTTTCGACATTTGATGACGTCATCTGATCAGTTCCAGACTCTTTTGACGTCATCGGACCTTTTGAACGCTCCTCTGAGGATTTCTTTGCAGCTTTGGTCCTGGAGCGATTATTTTTAAGATTACGGTAATCAAAAAATCAAGAATTTACTTATTTTTTCGCCGATTTTTCATTTCGTCTTGCTGCAGTAGTAGCATGATCGTTGAGCGATTGTCTTAAAAAAATAAAAAAATTCTTCAAAAAAACTTTGGAAATCACCATTTCTCTTATTGATCAACTCCCGTTCATCAACGGGGTTAAAGACGTATTTGCCTTCGATTAATTTGCCAATTTTTCTCCTGGAAATGTAATTTTTTTACAGTGATAAAAAAATTAAATGATTTATCGATTTTCGTTAAGAACAACTAGATCAGAAAAATCAGGAAAACTTGCTTCGAAATGTTGGAAAAATGGCAAATTTCACAAAAATCGACTCAAAACGCCATGGAAAAGTTATCGTTGTATGTCAATTTTTTCATGTTCAGCTTCTTACAAAATCAAAATTTTAAATTTGCATCCGACCTTGAAACGGTTCGCGCTTAATGTTATCTTAAAGCTTTGATATTATTCTGTTGAGATTTCAAATCCCAAGCCGTCGCTCAAGCTCCGCCCCTAATGCCGCCATAAACCAATCAGAGACTATAGAGCATTTTGGAGTGACGTCATCGACATTTAAAATCTGAACAGACTATAAATGCTTTAATATTCAGAAAACGCTTCAAAATGAGCTTGAGAAACTAGAAAATTGAGCCGTAAAACCGCAACGCGACCGCGACGCGTTGGAAAATCTTGATGCAAATTTTCAGAAAACGCTGTTTTTTCTAAGAGCTGGAGCTACTATCAGAACATTGTCATTTTCTTTCAACCCGATTTTCTAAACTTTATAATCAATAACACGCGACCGCGACGCGTCTAGCCATTCCAAATGCGACCGGAAATTCCCTATAAATCCATCGGAACTTTTCCAGAAGGACTATTCCCTTCTCCTACCACAAATTTGAGGATTTTAAACATCGATCAAACTAGAAACTTTCCTCGATTTTTCAATAAAATATTCTTTTCCTTTCATATTCCCTCCAATACTTTTTCAACACTGTAAAACTTTCAGTTTTCCCAATTTTCCTACCTTGGCCGCCTGATTCGTGTTGAAGACGTGTTTGGTGAGGAACTCCGTCATTCGATCAACTTCGACGGATCTTTTGGGCGCCTGGGCCAAATCGCCCATGCAAATTCCGAGGATCAAGGTACAGATCCCAAAAATAGCGCAAACGATACAGTAATTGTAGAAACCGCCGAGAAGAGCCGACTTGAAAAAATTAGGATTTTTTGAGGTTTTTTTTTTCTCTTTTTCCCCTTACAAAGGCCAGAATGGTCCCTTGAGGGGTTGTGGGAGAGAAAAACCCCTATAAGTGTCCCTTTGAGAAGAAGGGGGCTCAAGGGTCCCTAAACTTGCCCTTTATAGGAGCCGTTCTGGGGTTCTGGAGTCCGTAATCTGGTCCTATTTGAATGACTGATAGCTTAAAACGCGCCCGACTGAAAACTACTTACGCGCGGTTCGAAGGATCGGCTAAACTTCGTGTCGGTCTTTTGAACTCGACACTATTAGCCATTCCCAATGCGGCCAAAAAACTTCGAAAAGTCGCAAATGATGAAAAAGGATTGATAAACGGAGAAAACTCCCAAATTTCAAGTTTCGTTTTCGTCAAAATGTTTTTAAATGGACCAGTTTTCGCCAAGTTTCAATGTCCATTTTCTATTCATTGTATAAAAAAATGAGCCTAAAATTTGGTATTATAGCCCGTTCACGGCTGGCTTGGGACAGCGAACGGACGATTTAATTTTCGCGGCGAAGGTAGATCATGGCGACTATCCATGCGCCTTCCATAAAAGCCCAATTTTATGACTTATCCTTTTTATTTTGTATAAGAGAACCTAAAAACCGATGAGATAAATGTAAACAAAAACTAAAGTCAATAGAAACGGAAAAAATTCACCAAATGAGGCGCTTATTAAAGGCGCATGTATGACCACCATGATCTACCTTCGCCGCGAAAATTAAACCGCCCCTTCGCTGTCCCAAGCCAGCCGTGAACGGGCTATATACTGTTACGCCGTTCATCGATCCTCTCGGAGAACGTGTGTCGAAATATAGAAAAGTGATAAAAAACGAACAGTCATGGTGATCACATTGATATTAACCGCCGCTTGAAGCCTACCATTGACATAACATTCGAAATGACCCGAATCGTCCATTCGGATCGGCCAGAGTCCTGAGAAACTTGAAAATTTCAAGTTCATTAATTGATTGATAAATCACCCAATTTGCCATCTTCACTCATCGTGACTCTCCAATCGAACCACCGCATTTGCATCTCGTTATTATTGACGTACCAAACGACTTCTTCCGTCTTAAATTGGCTGATTAATCTGACTAATTTCTTGAAAACTTGAATATTTCTGTTTTTGCTTAGAACTTTGATCTCACAGAGAAAGAGAAAATAAGATGAAAAATTCCAAGAAAAAAAACCTAGTAAAAATCTATTTTATTCATCCTTTCCCACTGAGAATGGCTCGACGCGTTGCGTTTTTTTTTTGTTTTCATTTTTTTTTTCTGAAGACTCAGTATTTTCCGTTTTCCTAAGTAATTCGTACAACACGGCGTTTTTTCGACGACGCCCACTTTTTCTCCGTAAAGTGTCGTGTGTCGTGTGCATGCACTGCGCCGCTTACGCGCAGAAAATTGCGTTTTTGTAGAGAAATTTCGATTCGTCTCAAAGTTCTCTGTGAATACGACGGTCTGCGCCTTTAATATGCCTTATTATATACGCTTTTAGAGCCAAAGTCTCTGCTGTTCCCATGACGTCACGTGGGAACAGCGGATACTTTGGCTCCGCCCACCGTTTTTTTGGTTTCGAATTTTTTTCCATTAACGTGACAAGTTACAGAAAAAAATACAGTTTTAAAAAAATTGACAAGTTCAGGAAACCCTTCATTCGCTTCTTATGACCGCATTTGGAATGGCTTAGATGGCTATTATTTAATCCCAGTAAGAAAAATACGTAATCTACGATTTATATTGAAATTTTTGTTTGGAAGCTTTGTTATCTCTCTTTGAAACTTTTTCTTCATATTTTTAATTTTTTTCTTCACTTTATGAATATCCTTCTTAACTTGAGAAACTCAACAAAAAGTTTTTTTGAAGAAAATTGCAAAAAACTCGCCGATCCCTCAGTTCGATCCCATTTCCTGCTGTTCAAATCACAAGTAAGTGTTATCATGGATCCATCAATCACATCAATTTCCTCATCAAACGCTTCCACGTTGATATATCGGATATTATTATCACCTGCAAGAGATTAAAATTCAAAGAAATATATAGATAGATTGAGGCATAAAAAAGTTCTGACACGATTTAAAAAAGAAGAGACAATGAGCGGTTTAAGGAGAGCGCAGACAGGCCACGCCCCTTGGGTTCTCAAGATAGTCATGAATCGACTATAATGAAAAATAGTGAGAAGCTGCAATCTTAGAGCGAAAAATGATAGAAAAACCAAAAATACACGACATGAATTTTTTCTTCAAGGTTTTTGATCAATTTTTGACGCTCATCGGAGGTTTTTATCATTGGAGCACACATGACCAAACCAAAAAAGCCCTTACCAACAACGGACCGGAACACTTTTTCTTTACGATCATGTGAGAAAAATCCCTCCTTTTTGACGATTTTCTTCCGTTTCCTCGTTTTGAATAAACTTCTCAGGAATGACTGTTTCTTGGTGGTCGTGGTCTTTCTGGAATATGTCCAGGGTTTGCTTTGAGCCATTCCAAACGCGACCATCTTCAGGTCAATCCACTGGAAAGGCTGGTCGCATGGAGAATAGCTCTATGCACCGGACCTAAAGCGACTTTCGCGCGACAGCATTGGAAATCGGGGTAGATGCTTCAAATTGAACCGCAGCGTGTCCGCAACGCTTCGAGCCATTCCAAACGCGACCATCTTCAGGTCAATACATTGGAAAGGCTGGTCGTATGGAGAATGGCTCTGTGCACCGGACCAAAAGCGACTTACTCGCATCTCCGTTGAGAAACGGGTTAGAAGCTCAAAGTTAAACCGCAACCCTTTCGCAACGCTTCGAGCCATTCCAAATGCGATCAAATTTTAAATTTGACAAAGCTTTTCGAGAAAAGATGGTCGCATGAAGATTGGCCAGGTGCACCGGACCAAAAGCGACTTACGCGCATTCCCGTTGAGAAACGGGACGTAAGCTTAAAATTGAAACACAACGCTTTGAGCCATTTCAAATGCGACCAGTTATTGATCAATCAAAAATCTGACCACATGAAGAATGGCTAGATTCACCAGACTGGAAGCGACTTTCGCGTATGAGCATCAAAAATCGAGTTGGAAGTTCAAATTTGAACCGCAGCGGGTCCGCAACGCTTTGAGCCATTCCAAACGCGACCGTCTTCAGGTCAACCCCTCGAAAAATCTGTCACATGGAGAATGGCTAGGTGCACCGGACCAGAAGCGACTTTCGCGTGGGAGCATTGGAAATAGAGATATAAGCTTAAAATGGAACCGCAGCGCGTCCGCAACGCTTCGAGCCATTCCAAACGCGACCATTTTCCTTCATTAAAAATCATTTCACACCCACACAGTAGTGCTCCTCAACGGCGCACATCTCCCCTGGTCAATTTTGATTTGAAGTTCGATCGAAGTCAAAAAAGCACAGTCGGCGTCGTATTTGAGCCATTGCCTTAGCTTGGCCAGATGTACCGACTTTTTTCGGGTTTCGGGGTTCTGGAAATAGTGAAAGTTCTTGCTGGAGTGTCATGGAAGGGGCAGAGACCCTAATAGACTTTTGAAAATGGGTATTCGCCTCGAGACCTTTTTGAAAATTTTTACATGCTCCTTTAAAAAGTACCAGATAAAGTTTTTTTGAACAGACTATAAGAAAATTTGGACAAGAAAGAGCATTTTTTCGTCTAAATATGTTTGAAATCATTAAAATTAAATTTTTCTGTGTTTTCTTGGAAAGTTTACTTGATTTCGAATCTCTAAAGGTTTATGAAAATTTCTATATTTTGCGACTGATTTTTACTTTTTTTTTGAAGTTTCTTCTACATTTTCATACAAGTTTTCAGTCCCTCAATTTATTTTTCGTAACAGAAACCAACGATTTCTGCTTCCTACCTTCTTGTAAAGCTAACATTTCGGGCAAACATTGTAATCTCTATTCACACTTTTGCCCGGCCAAACATCAAATGTTAATACAAACAGCTATAACTGATTCACGGCTAGATTGGGACGGTAAGGGGGCGTGTCCTGTCTGCGCTCTCCACGAGCCAGGCGCTATCTCGTCCATTATCGTGTCAGGACCCTTCTTTCGATGGCTCAAGTCAGATGTGAGTCAGCTATAGCGATTTTTACAATTTCTAAAAAAGATGAAAGTAACCGTAAAATATATTTTAAAACGATATCTTTTTCCTTCGCCGTGGTCGAAATAATTTTATAGTCTGTTCAGATTTTGAATGTCAAGTAGAATGACGTCATTCGAAAACGCTCTGTAGATGGCTCGCTCTCTGATTGGTTTATCGCGCCATTAGGGGGCGGAGCTTGAGCGAGGACTTGACATTTAAAATCTGAACAGACTATAGCAAACTTCAAAATCATCTCTGACTCTCTAAAACTTAAAAAAATGTCTTTTTCGTTCTCTGACGCTTATTTTCATTTCTGCAGAAAAATAAAATATGAACCCATTCCTTTTCTTCGAATGAATTCTAAAAAAATTAGATTCATCCACACGGCGTTTTTGTTAGTGGAAGAAAATGCAAAACCAAAAATTAAGGGGGCGTGGTCAAAACCTCCGCCGTTCCCATGTGACGTCATTAAAAAAAAACTTAAGCAACAGGGAATATAAATGACGCATCAATGGGTCCCGAGACGAATCTAAAGTCTGTTCAGATTTTTAATGTCAAGTGCAATGACGTCATTTAAAAACACTCTGTGGATAGCTCGCTCTCTGATTGGTTTATCGCGCCATTAGGGGGCGGAGCTTGAGTGACAACTTGACATTCAAAATCTGAATAGACTAAATTCCTCTTTTTAAAAAAAGCGAATTTCCTGTTTATTTTTTTAAAAACAAATGACGTGTGCCAGAGCGCCGCAGTGTATGCACACGACACACCACACTTTACGGAAAAACGCCAAAAAAGTCCAAAAATAATGAACAGCCGATTTTCAAAGTTTAGTTTCAAAAAAAAAAGTCTCTTAATTTTCAAATTTCCCGATAAATTGCAAAAATATGAACCAAGGTTTGAAAAATTTTGATTTCAAGAACTAAAAATGAAGTTTCTAGAGTTTCAAAAATGATTCAGAGCAAAAAAATTCAAGTTAAAGTGACGAAATTTGTTGAAAAAAATCTCGAAAAAAAGGCAAAATTCAGAAAAATTTTTCTGAAAAAAACCCATTTCACCATCGAATTTCTATAAAAAAATTTTTCAAAGGGATCTTTTTAAAAAGAAGTATTTACGTTAACAAAAAAAGGACCTTGATATTCCCGGCCTGTTTCTCGAAATTCGGATTCTCGGCATCCAGAATCTGCACGGGCTCTTCCATTACAGCAAAGATTGCCGGGCTCAAAATCAGCCAAAGGACCAAAAAACGCATTTTTTCGATTAGAAATGAGCAATTTCTTCATTGATTCACGCGAAAAATGCAATTATTACAAATTATTAAATAAATAAAATGCGAAATTGATATCGTATCGGGACAAGAAGCGAATGGGGGTAAAGCTAAAGTGGAAAATCATATTTTAAAAGTTATAAATACCGTAATGAGGGGCAAAAATGGGTGGGAAAAAAAAGCCGCCTGGAGGAATTTGATTGAACTTGTTGTTTTTTGGATTTTATTGCACAGAGACGACGAAAATTCATGTAAAATGAGCAAAAATGAGCAAAAATGATCGGAAAAAAATTCCGAGCAGATGATTTTTACTAAATACTTTTCAGAGTGCGTGAGATTCCCGTCAAGGCGTCAATTTTTGTTTCCTTTCTCAAAAATAGCCAAAAAAGGGTTGTGAAAAAACAGTCGCCATGAAAAATAAGTGAAAAACGGCTGGTTTTTCAAGGAATTATAATGGAAAAAGCACCAAAAAAGTCAAAGATTTCAAATATTTACATCCTTCGACCGTCTCGCTGACCTAAAAAATCGAAAATAATTAAATTTCAACATAATTAAAGACAACCTGCAGCTGAAAAGTCTTCGAAATTGAATTTTAAAGACTGGCATCAGTTTCGTAACACTGTTGATAGGCGGTTCTGACCAAATTATACGGGAAACAGGCTTCCAAAACGTCCATCGTTAGCCAACGATTCTTACGGACCAACTGAAAAATTGAAATTTCGTCAGAAAAGATACGAAAAAAATGGTTTTTTGATCACAACTTTCTTGTATGTAGTTTGATTTTCCTGGAACTTTCTGGAGTTGTGAAAATTGTTATTTCTAACACTCTACTGGAATCAGAACTAGCAGGAAAAAAGAACGCAGCTCAAAAAGTTTCAAAAAAGATTGAGCTCCATACAAGGAAGTTCAAAAAGTTCAAATTCAAGCAGAAATTAAAATAACGTAAGGAAAGATACGAAAAAAAGGTTTTTTAATCACAAATTTCTTGTATGTAGTTTAATCGTTCTGGAACTTTCTCACTTGCAAATTTCAGAAAGGCTTAAAAATTTTTTTGATCTGTTGGGGGGTTCTGTTACCCGAAACGGCCAAACGATATATACAGTCTCATTTTTCTTATATATATTTACCCAACACTACATTTATAACAGTTTTTAAAAAAACTTTCTTCCTTTTTCATTATAAAAACCGAAATTTTTTTCTATGGAATTGGACCTTTTTGAAACATTCCGAAGTTTTTTTAAAACTGTTATTTTTTTAACAGCATGGTGGAATTTCAGCCCGCAGAAAAAAACGCAGCTTCATGAAGTTTTAAAAAGATTGAGCTCCATATAAAAAAATTTGTTAACAAAAAAATTTTTCTATTTTTTTTCTGACGGTACAGTAGTTGTTATCGTTGAATTTTCGAGTTTTAGTTGATTTTTTTCTAGATTTTCAAAAAAAAAACCTTCACCTATGAAGAAAATATCCCACGAAGAACTTAAAAAACATGGTTAAGAAACTTCAAATATTTTTTTCGGAGCCATAAGCTTCTCAAATAATCAAAAAAATTATTTAAAAAAATCCGTTTCCCTCAATTTAAATATCCCTGTCTCGAAAAAGGGATAAAACTTCATTTTTTTCAAAATTTGCATCTCCGGACTAAAAAAACCCTAAGAGCCTAAAATCCTGATGATTTCAAAGTGAAACCCAAATATTCATGCTAAATTCATTAAATGAGACTTTGAACAGTTTGTTTTTTTAATTGTCAGTAGTGAAACTAAAATCAAAGAACCGATTTCATTCATTTTTTTTCACTTGATTTTCCCTCAATTTTACCTTGAAATCATTTCTTAATTGAATATTCTATATTTATTCTATAACTGTTTTTTACTTGCTCCAAAATGATATAAAGAGTCGTTTGTGACCGCGAATTTTCGTCTTTTTCGCCTTCTTGAGCAGTTCGCAGGATTCCGGAAGAGGCCAGCTGAAAAAATAAATGGGATAACTTTTTTTTCGAGTAGAGGAAGAAGAATTTACGATAATGAATATTTTTTATAAAAATCACGGTCTCACGCAGAAAATCCCAATTTTCATCAAACGCACCGCCAAAAATTCCTTCATTCGGAGCTGAATATCTCCCCGGCCGTGCAAATGGAACAGAGCCGAGGCCATCGTGTTCACCGCCAGGGGAATACAGTGAGAATTGTTGAAACTTCCTGAAATTCGAAAAATAAACTTGTGAAGTTCAGTAGAAATGCCATTGAAGCTGATTTGTGAAAAGTTTAGAGAGTCGAAAAATATCAGCAAAACACTTTTTAGTTCAGAAAAAATTGCATTTGCTATGAAAATTCACCTCTAGAAGTTAAAAAAATCAAATTTTCCCATAGCTAAAATGATATTGAGGACTACTGAACCTCCCCTTGAGGTTTTATAACTCGAAAACTTGATCTAAAGCCCCCCTCCTCTGCGTATCAACTCGAAAACTAGACCCCCCTTTGAGACGTTCTAACTCGAAAACCAAATTCGAACCCCCCTTAAGGCGTTTCAACAAAAAAACCCTGATCTAAACCCCCCAAAAATTCTCGCAATAGATCTGATTTTTCGAATTGAGACCCCTCAAAAAGCTTTTTTTGTGATAACTTGCGTGTTTTGCTAACTTCGAAGCTTCATAAATGGGGGGAGAGAGCAAGATGTGTTTGGGGGTGGGGGTGGTCTAAAAAGTATTTGGGGGGTGGACTAAAAAGTATTTGGGGGCGGAGGGACTAGATTTATTTAGGGGGACTTGATGTATTTAAGGGGGAACTTGATGTATTTAAGGGGGGTGGATATATTTAAGGAAAAACTAGATATATTTAAGGGAAAACGCTCTCCTTTTGAGCCTACGATCATTTTATCGCTAAATTTATAATTTCCTAGCCCAAACCTTGAATCGTCGGCTTGAAAGTCGACATATCCGAGGCGCCGATTCGAGGGATACAAATCGCTGAAAAGAAATTCATAAGAAGATGAGAATCTCTGAAAGACCTACCAATAGCAACCAAGGCAAGACAACTGATAGTATAATGATCATCGGGGTTGATGTTGGGATTGTGGGCACGGATGGAGCTGACCAGAGACGAGTCGATCGGACCCGAGATTCCCATCGCGGAGGACAGTTCGCCCAGAGCCACCTTCCCCATGTCATCGACGCTTTCGTAGAGGATATCGAAAGTGGTCGAAAGGAACGTCATCCGCTTGTCGAGCACCTGAGAAAATGCAACTCTTCTCAAAGGTTTGGTTTGTGAAAAGCCGTGATATTCACGATTCTCTTGATATTCAAAGGTATAATTTCAGGCAATTCCTTGGAAGGTGTCTGTAACGTTTCCAGCGTATGGTCAAATGGCTTCTACTCACTGGGAAAACTTTTAGTGGCCACTATAGGGTTTTGACGTTTTAGTGGCCACTATAGTCGTCAAATTAGTGGCCACTAAAGGGGTTAAAATCAAGTGACCACTAAAGAGGTCTAAGTGCTACTACTAGACCACTTAGTGGCCACTTTAGGGGTCAAAAATCAACATAACTGGTCCAATCTGTTTCTTTTTAAATTCTCAAAGTTACTGGAAGGAATACTGAGTGACAAACTACTGAAGTGGCCACTAAAACGGAAAATGGTGGCCACTATAGAGGTGGATTTAGTGTCCTCTCCAAGCAGTCCTTGGCGAGCCTATATAGTGGCCACTAAAAATGGCAAGCAAGAGATTGAAAGGTGAATGGAAGCTAGAAGGTCTTCAGAAAGCCTTGGGAAGGTTCAGAAGGTAGTTGGAAGATGAAAAACTGAAAACGGATGTCAAAAGCCTTCAGCAGGCTTCTGGAAGGTAAGTAAAGGTATTGGGAAGGTATGTAGAAGACATTTGACCACTTGCTGGAAACCTTCGAAACGCCTTTCGAGGAACCGAAAGCAGAAGCTTCCCAATTTTCGCCTGAGGGAAACGCTTCTTAAGAACTCCAGACTGGTCCCTATAGGGACAACTTTAGGGGCCGCTTTAAAGGCATAGGGGCAGTAAAAACGGTGTTTCAGTTCAAAGCGGTAATTTGTAGAACTTTTCATTGCGAATCGAACGGTGAACTTGAAAACGTACAGAGCTTCCTAGTTTTGAAGGAAAAATAATTCAAAGTCGGAGAGAGTAAAGTTTGAAGTCCCGCCAAACAGGGGGTTTCGCAGTAAAGTCGCTCTATGGACAACAGGCTTCGCCAAATTCCAGATTTTCGCTTTTTTCTTCGTTTCTTTAAATTTTCAATTTTTTCTGTTGTCACCAAAGTTCTCTTTGTCCCAAAAACTTTCTATTCGTGTATAGTTTGCAAACTTTGATCGCAAAAATGCTTTTCTGGAGAAAAATGATGATTTTACGCAAGTTTCGATTGGGATAGCGATATTTTGTGCTTCCTTTATTATCGGCGTCTGTTTTTTGTTTGACTAAATATTTTTTCAGAGAAGAAACCCTTAATTTGAAGCAGATATCCGGTTATTTCTCACAAAATGCGAGTCTAATGAGACGTCCGCAACATCGCGTGCACGGCTACTGTAAACATTTGTCCGTAGGCCGATCCAAAGCTTTTTTCAAACATAAAGGCGGGAAAGTAAAATTGCGTTTTTCTTCTAAAGTTGTCACATCTTCAATTTTTTTGAGTAGACCATTCGATTCGCAAAGAAAAACTATTTAAGATACTGCTTTCACCTGAAACCCCATTTTTTACTGCCCCTATGCCTTAAACAACCACAATAGGGGCCAATAAAGTTTGCAAAAGTGGTCCCTGTAAGGGTTTCAGTTAGTGGAATGCTTCTTAGGGACTCCAGAGTGGCCCCTATAAGGACAACTTCAGGGGCCTTTTGAGGATCCCCTATAGGGACCGCTTTACCAACATCTACACGTGCGATTAAAGCTTGCAAACACTAAGAATAACTGACGGGATAAACGCGAGGTCGGTGGCGGTACATTGACTAACTCGCAAAAATGTCGCTTTTTTCTAGGCGCGATCCAGCATTTCTCTCGGCGCGACCTCGCATTTTTCACGACGCCATCTCGCATTTATCTTGCATTTCGGAAAATTTCAAATTGCGAGAGAAATGCGAGCTCGCGCCTAGAAAAGTGCGAGCTGGCGCTCAGAAAAATGCGAGACCGGCGCGAGAAAAAAAAACGAGATGTTTGCGAGCTTGTCAATGTACCGCCAGTGTCTCGCGTTTATCTCGGCAGTTATTCTTAGTGAAAGTGGTCCCTATAGGAGAAGTGTCGGTAAAAATTTATGAACTCTAAGCGAGGAAGCTTTTACTTGCGAAAAACTGAATGAATAAAATTAAAAGACCCCTATAGGGTCAACTTGAGCTATAGGGGCTAAGGAATTACATCTTAAACCCCTGTAAGAACCACTTTTTCGGCCCCTAGGAGGCTTTTGTCCATCCAAACTCCTATAGAGACCACTCGGGAATCCCTAAGCTTTTTCGGGACTTTTTGTAAAAAGCTAAGAGCTTTTCGAAAAAAAAAATCTAGAGCTCTTCTTTTCGTGTTTTTCTTAACTTTTCATTAGTATTTTCTTTTTGAAAAATTTTCCTATAGATACCTGCCGCAGTGCCGTGTGCAAAGCGTCCCGAAATGAGCAAATTTGTCCGATAATCGTGGTTCTCGACAAGATCGCGTCTGCCGGACACTTCGCCCCGGGATTGTTCTGGAAAACTCCATATAAAACATGGAATTTTGCGAAAAGGTACCTTTTTATCCTTGGGCTCGGTGCTGAGGACCGCCAAAACTTCTTTCATTTTTTCGGCATTATCGAAATTCGAGCGCGCCACTTGCAAGGCTTCCTTGTGGCTGACGACAATCTGAACTTTTGACTTTGATTTTTTTTTTCAATCAATTTTTAAGAGGTCACTTGAAACAAAAAATTGAAAAAAGGCCTCAGAAGCTTAAGAAAAAAGACACTAAAATTCGTGAAAAAATAAAGATCATAACTAAAAAAAATAACAGGCCAAAAAACCCAAAAAAGGCAAAAATTCTATAACTAGACTCCGAAAGATGAAAAACCAATCTAATTATGAAAAAAATTGATTTTCAAATCATCAAAAATTGCAAAAGTCCTTTTTTTTGCTCATTTTTCCATTTGCCCACAATTTTCTCAGCTTGTTCATAATCTACATCTTCAAAAAAGGCTCGAAAAAGGTCGCAAAACGGCAGGAAAATGAGTCACTTAATCGAGTCTTTCATTTTTCCTAAGATTTCAAAGGCTCAAGGAATGGTGAAAAAAGAGAGAGGCGGCAAAAATGGTGCATAAAAGCCGATGAAATGGCGCAAAAAGGCATCAAAAAGGAAAAACTTCTATGGAGCCTTTTTTTCCACCCTTTTCGCAGCTTTTTCTGTCAAAAAAATCTCCCCCTATTCCAACCTTATAAATCTCATTGATCTGGCTGGCGACGTGCCAAATCAACCGCTCCGACATGTATTTCACGCCGTAGGATCCGATAATTTGCACGAGGGCTCGGAGTTCTGAGAAAAAAATGATTTTAACAGCTTTTTTTTATTTTTTACCTGAAGGATCAGTATATTGCTCAGGTACGAAGGGGAGTTGGTCGTGGTTCCAAACCAACATCGACTTCAAATGGTCGCTCCAGACCATGTCCCCATGAGAGGCTCGTCTCAGGAGAACTTCCAAGTACCTAATTGGAAACATTATTATTTGAAAACTTCAGAAACCATTCTGAAACATGATTTTGGAGAAAACTTCTACAAAACTGTTTAATGAGCCTCTCAACTGCCCAAAATACCAATTTTCAGGATTTTCCTGGGGCATATTACAGTATAGACCCCCGCATATGTTGGATACCACCCCCCCTCTCCCCGCAACATTACTTAGGAAAAATAGGCTTACGGAGGCGGAGAGCGCATAGCGCGAAGCTCTAATGAGCTCTGGAGGATTATTTCAAAGCCGTGCGGGGGGCAAAGACTGCCTAGGCGTTTCAGAATCGCCCCCCGTTTGGTACTGCGGGGAGGGGGTATTCTAGAATAATACATATTCACCCCCCCGCGTTTAATTCTTCCCTCCACAGTCCTCCGATTTTACCCCCCGCAGATCGGAGCTTGGCTCGGTGGGGGGCTTGTTAGAACACGGGGGGCGATTCTGGAATTTTCCCTTTTCCTGCACTAAATTGACAAAACTTGAACTTTTCAAGTTTCAAAAATCGAAGGTATAGCTGATTCACGGCTGGCTTGAGCCATCGAAAAAAGGGTCCTGACACGATAATGGACGAAATAGCGCCTGGCTCGTGGAGAGCGCAGACAGGACACGCTCCCTAAGCCTAAGCCCTCACTTTCAAAACTACCATTTGGTATAAATCGCGGTGATGGTCTCCTTGCTCCTGCCGTCGGCTCCCTGGGTCTGTTGGAGCAGCACCGACTTGATCAAGGTGATTATGTCGATGTGAACTAGAAAAGAAGAATTATCTCTCTTCTATTCCTTATTTCAGGTCACCAGCAGTGTCGAGGTCTTGAAGGACCGTCATGTAAGCCTGCAGAGCCAGGAGCATATCCGACGGCCTTCTCGGGTTGCTCTGATGGGGCTGCCCTTCCCAGATCATCGCGTGGAGCATATCAACGAGTTTCAGCTCCAGTCTTTGGGTCAGAAATTCCCGGGGCGCAAATGCGTGATCGGCCACCCAAATTTGACGATGCATTCCGATGCCGGCGCACAGTTCCACTGAAAATTTTATTTCACTGAACTGAATTTTCTTTTTTTCTTATTTTTTGAGGTGCAGTACACAGGAAAATTTAAAAAAAGTCTCCACTCTTTGGGTTTTTTTTATTAGCGCAGCTAAGGACCCAAAACTTTCTTGGAACTCTTTTTTTTTTCTGTTAAAATTGATTTCGGGAGATACAGAATAGCCGTCAGAGAGGGAAAAAGACAACAGGATTTTGGAGAGTCAGAGATAATTGAGCATTTCGCGGAAATCACTTTGAACACTTTTTCAAGACATTTTTGGTCACTTTAAAACCTCGCAATAGCGCTTTTTTGGGGTAAAAAACGTTTCCTGCTCAACTTTTCAAGACATTTTTGGTCTGCTTAACTTTCCATCCAAAAACTTCAGTCAATTCAACTTTTTGATAACTTATCTTTGAATGATACGATGTAAGAATTGGATATTTTTTCAATTCGAATTTTTTCAAATATCGCTAGAGAATTTGCCAATGAAAGCTTTCCCGAAGAATCCTTTTCAGACTTTCTCATCTTTACGTTTTTCATCATTCTCCTCTTTTTGTGGGTTTCGTCATAATAATTGTATCAATTCGTAAATTGTCCTTGAAAACAGGAGCCTTTTCCAAAAAAATTGGAATCTTTACCATTGAAAATTCGCTGATTCCGTGTTCAATGTGATTCTATGAAATTCAAATGATGAAATCCAAAAAGATAAGACGAGTCAGAGATAATTTTCTTTTCTGAAATTGTTATAAATTTAAATTCGTATCATGTGATATACTTAACTTTTTTGTGAAATCGTTTGTCTGTTCAAGTTTTTTTTTGTTTTGATTTTGGTGAGCTTAACTTTTCTAAAGCTGAATTTTGTTCTTTTTCTGTATACAAGTTTCCGCATCCCTAAATTTTCAAGGCAAATTTTGCTCTGCTCAACTTTTCTAGAGCAAAATTTTGGTCGTTTTATACCTAAATTACTGTATTCTTATGGCTTGTTTAAAGTGATTCCGCGAAATGCAAAATCGCCGTCAGAGAAAGAAAAAAATATAACTAACTCTTGGAGAGTCAGAGATCATTTTGCATTTCGCGGAAACTACATTGAACACGACATTAACTTTTTGAAGCCAAATTTTGGTCTGCTTAACTGTTTCGAAGGCAAATTTCTGTCTCTTAAAAAAAATTTTAAAGCTGTTTTCGATGGACTTTTCTTTAGACCGCAGCGGTTCATGGTGAAGATTATTCATTAAAAAAACTTGGAAAAGAGCTCGAAATGTTATTTTCTTCAATCTTTCGTTAAAAAAATAGAAAAACCTACACAGCGTGGTCTGAAGCTTCTCGGGCCACGTGAGGGCGTTCCGTTCGACTCGATAGCTTTCTTCTCCGGCCACAACATATTCTCTGGCGGCGTTGATCGCAGCCGTCGCTGCCTTGTTCACAGGGCCTTTGTCTTGAAGGTATTGAGCAACGAAACGAATCGCGACCTGGAAAAGCATGAAAAATTCGCAAAAAAATACACACGAAACAGGGGGGCGAGCAATTAGTTTCCGGTTTTTTTAATTAACTGAGCTTCAATTAGACCTAGCTAATATTCAGAAAAAAACACCGATTTTCTCAGAGTGTCTAAATGGAAAGTAGAGCTAAAAAAATTGAAAAAAATATTTCAAAAAAATAAAAATTAAATAAAAATCTGGAGCGTCGAAACAAATGGAAAAAAAAATTTCAAATGAAAATCGACATCACAAAGACACGCAAAACTGACTAGCACTGAAAAATTTCGGTTTTTTTCAAGCTTCTTTTTAGAGTTTTTCAAGTTTCAAATGAAATTCCTACCTCCAAAAATTAACTAAAGAAGATGAGAAAAATATTAGGTTCAAGATAAATCAAAAAAAAAACGTCATGTAACTTTTCAAACGTTCAAAATATTACCAAGTTTTTCTGAAAAGTTAAAAAAAATGAAAACCGACCGTACTCGGAGACATTTGCTCGGAAAGCCTCAACTCGTACTCGCAAAGTTGAGCAACGACGTCACAAGTCATTCGACAAACCTCTTCCAGGACAACTTTACACTGATTCAAAGCCTGGAGATTTTCTTATTTTTGACTTTTTTGTCTTGATAAAACCTTCTCAATGATCCGACTTTTCTCCTCAGGACACATTAAATGCAGGGAACTCGGGAAATGCGCGGCTAATCTTGCAAAACTCAGTGTGAATCGACATTGGGAAGGGAGTTGAAGGCAGGCCAGCCACTGCCGTTGTTGCAGAGCTTGGTAGAAGCTGCAAAATATTTGAGATGGCTTAAAAAATTCCCTTTTTTTTTACTGATAACAGCTCTCAAAGCGAACGATAAACACTGTCAGAAAACGGGTGCAAAAAGGCCGCTAAAAGGCTAACGTTTTGAGGCCTTTATGTAGCCTTTTTATTGGTGGGCTAAAAAGCCTCGAAAAGGGTGCAAAATGGCCGCTAAAAGGCTTCCGTTTTGAGGCCTTTATCTAGCCTTTTTTCTTGGTGGGCTGAAAAGCCTCGAAAAGGGTGCAAAATGGCCGCTAAAAGCTTCCGTTTTGAGGCCTTTATCTAGCCTTTTTTCTTGGTGGGCTGAAAAGCCTCGAAAAGGGTGCAAAATGGCCGCTAAAAAGCTTCCGTTTTGAGGCCTTTATGTAGCCTTTTTTCTTGGTGGGCTGCAAAGCCTCGAAAAGGGTGCAAAATGGCCGCTAAAAGGCTTCCGTTTTGAGGCCTTTATCTAGCCTTTTTTCTTGGTGGGCTGAAAAGCCTCGAAAAGGGTGCAAAATGGCCGCTAAAAAGCTTCCGTTTTGAGGCCTTTATCTAGCCTTTTTTCTTGGTGGGCTGCAAAGCCTCGAAAAGAGTGCAAAATGGCCGCTAAAAGGCTTCCGTTTTGAGGCCTTTATCTAGCCTTTTTTCTTGGTGGGCTGAAAAGCCTCGAAAAGGGTGCAAAATGGCCGCTAAAAAGCTTCCGTTTTGAGGCCTTTATGTAGCCTTTTTTCTTGGTGGGCTGAAAAGCCTCGAAAAGGGTGCAAAATGGCCGCTAAAAAGCTTCCGTTTTGAGGCCTTTATGTAGCCTTTTTTCTTGGTGGGCTGAAAAGCCTCGAAAAGGGTGCAAAATGGCCGCTAAAAAGCTTCCGTTTTGAGGCCTTTATGTAGCCTTTTTTCTTGGTGGGCTGGAAAGCCTCGTAAAGGGTGCAAAATGGCTGCTAAAAAGCTTCCGTTTTGAGGCCTTTATGTAGCCGAAAAATTGATGATTTCCGATACTGTAGCCCATTTTAGTTCATACACAGTCCCTACTCAATTTAAAACTTTTGTGATTATCAAAAGGGTCCAAAAAGGGTGGATAAAGGCCGAAAAAAGGACACAAAAGGCAGAACTTCAGGATTCAAAAAAAAAAGTTTTCCATCGAAAAAACACCCTTTGAAAAGCTTCTCACCAGAAGATTGACAAATCGCTCGTTTCCCTGAGCAATTCGTCCTGCAAATCGACCATCTTCAAGTGGAAAACGGTGGTGTTCATCATGATGGCCAACTGTTTGTGGGAATGCAACGAGAAGGAACTTTGAGCCACGGATGTCCACGCCTGGAAAATCATCTTTGAACAGGGCAGTCCGAGTATTCATTTCTCATTCAATTTTTTTTTTCACATTACTTGACAACTTTTTTTCTTCTAATTTTAGCGCTAAAAACAAGATCAATAAGTTATCTTCAACAGTGGCCGCTGAATATCAGATTTTTTCAAAATTACCCAAAAAAATTTATTTAAAAGTACGTGAAAACTTCTGTGTGTTCTTTTTAGCAAAGCTATGATTACTTGGAGCTATAAAACTTTTGAGAAGAGAAGAAAAAATTGAAAAAAGGAAATTTTCGCGATTCAGCCTGTGCTCACATGGGAAATCCCGAAAAAAATTCATGAAAAAATTTTGGGTCAAAAAAAAAATGTGCAAAAAAAAAATTTATTACACATTTCCCCTATTCAAAACTCAAAAAAGGAGACACGTACAGGGAAAATTTTGAAAGAGGAAAAATCGCAACAAAAAAAAAATGTGTACAGTGTGGGGACTGAACCTAAGACCTCGTTTAAATAAATTATCTATTCTTTTGAAATTTTTCGAAAAGGTTAAATAGTTTTTCATGACCAGAGGGACGAGATCTACATGTCCATTAAAAATGAGCTCAATCTGAGGTACAGAGGTTTTCGACTTTCGAGGGTCCATAACTTTCGTCACAGTCTTTCTCGGAAGTTTTCGAGACCAACTTTGGAATCAGCGTAAAAAAAACTGCATCTACTGAACTTGTTCTCATATAAAAATTATGGGGAGCAAAAAAAAACCATTTCACGTAAATTAAAATAAATCTTCACGTAAATACAGTATTTAACTGAAGTTCAGGGCCTTTTCTTGGTTCAAAAACTAAAAAACCAACCTGAAACCTGAACCAATCGAGCCTCAGCCCTCGAAAATCCGTCTCGGCGTTCATGGCTTTCACGGAGGCGACAAAATCCGACAATAAAATCATTTCGTCTTCTTGTAATCCGTCCAAATTCGCCAGCATTTCACCCAAAAACCACGGCGTCGTAGTTGGCGGCGTACTGGGAAAAAAATCAATTATTAATGGGGAAACCAACCAATTTGTAATAATTCTCGATGACTTTCGAATGTTTCAAGACCAAATCGCGCAGTTCCAACGTGTAGTGGAGAAGCTCAGGTAGGAGTTTGTCCATCAACTCGTCCGTCTAGCAAGAAAATTGGTGAGAAAAATCAATAATACCTTTTTTGGAATTTCACACATGCGCCTTTAAACTTTCGCCAGAGCCTTTTTTTCGAAATTTTCTTAGGAAAAATCAAAAATCACAAAAACTGAACTCAAAATACCTTGAATTCAACTATTTTCTCACTGACGTTCCCAAAAATCGAAAAAACCCCGTCTAACGCTTTAAAAATCATCAGAAGACTGTCAAAAGTGCGTTTTTTCTCATTTTTCAGCAGATAAAAAAAAAATTAAAAATTCCAAATCCACGAAAAAATTGATTTAAACCTGTAGATCCTATTTATGAAGGATTTTCACGAAATTCTCAAAAAAATAAAAATTAAAAAAATGCCAAAAAAATACCTTTCTCATTCATTTTTTTCAACTTATTTTTTTGTTTTGAAAGCGCTCGAATTTGAAAAAAATGCGCCTTTAAACCTTCGCAATAGAGCCTTTTTCGATTTTTTCTTGTTAAAACTGAAAAAAATCATAAAAAAAGTTGGGTTCAAAACGCCTTTTAAGGTTCAAAAATTCAACAATTTTCTCATGAAGGTGCCCAAAAATCAAAAATAAAACCCTTCAAATGCTGAAAAAATCATCAGAAAACTGTAAAAAGTGCGATTTTTCTCATTTTTCAGCGAATAAAAAAAAATTGAAAATTCCAAATCCATCAAAAAAAATTGATTCAAACTTCTAGATCACATTCATGCAGAATTTTCTCAAAATTCTCAAAAAAATAAAATTAAAAAATGCCAAAAATACCTTTCTCATTCATTTTTTCAACTTATTTTTTTTGTTTTGAAGCGCTCGAATCTGAAAAATGCGCCTTTAAACCTTCGCAATAGAGCCTTTTTTCGATTTGTTCTTGTTAAAACTTCAAAAAATCATAAAAAAAGTTAGGTTCAAAAACGCCTTTTAAGGTTCAAAAAAATTCAACAATTTTTCTAATGAAGGTGCCCAAAAAAATCGAAAAAAACCGCGTCAAATGCTGACAAAACCATTAGGAAAAACTTTCAAAAACTCTTTTTCATATTAATTTTTCTAATTTTTTTCAGCTGTGAATAATTTCAATTCGAATGAATAAAAAAATTTTTAAATTTCCTAATCTATGAAAAAAATTGATTTAAACTTCTAGATCACATCCTTTTAAGGTTTTTAAGAATCCTGGAGAAACCAGTTCAAAAAATGCCAAAAAATCCTTTTCTCGTTCATTTTTTCAACTATATTTTTGTTTCAAAGCTCTCAAAAAATTTGAAAAGCTCCTTTAAAAAACCTGTTTGCTTCCTTTCTTGCTGGGCCATTCGGTCATGTGTCGCAGGAGCCAGAGAACCTGAAAACTCAATTTTAAAGCCTTTTTCCAATTTTCTCATTGGAAAACCTTTCAGATCACTTCAAAAGTGCTTTTTTGGCCTTCTGATTCCATGAAAAGGAAAATAAATAGCACTAGATTTTTTTTTTCAGTCATGACGTTTCAAAAGCTCGAAATTCTATATATTTCGGAAGGTTTGCGAGTTAAAAATTGTCAAATCTTGTAAAAACATTCCTTTCATGAACTGTTTTTGTTGTTTTTAAATTCAGAAGCGCTAAACTTTCATCAAAAGTTCCCTTGTTAAAAGTAATTTATCTAATAATTTTGCTTCTCCAAGCAAAAATGATCGATTTCAAACCTCATCTCTGCTGTAACACAGTGCCATCCAAACGAAAAGAGCCTTCGGCCCGAGAATCCCGGGCCGATCTTTGAAAATCAGAACGAGTTCTCGTAGGGCCGACCGTAGGAAACGCCGTCTTTCGGCGTGGATCGAGATTCTGAAGACAATTTTCAAGAGAATTCAGAACATTCTTCACGGGCAAAGTCAAGAAAAACTGAAAAAGAAGCTCAAGGAAGGAAGATCTTGCGTTAGAATCGTCCCCCCTAGCATTGAGGAGGAGTGATGGGGGGTGATTCTAGAGTTAGATATAGCCCCACAGTTGATTCAGTCCTCTACCAATAGGATGATTCTCGTTTTTGCGTAGGTATTCTAAAATCGGCTCCACTTAGCACTGAGGAGGAGGGGATTCTATAGTTAGATTTGGTCCCCTCCACACCAGAAGAGGTTCTACAGTGGAATATAGCCCCCCAGACATTCACCAACCACCAATCGAATTTTTTTCTACTTGGGGGCTTTTACTTGGAACGAAGGGGGGGGCGATTCCAGAATAAGATAAAGGTCCCACAGTTGGTTCAGCCCTTTACCAATAGGTCTTCGATTTCATCAAACACCAATCAAATTTTTTTATTGATGGGGGAGGCTTATTCGGACGTGTGGGGGGGGCGATTTTTGATTTTTTTTTATTTTTCGCTGGAAAGGTTCATTTTCTTTGACCATTTTAGGAGCAAATGAGAAAGAAGGTGAAAAAAAGTGATTCATAGAATCTTTTTGAAAGCTTCTAAAAAAATGAGCTTTTAATTATTATTTTTTTAAGGCCTCTTGAAAATTGCCCTTTTTGGAAAATGTATCATTTTTTTCATACAGGAATGACTTTATAAACAAAATTTGAGTGAAATTAATAAATATCGTTTTAAATTGCTTGAAAAATGGAAAAATATTCACCCCTGCTGTAGAGCCACCGAATAGCAATCTTTGACTTCTTGAATCCTCTTACTATTCCCTTTGATCGACTCCAGGAAGTGTTGGATTTCTTGATGAGTTGAGAAGACCTGATAAAATTGCCATGACATCTTGACACGAAAAAAAAGTGACCTCATCACGGAAAATCCTCAAGCAAATGCCCATTTGAAGAGACAACTGCCACATTCGGGAAATGGTCGGGTCGTTGAGAAGTTTTGAATAGCAAACGGTTCCGCACACTGAAAACAATTCGAAATCTTCTTTTTCAAACCGAAACTTATTGAATGGAAGAAATTTTAGAAAAAAAATCTATAAGAAAAATTATGAAGCAAGAAAGGCGTTGTGAAGAATTTTTTTTTACCAGCATTCGAAAAAGTCTTTAATAAAACCCTAAAAAAATGATAGGCCAATAATTTTTTTCAAACCGAAAGCTTAAAATTAAAAAGATTTAGAAAAAGCCCTACACAAAATTGTATAGCAAGATTGTGAATGAAGTTTTTTTCCAGAAAAAAAGTTTAATTTTTGAAAAAAATCTTCAATGAGTTGAAGAATGAAGGGAAAGCTGAAAAATTTTTCAAAAAAAGCTTTAAAAAAATCGAAAAATTTTATTTCGATGATAAAAAAATTGGTCCGCAAACTGAAAAATGATAAATCTATCCTTTTTTTCAACCAATATTTTTTTGAATTCAAGAAATTTTTTTGAAATAAAAATACCGTTCGTAAATTTATAAAGCCAGGAAGGAATTGAAAAGAAAACAATTTTTAGGAATTTCAGAGAATTGTGGATTCCAATTGAAGATTCAAGAGAAACAAAGAATCGAAAAAAATTCAAAAAGTTTCGCGCAGAAGAAAAACTTGTAGTAAGACGATGAAAAAGTAGTTTTTGTACAGAAAAAAATCGCTTTCTCTAGTGATAATTTAAAGAGAAAGAAAAAGACCGCTAATAGTTCTGAAAAATCCCTTTATTAGAAACTTCAAATTAACTCACGGATCATCCAGCGGTCCATCACATCAAGGGAAAGAAATTCACAGGCGTTCTGAAAAAAAGATAAAAAAATTATATTATCTCGAAAAAAATGATTAATTTCAACAATCATTCGCTCGGAATGCAAATGAAACAGTTTTTGATTTATTTTTTCATTTTTTATAATTTTAAACCAACCGTATCCGTCTGAGCACTGTACACGATTTGCGGGGAATTCGCCGTCAAGGATAATATTTGGGAAGTTCTCCAAACTTCGCCGGTAATATTCCTTCTCGTGAAAACCGTTTCCAAGGATTTCAATCCAGACATTATCAACTAAAAAATTTCTGTATAAATTTGAAAAACGAGATTTTCAAACCCTGTTCAATGGTAGTAAGTCTTCGTGGAGTTTCTTCAAAGGATGCTCATAGTCCAGAATCATTTGACCCAATCTAGGAAAGGTCGATTCACTTTGCCCGTGCTGCAAATCGTAGGCAGCGTTGAAAAGGCCTGAAAATTGAGAATATTCACTCAAAATTCGCCTTCAACCGACCTAAAACCGCCTTTCTGTCATCAATCCGAGATAGTAAAATCATCATTGTGATCAAATTTACCACCAAATTCAAGTAACCCGTTGTTAATTCGTAGTTTATCGTCTGGAATCTCAAAACTCTATAAAAATAATATTATAAACAGCTTACAATGTCGAGCCTGCATTGGCAAGCGTCCATTGAAGACAAAAGTTGCAAAATATTGTCCCTTAATTCCAACAAATCGGCAAATGTGTAGTAATACGATGACAGCATTTTCGTGATGTCTTCTTTCAACGTACTCACATAGTTGAATGTTGACTGCAATTAGTATTTTTTTGGAATGGAACCTTTGACTTGAAACTAACCGAATTTGAGCGTGTATCAACAACTGGAAACTTTCGAACAACGTGTTTTATAGCTCCTTCCATTTGTTTGTCACTCAGGAAAGACGGCTTTGATTTCGGCTCTGAAAATCAATAAAAACAGAAAAAAAGCCAATAAAAAACCTCCACAAGCTTTTTTGATATTGTAGAGCCTTGTTAGCATACCTGCTGCACGATCGTTCAAAATCACGAGCTTCTCAGCAATTTTCAGCTGGCTGACTTCCATTTTGAAAGCCATCACGGCTCGAAGCCGCTGGAAGCTGAAAAAAACTATTTGCAGCAAGAAAAAAAATAATATTTAATGAAGGAGACACTGTGGGAATAAAAAATCTCAAGATGTTTATCAACTTGTTCGTTTCAAAATGATCATAGCTCTAAAAATATCGTCAGGAGAATCAAACACAGAAAAAATGAAATAATAATTTTTTTATTTCAAAATAGACTTGTAACGAAGCTCCAGATAACTCTTCCTCAAAGGCGCATGGGTTGCCAGCCGAGGATATCCTACGCGGAGCGTCCCTACAGTATGACTTTTCTCGTGCTGCCCCCTGCGCCATTCCCAAATTACAGTTTATTTATTTTTCCTTTTTTCACCGTTTTATATTTATTATTGTTGAAGTTATAATAAGTAGGCTATTATAATATGTTTCAAATTATAAAGCGAAGCGAGAAAAAAATATAATTTTTTTCAAAGAAAAATTTTTTTTAATTTTTGATCTTCCAGGACGTAAAAAAACTCAACTAAAGTTGAAAAATTTAATTAGTGCAAAGAAAAAAATTGAACTTCATTACTGGCTGACTTTCAAAGTTTTGATTTTTTTAAACTTTTTTTCTCAGCTTCGTCTTCTTATTTTTTTAATCTCATATTTTATCTTCTCAAAAAAATTGTGTAATTTAGCCAATTGAGAGCAATTATTTTGAACTTCTTCTCTGAAATATTTTTTTCCGGCACAAATGAGAGCCTCTCACAAATAATTTTTCGAGTTTTTTTGTTTAATTTTGTTTAGTTATAAAAATTCAATTATTTAATTTTTTTGAAGTTAACAGTAGAACACAATGCTTGGCGATATGAAAGTTTTAAAATTTCAGTATTTTTGAACTTTGTCAATCATTTTTCATTTCGCGCTGTGTTATTTTTCGTAACGTCTGCATTTTAATTTCATTTATGTGTGTTTTGCCGTTTTTAAGATAATTTAAATACGTCTGTAATTAATATTTTCTTTTCTTCCAGGTAATGCCGCCGAAGACGGCAAAGAAAGACCCCAAGGGGGGCAAAGCTCCTCCCAGCGGAAAGAAGAAGGAAGGAGGTGGCGGTAAGGCCAAGAAGAAGAAGTGGTCGAAGGGAAAGGTCAGGGATAAGCTCAACAACATGGTGCTTTTCGACCAGGGAACTTACGACAAGCTCTACAAGGAAGTGAGTGAATTTATAATACTTTTTTTCACCTAAAATTAATTCTTGAGCAAGGAATATTATGAGTTTTTCTTTTCGCGCGGTTGCTACAAAATTTCTTTCTCTTTATTAGTTACTCCTAAGTCACTTTGTATGGGTCATTATCTTTCTCACAATCAGATTTTTTTTTCAGTGTAAGTTTTAGAGGTTTCGAACTTTCAAATTTTATTATTCCATTTATCTTTGACATGGTAATAATATAAAAGAGCAAATCTTTGTCTAGTTTCTTCTTTTTATAAATATTAATGGCGTGTTTATCGGAAAAAACTAAAATTCCCTCGAAACGCACAAAAAATGGCTCCAAAACAAAAAATAGTACTGTTTTGAAGCAACTCTGGCGCGCGAATAAGCAGGATTTTAGTTTTGAAGTTTTGATTAGAATGAATAACTTTTTTTTACAGTTGACGACCAAGTTTTTTGTTTAAGATCATGACGTCTATAATATAATAATGATTTTCTTTTGAATAGTCTTCAATCGACTTAGCGATTCTTTGTACAGTATTAAAAGACAGAAAAGGGCTAATAATTATAACTGAAAAAAATTTAAATTAGAAACTTTATTGTAGTTTTCTGTTTTCAGGTCATCACCTACAAGTTGATCACCCCATCAGTCGTTTCCGAACGTCTGAAGGTGCGAGCATCTTTGGCGAAGGCTGGCCTCCGGGAGCTCCAAGCTAAGGGACTTGTTAAGTGCATTGTTCACCACAGCGGCCAGATCGTTTACACCCGAGCGACCAAGGAAGCTGAAGTCATCGTTGAATAATGTTATTGTTATTGTTCTTTTGATGTTTACAATAAACATCTGTATAAAAATTGTTTTCCTTAATTGCAAGAAATCCGCATTACATCGGCGTAGTATATCTGAAGAGTTGTCGGAATAAGGGTAATAGTTGAATGGTGAAGTTCTCAGAATGTTTGTGTTTCGGGTACTGAACACAGTACCCTACACGAACAGGACCGGCGCTAGAGATATCATCGCCGGCCTTCATTCCTTTGTCACGTCGAATTTGCTCATCGGTCTTGCCGTTTTGGTGTCCTACAAACAGTTTGGCGGGAAGCCGATCGAATGCATGGTTCCTATGGATTTCACAAGTGCCTGGGCGCAGGTTTTTCGATCATTTCGAGAAGAAAGTCCTAAAAAGCCGATTACAGTACGCAGAAAACTACTGTTGGTCCCAGCAAACCTACTATATTCCCTTCGATAGTCCAATCGTCGAGGTTGTGACTCAAAGTGAAGATTACATTGACGCGATTTCGCTTCATGCACATGACGGGACCACTGGAGCCCCGAAAGTCGTGAAAAAAGGCGGGCAGAAGGTTTCGCTCAAAAAAGGAAAACGTTGGAAAATAATTCCATGTTAAGGTGTCATATTATCAATGGATGCCGTTTTTTCTGCTTTTTGAGGCCGCTTGTTTCCGGTTTCCTTGCCTCATTTGGAAGTATTTCGCCAGTCAGAGTGGTTGGTTATAATCTTGTCAGTGGAATTTTAGGCGTTCTTTTTTGGACTTTTAAAACGGGATGGCTTGTGAGAAAACATATTTTCTATTTCAAAGCATTTCAGAAGCTGTAATGAGTGAACTATACACTCAGTTTTTCGAAAAATAATTTTTTTTAAATTCAAGGCGCAGGATAGCTTTGATCGTAAATAACTTTGGAAACAGCTCTTCGCCTCGAAACCTTCAAAATTTGCCACTTAAAATCTGCTAGAAAACTGGTAAGAACTGACATATCCCAGGAATGCAAGTGGGCGAGATCCTGAGAATGGCCTCGGATCAAGACAACGCCGTCCCCGAAGCCAAAAGGGCCAATGTCCATGCCCTGAGCGTCCATTTACAAGGCGTTTTACGGTTTCAGAAACGACTCAAATTTGTAAATCCCTCTCGAAATCCGATTCATCAAGAAGATGATTCAGAAAAACATTGTTCCTCACCGATTTTTACGATTCCTCAACTTGAAATACTCGATTTACTACGTCACTTTCATATATTTCCTGGCCAAAATCGCATTTCTGCTGAATGTTGGCCTGCAGGCGAACTTGCTCAACAGGTTGGTTTGAAAAAAAATCAGGGGATGATTGAAAAGAAAAAAATGGGAAGATAGTTAATATTCTAGTTTTTCTGCTGAAAAATTCAACGAAAAGCTTTCAGAATGGAGGAACTTTTTGGAAACTTTTAATTTTTGACTTTTCTCCTGGAAATTTTCTGATTCTTCAAAGTTTCCCATTTGATTGTAAAAGAGAACTATTGAAATCATTTTAAAAAGGTTCAGAAAAAAAGGTTTTTTTGAATTTTCTTAGTTGGAAATGTCTATTAAAGAGATATGATCATGAAAAATTTGGAATTTTTTTGGTTCTTTCGTGACTTTTTTTATTTTTTTCAACTGTTGTAATTGAAAAGAAAGTTAAAAAAACTAAAAAAATTCATTTTAAGGAAATAGTCAAATTTTAGTTTAAATCGTCAAAAAAAAAGTTTTGAACATTTATTCGCGGTTTCCAATTGACAATATACTCTCGAAATTTCGCTCTAGAACTCAATCAGTAGCTTTTTTTAACTGACGTTTATTCCAACAAAAATGCTTATTTGAGAGCTCATTTTGATCTATAGTCAATGTTTCCCGACTTGAAAGGCGAGGGAGGCGGGGCAAGGGGCGGGGCGCGTAGCGTGCGCGTACGCGGTTCTTGGCGCCAGTTCAATTCAATCGCCGCCGACTATTTAAAAAGCTCGGCCACCGCTCTTTTTCTGTATTTTCTTCTATTTTTTGATGCACACATGAACATAATCAATAAATAATTAAAAAAACAAGTGAAAAAGAGCAATAAATAAAGCTCTCTGAATGCTCGCTAGCGGTTGAATTGAACACGTGCCAAGAACCGCGTACGCACACGCTACGCGTCCCGCCCCTTGCCACGCCTCCCTCGCCTTTCAAGTCGGGAAACATTGACTATAATAACGATTATTTTCGAACTTTTTACCATGTGAGAACCTCTTTCAGGGATAAAAGTTGTCTGGAATCTTCCAGGGCTTATAAATCCGTAGAAAAATCGATAAATAAATTGGTAGTTATCCTTAATAGCTTATTTCGATTGAAATATCGAGAAAAACTTTCTATTTCCCAATTTACCAGATATCTGCTCCCACAAGAGTACCGAAAACATTTTGGTTTCGACCTCTGGAAGAGTCTGTTGACCCCGGATCACAATAACACCTGGGAACAAACCGGCGTCTTCCCGCGGGTCACTTTGTGTGATTTCGAGGTTTTTCGTTGGAAAATCTAATGAAAAATTGGGAATTCAGGTCCGAGAGATGGGAAATTTGCAAAGTTACACGGTCCAATGTGTTTTGCTGCTGAATTTGATGACCGAGAAGATTTTCTTGATCCTTTGGGCTTGGTTCGTTTTGAGTAAAATAATCGTGGGGGAATAAAAACTTGATTATTTGACTATTATTTAGTATGGGTACCTAAGAATACGCTCAAATAAAAATGTTTTTCGTTTGACAAGGATCATTATCTCACGGATATCTTAGTAACTGTGACACAAAATTTCATAGATCTTGTAATTTCCAGATTCGAATTAAAGTTATAAATCATTAAAATATCATGAACCGAAGTTATAAATGTAATATAAAGATGAAAATTCAGCGGAGGGATGAAAAATATAATTTCAATTTTTCGCGATAATTTCAACCTTCCTTATTGATCTTTTCAAGGTACTTGATTCTCGGCGCCTTCACCTTCTGTAATTTGGTCAGTTGGGTCGTCGCTGTGTTCAACTTCACTTCAATCGAACATTTTGTTCTGAATCACTTGGAAATGTGCGAAATCCCATTTGACAAAACCAACCTTCGTGAGTTTTTGGGAAGATACCGGGACTTTTATTTCAAAACTAACAAAGAACGTAATTTTACTCTGCAATTGAAATTAAGGAAGTACACTCCTTGATGTACCAGAAAAAGATTCTGAAAGTCTCAACCTAAAAGATTCCTAGTTTCCGAGAAATGAGGGCTCAAAGCCCGAAAATAGTCTATTTTAACGGATTTGAGGGTTTCCTTTGACTTTGAAGTGTTCTTTCTCGAAAACTAGGAAGTTGGGCAGGTTTTGATTTCGACGATAATTTTTTGATACTTGAAGGGGAATTTCGGCCGACTTTTAAGAAATAAATCATAATGGCCTTTCTTGTGAAAAGAATGTCCTCCTATGGCTTGGAAATGAAAAAATCCATAGACCCAACGCTCAATTTCAGGCAGCCAACTTGAAAAATTCACTGACCAGGGAACGTTTTTTACCCCCCCGGTTGACATTTTGCGGAAACTTTGCTGAAGTGTACCCTGATTGCAGATCAAGAAAAAAATTTTTTCGCAATAGATCTTCTTTTTGAGTTATGGAGCTTCAAAGTGTAAAAAAAACGCAAATAAGGCCAATAAAGCGCTATTTCGGGTTTTTGAAGCGTCCTAATTCGAAAACGAGATCGTAAAAAACATCCCCTAGTGAGAATTTGCGTTTTTCTCATGATAACGATTCTGAAGCTTTTTTTCCTCATTCCGATTTTTCAATCATATTTCCTCAGAAAACCGAGAACACGTCACCCGTTTCATCAATAAGTACCTGGGGATGGACGGCTCTTTCCTGCTTCAACTGATTGGACAACACGCCGACGTCGTTTTCACGACCGAACTTGTCGGATCGCTTTTTAAGAGCCATTATGAGATCGAAGAAAGGAGAAGGTGATTAGAAGTGGAGTGGAAAAAATTAAATAAAGAATTTCATTAGGAAGTTGAAAAGTGTGTAAGAGTTAAAACGTATAAAAAGCAACGCGAAGTCGGGCCTCAAATGCATTTTTCAAATTTTCAAGAGTTAATCTGAATAATGTGTACAGAAGTGAGATTAATATAATACTGAAAAATTGTAGATGTTCTTAGTTAATTTGATTTTTTCAAGTTCAAATTCAGTTGGAAGGGTTTTTTTTTTCAATTTTTAAGGAATGCTGGTAACTGGAAAAAAATGACGAATAAATATTGATAACCTTTAAGTTAGAAAGATTTTGAATCTTCTACTGGAAATCTTGATTTTCCTGGTTTTTGAGTTTTGACTCGGTTTTCCTATCTTTATAATTGAAAAAACCGTGATAATTCAAAAGAAAAATAATTTTTTTTTTATCCCAGAGCCCTGAAACAAATGAACGTGATAATGCCGTTGATCCGCCCGGAGACGGAGAAAGACCACGACGTCGAGGCCTCCATCAAAAATACTCCTTCGGAAATTCGGAGAAGGTCCATCGCAGCTAACAAGGTGGTTCACAATGAGGAGTTCATAACCTTTGAAATTTCGCCAAGGAAACTTTTAGGGCCAAAATAACAATAATGATGCGAAAAAGGCTTTTCGCCTCAAGACCTTCAATAAATAAAGGAGAATTTCTTCAAAAGTCGCTCATCAGAAAGCTCGAGAAAAATAAAATTTTTCATGTTTGTCAAGTAGAAAAATCACTTGGGCATTGGAAACTTAATGATCTTTTAATCGAAGCTATATGATAAAATGAAGTTTCACTAAAAATTCCTAGGAAAAGCATAAATCTCAACCGTAATATGTTACTGCACACTGGATCCATCGACAATAACTTTTCTCCCTTTCCAGGGGTCCGTGGGCCAGAACATGAGCCGTTTCGGTAGTTTTGAAGCGCCGGATATTCCGATGAAGCGACATGACAGCGACGTCGACGACGACGAGGAAGAAGAAGACGTCAGAAAGTCGGAGAAGTCGAGCAAAAGGACCAGCCCCAGCAAGACGCCGGCCGGCTCGAAAAGACCCTCCCTGGCCCATCTTCCCGTAACTTTTGACATCAATCCCAACCCTAAGCCTTCCGATTCTCGTGGCCAGAAGAGGTCAATGACTTGAAAATTAGGACCTTTTGAGACATCCTTTCATGAAAAAAAAAATAGCTGTGAAAAAATAGCCGTGAATAGTTGAGTTTGGGCGCTCCGTGGAAAAATTTTTTTGCTGAAAAAAATAATCATTGAAAGACTTGGTTTTTGATTCCCTTGATCAGAAGATTTTAATGTCTTAAAAAAAGAAAATTTTTATAACCCATTTTAAAAAAATAGCTGTGAAAAAAATAGCCGTGAAAAAGTTGAATTTGGCCGCTCTATGGAAAAATTTTTTTGTTGAAAAAAATAATCATTGAAAGACTTGTTAATTGATTCCCTCGATCAGAAGATTTCAATGTCTTAAAAAAACTAGTTGTGAAAAAATAGCCGCAAGAAGCTGAATTTGGGCGCTCTATGGATAATTTTAAAAAAAAAAGCGGTTATTAAGAAATCGGTGACCCCAAGAGGTCTAAAAAAAATAAGTGACTTAAAGAATTTATTTTGAAAACTTTAATGAAAGCCCTTCTTTAGAAAAAAAAAACTATTGGTGAAAAAGTAGCCGCGAGACGTTGAATTTGGGCGCTCTATGGATAATTTTCGCAAAAAAGTCAGTGAGAATTTCAATAATTGATTCCCGAGGCCAGAAGAAGTCTTGGAAATCGCAGAATCTAAAAAAAAACCATCCAACTCAAGGGAAAGTTTAGTTAAACTCAAGTGTGGAAAAATAGCCGAAAAAACTTTAGCTCTTGCGCTCTATGGCTAATTTTTGCAGAAAAACAAAATTTATTGCAGCCCCCATCATTTTGAGGAAAAAAATTTTGCAGCCCCCATTTTCTGCTTGAAACTTGTACATAACCTTGTAAGATTGTAAAAATTCACAATATCAGTATAATTTGCCTTATTTTTCATGTATCCACCTTTTCTCTTGCATCTATCGTTTCAAGCTTTAATAACTGGTGTCAGCTTTAACCAAAGACCAAACTTATCATCAGCATAATCAATTATATACTTAGTTTTATCGCTCAAGTGAATATTTTTCATTTTTATTTTACAATTTTCAAAGAAAGGAAAAAGAGGAAATGTCACACGGGGAACGTTTATTCAGAAGATAATTTTTCCGATTTTTTAGATTTAATTTGCTTGGCCGACGGAAATTTTCAAAGGGGGAGTGAAATAGGGTTCGGTCAGCCGTTCGTCCTTGACGGTGGCGCCGAAGATTTCGGATCCTGAGGCTGAAAAATTGAGCCGTTGTGAAGTTTGAGCCCCAGGGAATAGTAGAAAAATTTTGAAAAGGTTGAAAGCACCAGAAAATCGACGGAAAGGTAAAGAGAATAGAAAAAGTGGAGGCACAGAGATTTGATTTTCTTTGTCTGTCTGCGTCTCCGAAGGAACCACACTCTCTAGGCTCAGAAAGTTCTCAGAATGCTTCTCATTCTCCAATGATAGGAAGATAAGAGCACTATAGAAAAAGTGAGAGAGTATGGAAAAAGTGGAGACACAGAGACTCGTTTTCTTTGTCTCTCTGCGTCTCCGAAGGAACCACACTCTCTAGGCACAGAAAATTCGCGTGATGCTTCATTTTTTGAAGTGTGAGGAAGATATAAGTACTCTATTCAGACAGAAATTGGCTCAAAATGGCCTAGGGCTAGAGAGTGTGGAGAAAGAAGAGACGTGCAGACATGTAAGGTTCGTTTTGCATCCATGAAACTCTCCATATTTTCTATGCTCTTTCCGATTTTTCCGCTCATTTTTGAAGCTTTAGGTATAGCTGGTTCACGGCTGGCTTGAGCCATCTAAAAAAGGGTTCTGACACGATAATGCGTGAGATAGTGCTTGGGCCGTGGAGAGCGCAGACAGGCCACGCCCCCTTACCGTCCCAAGCTAGCCCTGAATTAGCTATAGCAATATAATGAATAAACAATTTTTCAAAGCGATTTTGCGTGAATCCAAAGAAAAAAGTAACCAAGGGATCACTAGAGATCACCCAACGAAATCACTTCAAAAGATCAAAAAAAGGCGGCCCACACCACACACCTCCGCCTACCTTCATGTAGTAGGGCGTGCTCTTGAGCCACTCCGAATCGCAAATCGCCTTGTAGGTGGGCCGATTCGGCGCGTGCGGATGCAGCACTTCCAGGACCAACGTCTTCGCCGCCGTCGACGCCGTACAGCTTCGCGAGAATCTGAACGACGTCTTCTGAGCGACTTCTTCTAGAGTAGGTTCCGATCTTGAATGTCAAGTACAATGACGTCATTCAAAAACGCTCTTTGGATGGCTCGCTCTCCGATTGGTTTATCGCGAAATTAGAGGCGGAGCTTGAGCGACGGGGAAAAAAGGGTAATAACTGGGACGAAAACCTTCTAAAATTCGGTAAAAAGCCGAAACTTCCTAGTTATCAATGGAGCGCAATTGAGCCAATATGTCAGTCAAAGTTTTTTTTTGAACTAGTCCACGGCTGACTTGGGAAAAAAAAACGGGAAGGAAAAGGTAGATCGTGGCGGCTTCATATGCGCCTTTAATAAGAGCCTATTTCCATTTATATGCACCTTTATATAAGAACTTATTTCCATGTATATGCGCCTTTAATAAGAACCTATTTCCATGTATATGCGCCTTTAATAAAAGTTTCACATGCGCCTTTAATAGGAGCCTATTCCCATTTATATGCGCCTTTAATAAGAGCCCTTTTCCATTTTTGTACTTGCAGAAAATCTGAAAAATAATGGAATCAATTTAGAAATAATACAGTAATAATAGAATTAATATGAGAAATGGGGCGCTTATTAAAGGCGCGTAATATAAATGGTTACAGTTTAATATACTTTCTTTATTTCTAGTTTCTCTGCTACCCTACCTGATCCGATGGGCAAGCTGTTTCTCAATCATTTTCTGAGGATTCCGGTCGTCGAACGGCATCGATCCGGTCAGCATGATGTAGAGAACTACGCCGGCGCTCCAGACGTCAACCTTGAAAAAAAAGTAAGTTTTCCTGATTCTAAAACACTTTCGGAAGTCTTGAATTCTAAAAAGGTTTGTTTTCCATCAGAGGACGCCATGGAAAGTCAAAAAAGACCCTGACAAGCTTTTAAAAATAGGTATCCTTCAAAACTTCAAGTCATATTCTGAAAACTAGGATCATTTGCGGAACTGGACAGAAATCCCAAGAGATTCAGTAGACTCTCAGGAAATAGAGCGAATAAAATCCAAACCCTTGAATTTCAAAAATTGTCTAGTTTCTCGAGAAAAAGGCCCTAACAAATAAAAAAATTGAAAGAAAAAGCATAAATAGGCCTTTTCATGGTTTTATTCATCTTCCTATGAAACTTGGACTATTTGCAAACATTTTGGTACTTCCAGAGCTTTGATAGACTTTCAGACAATCCCAAGCATAACTTTTCAAAAACCCCTTGATGAAATTAGAAGAGTCTAAAAATTGAATTTCGAAACATTCCAGGAATTCCCTCAAGATTTTTTGGTACTCCCAAGAGCTCTAGTAGAAAATCTCAAGATCAAATTTCCCCCAAGTGATTGACCATTTCGAAACGAACCGCGTTCCCTGAATAATCCTTGGCGCGAAGGATCTCCGGGGCGACGTAGGCACGGCTGCCACAAAACGTTCCGGACTTCTCGCCGGCCTTCAAAACTCGCGCGAAACCAAAATCGCCGAGTTTTACGTTGTCGTGACTAAATTAGCCCATGAAAAAATTAACTTCTATGATTTTGTGAAATTCAACAAGTTCTCCGAGTATTTTCAGTTATCTTTTTCATTCTCTGACGTTATAAATAGGGTCCGAAAAAGCTCCGCCCACGTTCTACGCACCTAAATGAAGTAATAAACGCGAAAAATACGATCTTGAAGAAAAAAACCAAAAATATTTTTCAATTTGTAGTTACCAAAATAGCCCATGAAAAAGGTCAACTCAAAAAAAAAGTTCATCAAAATTATTTGGTCAAAACTCACGCGTCCAAAAAGATGTTCTCGCATTTTAAATCCCGATGAATGATATGAAATTGACTTAGGTGCTGAAAAATGGAAACTATTATCGATTAGACTATATTGTAGCTTTTTTATAACTTATTTCAATACGGAGCTTGAAAAACCACATCATTTCAAGTCCCACAGAAGATTTTGTCCATATATTTGTACATACAACAAATTTGGAGCAATGGCTATGCATCTTGTTCTCTAAGTTTGGTACCAAAGTTCGGATCTCGGCCAGATTTTTGCCATTTTCTTGAAATTCACAAAGCAGAAGCTCGTGAACCTTAAGAGGGTTACAAAGGATCGAATTTGGAGCAATGGCTAGACATCTTGTTCTCTAAGTTTGGCACCCAAGTTCGGATCTCGGCCAGATTTTTGCCATTTTCTCAGCTAAAGCTCTTGAACCTTGAGAAGGTGACCAATAGAGTTCACCAAACCGATCGTTCGACCAAACGTTCAACCAATATTTTCATGACATGTTACCAAAAATATGATTGATTAACATTTCTTGCTACCGAACGATTAACATGTCTCATGATTATGATCTCTCGTTTTTTCGAAATGTCAACATTTCATTTAAATGAGAGATCATTTTGAATCGATCGTTCAGTTTTCGATTGATCGAAATTTTGTATTGAATATATTGGTCGAAAAAAATGATTGATCGAAATGTTGTTTTGAAAATGTTGGTCGAAATAATGATTGATCAAAAATTTTATGCCTAAAAATATTGGTCGAAAAAAATGATAGATCAAAAATTTTGTATTGAAAAATTTTGTCAAAAAAATGATTGATCGAAATTTTTTTATTGGAAATTTGGTCGAAAAAAATGATTGATCGGAATGCATTTTGGTTAAAAAGTATGTTTAAAACTACTGTTTAAAAACCGCTTCTCTTTCAAATCTTCATCATAATTTCTTTTTTGATTTTTCGTAACGAAATATCATCATCGTTTTTCTGTTTCTCTGTGTTCACTGGTACTAAAAAGCAAAAAAATTTTTTTACAATGCCATATAGACTATAACAAATAAGTTCAAGAAAAATGCAAAACTTTAATTTGTCGGAAAAAAATGAAATACTTTCACCTGTTTACTAGTACTCCGAAAACCTGCCCCGTGTGAGCGATCTGTTTTGAAAATCGATCGCTCGGAATTTCGATCGATCGAAATTTTATGCTCAAAATATTGGTCAAAAAAATGATTGATCGAAATGTTGTTTTGAAAATATTGGTCGAAAAAATGATTGATCGAAATGTTGTATTGAAAACATTGGTCGAAAAATGAAAGATCGAAATGTTGTATTGAATATATTGGTCAAAAAAATCGATATATCAAAAACGTTAAAATCCAATGATTGATCATTAATGTAAGAGATCAAAAACTGATCTAATAAACGATCTCTCAAAAAATGACATGTTAAAATTTGGTTGAACAGTGACATGTCAATAGTTTGATCAATTGAAATGATTGAATGATCGGTTTGGTGAACTCTAGTGACCAAGGTTCGAATCCTAGTCACATTTTTGCCATTTTGTTTCAAATTCAAGGCCTTGAACTATGAAACTTTAACTTTAAAGGGGGGGGTTTCAAGAACCAAAAAATTGATACCATAAGTGCGGCGATGAGCTGTCGGAACATGAACTTGGCCTCATCTTCGGGTAGAGATTTCGTCTTTTTCAGCTTTTTCAGAAGATCGCCGTTGGCGCAGTACTCGGACACGAAGATGACATGATTGGGAATGTTGATCACCTCAAAAAAAGGGATTTTTTTGGGCATAGGAGGTTTAAAAAAAAAAAAATTTTGATAGGTAATAGAGGCTAGAATAATGTAGGATCTGAGGAAAATGATACCTTGAGAAGGCATTTTCGGGCAGAAAAAGCTCGGAAGAAGGCTAATTTCAATAGAAAATTTAGGCTAGAAGTATATGGAGCCTAATGAAAACGATACTTTGAAAAAAAAAACGTTATTTTTGAACGTAAAAAGCGTTTTTTGGTAGGTTATCGAGGCTATAAGCATAAAAAAACCTAATGGAAATGACAGCTTGGGAAAAGGCATTTTTTTGAACATAGAAAGTTGAAAAAAATATAATTTTGATAGTTAATCAAGGCTAGAAGTATATGGAGCCTAATGAAGACGATACATAGAAAAAAAAATGACCTTTTTGGACATAGAAAGTTGAAAAAAATCAATTTTCATAGTCGGATAAGGACAGGAATATATAGGATCTAATGAAAACACTACCAAAAAAAATTAAGACTTTGAAGAGCTGAAAAAATAGGTAATTTTGATAGGTAAGCAAGGCTAGAAGTATATAGAGCTTAGTGAAAAGGATACCTTGAAAAAAAGGACTTTTTTGGGCATGAAAACCCATTTTTGATAGGTATTCAAGGCCAGGGACATGTTAAACTTGATGAAAAGGACATTCTGGCACGAAAAACTTGAAAAAAAGCCAATTTTGATAGGCAATCGAGGACAGGAGCATCTACGATCTGTTTATCATTAAAATGACTATGATTTTCACAAAATTCCGACCTGATAGACCCGGACAATATTGTCGTGTTGAAGGATCTTCACGATTTCCGTTTCCCGCGGTAAGAACTTCCGTATATAGTCTTCTTTTGCTTTTGTTGGCCTTTGAGATAATTAATTAGCTCATTTGCTTATTGACTAGCTAATTACGTAATGTCGATAATTTTCGCGGCGACGACCATTTGAGAGTCGCCAAAAGTCGCCTTGGCCACGGAGGAGTACGAACCGCCGCCTGGAATTTTTTAATAAAATGATAAATTTTTTAATTGAACATCTCTGCTTCAAAACTAGTTTTAAAAAGGCCTCGGAATGGCTCAATGTGTCGCGGTCGCGCTGCGGCTCGACTTGAAATCTCAAGGCAATTACTGTCCTTAGCATCAAGTAGCTCAATCTACTGACTTTTACTTTTCACAAGCGCAAGTCGTTTTAAGTCGGGTGCAGCCGAAGGTCTTCGGAAGTCGTTAGAGCCATTCCAAATGCGACCAGGATTTTTCGAATAGTTCGAAATTTGAGGAAGATGTTCAACTTTTTAAGCATGCTTCAATGCGAGCTTTTTCTGAAATTTCTCTAGAAAATAAGATTTTTTGCTCGTGGTGGCTCTACGCCCGACTCAAAACGGTTTTCGCTAAGTTTAAGAAAAGGTCAAGCCATTCCAAATGCGGCCCATGACATTCGGAATTTCGACAGTTCTGTGAATATAGCTGGTTCACGGCTGGCTTGAGCCATCGAGAAAAGAGTCCTGCCACGAAAAGAGACGAGACAGTGCCCTGGTTGGTGGAGAGTGCAGACATGCCACGCCTTTTTGCGTCCCAAGCTAGCCGTGAATCGTCTATACTTAACCCCCTACCCAAATAGCCGGTGATGTTGAGCTTGTGGTCCTTGGCTAAAATGGGGACGAACGCTTTCGTGTTCATGCTGGCTGCATCGCCGCCCTCGTCTGATTCATCTGAAATTTGAAGTTGGAATTGAATTCCGGAATGAAAAGTCTAGAAGGACAAGCTCTGAGGGTCTCGAAACGTTGATTTTATCCGGGCTCTCATCTCAAAAATTTTTCATCATGCTCGGAAAACTAGTAGTGGTCACTTTAGGGTTTTGACGTCTGAGTGGCCACTCTAGTGGTCGAAACAGTGGCCACTTAAGAGTCTAAAGTTTAGTGACCTCTTTGGCAGTCTAGGTGTACTATTCCATCACTAAAAACCACTATAGTGGCCACTAAGACGCGAAGTTTTTGGCTTTGTAGAGATAGTTTTAGGAACCACTAAAGTGGTCGAACTAGGGGCCACTTAAGAGGCTAAAGTTTAGCGACCTCTTTAGAAGTCTATCCATCATTAAAAACCACTAAAGTGGCCATTAAGACGCGAATTAGTGGCTCTGTAGAGATAGTTTTAGGGGCCGCTATAGTGGTCGATTTAAGGGCCACTTAAGTGGCAAAAAATCAGTGGCCTCTTTAGAAGTCTATCCAACATTAAAAACTACTAAAGTGCCTCTATAGAGATAGTTTTAGGGCCACTATAGTTGTCGAAACAGTAGGCACTTAAGAGGCTAAAGTTTAGGGGCCTCTTTAAAAGTCTAAGTGTACTATTCCATCACTGAAGTGGCCGCTAAGGTGCTAAATAGTGACTTCTATAGAGATGGTTCTAGTGGCCACTTTAGTGTACTCTCCAAGTAGTCCTTGAGCAACCTCTTAAGTGACCCCTAGAGGTTTTTAGCCAATTTTCAACGCCTTAAAGGCGACATTATTGAAGTTGCGCAAAATTCCTTCTGACTTCTGGTTTTAGGGTTCCTTATACAGCGAACTTCTAGAGGTCGTCTTTTTGAACTTCATTCGGCTGGAAAGAAAAAAAAACCATTTGATGGACAACTTTTCTGAGCCGCCTCCTTGTGCCCAGTCATCTCCAGCTTAAAGTTCCGGCCGACGAAAATCGAAGAGAAATAAATGAGGATGTCGAAAACGTCACGTCTTCCATTGAAGTCACGTTCTTCTTTTTGGTCTTCAAAAAGTGGGTTTATCGAAATTTTTACTAAAGTCAATAAAATACTGAAATTTGCGTGTAGCTGATTCACGGCTGGCTTGAGCCATCGAGATTAGGGTCCTGCCACGAAAAGAGACGAGACAGTGCCCTGGTTGGTGGAGAGGGCAGACAGGCCACGCCTTTTTGCGTCCCAAGCTAGCCGTGAATCGTCGACTCATTTTCGCTGTTTTGAGCTAAAAATCATAATTTTTTCAAATCGTTTCCAAGAGGTCTGAAATAAAGAAAATCGACGCGAAAGTTAGCTTGAAAGGTGAATTTCTGCTCAAAATATCCGAAAAGTGATAATTTTCATCCTCCAAATGTTTTCAGCAGGTCTCAGATTCATAGATCTACTGTAGGACTCTTCCATTTAAAAAGAACTTGTTTTTTAAAACTTCAAAACCTCAAAAAATACAACCCTTACGTCATGTCTGAAAAAAAGTGTCAAAGATCGATAGAACAAAACCGAACCAATGAAACTTTTGATTGGAATCCGCTTTGAGTAGGGCCGATCGAATTTTTTCGCTAGACACCCTTTTTTCGATTCGTTGATGCCGCCGAAATCGCCAACTTTTGCAGTTTTATTCATTTTTCAATGGTTTTTTGCTTTTTGCACTGCGGAGGGTGAGTGGAAGGATGAAAAAAGACCGTTTCAAAATTTTTGTGCGACTCAATTTTTTTTTAAATTTAATATTATTTTATTCAGCTTCTTATCATTTTTTTTCAGAACTGATGGGAATTTCTAGAAAAATGAAGTTTCTTTTTCTAGCATTAGCAAAATTTCATCACTTTCTGGAATCATAATGCCGTCGCTAGCTCATAAAAAGAGTCAGATTTGGATTTTTGAAGCGAAATTTGACGGTACTCTGGGGAAAAGCTGGGCCCCCAAGGGAATTTCTGATTAAGGGGATTCGATGGAGAGTATATAAGGACCTCCTAAAGGGAACAATTACACCTCACTTCTTGTGATTTTATGGGATTTTTAAAGATCTCAAAAAAATTAGGATAAGGGGGTAGATTTTTGAATAAAATTATCCGGAGAAATCTTAATTTCAAACAACTTTTTTGAACTGAATCGGATTTTTACAAGACTCGAAAAAAGTTTCTCCATATGGCCACCAATTTCGAATATTAAAAAAATGTCTATTTTAGAAGTGATCAATGTTTTCAGCAAAATTACGTATTTTTTTTGCATTTGCAAAATTTTTATTACTTTCTGCGATTACAATGCATCCGATAGTTTTTTCAAGGAACAAAAAATTGAGACTTTTGAGGAAAAGTTTGACGATATTCTGCGAAAAGTTCAAGTAGGCCCTCAAGGGTATTTTTGTGAGTTCGATAAAGAGTGCTTAAGGGCCTCCTAAAGGAAATATTCCTTCTTGTGATTTCATGAAATTTTTTTAAAAAAATATTGAAAAAAATTAGGATAAGGGAGGTAGAGTTTTTAAAAAAATTATCCAGAAAAAAATCTGAATTTTCAACTTCCCTATAGGAACCACTTCATCTTCTATCAGTTCTGCAGGGAAACCTGATTTTTCTATCACTTTTCTGAGCTTTATCAGGTTTTAGTAATGTTCGAACAATTAGAACCCGAATTTTAAGCCATAAGGCTTTTCGGGTTTTTTCTGGAAATGATCGAGTTTCCAGAAAAAGCGACTTTTTTTGAAATGAAGTTTGAGGAATTTTATGAGATTCTACAAAGCAAAATTTTATGAATTTGAAATTTCTGTAGTAAATCTTGACAGAATCACGCAGAGAAACGTGAAATTTTAGTCATTTTTTTCAATTTTTCCAGAAGTTTCCAGCGATTCTGACGCTGGTCTGAAGCTCGACAGTGTTCTTTTCGGTAAATTTCCTTTTTTTCCTCATAATTTTTTTATTTTCAGAGCATCGCAACGATTTCCACCCGAAAGAACTAGTTTTGAGTAGATGGAAAGACCCAGGTACAGGAGAAACAGAAAAAAATAACTTTAAAAAAATCATTTTTTTCAGCCAAATTTCAACAGTTGTCTGATCCTACTTCGTCTGTTGTCCTGAGCGGTTTTTTTAAAAATTTTTTCAATTATTACAAAAAGAAAAAAAGTGAAAATTAAATTTTCAGACGCCGTCACCTGTGATGCTGGCTGGACCATTTACTCGAAAAATAATAAATGCTACAAGGTTTTTTTTTCTTTTTATTCAAATTTAACTCCAATTTTCGATTAAAATTATTTGTTTCTTATGTTTTTCGCGACCTGAAAACGCTTTTTTTTCTCTGCGCCCTCCTCGTCTCTCGGCGACCCTCTCATGTTGCCGTGCTATTTTCATGTTTCTCTCCTCTCTCCGCGTCTCCTCGTCTCCCGACAACCCTCTCATTTTGATGTGCTATTTTCATGTTTCTCTTTTCTTTCTGCGCCTCCCAGTCTCTCGGTGACCCTCTCATTTTGATGTTCTGTTTTCATCTTTCTCCTCCCTCTCTGCGACCTCCTCGTCTCTCGGTGACCCTCTCATTTTGACGTGCTATTTTCATTTTTCTCTGACCTCGCCGTGGAGAGAACAGAGAGACGCAGACATGTGAAATCTTTTAAGTCGGAAATGATCGGGTGTACCACGGTAACGCCCGAACACTGCCCGATTTTAAAAACTCATTTCGTGGCATTTACCGAATATCTCCCTCAGAAAGAAATTCCGAGGCGCCACAGTGGTCAACAATAGACAAAAAAAATTTTCTGATCGTTTTCCGGGATTTTTCCCATAAAAGTCAAAAAATAAGAAGAGAAACTAGCTCAGACATTGGTAAGGCGATTCGGACGTTTCGAGGCATTTCTAGTGGTCACTTAAGCGCTTTGAAGCTACTAAAGTGACCACTAGAAATGGCCCGACACGTCTGGTTCGCGCATAGTCGATTCATCACTAACTTCTGAGGGGGCGTGGCCTGTCTGCGCTCTCCAACAGCAAGGTACTATCTCTCTTATTACCGTGTCAGGACCCTTTTTTTCGATATCTCAAGCGTGAATCAGCTATAACCAAGGTCCGAGAGGTCAGGTATTCAAAAATCTGTATGGTTACATTGTTTAGTTTTTTTTTCTCTTGGAAAGGTATACTTTTAAAACCGAAAGCTTCTGAATCCATTTAGACCTTCTTCTCTTCTTCCTCTAGATATTCTCAATTTTCCAAAATATCCCAAATTTAGCTGGGAGACACAACGCAAGATTGGCACAAGAGCAAGACGTTTTGCGAAAATCTTCGCCCTGGAGCACATTTGGCGTCGATTCACAATCGCGAGGAGAATTTGTGGGTCGACAGTGAGTTTTATACGCTAAAATTTGTTCAGAAATGAAAAAAAGGGAATGTTCGAAAAAAAGTTATTGAGAACTAGAATGGTAAAGAACTTTGTTAGAAGCTGGGAAACTTGAATTTTTCAATTTTAAGCTTCAAAAAAAGTTCGAAACAGCCAGAATTTTTCAACTTTTATCAGTTTCTGTAGCTTTTTTCTGTATCCAAAAACATGCTTCGAAAAAAAAAGAAATAAAAAATCAGAAATTTTTTCCCATTGCAGCTCTCAAAAAATCAAAATTTAGGTCAATTCAAGGTGATGGGATCGCTACACGCCTGGATTGGTCTTTCCCAGCTTGTGAGTGAAATTTTATATATAATTTTTTTATCCTCCTATTCCATTTCTAACAGTTGATCTTCTATCAAAAAAAGGAACATTGAGCTAAAAAAATTGAAAATAAAATCAAGAAAAATCCAGAAAAAAAACGAGTCAATAATCATGAAAAATTGAAAAGTGAAATATTTTCATTGAAAATTTTTTCCACAGTTTTTTAATGTATAGAGAAAAGATAGGAAATGTCTAAAACGCCCATTTTATCCGTAAAAAGGGGAAAATTGACCGTTTCAATAATTATGACGCAGTCAAGAAATTTCTTTTTTTTCCAAAGTTTTTCATGTCTACTGTTGTAATAACTTTTTGTACAATTGGAATTTCAAATATAAAATATTTTCACATAATCTTTGCAGAGTGGCTCACTAGCCTGGGTCGACGGAACTCCGGTCGATTACCAATGGTGGATGGGAGGATTTTTGAACGACGGAAATCCGTCGCCGGATAGGGATCCTGAGGACAGTTGCACTGAGGTTTGGGAAAATGTTTAATAGTTTTTGATAGACTGAATTGAAGCCATTGAAACGCGTTTTCGAAGCTGAAAATACCAAAAAACTGTCTGTAAAGAGGCTTTTTCTAGGCCTTTCTTCTAATTTCCCGGATTTTTGTCTCTATCTTTGACCTTGTCAATCGATCAATCAATCAATCAATTTTTTTTTTGTCATAGATTTTTATCGACAAGGGGGTTGACAAGAATTTTCGAAGATTTAGCAAACCCGCCTTTGGCGAACTAGAAGTCCAAACGTGTAGTTGAATGAACTTACGATCCTCCAACTTGACGTTTTTTGACGCCCATATTTTTTTCCGTGAAGTTTAGTGTGTCGTGTGCATACACTGGAGCGCTCTGGCACATACTTAAAACTACAATTTACTCAGTATTCAGAGTAAGATGTAGAAGAAATCTCTGCTGAATCATGATATAATCGAAGAGTTAGTCGTCGGCACGGGTTGCGGTCCACAATCGTTGTCGAGTAAGCCCCAGCGCGACAGCTGGCGTTGGGAAATAATGTGGGCCCATTGGTAGTACCAGCGAATAAACTGCTTCACCATGTTGGAACACGGCGCCCAGCTTGTCCAGGGCTGACGGGCGTCGGAATATTATCCCATGAGAGAGCGGCAAGGAGACCGACTAGTCGACGTGATGAAATGAAATAATAATGCCGTGTTCAAAGTAATTTTCGCGATATTCAAAATCATCTCTGAATTTCCGAAATTTAGTTATTTTGTGTGAGATAGGTGGAAGTCTCGAAATGAGAGCGACTACCGAAGAGTGAGGGTTTATTGGTGATACTGACGCGATAAGAAAAAAGACAATGCTGGGTTGTTGGAGAGCGCAGACAGGCCACGCCTTTTTGCGTCTCAAAAAAAAAACTTCAGATCTGCGACGATCGACTAGTCTGCTCGATTCTGAACCCCGTCTACACTTCGGGAACATTCAACATGTATCATTGTACTGAAGAACTCAACGCGATTTGTCAGTACGATCCGGCTCTAGGTACGGTTTGGCATTGGAAAACTATAAAAAGGCTTCTTCTGAAATAAAGGTTCTTATGAAACCAGGCTGGTGCAAGGACCCGAAAAAGTCTTGGCCAGTCCAAAACACCGCAAACTTTCTTCCACATAAAATAAATTTACGTGGAGAATTTTCCGTTAAGAATTTTTGATGAGATTCGAAACATTTTCCGAAGCCTGGTCTGGCCCGAGTCCGCGAGAATTCCAAGCCCGGGCCGACCCAAGCCGCCCAGTCTGACGCACAAGCTCGTATGAGATTAATAAAACAGATTCAAGGCTGGCTTGAGCCTTTGAAAAAAGGGTCATGACACGATAGTAAAAGAGATAGTTTGTGATTCGTGGAGAGTGCAGACAGGCCACGCCCCTCAGCGTCCCAAGCTGGCCGTAGATCGGCTATATAGTTACGAATCATCCGAAAAATAGAGGGCAGGAATGTCAGACTTTTTAAAGTAAGGGTGAATAAACTATTAAGAGAATAATCAAAAAATCATTGAAATGGCAGAAAAACGGAAGTTTCAAGGTACTCCCTAATTTGGGACCGAGGTTATAGTCTGTTCATATTTTTAATGTCAAATGCAATGACGTCATTCAAAAACACTCTGTGGATGGCTCGTCCTCTGATTGGTTTATCGCGCCATTAGGGGCGGAGATTGAGCGACGACTTGACAAAATCTGAACAGAATATATCAGTTAGAGCGTTCTTTTTTGAACTTGAAGCTCATTATTACTCAATTTTAAGTGGTAACACCAACGACGCCTCCAACGACTACGACCGTGGCCACAACGACTCCAACTACAACCACAGTTCAAACTACAACCACGCCGAAACCTACAACAACCCCTCCTACGACCACTAAAGCAACCACTACGGCTCCTACCACTACTACCAAGCCTAGCACTTCTAGTACCACTACCAAGCCTACCAGTACCTCTACAAGTACCGTGAGTACTACCACCAAGCCTCCCAGTACCAGTACTTCTACGACGATTGCTAGTACTACAACTAAGACTTCAACTCTTCTCACGACGACTTCGAAGCCTTCTACCACCACTGAACCCACTACAGTGACCACTACCAAGTCGTCTACTACAGTGACCACTGCAAAGCCTACTACCACCACTGAACCCACTACAGTGACCACTACCAAGACAACTCTGAAACCTACTACCACCACTGAACCCACTACAGTGACCACTACCAAGTCGTCTACTACAGTGACCACTCCGAAGCCTACTACCACTACTATAGGGACCACTACCAAGACAACCCTAAAGCCTACTACCACAGCTGAACCAACCACTACCACTATAGGGACCACTACAAAGACCTCCACTTCCACCTCTACTCCCAAAACCATCCCAGCCTCACTCTGCCTCTCCCAATGCCCAGAAAATTGGGTCCAAGTCGACGGATCCTGCTTTGCGGTTGGTACAAAAAACCTTATTGCTCATGTTTGCTAACTTCAGAAGCTCAGCTTGGGCGGGACTTGGGCGCAGGCCAATTGGGCGTGTCAGCAACTTGGAGCTCAATTGGCTAGTATCCAGAGCAAGGATCAGAACGACGCTTTGAGAAGTTTGAAAAGAGCTGGATTTTTTTTTAAGATTCAAAATTTAGAAGCCTTTGACACCAATGAGTCGGGAACCACTGGGGAGCAAATTTGGATCGGATTGAAGGTCCCAAAATAAAAAAAAACCTTTAAAAAAAGTTAAATTTAGCAACCCTGGACAAAATGGAGCGATGGATCTACAGTTTCCTTCAAAAATTGGGCCGAAGATCAGCCGGACGCCGACGAGGGCTCTACAGACTACTGTGCTACCGTAACCCCCTATTTTCTTCAAAAAATACAGTACCTTACAGTTCATCATTAGCCGATTGTCTACAAGCCCAGTCCGAGGCGTTTGGAACGACTTTCTCTGCTCAAAAACGCAATCTTTCGCTTTATGCGAGAAATCTTTGGAATAAAATCGAATTTAGTTGTTTACAATGGTTGAGGGGACACTTTAGTGGAATTTTCGTTGGTTTCAAGGTGTTTTTAATTTAAAAAAAGCGTCTTTTAGTTCTTTATCTTCACTTGAAAAGTTTTTTGAAGGCAAAATTGAGAACTGTTGAGTCAATTTTTAATCAAATTCCAGAAAAAAAGTGCTCATTTTTGAACTTTGCCGCAAAACGCTGTCATTTGGAAGCTCAAAAAAAGATCATGCGGTCCAAAAATGTTCCCAAAAAAAGGGGACAAATCCGCCATAAGTAGAGGGGAAATCGAACTGCATCTACACAGTTTTTGGTCTATCTGATGGCCGTCATTTTTGCTCGTTTATTGTTTTTTGTTTATTTTTCTGAGATTTTCAAAGCTGATGGTATGTTCTTTCGGTCTTATTCACTCGCCTTGACTTGAAAGGCGTGGTCGCATTTGGAATGGCTTTTGAACTTTATCGAGCCATTCCAAATGCGACCACGACTCGATAAAGCTCCCGAGCCATTCCAAATGCGACCATGGCTCGATAAAGTTCACGAGCCATTCCAAATGCGACCACGACTAGATAAAAGTCACGAGCCATTCCAAATGCGACCATGGCTCGATAAAGTTCACGAGCCATTCCAAATGCGACCACGACTCGATAAAGTTCACGAGCCATTCCAAATGCGACCATGGAAATTCAAATTGAGGCGATTATATATGAAATAAAACGAAAAAAGTCTCAAACTTTCAGTTTTTTCAGGACTTCGGAATGATTCCAACGCTGGTTTGAGACTGGATAGTGTTATTTTTGGTAAGAAACCTGAAAAAATTCTCATTTTTTTATTTTTCAGAGCATCGGGACGATTTCCACCCAAAAGATTTGGTACTGAACAGATTGAAAGATCCGGGTATTTTTTTCAAAAAAATATTCTGAGAAAAAAATATTTTCCAGCCAAATCTCCCGTGCTTTTCGACGTTCTATCGCCGGTTTTAAGTGGTAATTTTTTTGGTCTTTCTTCAACTGGGAAAGTTTTTAGTGGTCACTTCAGGGTTTTGACGTTTTTTGGGCCACTGAAGTAGTCAAATTAGTGGCCACTTAAGGGGTTAAAATTAGTGGTCATTATAGAGGTCTAAGTGCTACTACTAGACCCCTTAGTGGCCACTTTAGGGGTCAATGGATCAATATAACTGGTCCAATCTGTTTGTTTTAAAATTATCAGTTCTCAGACCTTGGTAACGCGAACGGGACGCGAATCGGACGTGTCGGGGCATTTCTAGTGACCACTTTAGTAGCCTCAGAACTCTTAAGGGATCCCTAGAATCGCCCAGAAACGTCCGGAGCACGTCCGTTTCGCGTTACCAATGTCCGAGTTACTGGAAGGAATACTGGATGAAAAACTACTGAAGTGGCCACTAAAACGGAAAATAGTGGCCACTATAGAGGTGGGTTTAGTGGCCACTTTAGTGTGCTCTCCAAGTTGTCCTTGGCGAGCCTCTAGCCACTAGAAATTTTCCCATCAAATCATGAAAAGTATTGATTTTTAGACACCGTAACCTGTGATCCTGGATGGCTCGTTTACTCGGGAACCAACAAGTGTTATTGGGTTTCTTTAAATATTGCTTTGAAAAAAAAAATTCTCAAACAAACTAGACTACAATGAAAGTCATATTAAAGGAAAAAAATTCAATAATTTTTTTGAAGAATCTACAAAAAAACATCTTTTTAAAAAAATCGACGGAAGGTTATAATTAACTTGAAAAATTGCCATTTTGCCAATTTTTAGGTGTCATGAGTAGCTAATGCAGCGTTCAATAGAAACACACGAAAAATCGGCTAAAAGTGCCGTAGAGCGCACTTGACGGGAAAAATAGGCTTTTTAGTAGATTTAATTTTTTTTTTCCTTTTTTATGCCGTGTTCAAAGTAATTTCCGCGAAATGCAAAATGGTCTCTGACCCTCCAAAATTTAGTTATCTTTCTCTTTCTCTGACGGCTATTTTGAATTTCGCGGAATCACTTTGAACACGGCATTATGCCTTTTCACCTATTTTTAAGAAATTTCAAATCTCCATCCAAATTTTTTCTCTAGCCGTCATGAGTAACTTTGAATTGTGTAGCTTTTTATAGAAAATGTAAAGATTGACTGAATGTGCCGTAGAGCGCACTTTAAGAAAACGCTTTTCCGATGGTTAAACATTTTTTTTTATGCCCTCTAAGCTTTTTTGAACTTTTTAAATGTTTTCAAAGCTTCGGAATCTCTCTAAGAAAGCTGATTTTACTGGTTTTGCTTCAGTTTCACAAGTCAGAACCTTTTTGAAATCCGATTTTTCGAATATTCAAAAATGACTATGGACATTTTTATAAAATCATTGAAAAGGGAAAAAAATCTGGTTTTTAAAAGGTTCTTTTTTAACTGATCTTCATTGGCAAAGTCCAAAAAACCCTAAAAAGAACCATTGAAAAAAATAGGAGGGTTAAAAAAAGGTGAAACAAAAGGAGATACAGAAAAACTTTTGGAAACTTTTTTTATAACTCAAAAACGAGCTCTAGATTCCTCTTTTTGAGACAGCCTTGAGGTCTTTTTAGACTTGCCTCGCGTCCAGAAACATCGTATCATTTTAAAAAGTTACACAGTTAAAGCTTTTTTTGAAAAATACATGAATTGGAATTTTCAGTGGGTAGCCACGAGTCAGGGATGGTACGAAAGTAAGACGATTTGTGAGAATGTTCGGCCTGGCTCCCATTTGACTTCGATTCACAGTCGCGCCGAGAATTTATGGATCGATAGTGGGTTTTTTTTTTCGTTTTTTATAAGCGATAATGTATTTCAAACCGTCTAGGATAGAAAATTATGAGTTTTTTCTCACTAATTTTACTTTTTTTGCTATATTCTCAGCGATTTTTCGACTTCAAGACCTAAAATTTATATTTAAAACTGTTAATAAGTATCCCTAAGAACTCATTCGAAGGTTTTTGAAAAAAAAAAAATCAATTTTCAGCAACTTTCAAGAAAAATAACTTATTGGACGCGTGGATCGGATTGTCGCAAACGGTATGTTGTTTTCAGTATTTTTATTATTTTTTTCAGTCTTTCTGATCATTTCATTGTTATAATGAAGGAAAAAAATACAGACTTCTAAAAAAATGTTTTCACCGTGAAAAAACTGAAAAATGGGTAGAAAAAAAAAACATTAGTGGTCATTTTTTTCTGCAATTTTCAGGACTGAACATGAAAAAGCTCATTTTCAGACGTACCTGTAGCCTTCCTTGAAATGTCGTTATCAAAAAAATATATTAAAGAAAGATAAAAAAACTAAAAAAAAACGAAAAAAAATTATTTCGAAAATGAGAGTAAACCCGTTTTCCAACGAATGCGTCGCTGTGTTTGCGTATTTAAAGACTACCGTAACCATTTCAAAAATAAAAAAATATTATTTTTAATTTCATTTTTCTGTCATTTTTTTAAGGATTTTGATTAATTAGTCAGGTACTTTGGCTTGGGAAGACGGCACACCTGTAGACTACACCTGGTGGATGGGCGGGATTTACGACGGAGTTCCATCGCCCGATCGGGACCCTGCAATTAGTTGCACTGAGGTAGGGGGGAAATGAATATAGGATTTTTTCGAAGAATTCGTGGGGGAAAATCAGTTTGAAAAGAATAATGTCTAGAAGTATATATAAAAATCGGAAAAAATCGAAAAAAAAAAGGAAAATTCTAGATTTGTGACGACTACATCCAGTGCATGTGGATGAACCCGTTCTACACGTCCGGACAGTTCAATATGTACGATTGTACTTGGACAATGAATGCAGTTTGTCAGTACGACCCTGCCCAACGTGAGTTCTTTTTCGGAAACTTGTTGAAAATCGAAAAATTTTCGGAGTTGTTCTAGACTTCTTTTGACGAATTTTTTGAGTATTTCAAGTTCTTTTTTCTGGATTTTCCTCCTACTTTGAAGCATTGACCACTTAAGAGCTTAGCTCAAGGTCTCTGAAGTTAACACTTTAAGTTTCCAAGTCCCCTATTCGTGTTGGTTTTCAAGTTGTGATGCTTTTGATTCCGAAAAAATCGCTGAATTTTCTTGAACATTTTCTCTCACTGTCTGCGCTCTCTTTTTCTCTAACTTGCACTCTTGCTTAGAAAAAGCTGAGAGAAAAAGAAGGCTCAGAATTTTTTTGTTTGAGTCCAGGATTTAATCTTGATCAACACCGGTTTCAGTGACCACACCGACGATTCCACCGACCACAACTACTACAGCTCCTCCAACAACTGTTACTTCAACAACGACTTCGACACCGACGGCTTCTACTTCAACCAGTACGGCTACGTCTACAAGCACGACGTCAACTACGGCTTCAACTTTGACAAGTACAACTACGTCTACAAGCACGACGTCTACTACGGCCCCAACTTCGACAAGTACGAGCACGACGTTTCTTACGGCTTCAACTTCTACGAGGTCCAGTACAACTCCAACCACGACGTCTACTACGTCTTCAACTTCTACGAGCTCTGCCACGACTCCCAGCACGACCAAATCGACGTCACCGGCTTCAACAACGACCACAGGTCCTCTGACAACTACTACTGCGTCTTCAACTTCTACTAGAACCAGTACGACTCCAACTACGGCCTCATCATCAACTATTACAACTGCTAGGACTACTGAACCATCATCAACCAGTTCAACTTCAGCTTCAACTTCTACGAGTACTTCTGGCACGACTACAGGTCTTCTGACGACCTCTTCTGCGTCTTCAACGTCCAGATTAACCACGACCCCTAGCACGACATCTGAAGCTACAACGTCGACTTCAAGCAGTACTATCACGAGTACAGCTCCATCCAGCTCCACCACAGCGTCTAGCAAAGCTACGACGTCAGAGTCTTCTACCATAACTTCTACGACCACGGCCGAACCTACCACAACTTATACTACATCTTCTGGAACCACGACTCCAAGCCTTCCAACAACCACGCCAAAGCCTTCTAGTACCTCTACAAAGACCTCAATTTCCACCTCTACTACCAAAACCATCCCAGGCTCGCTTTGCCCTTCTCAATGCCCAGAAAACTGGGTCCAGGTCGACGGATCCTGCTTTGCGGTATTCAAAAAAGCCCGATTGCTCATGTTTGCTAACTTCAGAAGCTGAGCTTGGGCGGGACTTGGGCGCAGGCCAATTGGGCGTGTCAGCAACTTGGAGCTCAACTGGCTAGTATCCACAGTAAGGAAGAGAACGACGCTTTGAGAAGTTTGAAAGGAGCTGGATTTTTCAAATAATTTAATTTCTAGGAGCTTTTGACACGAATGAGTCAGGAGGCAATGGGGAGCAAATGTGGATCGGATTGATGGTTTGAAATTCAAAAAATCTTCAGGAATTATTCATTTCAGCATCCTTGGACAACTTGGAGCGATGGATCTTCCGTTTCGTTCAAACATTGGGGCGAGGGACATCCCAAAGTCACTGACGGCGGAACGGTGGAACACTGCGCCGCTGTAATTATTCAATTATTTACTTAAAACGACCATATGTTATAGTTCATCACCAACCGCTTATCTACAACTCCTTCTCGAGGCATTTGGCAAGACTTTGCCTGTACGAAAATTCAATCTTTCGCATTGTGCAAAAAATCAGTATGAAAAATAAACAACTTGTTGAACCACGCGCACAACTATTTTTGAGCTAAGCATGACCGCCGTCGCTTACGACCATATCACGTTGAAAACACGCCATCCCGTCCGATCTGGCAAGTTAAGCAACGTTGAGAGCCGGTAGTACTTGGATCGTAGACGGCTTGGGAATTCGGCTTGCCGTAAGCTCCTTTTTGTAATTTTTGGTTTGAACCTCGAGGAAAATTCAAACTACTCAAAATTATCACTTGTTTTTAAAAAACTTACAATTTTTCTTTTCCAATTTAATGAGAAGACCCTTTCTGTTCATTGATAAAAAAAAAAAGGTTTGATAATCAAACTTCAAAAGTTGTTCAGACTTATTCCAAGATAAATAAAAGCAGAGATCGAAATTTGAACAAAAAACTCTTTCAAACGAAGTTTATTGGCGAGGTGGGCAAAAGCGGAGGGCGATCACCAAACATGAAGAGTGGCGGTCGCGTTGTTGGAGCTGGAGCAGCTAAGCGGCCTTCATGACGAGGATCACCTCTCCGGCCTGAGCGCCAGCCTTGAACGGCGCCGTGGCGTCCGTCTCCTCTGGGGGAACCTCGGCCCACTGCACCACCAGCTTGTCTTCTTTCGGCGGTCCCTCTAGTCGCACTATTTCTAGTTTCGTTGATTGCTGTAAAAATAAAATCAAAATCCAAAAGTACATTTATGTTTTTTGAGGCATAGGGCCTTTTCTGACGCAAAAATTTCTTTTTTTTTTTGGATTTTTCATTATCTCACCTTGCCCTCAACGAAACCGTACACAGGGCGCACACGGTAATGGTCGTTGTTCGACGATTTCACCTGGAAAAGGGCAAATTCAATCTTTAAAAACCAAGAAGACAATTGAAAACTTATCTCCCTAACGAGCTTTGACAAAAAAAAATAACCAAAGGACGTTTTTTTTCAAACGAAACCACACTGAAACACAAATAAACCTTGAAAGCGAGGCGTGCGTCGGAAAGTGAGACGATGTTGTGGGAAGCGTTGCCGCCGGTGGCGGGAAAGGAAGCGCTCGGCGGGTCGATGTTCAACGACATTCTGAACAGCTGAACGGCGGCAGAAAGATCGCGCAATGACTGGAAATCTCCTTTTATAAACACACGCGAAGCGTCACGTTTCATTATCTTTTTATAAAACTTGCAGGTTAACTAACCAAAATCTGCAAGCAGCTTCTTCATTCAGCATTCTCAATCATTTTGCGACGATTCTGAAGCGTGAACTGTAAAACGCGTAAAAATAATTAGGCGTGTAAAAATTGAGGTGCAAAAATAATGAGGCAAGCGACAAAGTGAGAAAAAAAGAAAGAAACGGATGGAAATTTATAAATAAGGAAATGCCATTTCAAAGCTATAGAAATTTTGAAGCAATTCGCAAATTCAAACTGTTAATATCTCAAGTATTAACTTTAAAATGAAAAATTAAAAAAGCCATTACGTTATTAAAGGCGCAAGCTGTGCAGCAAATGCATCCCGGACCCGCTTGAGACCCCTAAACGGAATAAGCAATTTTTCTTTTGTTTTTTCTCAATTTTATATAAATTTTTATTCTATTTGATGGTTTCATTTTATTGAAAACTCGTTCAAAAATGTTCCAAGTTCTATTTAGAACCTTTTGTTTCATGAAACTGTATCTAAGAAAACACAAAAGGACTTATTTTGAGACACTTTAATGATTGAAATTTATGTTTTGACTTTTTGGAAGTCAGAGTTGAACTTTATCTCAAATTCTTTCATAGTAATTAAAAAGAAAAATCTGTTTTTTTATTACAATAACTTATTGCAGCGCTGTGAAAAATCGACGAGTTTCTGATGATATTGAATCGCAATGTGATATTTTCAAAAGGTAGGGTTTTGTTTTTTTTTTCCAGATTGTGTCAAGATAAGAGAGCGGAAGAACGGTCAATTGAAAGGACACAAAAACTGTTCAGGGTTCTTGAAACAAGTTACATGTATCGACTTGATCATGTTTTAAAATTTTCAAAGAAATCTTTCTGAGGTTTTTAAAGTTGCAAAAGTCTCAAGAACTTTGAAAAATGCTTGTTCAGTGTCGTCCATTATTTAAATTCAACTTTTGAAGAACTCAGAAACATCAAAGACAAACGGGGTAGAGGGTGATTTCATTTCGAAGGGAAATAAGCTTCACTTAAGTGATCACTTCAGTATATAATTATTCTTCTGTCCTTCTCTTGGTTTTTGAGTCAGACCACGTGATTAGAAATCTTTCTTATTGTTTTTTTTTTTTTTAAGGCGCATGATTTTATAAACGGCTTTTTACTTCGCTGTCATTATGAACTTTTTCAATGCTCGCTGAACACCTCAGCAATATTGCAGAACTCCAAAATTTTCTTCCTTCTTCCAAAAAACTTTTCTTTTTCTTCCTTCTCCCAAAAAATGAAACGTTTCAGACAAACTTGCCATCGCCATCAACTGATAGACGTGACGAATCACTCAAACGGTAACCGAAAAAGGCGGCAAAAGGAGAAGGGGGAGGAAAAAAAACGAGACGAAAAAAGGCAAAAGAATCGTCGGGCGGTCATCCATCATTCAAAGGTGCGAAAGTTGTTGCAAGGAGAACCGTTCAGTTTTTTGCCATTTTCTTCGGTTTCCATCGTCCCAATCATTATCGGCTATCAATTAATCAGTTTGGGCCACGCCGGCGGCGATTTTGTTTGATCTTTTTTCTATGAATTTTTTTTTTGATAAATCGGCATCTCTTGATTATCTTCCGACACGCGCAAGCGATGGCGTTGCAAAGATCGGAAGAGTTTGAATTTTCGGCTTTGAAAGCCGCATTTGGAATGGCTCGGAGCGTCGCGGTCGCGTTGGTCGAATTTCAAAAGTTTTTATTCATTGTTAGCTTGAGACAACGCCTAAACCTCTATCATGGGAAAACTTTTCTGATCGCCTCGAAGACTTAGTACCATAAAAAGCCACTGAATGGACTTTACACTTTTCGATGGTAATGGGGGGGGAGAGTTTTTTTTTTGGTTAATTTGATCGATCACGTAAATGAAGATCAAATTGAATATAAAAAAATATGTAAATGTCACATTTTCTAATTTCGAACCGTTTTACAAATAAAAATAGAATTTGGTATTTTTTTCGGACTTTTTTTTCTTGAAACTTTCGCATTTTTTTAAAAAAATTTGATTGATCACGTAAATGAAGATCAAATTGAATATAAAAAAATATGTGAATGTCAAATTTTTCTCATTTCGGACCCTTTTCACAAATAAAAATAAAAATTTGGTATTTTTTTTCGGACTTTTTTTCTTGAAACGTCTAAAAAGGTCCGAGGCTGATCTGTTGGAGTTTCTGAAAATTGAATTCTTTAAGGATCAACTGAAACTCCCACGTGATTCAGAGACGTTTTGGAAAGATTAAAAAAAAATCTTTATTCAATTTTCAGCGTTTCATGTCGATAATCTATAACTTTTGTAGATCCAATCGCGACCAATCTCATAAACAGAAAAACAAGAGGATAGTAAAAAGAGACCGTCCGTTATTTAACGATGCTCCAAGGAGAGGCAAAAGACCGTTCCTCGACGTCTCTCGCCTGATTCAAATCTTTAGGCCATCACGCAACTATTACCACTCTGAAAGCGATGACTCAGAAGCTGAGCAGCGCCGTCCCCAGCCGCCGGTCGCCATCATTTTTTGAATTTCCCTTTGATTTTCTCCGCCTTATGTTAATTGTCGCGTTTTACATTTTGTTTCTTTATGTTTTATTTTTAGGGTTTAGTTACCCAATTTTGAAAAAAATCCTCCTGTTTACTGATAGGAAAAAAAAAATCTGGTCGATAACCTTTAAATTTTCAATGTTAAAATTCGGGTTACTATGGCCCTTTTTCTATTTGTTTCAAGACCCTTTCAGGATCATTTTTCTGATTAAAAACATTTTTTTTGCCAGAGTTTGTGAGAGGATTGAGTTTAAGTCAAATTAAAAAAGATCAACAGTATCTTTAGTCTCTTCAACAGTAAATTTTACAGTAACTTCAGTACGCTCTACAGTATCTTTAGCGTCATGAGTGACTGTATTAAAGCCGTAGCTGCCAAAAGTAGATTTTATGAGGTCACTTAATTTTGAAGCTTCTAGAATGACCGCGACCCATCGAGCCATTCCAAACGCGACCAGATAGTTTCAATTATCGCGTGCAGAAGTCGAATCTTCCGTAAATAACAACTTTTTATGGATTTATTTTCCTTTTCTCACGCATGAAAAAAAAAATCCTCGTGGTCTTTTTCCTCCCCTGCAGCGTCGCCTTATTATTTTGATGTTGCGAAATGGTTTTATTTGATTATTTTACGCCAATGTTTCAAAAAAAGATCCCCCAAAGTGCGAACACTTCTTGTCCATCCATCGGTTCTCAAGGTAACGGTTTCGCCTCCTTTCTTGATGTCCGATTATGACAAGTGGGCCGGCGGCGCCAGCCAAAAGAATCCCAGAAGAAAGAAAAAAAACTCGAGAAGGCGTGACCACCGTACACCGCAGCGATTCAGAATTTCCCCATTTCTCGAGTCATTTTCAGCGGAAAAATGTTCACCGCCTTCGCCCCGACTACCAACTTTGGCTCGATTTTCCCGCCAACGCCGTCTTTCCCACTTAATTTACTTTTCCCGACACCTTTCCTGACCGCCATCCAGCAACACAACGAGGAGCTTTTTCTCAAGAAGAGAAAACGTTCGTTTTTTCTTTGTCCTTTGAAGAAAAATTTGAAAATTATACTGAATTTTCCACGATGTCCTCTCAAGGCGTCCCGGTTGCGAAGCGTTTTCTGAAAATTACCATTTTTCGTTCGGTTTCAGCAATGACTTCCTATAGAAAAAAACGCTAAAAGTCGGCTGCAACAGTAGGAAAATCAACAAAAAAATTTAGAGCTTAATTTTAAGCCGCGACGCACGTTGAGCCATTCTCGATGCGACCATGGGAGTTGAAATTAGTTCAAATATGGTCTTTTATTTGCTTTCATGAAAGATTCATTGGATTTTCTTTGAAAAATGCGTCGAATAAAGGAAAGTGACGTCATAATTGATTGAGGTACAAAAATTTCATGTAATGACGTCATTTTAAATAGGTTTATTGGGTAGTTACAGAGACATATTTCCGTAAAAACGTTAAAAATGATTATTTTTGAGTATTATGACGTCATAGCTTTGTTAAAATGACGTCATTTTATTTTACGAAACAGCACGCATCACATCATTAAAATTGAATGTTTGGAACTATTCCAAAAATAACTTCACTGTTTCTGTAGTTTTTGAGGGTACTGTAATCAATAGTCAACAGGTATTTCATCAATTTTCTGGGCCTTGAAAAACCTGAGCTTTTCAGGCCTCCTGTCGAAGTCGCCACTGCCGCCGACCAAACGATACGCCGATGCGCAAGCCGCCGAAAGTCCGGAGTGCTCCGCTTCGTCCTTGGCGGCCCTGGAGAAACTCTCCCAGGACGTGACTCCATCGCCGGTCGACCGCATTTTGGACTGCGAAGCTAGGAGAATTCCTTCCAAAGGTAATCCAGGTAATCTAGAAAGTTCGAGCATTTTTTAGAAAAACTTTGTTTAAAGAACATTATCAAAAGAAGGTTTATATTTTTTCAATCTCAAAACCCCTATAGAGACCACTTTTCGGCCCCTATGGGCATTGTTTTCCCTTTTAACCCCTATAGGGACCGCTCTCGGAATCGCAATATCCCCAAAAACACTTTATTTCGTGTAAATTTAATGAGAAGCTCTACGAAATCGCCTTTTTCATTAAAATATTCAGCAAAATTTTGAAGAACAGCTTCCTGTTTCTCAACTATCTGATATTGCATCGAAATGATGTTAAAATTTGTTAGGATCTGTTAATTGCGTTCAAAAAGGATACCAAAAGCTAATTCAGGACGTATAGAGTTTGTTACCGGAAGTTTACTCTAATGGGAAAATTTTTAGTGGCCACTATAGAGGCTCGCCGGAGAGGACACTGAAGTGATCACTAAACCCACCTCTATAGTGGCCACTATTTTCCGTTTTAGTGGCCACTTCAGTAGTTTTTCATCCAGTATTCCTTCCAGTAACTCTGATAATGTTAAAACAAACAGATTGGACCAGTTATGTTGATCCATTGGCCCCTAATATGGCCACTAAGTGGTCTAGTAGTAGCACTTAGACCTTTATAGTGGTCACTTGATTTTAACCCCTTTAGTGGCCACTCATTTGACGACTATAGTGGCCACAAAAAATTTTAGTGGTCTAGTAGTAGCACTCAGATCTCTATAGTGGCCATTAATTTTTAAACCCTTAAGTTGCCACTAATTTGACTCCTAAAGTGGCCACTAAGACTTTGAAACCCTATAGTGGCCGCTAAAAGTCTTCCCAAAACAAAAAAATGAAATTTTATTCGTCTTGAAATTCACGGACCGCACGTAGAATGGCTCAAAAGAGCGCCGTGGTTTTTCTTTTGAAAGGAATCGAATGATTAAAATTTTTCAAATACGATTATTAATCTGAACTGGTTCATGAACAGATCATCATTTTCTCGAATTTATGAGATATAAACTTACTGTGAAACGTAGGAGAAACAGGTTTTTCCTTAGTTTTTTTCTTCTCGCTGTACGCTGAAACATTTTTTGATTGATTTGCCCAGGAAATCGCAACATTTTCCACGGTTTCAGAACTTTTTTGGGAGATTTTTGGTGAACCTAGAAAATGGGGAAAAAAAAAGGGAGTTTTCTTCTTTTTCTTCCGAAAAATCGTTCAAATGGAAGGTAATAAGACTTGGAGTGTGTAAAATTTGAAGAAATCCGGGCATATATATTACTTTATCTGTCTGGAAGTCTCCTATTTTCATGTGCTCTTTTCTGTGGATTTCCAAATTTTTATTCAAATTTACATTTTCCTCACGTTCTTCTCTATGAACTGGGAAAAATTGTTTTAAAATATTGATTTTTTAAAGAAATTTTAACTCATATAATTATAAAAATAAATATAAGAATCCATTTTTTTTCAAAATTTTAGCTTGAAAGACCCTCCATTTAAACCAGAATCTCTCTTCCAAATGACGTCATTTTCCAGTAGCTTTGACGTCACGCAATCGATACGGACGCCCGTATATTTCCGGCCGACCTCTGCTGACTTGCGACCGGCTGAAAATCGTCGAATGCTTCCGGAAAGGAATGAAGAAGATCCACATCGCCAAGCAGCTCGGCATCACCCACAGCTGCGTCAGCAAGGTCTTGAGAAGGTCAGTTTGCCGTTTCATGAGAAGTTGGGGCTTTTATTGGAAAGAGCTCATTGAGACGGTTCTAATGATATGAAATTTATTATGTCTAGGAGTACTGGAGAAAAATTGGATTGAAGATTTGCGGACTTTGAGTCTACAGTAATCCTAGTGTACTATTTTGTGACTTTCAGTCTGTAGAAAAAAAGTTTGAAGCTTTGCGGGCTTCGAGCCTACCGTAGCCCGTTTATTCTGTAAAACTCAAGAACTCAGAATTTGATGAGGAGTTTATTATTACTGGAGAAAAAAGAAGTTGAAGCTCTGCGGACTTTGAGCCTACCGTAGTCGAGAAATTTTGGCTCAGGATATCCTTTCTTTGGACTTTGATAAGGTGAAGCTTACTAATATTTCTATATGGATAATTTCACTGTCAGAAACTTGTTACTACTGGGAAATTGAAGATTAAAACCTTTGCAGACTGGTAGCCTACACAATCCCGAAAAAAAATTGTTAGGTCATTGAAAAAAGTGAACTTTCTGAATATTCACAAAACAGAAAAATCAGTATTTCTCAAAAAAATGAAGAAAAGTCTTTCTGCGGACTTTATAAGTACAGTAACCCTGGTAATTTTCGATACGCGTGTCATATTGACATCTAGCTGTCTCCCAAGTTCCAAGAGTTAAAAAATTGTCAAAAAATGAAGTGACGTAACTTGCGGACTGAATGACTACCGTAACCCTTTGAAAAAAAGGTTTCTACTATCGTAGAATTTCCAGTAATCTGCCCTCAGTTCCCATAATTTACTTTTTATTTAGAGTACGTCGCCAAAAAGTTGAGAAAAATGAGTTCTGCGGACTAAATTCCTACCGTAATTCTGAAATAATTAAATTCGGGAATTTCAAAAAAAATTAAATTTTTACCAATTTTCATGGATTTCTTGCCAAAACTACCGTAATCCTATTGACAATCAAACCATTCTTTTTAAAAAAAAAATCAGGCCATCTCTTGCATTTCATAACCTACCGTAACCCATCAGACGATTTGTCTCGAGACCCAAATTTGAGCCCATTAAACCGCGACCCAACTCAAAAACTAATAATATCCAGGAAATCTCTCTCCGTTTTGCAGGTCGGCTTACTGTAACGGACACAGGTCGCGGCGATATGCATCTTTGCGTTTCCCCGTTGAAATCCATAACATAAAATAAATGCAAAAAAAGTGTGCGGCGGAGCAAAAATGACGGACAAAAAATGGACGGCCACCCGAAAATGGAAAAAAAAAGGTCGGTGCGTGCGCGCACTTGTTTTAGAGATGCTAATCTTTGGGGTGATTTATGAGCTGACTAATTTGTTTTTTTTTTGTCTTTGGTTCGTTCCGTTTCGCCTTTCATAATGACCTAACCTTCAGAGTGTTGAGAAGGGATTTCGGCCAAAGTCTTATTTTGAAAAGTAGTCACTTGAGGGTCCTCTGATAAGTTGAAAATTGTCGATGAGTCAAGTGATAGGACTTGCAGACTTCATGACTACCGTAGCCCTAAAAAAATCCATTTAATTGCCCTTTTTTGATATGCTGAGTTGATACAACCCACAGTTAAAAAAACTTTTTTTAAAAATCATTTTCCTAACTTTAACCACATGCTTCTTAAGTGATGAAAAACCAATTAAGGGGCCACTTAGTTACCTATTTCATGAAATTTTTCTCACTCGAATCTCTGCAGAATTCTTCCAATAGGTTACCTCTTGAACTCGATCACTATAGTGATCACTCAGGGATTCTCCTTTTTCATTTATAATATTGAAAACTCAGAAATCAATTTTCAAAACTATAGTGTAGTTTTGAGTCAAGAACTTGCTAATAACCAAATGACTTTTGAGCCATTGGAAGGAAAATTGAACGTGAAAATAACGTGAGATATAATAAAGGATCCGTTTATTCCTAAGCTCAAGAGCGATAGAACACCATCGCCATGGGAAAGAAATGCCCAGCCAAAAAAAGTTCGAGTATCGAACTTTCCACCTCTACCGTGTACTTCACGTCTGCGGCCTTCGGTGAGGATCCAAAAAATTAGACAAAAAAATTGATAAGCTTGAAAAGCGAGAGACTGTGGGAGTCGAGGAGATGTCAGAGAAAGAGAGATCTATGGCCTCTCTTCCGCTGCAGTACTCTCTCGCTTTTTAGAAATTTACCTTCATTTTTTCAAAAAAGGAGCTCCACAAGCTAGACAGTGTTGGAGATGGAGAGACGTAGAGGTTTATTTTTCTCTTTTTCTCTGGCACCTCTTCATTTCACACGGTCTCTCTTAATTTTTTTTTAGTTGACTTGTAGTTTCAAGACTCAATTTTGATCACTGTGGATTATTTTTGTTGAGTGTCAATGCTTGAAATATTTGCAATTTTTCCAGAAAAAAAAAATATTTCAGTTATTTTGTACCTCCTCTCGGTGATTGCCGCGATCTTGATCACTAGGATCCTTGTGGTTATTTTTTTTTCCCCCTTCGAAATCCATTTTCAATCGAATTCAGAAGAAAGGCTTATCTTCGAAAAAAATAATTTTAACAAGAAAGGAGGCTCCAAGAGCCCGTCGGGATCCAAGGGCAGCAAGTCGGCCGAGAGCCCGGGAACGCGTAAATTTTGAGATCAATTATATTTTTAGTATGTTCACCGCGGGTTTTTTTGATGCTTCTGAACATATTTCTGACCAATTTTTTTCCCAATAATTTTTCAGCTTCTCTGTTTTAGTAGTTTTTTTGACAAGCTTTTTTTGGAACATGGCCAACTTTTTCAAAAAAATTTTTTTAATTTTTTTGATTTTTTTAGTAAACTTATTGCTGGCTTGTTCATATTTGAAAAACTTTTTTTGGCAGTCCTTCTGAATTCAGGAAATTTTTTTCCAATATTTTTATAAATTTTCTCTCTTCTGGTTTACGTTAGCTCATAACGGCGGTGAATAGACTAACTTTCAATTTTTTTTTCGACTTTTCTAGAGAATAATTTCAGCGAATGATTAACTCTTTGGACTCCGCCTTCTTCACGATTGACACCTGCTTGCTTTTTCCTTCTTCATTTTTTTTTTTCAAATTTTGTCGGAATAAAATTTGGAGGAGATATCCCGTTTTTTTCTGGATAATCTGGCCTTTCTCTCTATAAGATTTAAATTTGAGGAGAAATCTGGAGATTTAGGAAGTTTTCACGGGACATAACTTCAGAAAGTAGCTTCTTGAAGCTGAGAAACGCAAAAATTCATTTTTCAAGCTATTTGCATTTTTTATGATCTTGATTACGATATTTCTCGTTCCATTTGCGTTATGAAAATAATATTTCATCTTCTTTGAGAAAAAAAAGTGGAAGAAGTTTGATTCTGCAGAAAGTTTCCACTGCAAAAAAATGGAGAAGTTCTAAAAAAATCTCAAAAAAACTACAATTTTCTAACCATCTGCATTTTATCAGCAGAATTCCTGATAACGGTAGATTTTTTTGTCTGTTTTTTTAAACCAAAGATCAATTTCAAAGATTTTGGTAATGTTGTATAAAGTTTCTACAGAGAAAAGCTTCGAACGAGGCTCAAAAACTGCAAAATTTGAAAAAAACAAATGCTGTTAGGAACTTCTAGGAACTTTCTACTGTAGGAACCTGAAAAAAGGCTCTAAAAAGCTTAGAATTTTCAATAATCCTTCCTTTTACTGAATTTATTGATTATCCTAGCAATTTTCGTTCGAAATATTAACACTTTTTTTCAATTTGAGTCAAAACTATGAAGAACTTCTACTGAAAAAGAAGCTCGAAATGAGGCTCCCAAAAGCTCAAAAATTTTTCAAAAAAACTCCTAGCACATGCTTTTTCATTTTCTCGCATCACAACAATTTTTTAAATCAAAAATTTAAAGGTACGCTGAAACCGGAGAAGTTGGAGCCAGAGCCTGTCGGACAGCCTCCTGCTCTTGTCCAGGCTCTGCCGAATCTCATGATCGCAGGTGGATCAATCAATAAATCGATAAAAATCAATATTCTCAGATTTTGCCGCCACCTCCAAGACAACATCCAACGTCGACTTTACTCCATTGAAAAGTGATTTTATATTCCTCATATCACCATAATATTGCTCATGTTACAGCCTCCTCATGCCGCAAACCAGCACCGTCATCTACTACTCGAAAATATTCGAAATTTCGGAGTAATCTCTTTTTTTTCATCTTTGCAAGCAACAACTTTAATTTATATGTTTTATTGCATTTAGAAAAATTGTGATGAGATTTTTTTGAGTACCGGTGACTAACAAATTTTGAAATTTTAAGATTTTACTAACAATTTATCGTATAGATAATAAGGAAATTTGTTGTGAATGAAATTTTTAGAGGAAATTTTGGCAATGGAAAGAGAAAAAAAGAATGAAAAATTATAATTTGACGCGACCGCGACGCATTGAGCCATTCTACGTGCGGCCTAGAAATTTTAATGTTAATAAACTTCAGGCAGAAAAAAATCACGCGCGTCAAAAAAATTACGTCGGATGTGTTGCTTCGAGTGTAAATGAACTGACGCAAAGTTGCATACTCCAAAAATTTTTTGACGTTTTAAGGTTTTTTAATTTTTTTTCCCATTGATTTCTGTACCGCCAAATTTTTCAAAATATTATTTTTTCAAGTTATTTTTTTCTTTTGTCAAGCCCAAAATCCGAACCATTTTCTTCATTTATTTACTGTTTGCATAAATCTTTTCAACATTTTTGTCAATTTGGAAGAAATTTCTATAGTTTGAAAAATTCCCTTTATATTTGGTGCTTGCAAAAAAAAGTTGGAAAGATTGGCCTGCCAAGTTCTGGAATCCAACGGATCCTCCTCAATGGCGTCGTTCTGCGCCGGCTCCTTGGCGCTGATGGACGCCGGAGTCCCTCGGCCCCGGCGGCCGGAGGTCATCGGCCTTCTGACGGATCCGACGTCGCCGGACTAGAACTCAACCGGCATCATGGGCTACATGGACTTCTAAATTGCAGGTAATAATTCTTCGAGTGTTCGAGCAGTTCGGTTAGAAAAGGTAGTTTGGTTACCTGAGAGCTCGTATTTATACCGGTATGTAGATTCCGCCCCCAAATTGGGCTCCCATGCCAGATGGGCTCAGAAAGGGTTGGTCGATTCGCACCTTTTCGGAGGAATTATCTGGTTGGGATAATTATTTTGGAAGGTGTCAAGGTGTCACTGGAGGGGTTCGGAAGTTGAGTGGAGGTGTCGATGGGGAATAATTGGCCGGAAAGGGAAAAGTAACACTTTTTTCTACGTTGGTCAGCTTTTTTCATGCCTCTGGGTAAGGAAAAACAAACTTCAAACGGCAGCACCGACAAGGAAGGTCATCTTACTTTGTGGTTGGTATTTTTGAAAATCAGAAGGTTTTGGAAGTCTCAACCTGCACAACTTCTTAGCTTTTGAAAAAGGATAAGGATAGGAAAAAGGAAAAAGGATAGAGTTAGAATAAGGAAAAAAGAGCAACTAGTTCATTTCAATTTTTTTTTTGAAGTTTTTAGTCGAATTTATTGTAAAATTAAAAATTTTCAAAAACTTGCAAACTTTTATACCAGTAATCTTCCAGTTTCGATTCTTTTTCTTGAGCGAGTTCGAAAAACATTTTTTTAGTCACATTCATTAAAAAGAAAACCAAAATCAACAATAGAAAATACACGGAGTAGGACAAGAATTAAGAATTATTAATAAAGGATACAAAACACCATGAAAAATACAACAAGAATACAATAAACCATTAAATAATACAATTGAATACTTGAAAATAGACCAGGAATAAAATAAGGAACCGTTAAAAGATAATGGGAATGCCCGTATTTGACTCGTAATTAGGAAATTGAGAAAATAGTAAAAAAAAATTTGGAGCTAAAAAAGTGATAATTAAAAATAATGAACGAAGATGACTTCACAGTTTCGGAAATAATAAGGGGTATGAAGTTAAGACACTGATAGTCACTAATATAAAGTGAAAGGAACAATAATATACACTTATTTAATGACCTTCAAAATAGAGCTTCTGACAAATTTCTTGGAAGCTTGGGACTTTGGAAATGGCGTACTGTAGGCGTCCCAAGTTGCTTTTCAGTTCCTTCACTATCAGGGCGTAGATCATCTCGTATTTCTGGAAAAAAGTTTGATTGAACAATGAGAATGTCTTTAGCCAATAGTGTATTGAATATTCGTCAAAACCCTTTTTGATTCTGATATCTATTTCTTGATGAGATTTCATGAGAATGAAGAGTTTTAGATGGAGGAAAATGCTTCTTACGCTTAGAAAATTGAAAAAACTAACGATATTCATTTAAAAATCAATTCAAAAACTAACACAGTTGTGTTGGAAGTGAAGTAGAGCTTCACTGAATCGCAGGATCTCACGCCGGATTATGTACGTCGTTTTCCGGACCTCCAAGGCGATTGGCTTACCCGACTTCCGGTAGAGGCAGTCCAAGTCGATGATCTCCTTCTCGACGACGACCAGTTCGTCTTCCAGCATCGTGAGCATTTTTTGGGCCATTTTCTGGAAATCGAAAGGACCTAGTTCCAACTTCAGAAACTAAAAATTGCTCTAGTTAATTTTTTTCTGAAGCTACAAGGCTTGCCTTGGAGACTCCTATAAGGAAGGTCTTTCCACTTTATGAAAAAACGGCCAACAATATTCTTGAAGCACCAGAGAAAGATTCTGAAAGACTCAACAGGCCAAATTTTCTATTTTTCAAAAAATAAGAGCTCAAATGGCTCACTTCAATGTTCTTTAAGGGTCCCTTCGATTTTCAGGTACTCTTTCTGAAAAGTCGTGCAGGTCGAGGCTTCCAGGGTCCATCAAGAAGTGTTCCGGTCAGTTTTCAGGATAGTCCCAACCATAAAAGTGAAGAGACCTTCCTTTTTAGAACTGCAGAAGACTTTAAGAGAACTTCGGAGCTTTCAAAATTAAATGGTAATTTTTTAAAGAATCTAAAAAAGCTTCTGACTTAACTAGAAATAATAATAGAATGGAAGGAAACTCACAATCATCCAACTGGCGTCCGTAGACGTGAAGTTGTAGATGCCCCTCATTTTCAACGTGAGATCGAACTGAAAAATATTAATACAGTATTTTTACCATAGTTTTAAAGATATATTTTTCATATAAAAAGGCTTTTTGGGACTTTCCTCAGTGTGTTCTATGACTGTAGTATCCTTTTTCATACATTTTCTGCAGTTTGATTTTTATGGCTTTTTTTAAACTCCAAAAGTCTTCCAACTATTTCAAAACCTGTTTCCAGCTTGGAAAAAAAGAAAGTTCCAAATAAAAAAATTTTCTTGTAAGAAAAATAAATAATTTGTTAGAACGCTTTTTTTCCGCTTTGAATACCTCAAAATATATATATATCAACTTACATGAAACCACTATACTTTCCACTAGTAAAAGTTATTCACAAAAATACTTCAAAACTCACATAAAAGGCCAGTTTTTCGAGTTCGGACTGGACTTCGTGGCTGCACGTCTTCAAGAGCTGAAGACGTGCCTCCCATTCTTCCAAAACCATCTTCTCGGCCTTCTGAATGTTGGCCTTCTCGACGATCTTGGCCACGATCGACTTGATGTTGACGGCGTTCATTTTCGTAGAGGGACTGGAAAATGATTAATTTAAGAGAGAGTTGTGTAAGAATAAGACAAAATCAATGGAGAAAATGATTAATTTGGGCTAGTTTTTGATTTTGGGACTTTAGGAAACGAATAGAGAGTAGTATTGTATATAAAGACTGGATTGCAAAAGGGTTACACATCAGGAAAAATAATATTTTTCGAAAAATTCGTGAACTTTTTTTGGTTTGGCTCTGGGTGAGTGTAACGAGAAACTAAATGGAAAATTTTTTTTTATTTCAAAATGGTTCAGGAATGGGAATGAGCAAAAGAAACTCAGAATTCCAGGAATTTTTCTCAAAAAACGGAATATTTGGTTCCAATATACCTTAACCACGTCCAAGAGAAACAAATAGAAAGTTAATTCGAAGCAAAAAAAAAAGAGAAAGAGCTGAGAATTAACAAAGAGAAAAAGGAAAAAAACCAACCTGGTTGTCAGATAATATTAATAGTAGAAAGAAGCGTGGAACAAGACGATTGATCAGTTGTTGGGATTCGATTAGGAAAGGTAGTTTGGTTACCTGAGAGCTCCTATTTATACTGATTGGTAGACTCCGCCCGCAAACTGGATTCTCATGCCGGTGGGACCCAGGAAGTGACAGAATTTTTGGTCGGTTCGCACCTTTCTGGAGGGTTTCCCAAATTTTGGATTTGGGATAATTACTTTGAAAGGTGCGAAGGTGTCACTAGAGTGGTATGGGAGTTGAGTGGAGGTGTCAAGGGGAACTACTGGGTCGGAAAGGGAAAGTTAACACTTTTTTTGTTGGTCAATACTTTGATTCCCTTGAAAGTGAAGTTTGGGATTTTCAGAGAAGGTGTTTCTGTGAGAATTTGAGGATTTTTCAAATATTCTTTTGAAAAATCTCCCAAGAAGTGTCCGTTTCGAAGGTTAATATCTGATATTCAAAATATCAAGTTTCGAAGTAGAGGTAGGGAGCGCACCAAAATTGACGACTTTTCGGTTGAAAAACTGGTTTGAAGCTCTTTTAGTGAGCAAAGCGCTAATTGAAAAATTCATTTTTTACTTGCTTATGTAATTAACATCGCTCTACAAAACTAAATAACTTTCAAGTCCAGCAATTTTTGAAATTTAACCCAAAAAAGAAGAAAACTGCCACTTCAAGTCGATAGAGTTCCCAAAACAAACTCGTTTCACAAAACTACATGCGTTTCACATCTAAATTTTGGATATGTTATTCATTATGCCATCCTTCGAAAAAAATATTAAAACAAAAAGAATTTTTGGCGGTGCCGAAAAAAATTACGAAGCTTGTAAAGTTACACTCAAAAAAACACAAAAGTTTGGAGCAAAAAAATGCGAAAAAAATTTCAGCGACAACCTAGTGATTTTTCTTTTGTTTAAAAATTGAAAAAAATCTAAATAACGTGAAAACAGAAAAAAACAAAATCAAAAAAACCGAGCAAAAATAAGTTTAAATTTTTTTGTTCACAAAAAAACGCCCGCAAAAAAATGAATTACGTTTTTTTGGAGCGTTTCACAAGAGCAATATCGTTTCACGTTTTCTTTTTGTATATGCCTTTACAATTTTACATTTCTCGAAAAAAAAAAAATAAAAAAAATCTGGCAATGCCGAAAAAAAGAATGAGCATTTTTTTAATGAACCGAAAAACGGTCACTTTTTTTATTTTATTTTTTTGCGCGTCGAGGCGTGTCGTGGGTGTGACTTTGCGCCGTTCTGAAGAAAAATAGGTGTTTTACGGGCAAAAAATGGGAAATCCTAAATTAAACATTCAGAACTTTGTGTTTCTCTATGATAATTGATATTATTTTTCATTCTCTTGTTTATGTAACTGTTAGACTGCCTTCTCTTGATGATTTGAACAAAAAATATCATATAATAGTTTTTTCCGTTGGGGCCAAGGATCCTTTTTTCTTATTTTTCGAATTAATTATTTTTGTAAAAACTTTAAACTGGGTGAATAACAGTTAGAGAGGCATTCTCATCAGTTTTCAACAAAAAACCGATTTAAAAACGGTTAAATATGAATGGAAAACGAGCCAAAACAGTGCGGCGGCAGCCGAAAATTCGGAAAAAGCCAGATTTTTCGGTTTTTTCGAGCGTCACTAAAAGCTTCATAACTAGGCTCAAAATCAAAATTTTTTGAAAAGCTAAACTGATTTGATTTTTGGATAGTATGTTCTATCAGATTGTGTTAATTTCGACTATGCATCACTTTTTTCGAGAATTGGCTTGTGGTGCCTAAGTAGAGGTCAACGAAGACATGTGGCGTATATCGGCGACTTTCCGAATTTCGAGCGGCTGCATTAGATTTAATTTCGAATTTGCAAAGGTTCAAACAAGCCTACAGTATGAATCAGCTCAAAATTTGTGTTTTACCAACTTTCTGATGACCAAATGTTAGGGTTTATAGAGGAGTCTGATATTCCGCTGAAAAAATGTATAATATTTTTCGAAACTATTTTACCTTATTACTATATCAAATTTTACCAAAATGTTTCATTTTTTTTTTGATTCCGAAGCGAGACCTATTGAATCTTCTAATTGTTAATCGCTCCGACAAATGAATATTTTATAGAAAAACTGGGCTCCAAAAAAAGCTTTTTATTCAATCTCAGTTTTTGTTTCAATCAATATTCCAAGCAAATCACCTTCTAAAATTTGAGAAAGAGGATTCATGAATTCCAGGCAACTTCACGATAGATCCACTGCGAGGGAGCAGCACGTTCACGGCAAAACCCTCGACATCGAGTGGCAACCCGGTGTCGGCGTCCGCGACGGCGCTCCTCCCGTTTCCGGTGCCGCCGGCGTCCTCGTCGGCTTCGTCGCGGTCGTATCGTCTGAATCGTCGACATCGACGTCCATAGCCACGCATGTCCCTTGGGCATCGATGTGAGTCTCTTGTTCTTTCTCTGACGCCCTACACAAAATGTTACGCTATTCTTAGGGACCGCAAAGCCACGCCCCTTTTCGCGATAGAAAAAGTGGCTTTTTTTTGGTTTTCAACTTTCATTTTGTTGTAGTTGCAAAATATGTGGAACTGGCTAATAAAATTTGACACACATGTACAAAAAAGCTTCCCCTTTCGTTTAAAAAATATTTCACGCTTTTTTGATGCGTTCTCGCGGAATGTCGTACAAAAACGTAAATGGAACTAAAAAATTTTGTCATTTTTTGCTTTTTCATGTGTTTTCAGGTCGAACGCACTCTTTCTTTTTTTTTATAATGATTTTGATTCAAGTAACGGTAATTTTAAAATAATAAAATAAAAAATTCGTCTTTGCCAAAAATTTTAGGGAGTGTCGAAATAGCCTATTCTTGCACTTCTGTCAGTTTTTGCATTTTTTCGGAATCTGAGGTTCACCACAGATGAAAAATGAGTTTTTTTCACTTTTTTTTCTCACGCAAAGTTCAAACCAGTCCGTTTTTTTCTCTGTCTTGAAATAAACTTTAAATTTTTTGAAAATTTCGAGATATCCGTTCACTCATTTCGGTGACGTCTTTTGAAGCTTGAAAAAAATAAATTTCGAGCAAATTCGGCCAACTTCTTGAAAGCTTTTGGAATTTTCTGAACTCTCTTTGGATGTTTTCGTAAAGGTTTTCGAGTTTTCGCAAATTTACCCGATTGGTCAGATTTTTCAAAAGCCTTTTAGGTTTTCCGATGTTTTGGTTTTGAGAGCTAAGAATTATTTTCATGAGTTTTTTCAAGCCTTTCATTTTTTTAATTTTTCTTTTTTTCAAAGTCGAGCTAGTTTAAAAAAATTTTTTTGGGAGTTGTCCAAAGCTAAAAAAATAATATCCGAGGTTTCGAACATTTTAAATGAGTATCTTTATGAATCATTATTGGAAACACGTTGTGTTTGATCAAATTCATTAAATGCAAAAACGAAAATAAACAATATAATTTACACAAAAATAGAGAGCAAACTACAAAAATAATAATCATTGGAAATAAATAATAAAAAGAATAATTACAATAAATGATACAATAACACAAAAATAAGTCCAATTATGCGATAATTATACGAAAATTGAATAAATCACGGGTTTTAAATTATTTCAACCCAAGGAAGAGACCAGAAATAACATAAGAAACCGTGAAAAAATGTTTGAAATACCTGAGTTGAACTTGTAATTGGGAATGTTTGAAATAAGGGTTTTAAAAAATAGAATAATGGAGCTTAAGCAAAAAAAATTAAGAATAAGGATCGGAAATAGTTTCAGGAAATAATAGATGACAAAAAAATAAAAAAAGGGAGGCAATTTTAAGTAATTAGAGATATTAAAAAAACGTAAGAAATAACTTAATTATTAACTATTTTAAAAATAAAGTTTCTCACGGAGGTCCTCGATGTCTGGAATTTGCGAGACGGCGTACTCGACGCAGCCAACGTGGCTCTTGAGCTCCTTGGCCATCAGGGCGTATATCATGTCGTAACGCTGAAAAATGAGATTCAAAATGGTTAAAAAAACTTTTGAAATTTTTTACATAAGGAACCAAACTCTCGACCTTTTCTTCAAACCTAAGATTTCTCCAGTGAGGAAAAAAAACTCACGCAATTGTGCTGGAATAGAAGTAGAGCATTGTTGAGACGCAGACACTCGTACCGGATTTTTTGGGCCTTTCTCTGGACCTCCAAGGCGATTTGCAGGCCTGTCGTCCGGTAGAGTTGGTCCAGATCCTCCATTTGTGTCTCGATCACGGCCATGTCGTCGTCCAACATCGTTAAAATATTTTGCGCCATTTTCTGAAATTTGTTCTAACGTCTTTAGAGGTTCTAATGGGTTCGGAGGTTTTTAAGACAAACTCAGATGTCTTAAAAATCTCCTATCCTACTTTCGGATCTATATGTTAGTTTGAAAAGATTTCAAAGTTTTTTGAAACTGTTCAAAATACTAAAAAGCTTTTAGACTGTGCGACGTCTTCAGGATGTCTTCAGAAGTCCTCTGGAACTTTTTTGATGGTTTAGAAGTTAGTTAGCGTTTTTTTAATGCTGTCCAAAAGGTTGAAATTCGTTGAGTAAAAAAAAAAAAACTCACTATCATCCATCGAGCGTCGGTAGAAGTGAAATTGTAGACGCCTCGCATTTTTCAACGTCAGCTCAAACTGAAAAAAATAAAAATATTAAAAAAATTAAGTTCTCTATGCTTTTGTAGTTTCATTGCACATTATTTCAAAATTTTCCAAAAGGTTTTTTGAACTTAAAACTTGCACGAAACCTCTTATTTTTTTAGATTAGAAGAAATTTAGAAAAAAATACACTGAATTTTTTTTTGGCTTTCGAAGACCCTTATTTATTTTATTCATTAGTTCTAAAAGCTCACTTTTCTTACTACTCAAGGGTCTCATTTAGAAACTCATTATTGGAAAATGCTGTACAAAACTCACATAAAACGCCAATTTGTCGAACTCCTCTTTAACTTGTTGGTTGCACGTCTTCAGAAGTTGAAGACGTGCCTCCCATCTGTCCAACGCGACCTTCTGTGCCTTCCGGAGGTCGGCCTTCTTCACGATGTTGTCGACGATCGAAGCGATGTTGATTGAGTTCATTGTCCTGAAAATAAATGGGTAAAAAGATTCGAAAAAAAATATTTGTGTAATAGCTTTTCAACAAGAAAATTGTAAGGTAAAAAGTAATATAGAATTTTTTTTCCATTATCAGGTAGGGCTATACAAGAGGAACCGAGAGTTATATAATAAATAAATAAAAAGGTCAAAGCTAGGAAAAAAATAATTTTTTTAATTTCGGTTTGAAAGTTGTTAAATGGGATTTTTAGGCGAGAAAATAAGTCAAAGAAATTTTGTCGGGATACTAAAATTTTACAATTTTCCAGTTTCAGAAGCTGTAAATTTCCAACAGAAGCCTTTTTTTACATACAAGAGTTTGATATAAATACGTTCGAGAATTTTTTTGAATAAAATGGTAAAAAAATTATAGAAGGAAAATGGTAAAATTTTCGAATAAAATTTGAAAAACATGAATATAATCGAAAATATTCGCAGAAAAAAATCAGAACGTAGCGTCTAGAAGCTAAAATTGTCAGAAAATCAAAAAAAAAAACAAGAAAACAAACCTGGAGATGGAATACGAATAATAGTAGAAAGGAGTGGGAGACAAGACGATTGATCAGTTGTTGGAATTCGATTAGGAAAGGTAATCTGGTTACCTGAGAGCTCCTATTTATACTGATTGGTAGACTCCGCCCACAAATTGGGTTCTCATGCCAGAGGGGCTCAGAAACGGTTGGTGCATTCGCACCTTTTGGAGGGTTTCTGACAGGTTTTTGATTGGTATGGTTACTTTTGAAGATGTCAAGGTGTCACTAGAGTGGTTTGGAAGTTGAGTGGAGGTGTCGATGATGAATAATGGACCGGAAAGGGAAAAGTAACACCTTTTTCTACGTTTCCATGCCTCTGGGTAGAGAAAATTGAGAGCTGCAATAATTAGAGACCGTATTTTTGTGAGATATTCAGAATTTTTCATATATTCCTTCAAATAGTCTTTTCGGAAGCTTCCGTTTTGAAGATAGAAACTTGAAATTCAGGATATTGGTTTCGCAAGTTCCAAATCAAGTTCTAATAATAATGCCAATTTTTTAACAGAGGTAAATCTTCAAAAGTTTGCAGAAAATGAAAATAACGTATACCGCCTTTTTCAGTCTGCCGCCTTTTTCTCAGTCTACCGCCTTTTTCTCAGTCTACCGCCTTTTTCTCAGTCTACCGCCTTTTTCTCAGTCTACCGCCTTTTTCTCAGTCTACCGCCTTTTTCTCAGTCTACCGCCTTTTTCTTTTGCGTGCGGTTGGCTCTTTTTTTCTCTACTTTTTCGTGGCCCTTTTTCACCCTTTGTTTTTGGGACTATGGGTCAGCCTCGGGAAAAGCGTCCGGCTCCATCTGCAGATGACTCATTGAGTTCTGACCCTAATCTGGATGATGAACAAAATTTCCGAACTTTATTGGCTCAAGTGGTCGCTGACAATAAAGTGCTCAAACAAGCCTATGAAGATTTGAACTCCCGTTTGTCTCAATTTCTAGAGATAAACTCTGGTCTCGTCGCTGAGAATTCTCGTCTCGTATCCGAAAATGAAGCTCTACGAAACCTCAATCGCTCACTTCAGCAAAATACTCGCTCCTCTACACCAGCCAAATCTTCGCCAACGCTGCCTGACAACCTTGCCCGACTTTCATCTCAAGTCAAAATGACCCATGAGCTTGCGTCAATGAGAAAAAAAGCTTTCAAGCAGTCATAGAACGCCTTGACGACTCAAAAAAACTCCTGCCCAGGACAAGAACGACAGAGATTTCGTCGACGCCATATGTGCTGAAGCCGGTATTCCGTGCCCGGATGAAGTTTTTTTCGACACCAGTGTGATGCCAAACGCAGGCCGCTGAAAATTCGATTCGGTTCTACTTACAACCGTGATATTTTCATTCGTCGTTTTCGCCATTCTGTTCCGGTCGTCAGTCTCTCGTGTCCCATGAATCCTCGCTGCAGACGCGACATGACGCTAACGGAGTTATCCCTTCTCCGCTCCCTGAGAAAAAAGGCTTACGAAGATAACGCTAAGGCTGGAATCTTTAAGTACTTTGTTAGAGACCTTGAAATCGTCGAAACTGATAAACCTAGAAAGTTTGTAGTTTCAACGAAGATCAAAGATCCGTCCATTGTCATTTCCCCGTCTTCAGCGCCTTCTTCCTTGCCTGAGGCAAATGAAATGGAACAATAGGATCTCGTCACTACCGCGCTTTCCGATTCCGTTTTGCCCTACCAGTCCTCCCCCCACACTCACCTACCCACCAGCCGTGGACCCGCTTGTGATCCTCCTCCATTTTCTTTATTTTCTACCCCACACACGGTTGGTTACGGTGAGTCTGAGTCCTTCATGGTGACTCCGTCGATTTCGCGGCCCGAACGTTTTCCTCTTGCTATTTTGCCTCAAATTCCTGTAAATACTAATGATTCTAATTTCAATGTTATTCCTAATGTAAATATCCCTAATACTTATGTCAAATTGACTAACTCTTTTGTAAAAACGTCTAAATCATTTGATTCGCTAACATCTGATCAGAATAACTCGAACAACCTTAAATGTCTTCTCATAAATGTTCGCTCCATTAGCTCTGTGTCTAAGTTTAAAATTTTGATAACTTACTTGGATTTTGAGAACTTTGACCTTTGTTTCGTTTCTGAAACGTTTCTGAACAACTCTTGCGTCGATTCTTTACTAACTAATGATTTTTACTTTCATATTCGATGTGATCGACGTCCTGAACACTACAAGAAATCGGGAGGAGGCGTGTTAATTCTCTACAGGAAAAGTCTGAAAATCATCGAGTTGGATGCCAGGTTGGATGATTTTTACTCGAAACATTTCTGCGAAATAATCTCTTTTGATCTTATATGCCCAGGATATAAATTTCGTTTCAATCTAATCTATAGAGCACCGGACAGTAGCAGCGAGTACACAAAATTTCTTATAGAAAATTTGTCTTTTCTTCTTGGATCCTCTAAAAACATTGTTCTTGGTGACCTTAATCTTCCTAACGTCTCCTGGAATGGAGATAATGCTAGTCATACTAACCAAATGTTTCAATTTGCTTCGAGCTTCAATTTAGACCAATTAGTTGATTTTTCCAACTAGATTTTTCTTCGAGTGGTACTAACACTATCCTTGATGTCTTACTCACAGATTGCAATCTCTTTTTGTCCTCAATTTTACCTGTTAACCCTCCAATTGCTACCGATCACATAGGAGTTTCCTTTCTTCTGAAAAGTGACACTCATCGTGCTATTGACTCAGCCAGACCTAGAAAAAATTACCGCAAAGGTAATTATATTGCTATTAACAACGCTTTATTTTCTTATAATTGGCCCAGACAATTTTCTTTCTTTTCTACCTTTGAAAACAAATACCAACATTTCTGCAATATTTTCAATGAACTAATAAATCAATTTTGTCCTTCCAATCCTCCTTTCAGACCTAATCGCTCTCGTTGTAGTATAAGAAGTCTCATTAGAAACAAAGCTGGCTTGAGAAGACAAGGGCTTCTTACTTTCACCCAGAGAACTAGGTTCAACTCCTCGCTTTCTCGTCTCAAAAATAGGGTTAGGCTCCTGCTCAAACGCAAAGAACTTGATGTTGTTCGTTCTGGAAATCCTTCATCTGTAATCAAATATGTTTCTAAAAAACTTAAATTGAAACCGACCATACCTCATTTAGAGCACAAAGGCACTTATTGTATGTCCAACATTGATAAGTCATCTGCCTTTCTTGACGTTTTTTCTACTAACCGCAACTCAAATAATTTTGAAATTCCTTCCATTTTTCCAACCGGCAAACCATTTTCTGTTCATCCTGATTTTTCTCCTCTCAACATTCATAAATTCATTTCTAAATTGGCTCCAAAAACTGGCTTCTCATCTGATCTCATGAATTTCTATGTGTTAAAGCAGTGTAGAGAAGCCCTCTCTGTTCCGCTGTCAATTCTCTTCACAGATTCATACTTCTCTTGTATTGTTCCCCAATCTTGGAAACTCTCATACATTGTTCCAATTTATAAAAAAAGGAAAAAAAGGCTGATCCTGAAAATTATAGACCTATAAGTCTAACCCATCCTCTGGCAAGACTTATGGAGCGAATAATTGCCACTCACATAAAATCAAGCTTCAAACTCAAATTTTCTTCCCGTCAGTTTGGTTTTCTCAACAATCGAAGTTGTACACTTGCTCTCCTTGACTCTGTTACAAACTGGAAACTTTCTATTAGTAGGGGATTACCAATCGATGTCGTTTATTTTGATTTCATGAAAGCTTTTGATTATGTCCCACACAACCTTCTTATTACCAAACTAGAAACTTTCGGATTCCATCCTACCATGGTCAAATGGTTTAAAACTTTCCTCTCTGGCCGCACATCTAAGATTTTAATTGATGGTCTTGCTTCTGATGATAGCTTCAACGTGGTCTCAGGAGTCTTACAAGGCACTGTCACTGGCCCGCTTCTTTTCCTAATTTTTGTCAACGACCTCCCAGATATCTTTGATTCTTCCGTTACTTCATATTTGTTCACCGATGACTTGAAAATCTCTTCAGATAACCCTGATGCTATCCAAGACAGTATAAATAGATTGCTCGATTGGTCCAAAAACTTGGGGCCTCCCAGTTGCGGCCAATAAAAACTGTTGTTCTTCATCTAGGCAGAAACAATCCTGAACATGTTTACAATGTTAATGGCTCACCTATTCGATCTGAAACTGTTGTCAGAGACCTCGGTCTCCTTATCGATAAAAATTTGTGTTTCTGCCCTCACATTAATCATGTAGTCAACATTGCCACTCTCAAATCTAAACAGCTGCTCAAAGCTTTTGCTCACTTGAACATCCAGCAGTATAATTTACTATTCAACATGTACGCTAGACCCTATCTTGACTATTGCTCTGAAATCTTCTCACCGCCTATAAATTCAGAACTTTCCGTCCTCCTTGAAAAACCTTACCGTCATTATACTAGGCAAGTTTTTCATGAGACGTAATAAATCCTTTGACACATACTCCCATCGCCTTGATGTACTCGGTTCTACTCATGTTTTTCCGTAGGAGAACTTCTATTGCTCTAGTAACGCTTCAAAAAAATCGTCCTGGGCATTTACCACTTTCCTAGCGCAGAAAAAGTTTTTTTCAGTAGAAGTCGTTCACCTCGGTATCCTTTTTCGTTTGATTCAGACTGGTTCCCGATTTAATAGTTTTTTTTAGCACTGTCATTCCTCTTTGGAATAGACTCTGCTCAAGATTCAACCCTAACACGTCTACCACCCGTTTCAGAAAGTTTCTCGACTCGCTAAGCAACGAAGAACTCTTTTTCCAACATTCCCTTACGTCTACTGTGATCAAAAAAATCCTTCTACGTGTTCTATTCCCTATACCGGTAAATTCGCTCGTGAGGGCGTATTAAAAACCGGTGCTCATTTCACTCCCATACAATTCTTGCCCAACTTTGCCTCTTTCTTTGTAGCTCATGTTATTTTATGTATTGGAGTGAAATAAATAAATATTCAATATTCAATAACGTAAAAAAATTTCGGAGATTTTGATATAATTCTTAATTTGGAAATTAAAAAAAAATACAATGCGTCATAACTATAGACGCACCTTTTTTTCGCAGTTTTTCAAAAAAATATGTCGAAATTTTTTTGCAATGAAACCAGTTTCATGATGAACCTGGGGGAACCAAAATGTGTCCAAAAGAATATCTTTCGAAATGGATCGAGGGTATGCGAATTATGTCCATCGTGAGACCTCCAGCATACCATTTAGCTAGGGACCACAGACCTATTTTTCGAACTCAAGTTAGCTTCTCGTTTTTGTTATAAAAATAATGATTTTAACATTTAGTATGCGAAAATAGAAAAGAAAAACGAAAAATATTAAGGATAAGAGGAGAAAAAAATATTTAAAAGTAAAACTTTTTGCACTAAAAATTTGGTTTTGCGAATTCTCATGCAATCTGCGCGCACTCTTATTTGCAAGGGCGGCACGGTTTCAGGAGCCAAAAGAGAAGGTTTTACGAGAATTAATTCCACTTTACCATCACTTTCGTCTCAGTGACTGCACAAATACAGCCTACAGTGCTCTTTGAGTCTCATGAAAATGTAATTTCGCCCACTTTTATTCACCTTTTTTGTTGAAAAAAATCTTCCGGCGATCTTGAATTTTCGATTGGTTTATTTGAAAAAAAAAGAAAACTCGAACCTGTTTCTTGATCCTTTTTCCAAATTTTTTTTTAAAGTTTTTTTTTTCAATTGCTTCTGGTAACTTCAATGATCCTTGCTTTGAGCTTATAGAGAAACATTTTCCGAAAACTCGAAAAACCTGTACTTTTCTTTTGTGATTTATATTTCTTGAGCGCATTCGAAAAAAACGTTTTTTTAGTCAAGTTTATTGAAAGGAAAAACGAAAAATCAACAATAGAAAAATACACGAAATAGGGCAAAAGTTAAGAATTAATAATAAAAGGACACAGAGGACCGCAGAAATAACAAATAATACAAGAATACGATGAACCAATACTTTGTGCAGATTGCGGAATGGCGAATAAACACGTGAAATGAAATGAAATAATTAATACAATTGGGCACTTGAAAATATACCAGTAATGTAATAAGGAACCGTGAGAAGATAATGAGAATGTATCTACCACGTAATTAAGATATGTGAAAAAATAGTAAAATAACTCGGAGCTCAAAAAGTGATAATTACAAATAATGAAAGAAGATGACTTTACAGTTCAGGAAATAATAAGGGGTATGAAATTAATCCATTAATAGTCACAAAAAAAAGCAAAGGGAACAATAATATAAATTTATTTAATAACTTTCAAAATGGAGCTTTGACGAATTTCCTCGAAGCTTGGGACTTTGAAAAATGGCGTATTGAAGACGTCCCAAGTTGCTCTTCAGTTCCTTCACCATCAGGGCGTAGATCATCTCGTATTTCTGGAAAAAAGTTCGATTGAACAATAAATTCTTAAGTAAATGATGGATTGAATACTCGTCGAAACCCTATTTGGATCCTGATACCTATTTCTTGATGGTATTTCATAAAAATGGAAAGTTTTAGATGGAGGAGAAGGCTTCTTACGCTTAGAATATTGAAATAAAAGCGATATTCTTTCAAAAATCAATTCAAAAACTAACGCAGTTGTGTTGGAAGTGTAAAAGCGCTTCATTGAGTCGGAGGATTTCTTGGCGAATGTCGAACGCCTTTTCCTGGGCCGTCAAGGCGACTCCTTGGCCAGTCCTCCGATAAAGGTCGTCCAGCTCCATTATTTCCTTCTCGACGACGACCAGTTCGTCGTCGAGCGTTGTGAGCATCTTCTGGGCCATTTTCTGAAAGCCAAAAAGATTCTAGAAGTCAGACTTTAGAAAATTCTCAATGTTGCGCTAATTGCTTTTAAAGGTTTTAGGATTTTCTTAGGGGTCTTTGGAGATTTTGGAAGCTTGCAAAGTTCGATGTAGCCCTCTTACGCTTTTAAAAAAGTTTTTGGTCTTGAAACCATATGTAAGGGATTGAAGATTGCTGAAAAAATAATCGAAAGAGAAAGACTCACAATCATCCAATGCGCATCAGTAGACGTGAAATTATAGACTCCTCTCATCTTCAATGTCAGATCGAACTGGAAAATATCAATATACTTGTTTTTAGAGTTGAGTAGTTCTTAAAAAATGTTTTTCATCCCAAAGACTGGAGATTTTGGGACTTTTCTTAGTTTATTTGAACTTCTAGGGGTGTAGTAGTTTTATTCCAGACTCTGATTTTTAAGGTTTCGGAACTTTTTATGAATCTTTGTTTTTGTTGTTTGATCCGACCCCAAAAGTTTTGAGACCCTTCAAACCGTTTCCGACTCGAAAAAAAAAGTTTTTTCAAAAAAATCTCAAGTTGTCATTTTTTTTTAGCAGTTAGATAGTTTTTTGGAACATTTTTTTTCATTCTAAACATTTCCAAGTTCAGCCGAAACTCATTTAAAAAAACTTCTCAATTTTCAACTGAGCTTTCTAAATGAAAAAAAAAGTCGAAACTCACATAGAATTGAAGCTTCTCGAACTCCTGCAGTACTTCTTGGTCACACGACTTCAAGAGTTGCAGGCGTGCTTCCCATCGCTCGAAGGCTATCTTTTGGGCTTTCTTGAGAGTCGCCTTCTCGACGATCTTCGCCACGATCGATTCGATATTGATAGCTTCCATCGTTAAGACTGAAAAAGGTTTGATTAAGGGAAGAATCGTATAAGGAGAGAAGAAAGAACTGAAGAAATTATTCATTGGGAAACTGAGATGAAGTTTTACAGAAGGATCAAAAGAACAAAGAAATAACGAAAAAAAACCAACCTGAATGTCAGAATAACAATAATAGTAGGAATAAGTGGGATACAAGACGATTGATCAGTTGTTGGGATTCGATTAGGAAAGGTAGTTTGGTTACCTGAGAGCCCTTATTTATACTGATTGGTAGACTCCGCCCACAAGTTGGGTTCTCATGCCGGAGGGGCCCAGAAAGAGAGAGAATTGTCACACCTTTTTAGAAGATTTATGTCAGGTTTGTAATTGGGATAGTTACTTTTGAAGGTGTGAAGGTGTCACGAGAAGGGTTTGGAAGTTGAGCGGAGGTGTTGATGGGAAATTGACACTTTTTCCGAAGCTTTGATGCCTCCGGGTAGTGAAAATTGAGAGCTGAAGCGACCAGAGAAGTATTTTGTAATTAGGGCTTTTCTTCATCGTTCGCACAAAAACTGTTTGAAAGTGCCGATTACTTGAAATGGAGTAAGAAGAGTCCATTCTTATCAGACTCTGGTTTCAAAAAATGACCCTTACAGGGACTTCCAAGGGCTTCACGGCCATCCAACTCGACATGAAAATACCTGGAATGCGTCGGAAACAGCTCAGTGAAGCCATGGCTGCTGGCCAGAAGGGCGTCGATTTTGTCCTGAATGAAATGAACGCCGTTCGGAGCAAACCTCGGTTCGTACTGGTTTTTGTGAGCTTCAAAGAGAATTTTAAGTTGTACTTTGAGAAAGAGGAGCTGAAATCGAATAGAATAAAAAAAAGTTATTTTTCACGGAAATGGGGCAATCTTTTAATTTTTTTTTTTCGCCAAAGTTATTAGGAAAGGTAAAATAGTTCCTAGGGAACGGATTTCGAAGATTTTTGAACTAACACGGGAAGTGCGAAAGGTCTAGAAACTTTGTATATAGGTTCTTTTTGAAATTTTATTCATTAAACTTTTTTTTCAAGAAAAAAACTGAACAAGAAAAAGGTGGAACAAAAAATCTTGCTCAAAACGACATAAAATCGGTAATTTCAACATTTTGAGCGTTTTTTTTTTTCAATCCATCTGTAAAACTTCATCATCTTTCCAAGAAAAAAAATGGCAAAAAAAAGTTGCACCAAAAGGATTCGAACCTGCATCATAGGTTCCATAGCGCAAGGCCGCTAGCCACTACACCACGCCGCCTGCTGACAGCTAGGGTTAACCGCCGCAAGACATACACTCCTCCCGTCCAATGCATTTTTTGCGTGCAAACTTTGAGGCGCCATAACTCGACTAGAACCAAAAAGGCGCACTTTTTTTCAACTTCTTTGGTTTCAGGGTGTTCGAAAGTACCTATGTACACGGTTCCATTTAATTCCAATACCTCGACCTTTTGCACTTCCCGTGTAAAATCTAATTAATAAATGAAATTTTTTTATTGAAACTTTGAACTGTTCGAAAATTTTCCGACACACGAACTTTTCAAGCTTCAACGTTCATAAAAAAGAATAATTTTCCAAAAATGGTTTGAAAAAGGAATATTTTTAGCGAGCAAAGGGCGAATTTTTTTCAGAAATGGAGCTTATAATTAGGGTCCGCAAGCCATTTCTTCAAAACGATCCAAAAAATATGTTTTTCACACTGTTCGATAGAGGAGACTGTCCATTTTCATATTCCGTTTGGTTTTAGAAAAAAGCTCCACTAAGAAAAAAGTTATGGCCAAAAAACTAGCGCGCGCGGCGTTCAACTGGAGGCAAAATCTCACGGTTTACCCGCTGCCGCACGCTTTCTTTTTAAATGTTTTTGCGCGTTTCAGGACCGTTTTTAAATCGGTTTTCTGCTCTGAGAGGTTGTCCGGACTGAGCCTCATGTTTTGGTATGAAATCTTTTGTACAATCCTCATAAGAATTTTTTTGATAAAATATCAAAAAAACTACTTAGAAAAAGGTCAGAAGGAATTTTCAGCTTATTTTTTTCTTTTTACTAATGAGAAAAAAATTATTATCATTTGGTTTGAAAAAAAGAAAAAAATGAAAAAAATAATGTTATTTCGAAATAAAACAGGAAAAATGTGCAATTTGACTCCGAAAAAAACGGCTCCTGCGACATTTAAAATGGCGTATCGGTGTGTTTGACGCAAACACAGATACGAACGCTTGCACGAAATCTTCCAAAAATTTCAAAAAAATTGACATTTTTTTCGAGGTTTTTCAAAGCCGTTCTTTTTTCGCGTCGTTTAGATTTTTTTCATAATTTTTTTTCATAGATAGAGTTTTTGAACGCTTAATAACATAAAGCAAAAAAATATAGACGCGATCCTATTCTCTCATGCGACAACGAGGCAGACGAAAAAAAGGAGGTTTTTGGTAAAACTCAAATATAATTTGATTCGCTGTCCCAATAATTATTTTCATTCTGAATTTTTTTATTTTCTGAACACATTGTGAGTTTTTAAATCAAATAAAAAGTATACCATGTCGCTGAAATTTTTTCGCATTTCAGCTTCAAATTTTGATGTCACTTTACAAGCTTTCGATTTTTTTCGCGTTGTTAGATTTTTTTAAATTTTTTTATTCAAAAAAATAAAGAAAGTGTTAATGTATAACACACTCAAAAATTTAGAAGCGTTCCTCACTTGGTTTTCTGAAACGCGACGATTTTGTGAAACTTGTCAGTTTTTTTCGAGTTAAGTCCTACTTTTTCGCTTATTTATGAAAAATACATGGTTTCAAAAAGATTCCGTCTTGAAGAGCGTTGTCGATTACATAAGTTTTCAGAAATAGTTATTTTTTAAGATAGAACTTTAGTTAGTATAAACGCCTCAAAACCGTTTCTGCAACAAAAAAATCGTCATTTTGGTGGCATGAAGGGGCGGGGCTTTGCGCCCCCTACTTATAATGCAAAAATGATTGAGACGGCGAAAAATTAGACGAGTAGCGAGAAATTTCAACGCGTTCCAAAAAAAACCTTTTCGAGTTTCATGAAAAAAAATTTTTTTTCTAGTAATTTGTAATCATCTACATAAAGATACATGACTCTTATTTTTTATCGGAACATAACTAGGGTCCGCAAGCCATTTCTTCAAAACGATCCAAAAAATATGCTTTTTACACTGTGCGATAGAGGAGACTGTCCATTTTCATAATCCGTTCAGTTTTAGAAAAAAGCTCCACTAAGAAAAAAGTTATGGCCAAAAAACTAGCGCGCGCGGCGTTCAACTGGAGGCAAAATCTCACGGTTTACCCGCTGCCGCACGCTTTCTTTTTAAATGTTTTTACGCATTTCTGAACCGTTTTCGAATCGGTTTTCTGTTTTGAGAGGTTGTCCGAACTGAGCCTCATGTTTTGGTATGAATCTTTTGTACAATCCTCATAAGAATTTTTGACAAAATATCAAAAAACTACTTAGAAAAAAGGTCAGAAGGAATTTTTAGCTTATTTTTTGTTTTTCTAATCTGAAAAATTATTATCATTCGATTTGGAGGAAAGAAAAAATGAAAAATAATGTTATTTCGAAATAAAACAGGAAAAAGTGCAATTTGACTCCAAAAAACGGCTCCTGCAACATTTAAAATGGCGCATCGGTGTGTTTGACGCAAACACTGCTACGAATGCTTGCACGAATTCTTCCAAAATTTCAAAAAAAATTGCCATTTTTTCGAGGTTTTCAAAGCCGTTCTTTTTTTCGCGTCGTTAGATTTTTTTCATAATTTTTTCATAGATAGAGTTTTGAACGCTTAATAACATAAGCAAAAATATAGACGCGATCCTATTCTCTCATGCGACAACGAGGCAGACGAAAAAAGGAGGTTTTGGTAAAACTCAAATATAATTTGATTCGCTGTCCCAATAATTATTTTTCATTCTGAATTTTTTTATTTCTGAACACATTGTGAGTTTTTTTAAATCAAATAAAAAAAGTATACCATGTCGCTGAAATTTTTTTCGCATTTCAGCTTCAAATTTTGATGTCACTTTACAAGCTTCGATTTTTCGCGTTGTTAGATTTTTTTAAATTTTTTTATTCAAAAAAATAAAGAAAGTGTTAATGTATAACACACTCAAAATTTAGAAGCGTTCCTCACTTGGTTTTCTGAAACGCGACGATTTTGTGAAACTTGTCAGTTTTTTTCGAGTTAAAGTCCTACTTTTTCGCTTATTTTATGAAAAAAATACATGGTTTCAAAAAAAGATTCCGTCTTGAAGAGCGTTGTCGATTACATAAGTTTTCAGAAATAGTTATTTTTTAAGATAGAACTTTAGTTAGTATAAACGCCTCAAAACCGTTTCTGCAACAAAAAAATCGTCATTTTGGTGGCGTGAAGGGGCGGGGCTTTGCGCCCCCTAAACATAACTGTCTTGACTTCTTCGAAATTCGTTTCTTTGATTTTGACCCAAAAAGGGAAAATCGTTGGACTAAACGGCAACAACTCTCCTGAGAACTTTTATTGGTATAAACAAGAACATAATTAAATGAAGGTTTTTTTCTTCGTTACCATGGGGCTTCATATTTATCCTCTTCCTCGCTCGTTTCATTCCTATGAGGATAGCTGGCGAATCCTGGAATCATTAAAGTTAACAATATATATTCGCGGGGAAATGCTCAACTTTTCTTTTCTCTTTTTTATGAGGGATCAGAATATCTGCTTGAAACAAAGCTTCTTTTTTCGTAAGAAGACACTTTCAGATTTTTGAAAAGCCACGGTTTTAAATCTGTATGCGCACGCTTATTTACAAAGAAAGTTAAGATGGACTAAAGTGCGTCCGCCGCGACTCGACATTATCGAGTGTCTGCGTCTCTCTGTTCCCTCACCGACGAGGTCACAGAAACGGGAAAATAGCGCGTCAGCGAGAGAGGGTCGTCAAGAGACGAGGAGGGCGCAGAGAAGACTATAAGAATTCTTCGAGAATGACTTAACTGTTTTGCCGCGGCATTCTAGAATAACTTGACGATTGGCCAAATCCAGAATTGTTTCGATAAGCGTACGGGGGTGGTAACGGACGGATTGTGGGGTTTGGAGAACGTGCGCCAAACATGGTCGATGGATTTATTCGACGCGCGAAGTTCATAACGTGGATACTTTTTTCTTGGCTTCTGGCTCTGGGCTCTCGGCTTGGAAGCATCGTCGATCTTTGCAGTTCCAAATCGGCCTTTGGTTGTTGAATTTCTTTTTCCTTCACCATACTCTCATCGCTTTTTTCTAAAGCACTGGAAAAAAATTCTTGAGTGGCCGTGGGTTTCTCTGTCGCGGATTCCTTCTCGCTTTTTTTCATATTCCTGTTCATTTGAGCAATCCGGTCTTCCTGCTCCCTCGCTTCTCGATTTCGTCGGACTTCTTCTCGCTCACTTGCCTCCTTTCTTGCCGCTGCTTCACGTCGACGCCTCTCTTCTTCCAATCTGTCATTCTCTTCCTGTTTCGCGAGTTGCTCAGCAAGTCTCCGATCGTTCTCCTCGTCGATCCTCCTTCCTTCTTCTTGCAATGCTTCCAGCTCGCGATTTTTCTCTTTTCTTTTTCTTTCTCGCTCTTCTCTTTCTTCTTGCAGCCTTTGCCGAGTTTCTTCCGTTTTTATCCTGTTCCGCGCCGCGTAGTCGAAAGACGACTCTCGAAGTTGAGGAACTATACTCGCTTCAGGGATCACTCGTACTTCATTCCGTTGCCTTTCCTCTTCTCTCCTTGTGAGTCTTTCTTCCCAGTCTCGGAGCCTTTCCAGTTCTCGTTGGTGTTTTTCAGTCTTTCGCTTCATTTGTTCTTCGTTCCTTCTCAGATTCGCCTCTCGCTGTCGATGATTTTGAACGATTCTGGATTCTTCCCCATCCAAGTCGACCTTCAGCTGTTGTACTTCTTTCTCCTTAGCCTTGTTCTCTTCGCTTTTTTTCATGGCGATGGAGAAAAGTTCGTGAGCAGCTGCGAGTTTCTTGGTTGCGTCTTTCTTCTCGTTTTCAACATCCTTCCAGCCCGAGTTCAGTTTTTCCTTCTCTTCTTCTAGAGCCTCGTACTTCCTTTTCAAGTCGGCTTTATCCTTCTCAACCATTTCCTTGTCCATTCTCATCGCTTCAAGATCGCCTTTGATTTTTGCCTCTCGCCTTTCAAAATCCTTGAGCATTTCCGATCTCTCCCGTTCCAATTCGACCTTCCGTTTCTCCAAATCTTGTTCTATCGGTTTGTAGTGTGCTTCCACTTTTCTTGCTTCAGAAACCACTTTTTTGACCTCTTCGAACTGTTTCTGTAGCTTCTCCGTCTGAGCCTCAACCGTGTCGGTTCCAATTTTCAGCTTCTCCCACTGATCTAAGAGCTGGTCCTGTTGACTCCAAATGGATTTGACGTTTTCCTGATTCCGAAGCGCGTCTTTTTTCAACTGTTCTGCTCTCTCATTCAGCGTATTCTCCAGGCTGTTTAGCCTCGCTTCGGTTTTCACCACAAGTTCGCATTTTTTGATGAAATCTTTCCGGTCCTCCGACAGCTTTTTCTTCCCTTCCGTCAGTTCAGTGGTCAACTGAGCTAGTTGTGATTCCTTTTGAAGTAAAACTGTCTCAAATTGTTTCAAAGCTCCCTCGTTAATTTTCAATTTCTCCTTTGCCTTGAGAAGTTTCTTCTCTTCTTCTTTTATAGATCCCGCTAATTTTCGATCTTCTTTGACCTGGATCTCATGCTTCGATTTTTCCATTCTGAGCAAATCCTCTCGAGCTGCGCAAGCTGCATCTTTTTCGGCGAGTTCTTTCTCGGTTTTTTCGATTTTCTCTCGATTTTCCTTGAAAACCTTCTCCAAACTTTCTTCATTCGCTTTCAACTTTTCTTTTAGTTTTGTCAGCTCGTTCTTCTCTTTGAAAAGTTGAACACCTTGTGCCCGCAGATTTTCATCGAGCCAATTGAAATACTCCTCCTTTGATTTCGATTCCTCGCCAGCTTCCACGATCTGCAACTGTTTTTCGATTATATCAGTAGTATTCATCACTTTTTTGATTTTTCAACTGATTTTGTGTTCTCTATTGTGGAGAATTTCAAAGAAAAATTATCTTTTGACCTAAATGAATGTGTTACAGTAGGAATACTATCTCTCTCCGTTCTATTGTATTCATGTGTGAACGATGCTCTCGGCGTGTAATTGCTCCGGCAGACACGCCTGTATCTCACTTGGTTCCCCTGCACGCGTCTTGGCCACACGCGTGTGAGGCTCACGAATAAAGACTTCATGACAGTCTGCCTTCAACACGTCTAAAAGCTTACACGCAAGAGCCGGTGACCCTTCCGGTGTAACATGGAGGTCCCGACCGAAGAATAAGCCGCTGTGGCTTCACCATTTCTATCTCTTCTTCCCAGCCGCTTTTCGTGGTGAAATTCCACGACGAACTCGCCTTTTTCTACTCGTCCGCAGTTATTCTTATTTTGTTCGGTTCAACCTTGGCAACGACCCACTGATTTTTCGCTTGCGAAGCTCTACGAAGCCAGAAGCCGCAACCCGAGCCGGTCCCAGACAGCGACGACTTCATCGACATTTTGTACAAGTATATTGATCATTGAGCATCATTTGATTCATTTTGATTACGCGATTTAACGGATGGGAAGGAGGGATGAGATTCAGTGTTATCGCGAGGCCTAGGGAGCCCTTATATGTCGATTCTGACCGTATATTATAGTTCAATTGTTGGTTTTTTTTTTCCGCTGTCTGGCTCGGTTTTTACTGTCGTTCTGCCCACCGATGTAGTTTATTTAAAATAGTTTTCCTCGATTTAAATGTATTACCACTTCTTTGACCGGATGCGCATGGTGCCTTGTTCTTTTTACAGGGCCACTAGATTAAATTCATGCGACTAAATCGTTGTGTAATTCTATCTGTTGACGAGTAGACCGTGTTGTTGTGTTTGACTTCATTGCAGCCAATTTTCGTTCATGTATCTATTGTAACTCTACCAATTATCGTAATTTTCTTCCGGATCACCCATTTTCGTATCGACTTTCTTAATTTGTGAGACTCTTCCCAAAGATCAGTCCTACTTAGTTCAATTGTCTAACAATACAAGCTCCGGGACGAAGCTTTTTAGGGAAAGCGGGATGTTACAGTAGGAATACTATCTCTCTCCGTTCTATTGTATTCATGTGTGAACGATGCTCTCGGCGTGTAATTGCTCCGGCAGACACGCCTGTATCTCACTTGGTTCCCCGGCACGCGTCTTGGCCACACGCGTGTGAGGCTCACGAATAAAGACTTCATGACAGTCTGCCTTCAACACGTCTAAAAGCTTACACGGAAGAGCCGGTGTGACAAATGGCTAAAACAGCGATGGAAGCTGTGAAAAGTTAAAGACATAGCGGCAGTAAAAAAAACGTGGTTTGAAACAAATTTTCCATTTTGTAAAACTCTTCATTGCCTGTCGAACGGCATACTTCAAAATGAACTGAATATTCAATTTCCCAGTAAAAATTATTTGAAAACGGAGAGAAAAAAGCTTGAATTCCCGCCAAAAGGCGTTTGCAGTAAAGTTGCTCTATGGAGAACACGCTTTGTCATTTTTCTGATTTTCGCTTTTTTTTTCTTTGTTTCTTTCAAATTTCTTCATAAGAAAGGTCCGTGATTTGTTTCAAATAGCAAAAAAAAAAGAAGACCTCAGTTTCATCCGAAGTTGTGCTCATCTCGCCCAGCGAATTCATTCTTTCAGTCATTATTTTGTTTGCTTCTTTATACTCTTCAATTTTTGTCTCCACGTCCTTCAAATAATCACCGAAATTGAAATTCGATTCTTCTCCATCCTGAAATTAGAAAAATAAAATGAAGCAAAACATTGAAAATCATAAATAAATTGATTTCGTAGATGAAAAAAAAAAAGAGAAACTCACATTTTTGCTCATGTCTTCTTGTTCAGTCTGATTATTGTTTCATGAGGCCACCAAATTTTGCTCTTACTGGAAAAAAAAAATAATCGAGGCTGAGATTAGTTTCGAAGCAAAACGTCACGAATGTTGAGAAATGAATGAACATGAAGCGAAAAATCTTATTCGAGCCATTCCAAATGCGACCAATGTCATTAAACTCAAGGATAAGGATTTTTAGCCCCCTTTCAAAGATTCTTTTTTTCAGAATAATTGAAAAATATCAAAGAACTGTGGAGCATATCACCTCGGAAGTGCGGGAAACGGGTGCAAAAAGGGAGTGACTGCAAAATGGCCGCAAAAAGGGTTCCGTTTTGCGGCCTTTATTGAGCCTTTCTTTCTTGGTGGAAAGGGTGAAGAAAGAGTGAGGGTGCAAAAAAGGTGCTGAAAGTTTTGGCAATCGATGATATTCGATTTTATTATTGTAGCACAGTTTGGTTCAAGTGGCGCGTCGTAGCGCAACAGGTTGTGTGCCTGTCTACGGTCCACAGGGTCAGAAGTTCGATCCCCGCCTCGAATCAACCAAGGGGTTTAAGAAATATTGGTAGTGGGAAAACACGGCTTCAAAATCCCCAGCCGTCACACACAAGGACGGATATGTCACTCGAGCCAGTCCACTGATTATCACTGACCAGGATAGGACCTCGGCTCATTGACTTGGGGCGCCGACGCCGCTCAAGCGGTACAAAGGCGTACATAGGCAAAGTCGGAAGGACCCTTCACGAGCCCTTTGAGCGTCCGTTACAGATCCGTCTGTTTCCATTAATTGTTCCTAAACGGGTGGCAAAGGTTTCCTTTTCACTGCCTTTTTGCGTCCTTTCATCGGCCTTCATCCACCCTTTCTGGACCCTTTTGAGAAATACAATTTTTTTGAATTAAGAATAATCTTTACAAGGGACTGTGTATGAACCAAAATATGCAACAGTAATGAAATCGGAAATTATCAATAGAAGAGAATTTCAGGACCCTTTTGCACCCTCACTCTTTCTTCACCCTTTTTGCGGCCTCTCCCTTTTTTCGCCCTTTTATGACTCTTTTTAGCCCACCAAAAATAAAAGGCTCAATAAAGGCCGTAAAAAGGGACCTTTTAGCGGCAATTTTGCAGTCACTCCCTTTTTGCACCCGTTTTCCGCACTTTCGACTTTGGCAGTGTAGGAAGAAGAAGAAGAGCACAGTTTGGTTCATACACAGTCTCTAGTTCTCCATTTAAAAACTTTTGTCTTTCTGAAAAGGGTACAAAAAGGGTGTATGAAGGCCGATGAGAGGACGGAAAAAGGCAGTAAAAAAGGAAACCGTTGCCACTCGTTTAGGAACAATCAATGGAAACTATGCATCCATAACGGACGCTCAAAGGGCCCGTGAAGGGTCCTCCCAACTTGCTTATGATTTTCTAACAGTTATCAGTTATTTTAGGCCAAAAAGTCAATAATTTCGCGCTTTTTTTTTTGAAAATATGATTTTGACAATAAGCGCCACTGAAGCTTGCAAGGATGGCCCCTATAAAGATTCCATTTAGTGGCCTTTTTATGGAAGCGGGCTAGTTGTCTATTGTTATAAACTCTATTATAAGTACAGTTTCTAAGAAAATCAATAAATTTGGGTTTTGAATGAAAACTTATCAACAATGGATTATTTGATCAATTTTCTTTAAAAATTTTTTCAATTTTCAAAATTAAACAAAAAATTTAAAGACCCTTATAGGGACCACTTAAGGTGATCAGATCCTAAACCCCAAAAGAGGCCACTTGGATTTTATCACTATAGTCTGTGTGCCACGACTTGTAATTTCACCGAACGACATTCCGCTGTTCCGCTGCGTCGCGTTCGCGAAGCGTATTTCGAATCTAGGTCACGCTTTCATTTGATTGCTATTGCTGTGGGAGCACATGAAATTAAAGTACCTAAATAAAAGAGAAAAAAAATTAAAAGCGCGACCAAGGTTCGCAAAGGCGCGCAGCGGAATGTCGTTTGGTGAAATTCCAAGTCATGGCTTTTTTTTTTCTCTCTCACCCCTCTAGGGACCACTCTAGCGTTCCTAAAAGCGAAAGTAATTTCAAAATATTCCGTTCGAAAAAAGGAAAGAATGAGAAAACTTGTGAGCCGAGGACAAAAAGTAAATATGATAAGAACTCCTGCATATGGTCGGCCTAGCAAACTTGTTGATAAGCTTTTTATGGAAAAAAAACCGTTCTGAACACGAATCCTTCAAAATTTTATTGATTATTATTGAAAAAAAAAGACTAATGTGTTTACTCTACATGAGTTGTTGATTCTTCAGGGTCTGTGAACAAATTTTTTTATTTTTTTCCGAAAAATTGAGCCGTCACTTTGACATTTTTTTAACAGTAAAAGTATTATTTAAAAAAGTACCTTATAAATTTTTAGTTGAATAGCATCACGTGAGCGCCAAATTTCAACAGATCAATGATATTTTATTTCAAAAAAGTTCAAATCTTCAAATAATCGGGCCGCGAAAATCGAGCCGTCATTTCTACAGGGCGAGGCGAACAGAGAAAAAAAAATAGTGAAGAAATGGAGGCTCAATTTTCGCCGCCCGATTATCATATACCCAAATTCATTAGTTTTTTTGTATGGTTACCTATTTTTTTAACTATTTTTTTCTGTTGCTTTTTCCTGTAAAAAAAGGTTTTTTTAAATTTCAATGAGTTTGCCCTGAAGCTTGAAGCCCTTATAAACTGAAAATGTGACATCAGAAGTGGATTCCCCTATGTCTTTTCTTTTCATCCAGTCTTACTATGGAACTACTCGAACTCGGGTACGGGTTTCGAGTTCAAAATTTAGGGGTTTATAGACCTAAGTCAGAATACTTGAAAACAAGAGAGAATACCTGCTAAACCCAAAAGAGAACTGAGAAAAAAATTTAGTAGAAAATGTGAAAAATTAGACCTGAAAAATTTTTCAGAATACTGTTTTTTACCTTATTTTATATTTCAATACAATCGCGTTGAATCATCCGGCTATGAGAAACTCTAAAAAACTTTTTTTTTCAGCCAAAAGAAGGAGGAAAGCAAAAATTTGATAGTTTTTAAGCCTTAAATTTTCATTTTCAAAAAGCTTTTTCTCAGAAGCCTATGGGGTTTAGCAGATAATCTCTCTTGTTTCCAAGTACTCTTACCCGGGTCTATAAGCCACCAAAGCTTCAACTTGAAAAGCGTACCCGAGTCCGATTAATTCCCTAGTTAGAGATCTGAAATTTTCAAAATTCCCGCTGATTCAGAATCTGTACTTGGATCTTGTGAAAAGTGATTTCGAAACTTTTTACCACCCATTTTACCAAGCTGATCACGTGACGTCACAAGTGAAACTCTCCAATTTTCCATTCATTTCACGGTAGAATCTCTGTATCATTTATACATAAATTGGCAAAATCGGTATCATATTTATTCAAAACGGAGGTCTGTGGGAAGAGAAATGCTTTCCGATTCCTTTTCCAAACGATTCATCAGAAACTGCACATGGTCCCAGTTGGAATATTCTCCCGCAAAGTCTGACCACTCCAGTAGTTGCTTCAAACCCTTGGCGGTTTCCAAAAGATCGTGAATTTTTATCTGGAAAACTTCTTTTTTTTTTTGAGATAGTCCCGCTTCACCTCAATATTTTTCAGGACGGCAGATCCATTTTGCAATGAAAAACTGCCCAATTTTTCTGCGGCGTTTGAGTAGATCGTCACTAGTTTTGAGCTTTCTTCTAAGGTCGATCTGACCTTTTTCTGAGAAAATTGTTGTAAACTTGTAAAAATGAACATCAAACTCTGGCCGCTTTTTGAAAGATTTCGAATTGGTGGCCTTTGGATGCCCCGGGAGTCGACTTGATCTGAAATTTGGGAAAAGTAGAAGGGTTTCAAAACTGCCTCACCAGAGAGTCGACATCTTCGAGACATTGGAGCAGATCCAGGGTAGAGCATCTCACTTTAGTAAGCTCAGAACTGATCACCTCGCCCATCGAATTTCCTTCCGTTCGAGCCTCCTGCTCCTTCGCTTCTCCGGCTTGGTCTCCTTCAAGAGTCTCTTCCCAATCTTGAACTCGCCCTCCGACTTTTTGCCTCAAGCCCTCTTCTTCTCTTCTCAGAGTTCGCTGTCGAAATGCTTCGAGAATCGCGACCTTTTCCAGCTCCAAATCGGCCTTCTGCCGTCGGATTTCATCTTCCTTCGCCTCGTCCTCTGCGCTTTTTTTCATGGCACCAGTGAACAGTTTTTTGACAGCAGCGTAACGGTTCTTCACGTTTTCGCTGTCCTTTTCGATCCTCGCAATTTCCAGTAACAGATTCTCTCTATCTTCGGCGAGCCGTTGCTCCTGGTTTCTCAAGGATTCAGCTTTTTCGAGGCTCCTTTGACCGTCTTCCTTCATTTGATCTTCCTTCACTCGTCCAGTAACTTTTTTCACTTTTTCTTGTCTAGCTTCTACATTTTTGAGGTCTCCTTCCCAATTAGTCAACTTCTCACGTTCTTTTGACAGTTTTTTCTTCTCCTCTTCTAGGATTCTTTCTTTCTCTGTCTGCTCTTCTTCTTTTCGAACCAGAGCTTCGTGCAACTGTCGCAGAGACTTCTTCTTAGCTTCCAGCTTCTCTTTCAATCCTTGTTCAGGGGTCAACTTTTCGCGTTCTTCTGACATTCTGGTTTTCTCCTCGATCAGCTCGGCTTCCTTACTTTTGAAAATTATTTCCGATTCTTTCAGGAAATTTTCTTTCTTTTCCAACTCGTCACGCTCTTCGGACAGTTTTTTCTTTTCCGCCTCGAGTTCAATTTCAATTTTTGATAGTTTCTCTCTTTTTCGAGCAAGCAGCTTCAGTTGAGATTCAGATTTTTCTGCCAGTTCAGCTTTTTCCACGCTACATTGGCCGTCCCTCTTTACTTGACCGGTGCGTTCATCCAGAGTCTTTTTCAAGTCTTCTAGTCTAGCCTCTTCATTTTTGAGGTCTCCTTCAAAAGTAGTCAACTTTTCGCGGTCATCTGACAGTTTTTTCTTCTCCTTCTCCAGGCTTCTTTCTTTTTTTGTCTGCTCTTCTTCTTTTTGTACCAGAGCTTCGTGGAACTGTCGCGAAGACTTCTTCATAGCTTGTAGTTCATCTTTCTCCAAATCAAGAAGTTTTTGTTGCTCCTTTAAAACTTCTCTTTTTCTCTGGTTCTCCAACCCTTCTTGTTGCAGTTTTTCAGTCATTTCCTTCAGCGTCTTTTCTTGCTCAGCTTTCTTCTCCAGGAAGTCTTTTTCCTTAGATTTCAGCTGATTTTGTTCATTCACCAATTCTTTCTTTTCTCGGTCCAGTTCTTCCTTCAACTTTTCCAGAGTTTTCCTATCATCTTGCAGCTTCTTCCTGTCTTTTACGAGCTTCTTCTCTCGTTTTTCCAGATCCTCGAAATCTCTCTGATATTTCAACTTGTCTTTATCGAGTTTCTCTCCGCGGTCATTCAGCGTCTTTTCCAACTCGTCAAGCTCTTTGGACAGTTTTTCCTTTTCCGCCTCGAGTTCGATTTCTATTTTCTCTCTTTCTTGAGCAAGCTGCTTCTGTTGAGATTCAGATTTCTCCCTCAGTTCAGCTTCTTGTTTTGTAACCATCGAGGATCGCCGATTCAAGGTATCTCTCTCATTTGTCTGCTCTTCTTCTTTTTGTACCAAAGCTTCGTGGAACTGTCGCGAAGACTTCTTCATAGCTTGTAGTTCATCTTTCTCCAAATCAAGAAGTTTTTGTTGCTCCTTTAAAACTTCTCTTTTTCTCTGGTTCTCAAACCCTTCTTGTTGCAGTTTTTCAGTCATTTCCTCCACTCGATCTTTCAACGTGGGTTGACGAGTGTTGAGAGCTTCTTTCTCGGCATTTCTTCGAAGAAATCCCATAGACGTTTGCTTTTCTTTCAATGAACCTTCTTTATTTTCCAAATTGTTCTGTCTGACCCTGAGGAGTTCTCCTTCTTGAAGGAGAAGCGCTTCTTTTCGGCCCAACTCTTGCGTCTTTTCGCCCAATTTCCGTTTAAAGTCCTCGTTCCTTCTCTCTTTTTCGCTCAAACGTGTTTCTCTTTCGTTGAGCGATTTCGACAGTTCCTCCAAATGCTCACGCGTTTTCGTGATTGATCCTTCCCGAACGTTCAGAAAACCTTCTTGCTGATTTAGGTCTTCCCTTACGAACAATTCCATTCGTTTCAAATATAGTTCTTTCTTATCCAGTTCTGCTGATCGTCTTTCCAATCGTTTTTCATTTTCTTCTTGCACCCGTGACCTTTCCTCAAGTCGTCTGATTACTATTCCGAGGGCGCTTTCTCGTTGACTCATCGAAAGGGCGTTGAATTCGTCCTCCAAGCCCATCTGAAACCAAAAATCCTACTATTCATTATTAAACCTCTTCCGAGTGTTTTCTCAGATTTAGAAGTCTAACAGAACGCAAAAAGGTGTTTTTCACCTCGAGAGGAATAATGAAATTTTCCTTTTTTTTTGAAACCCAAAGATGCATACTCGGGCAAAGTCGGAATGGTGGATAGTGGCCGCTAGAAAGGAGAAGCTCAAAAAAGGCTGCAAAAAGGCTGCAAAAAGACAGCAAGAAGGCCGCAAACAGGCCGCAAAAAGGCTGCAAAAAGGCTCCAAAAACGGCAGCAAAAAGGGTGCAAAAAGGCTGCAAAAAGGCTCCAAAAACGCAGCAAAAAGGCAGCAGAAAGAGTCCCTGCATCGAGCCTTCCATTTTTCTGAAATTTTAAAGGCTCAAGAAATGGTGGAAAAAGGGAAAGACTTCAAAAAAGGTGCTTAAGAGCCGGGGGACTGGTGCAAAAAGGCAGCAAAAAGGAGCCTTTTTCCACCCTTTTCTACTTTGCCTCCGTCCTTCAAAAAAGAACTATCCCGCTTTTCAGATCTCTTTCCACTCGAAAAATCAATAAAAAACCCATTACTGGTTTTTTTTTTCTCGCTAGAGCACGTTTACCCGAGAACTTCCCGCCTCATGAACTTTCTAGATGCTCTGAACTCATAAGATTTTATTTGAAATTAAAATAAATATTTTCCGAATTAAAAAATTACCACATACCTTTTCTTCAGCTCCACAGTCCCAGAAGCCTTTGTCAATGAGCGCTTTTTTGAAAGTTCCTGAAAAAAAGAGTTTTCGCAAGTGTTTTTTCCCCTATATGGACCACTTTTTCGGCCTCTATAGGAGTCAAATAAAAAATGTCCCTATAGAGGTTTAGGGTCTGACCCCTTAGCCAATAAAGCTCAAGTGGTCCCTATAGAGGTCTTTCAACTCATTCAAAAAACGCTCAAATATTTAGTTTTTCGCATGGAAATGCTTCTTCACAAAGAGTTCATAACAATTATCGACCAGCATGGTCCCTATAGAGGTCATTTTTGCAATCTTTAGTGGCCCTTATAGGGTTGGTAAACTGGTCCCTAGAGGGGAATCTCCAAGGGTCTAAGGTTGCCCTTATAGCCTAGGGGCCACTCTGGAATTCCTAAGCTTAGCAGAATCGAAATAAAGTTATCATAGAGTGAGGAACGGCTCAACGAGATACGCCAAATGTTTTCAAAGTCATGCTTGCGCAAGTCGTTTTCTGGTCCGGCGCAAGAAACTTCATTTTGAGCCATTCCTCATCCGAAAAATCGCGATAAAAGTGAGAAAAATATCGACATTTTGAGGAAGAAAACTGCACAACTATAAAAGAGAAAGAGGAAGATTATTTTTGATAAGAACTCTTGAAAAAAAGATAACATTTTGCGATCCTCGCGGTGTTGACTTGATAAGTTGAAAAAGAAAAAAAGTGTGAAAAATTTGGAAAGAAAAATTTTTTTCAAGTTGAGAAGCTTGCCTCGTTTTTTTCCAACAGCTTCTGCTTATCAATTTTCAAATCATGTGTGCCAAAAAAAATTTTAATTTTTTTATTCCCCTCTACCTTGAAAAATGTACATCAGTGACTTATGAACAACTTCTCGGGCAAAGTCGGAATGGTGGATAATGGCGGCAAAGAGGCAGCAAAAGGCAGCAAAGAGAGTGCAAAATGGCAGCAAAAAGGCCGCAAAAAGGCAGGAAAAAGGCAGCAAAAAGGGTGCAAAAAGGCAACAAAAAGGGTGCAAAAAGGCAGGAAAAAGGCCGCAAAAAGGTCGCAAAAAGGCAGCAAAAAGGCTGCAAAAAGGCCGCAAAGAGGCTGCAAGAAGGCCGCAAAAAGGCAGCAAAAAAGGCAGCAAAAAAGGCAGCAAAAAAGGCAGCAAAAAGGCAGCAAAAAGGGTGCAAAAAGGCAGCAAAAAGGCCGCAAAAAGGCCGCAAAGAGGCCGCGAAGAGGCAGCAAAAAGAGTCCCTTTTTCCATCTATCTGAAATTTTAAAGGCTCGAGAAATGGTGGAAAAAGAAAGAGACAGCAAGAAGGTGCATAAGAGCCCATGAAATGGCGCAAAAAGGCAGCAAAAAAGGAGTCTATCTTACCCTAAAAAGAACATTTTTATAAAGCCTTTTTCCACATTTTCCGACCTTTTTCAGTTCAATCGCTTCTTTTCATTGCACATTGTCATCAAAAAAAGAAAATTTCCATTAAAATTCCTTTATTTCACGTTTTCCCTTCATCACTTGATACTTTCTGCAAAAAAGGCAATTTTTCCAATCAGTTCCTTCGTTTCATTCCAATCCGGTAATATTGTTGAAGAATCTTCAATTTTTAGCAACGTCCTCAATTTTGTCGAAATTTCCAAGAGATTGCGAACTGTAGCCTGAAAAAGAACTTCTTTTAAACATTTCGTAAGACTTTATGGCCGCACGTGGAATGGCTCTATGCGTTGCGGTCGCGCTGCTGTTCAATCTCGGGCAATGTCTGAATGGTGGGTAATGGCCGCTGGAAGGGAGAGGCTGCAAAAAGGCAGCAAAAAGGGTGCAAAAAGGCTGCAAAAAGGGTGCAAAAAGGGTGCAAAAAGGCAGCAAAAAGGGTGCAAAAAGGGTGCAAAAAGGCAGCAAAAAGGGTGCAAAAAGGGTGCAAAAAGGGTGCAAAAAGGGTGCAAAAAGGTAGCAAAAAGTGTTCCTTTATCGAGCCTTCCATTTTTCTGAGATTTTAAAGTCTCGAGAAATGGTGGAAAAAGGGAGAGGTAGCAAAAATGGTGCATAAGGGTCGAGAAAATGACGCAAAAAGGTCACCCTAAAAGAAACATTTCTATGGAGCCCTTTCTGATGATTTTTTCGACCGCTTCGCAACCGCAACGCGTCAAGCCATTTCCCACGCGGCCGACGTGTTTCTAAAGTATATCAAACCGTGGTAATTCGAAAAGAAGGTTCGTCATTCAAAATTTCAGCGACTTTTGAATAGAAAGAAATTAGTCGGGAACACTCGTCAGAGGCGATTTTGAGGCGCTTCTTAAAACGAAAGATTGAAAGGTCCGGAGATTACGGTAGCTACAAACTTTCAATTCCTTTTTGCCGTCTTCGATACAATGGCTTGGAGCTCTGCGCATTAATCGGATCTGAAATATAATATAATAATCGAATATTTCTCAAATAACTCACATGAGAACCGGCGTGATCGATGTGCTTTTTCAAATTCTGATGAGCGGTTTCTAGTTCAGACATGTCGAAATTTTGAAGTTGAAGTTCTTCTACTTTGTCAACGGCAGCTTCTTTTTGAAGGTTCTGTACTTCAGATTTTGTATCTTCAACCTTTTCTGAAGACATTGGAACAACTTCTTGTTCCTTTTCAGCCTTCTTCAACTTTTGAGCTTTCTTAACGCTCTTCTTCTTCTTCTTTTCGACGCCTTCTTGGGCTCCAGATTCTTTCCTCGTAGTTGATCCTCCTTCTTCGGGGTTCAGGTTGCTCTCTTCAACGGCTTCTTTCTCAATTCTAGCTTTCTGGAGCTGTCGGACTTCTTCTTCAACTTGACTTGCATGATTTTGCGTTGTTAAAATGGTCTCATCAAGGTCTTTTCCACTGATTTCAGCCTTCTGGAGCTGTCGGACTTCTTTTCCACCATTTTTTCGAGTTTCGACGTCCCCAGACTTTTCTTTGACGTGTTCGGCGGGATTACGAATCTCTGATCCTTTTTCTGATTTCAACTCAAAGATTGTTTTTCCGTCAAACTCAGGGAGCTGTTGAACTTCAATTTGAGCCTTTTTGACGTCTTCAGGTTCTTTTTTCACTTCTGCAGTGTCTCCTAGACTTTTTCCTGGGTCTTCTGGGATAAAATTGCAGGTTTCCGACTTTGATTCCTCTGCTTCAGATTCCTTTGATTTTATAGTCTCCCTCTCTCCGATTTCTTCAGTACTCCTTTCTGAGTTTCCTCCGGAGATCTTGGCCATTTTTTCGGCGAATTCTCGGTCGATTCGCCGTCCTTCCTCCTCCAGCTCCTCCAGCACGCGACTTCTCTCCTGTCGCTTTCGCGCTCGTTCAGCTTCTTCTTCTTGAAACCTCAGCCTCATTTCGGCCATCCTTTTTTCGTGCTCTTCTCTGGAATTATCGGCTTCTGACTGTTTTTTCACTGCTTCTTCTTGGGAGGAAGCTTCAGGTTTTTCCAATTCTCCATCTTCCAGCACAACTTGAGGAGCTGGATTTTCACTTTCAGAATTCTTTCTTTCTTTTTCAGCCTTCCGAAGTTGCCGGGCTTTGATTCTCTCGCTTATTTCTTTTCTGAATTCTGAAGCCCTTTGAGGATTTTCCTTTCCCTCATCAGATTTACCGCCAACTTCCAAAACAAGGCTTGAAGCTCCTTTTTCTACCTCCTGGCTAGAAAATTCCCGTTTCTCTTTTTCTTGCTCGATTTTCTTGAACTGATTCGCTCTCAATTTTTTCACGAAGCTAACGTAACTCTCGGATGGATTTTTGACCTCGCCAGAGTTTTCTTCATGCTTCAAATTGGAGATTTCGGACTTTTCACCCCTTTTATTGAAGGTCTGGGATCGTCGGACTTCATTCATAATTTTGAACTTTTTCTTGAAGTCAGATTCAAACCGATGGCCCTGTTCAACGTCTTCAGATTCTTCTCGAATTCCTTTCGAAGCCGCTTCGATTTTTGGCTTTTTTCGAGCTTCTTCCTTGGACAGTTCTTCCTCTCTTTTTCTCAGCAGTTCCTCTCGAACCTTCAAGTCCGACTCGAACTTCGTGAGTCTCGATTCTTCTTCCCTGATCTTCTCTTCTCGCTGATCCAACTTTGCGAGTCTTTCGGACAGAGTTGCCTCCAGTGTTTTGAGCCATTCGAAATGATTCCGCAACTCATCCCGTTGACTCAAAAGCTCTCCGGCTAGTTTCTCCCAATTCGAAGAAGTCGATTCTGGCTCTTCTTTCCTTTCGGAGACTCCCAGATCTTGTTTCAATATTTCGAGAGATCGTCGGTTTCTTGAATCCCTTTTAAATCCGCCTCTTCTCATGAGAATCTTATCTTTTTGAAGGTTTCCGACATCTTTTTTGTCGTCATCATCCACAATAACTTTTGCAGCTTTTTTGGTTTGGATTGAATATTCGGCCCAAGGGCCTATAGTTCTGGATATAGCCCTCGGAACTGTTCTTGTCGCTGTCGAGTCTTGCTCCGGAATCGACGACGGTTTCTGTAAAAAAAAAGTATAAGAAAATAGTTACCATACAAAATCGAGGCTAAGGAAATGGCTCGACGCGTCGCGGCTGCGTAGCGTTTTCGTAAAGATGCGCCCGACTGAGAGCGACTTCAGCCGTCGGTAGCGCTCATAATACGAACCGCGGCGCGACCGCAAAGCATTGAGCCATTCCAAATGCGGTTTTGATATCTAACCAACGAATCACATTCATAGTCGAAAAAATACCTCTTCTGAGACATTGTCCGCGTTTTCCCGGGCTTCTTTTGGCTTCCAAATAAGTCTTTCGATCAATCCGAATAGTCCTCCTGGCTCTTTCTGAGAAAAAAGAACAGTTGGTCAATAAAATCAGCAATTTTCTCATGTGAAAAATCGTTTTGGATCGATAGAGCTCAATTTCAAAAAATCTCAACGTTTATCCGATTTTCTCCATTCAATACGGCGTTCTTGTTAGTGGGGAAAAATGCGAAAAGGGTCAAAACCTCCGTCGTTCCCATGTGACGTCATGGGAAACAACAACAGGGAATATTAAAGGCGCATGTTCAATGGGTCATGAGACGAATCGATTTCACATTTTGAAAAACACAATTTTTCTGTTCCCGTGCTCAAAGTGATTCCACGAAACTCAAAATAGCCCTCAGAAAGTGAAAAACTTATCTGAATTCAGAGATTACTTCGTTTCGAAATTGCTTTGAAAACGGCATGTGCGAGTGCGCCACAGTGCATGCACACGACACACTACACTTTACGGAATAAATCTGGGCGGGGGGTCGTCAAAAACGCCGTACTCATATGGACGTTGGAACTCAAACTTTTCAAGTTTTCAAAAAAAAAAACTCACAGATGTGGTCATTTCATCGCTCATATTTTCTTTTCTTGCTCTTTTCCTGGTTTTTCAAACTCTGAAAAATTAGCCAATAAATTCAAAAATCGCCAGGATTATTGATAATCGATAAAAGTTCCAATATATTGTCTCAGAAAACTCGAAGAAAATAGTAATTTTGCACTCTTCCTCATGAAAAAAAATCAAAAAAATCAGATTTTCTTAGAAGTTTCAGAAAACTCCTTTAAGTAACGATCTGGAATTTCAGATAAATATTTATTCAACAGAGGAAGGTTTTCAAGATCACGGTGTTCCCAAACGGGGTGGGAAGACGTCAAAAAAAATTTGGCGCGAAATTTGAAATCTACAGTACACAGCGTAAGGCGATCGAAAAAACAAGTTATTAACGTTTGATACTCAGTGCATTTTATCCGTAGCGCGCACTAAATTTTTTCTGTAAATTCAGAAACTTTCGCTCACCTTCCCTCACCCCCATTAGGAATGCCGTGAAGATCAATACTACAAAAAGAAGAGAAAGCCGTGTGAAATTAGTAAGAAATGGGAAAAAGGTGACAAAAGATCGTTGAATGCTTGGTTTGATAAGAAAAACGCTAGCAAACAAGAGGAAGTCTTAATATATTGATAAGAAATATCTTGGAAAGACGCTTAAAATCACAAAGAACAGTTTCGAGTGGTTTATTGAGCAAACAACAAAGTTAATACTTTCGAAGATTAAAAAAATTATTTTTTCCAAAAATATCCCACTTGAAAGAATATTACTTCAATTTTTCTCATTTTATTGTTTTTAGTATTTTTTTCAATTCAAAAATAAGGAAAAATTAAAAATAATTCGAAAATAATAAATTTTATTGTCAGAGCTTGAAAGAAAGTGCGCTCCACCGACCGTCAACTGGAGCGTCGTCATTGTCATCGTTATCCACATTTTTTTCACACTTTTTAAAACTGTTCACAACTTGTAACTTTGCATTTCAAGATTTTTTTGGAATTTTTTTAAAAGGTGGAATTTTTTTGAAATTATTGAGTTTTTTTGGCTTTGTCAACTATTTTTAGTTTCAAACTATATCAAAAAAACTTCAACACCTTTGAAAAAAATATTGGTTTTTATTTTTTTATTTATTAATGTTGTGTATTTTTTTCAATCCTCAAAGTAGCCGTTAGACTTGAATTTTTCAGAAATTTGTCTCTAAGTGGAGCAATATTTTCACATTTAATTCTTGATAAATATATTCATAAGTAAGAACTCATAGTACTGTTTCAAAAAAAAAGGAAAATTTTTTATTGAAGTTTTATTCGAAAATCGAAAAAAAAAAACAAGTGAATGAGTGAGGAATGTAAGTTTTTGTACATTTTAAAGGGAATGAGACGGTTTTGAGGGTTCGTTTTGAGCAATTTATGAGCAAAATAGTCAGGAAAGAATATAAAATCTGTCGATATGAGTAAGTAATTATTCGGGTATATAATGGGCGCTAAAAGGGAGAGGCTCGAAAAAGGGCGAAAAAATTCAGAAAAAAACCGCAAAAAGGCAGCAAAAACGTCGCAAAAAGGCAGCAGAAAGGCCGCAGAAAGGCCGCGGAAAGGACGCAAAAAGGCAGGAAAAAGGACGCAAAAAGGCAGCAAAAAGAGGCCCTTCTTCCATCTATCTGGGATTTTGAAAGCTCAAGAAGTGGTAGAAAAAGGGAGAGGTAGCTAAAATGGTGCATAAGGGCCGAGAAAATGGCGCAAAAAGGCGGCAGAAAAGGAGCCTTTTTCCATTTTTTCCAATGTGCCGATAAGGTATTTCTTCATTACAACTTCTGAATCAAGTACAAAAAAGGCAACATCTTCATCTTCTTGCGTATTTGTTCTTCAGATCGGACGTTGTTGGAACGGTTTCCGAACACTTCTTCATCTTCTCCATCAGAACTTCTACTTGATCCCAGTTTGCAAACTCGTTCATTGACTCCTTCAACAGCGGCTTCAACTTTTCGGCGATTATCAGAAGGTCTTGGACTTTTCTCTGAAAAAAGGAATTTTCCCTGAGATTGATCGCATTTACCTCGATGTCTTTCAGAAAAGGAGCTCTACTGCGAGAATAGAATCCGTTCAGTTTTTCGGCCGCGTAGGAATAGACGCGGATGAGATTTGAGCATTCTTGAACTGCTGATTCGATCTTTCCCTACAACTTTTTCCTTAAAATGGAAATTTCGGAAAGATGACAAACCATGGCGGAAAATCTGTCGACATCGAAATGATAGCTTCCTTTGGGAGCTCCGGAAAACGACTGGATCTGAACTTTTTCTTTCAAAAGTGGCTCTCACGAGGTTGGTCTTTCTAGCGTGAAGTTTGATTTTTCCGCAGAATTCCGTGTAAAATCTTCACTTGAAGTGGTCGCTCTACTTCTGAGGCTTCCACCTAGAGCACGGTCTCCGGGCTCCAGCTCTACCATCCACTACATTCTGAGCTCGTCAAGGCGCAACTGGATGGATTACGCGCAGAAGGACGAGGCGAAGGACCGTAAGACCATGCTTCCAACTCTTTCAACCACATGTTTGGACTTCTAGTTCGCCAAAGGCGGTTGTTCGTTATAGCTTTTAAAGTTCTTGTTCACCACCTAGTCGATTACATCAGACTAAAACAACAAAATAAATGATTTGACTGGTCTAAAAATGAATTTTCTCAAGGGAAGAAAATGTGCCCAGAAATTTATCAAAGGTCCAACCAAAGAAAGATCCCTGATAGTCTCGAGCTGCGCATAAGCTTCCTATTGCATTTTCAAACATTCAAACCTCCTTCAAATGAAAATCAGGCCTCAAACGGATAATTCCTAGACGCTGAAGTTGATATATAGTCTGTGTACCACAACTTGGAATTTCACCAAACGATATTCCGCTGTGCCGCTGTGCGCCTTTGCGAACCTTGGTCGCGCTTTTAATTTTTTTTTTTATTGAGGTTCTCTACTTTCATGTGCTCCCACCGCAATAACCATCAATTGAGATCGCGACCTAGATTCGAAAGACGCTTCGCGAACGCACGCAGCGGAACAGCGGAATGTCGTACCGTGAAATGTCAAGTCTTGGCACACTGACTATAATTTTGAGGGATGTGATTGGTTTCAAGCCTGGTTCTTTGTTGGCTTTGCCCGAAAATAGAACCTTTGTCTGGCCTTTCAAAAAGGGGCAAGTTGTCAGGAAACTTCAAACTTCACAATCAAAGGCGTATGGTCAGTAAGAAGCGAGTTTTGAGAAATTTCTTGTCGTTTTCCACTAGACACTGCACAAAACTAACGCTTTCTAAAGAATACTCACTTTGAAAAGTTTTGAACTCCCGCCAAGTTGCTCTGTGAAAAATACCAATTTTCATTTTTCAATATTGGATTACGGTAGGCAAATTTGTGTACACCGGTCCTTCGCTTGAGTTTTTCGCAAAAAAGTCTTGTAATTTTAAACTTTCAAGTGGTTTTTGGAAATGCGAGCTCTAGAACCTGACATTAATTCCTCATTTCTCACTGACCCTATGATAGGCTCCTTCAGTCACTCACCGAGAAATTTGCGCCTTCGAACAAGTTGAACAGTTTGAAGTAGGAGCCTTTCAGTTCGACCAGCTGGGTGTTCCATCGCTTCTCGATTCTCATATTCCTATTCATTTGAGCCATCCGAGACTCCTGCTCCTTCGCTTCTCGGTTTCGTCGGACTTCTTCTCGTTCACTTGCCTCCTTTCTTGCCGCTGCTTCACGTCGAAGCCTCTCTTCTTCCAATCTGTCATTCTCTTCCTGTTTCGCGAGTTGCTCAGCAAGTCTCCGATCGTTCTCCTCGTCGATCCTCCTTCCTTCTTCTTGCAATTCTTCCAGCTCGCGATTTTTCTCTTTTCTTTTTCTTTCTCGCTCTTCTCTTTCTTCTTGCAGCCTTTGCCGAGTTTCTTCCGTTTTTATCCTGTTCCGCGCCGCGTAGTCGAAAGACGACTCTCGAAGTTGAGGAACTATACTCGCTTCAGGGATCACTCGTACTTCATTCCGTTGCCTTTCCTCTTCTCTCCTTGTGAGTCTTTCTTCCCAGTCTCGGAGCCTTTCCAGTTCTCGTTGGTGTTCTTCAGTCTTTCGCTTCATTTCTTCTTCGTTCCTTCTCAGATTCGCTTCTCGCTGTCGAAGATTTTGAACAATTCTGGATTCTTCCCCATCCAAGTCGACCTTCAGCTGTTGTACTTCTTTCTCCTTAGCCTTGTTCTCTTCGCTTTTTTTCATGGCAATGGAGAAAAGTTCGTGAGCGGCTGCGAGTTTCTTGGTTGCGTCTTTCTTCTCGTTTTCAACATCCTTCCAGCCCGAGTTCAGTTTTTCCTTCTCTTTTTGTAGAGCCTCGTACTCTCTTTTCAAGTCGTCTTTATCCTCTTTCAACATTTCCTTTTCTTTCCTGAAACCGTCTTTTTCTTTTTGAAGCTTCTCTCTATCTTTACCGAGTTGGTGCTCCTGATTTCTCAAAGATTCAGCTTTTTCCAGGTTCTTCTGCCCGTCCCTCTTCAATTGATCCGTCCGCTCTTCCAGAGTCTTTTTTATGCTTTCTAGTCTAGCTTCTTCACTTTTGAGGTCTCCTTCAAAAGTAGTCAACTTTTCACGTTCTTCTGACAGTTTTTTCTTCTCCTTCTCCAGGCTTCTTTCTTTTTTTGTCTGCTCTTCTTCTTTTTGTACCAGAGCTTCGTGGAACTGTCGCGAAGACTTCTTCTTAGCTTGTAGTTCATCTTTCTCCAACTCGAGACGTTTTTGTTGCTCCTTTAAATATTCTCTTTTTCTCTGGTTCTCAAACCCTTCTTGTTGTAGTTTTTCAGTCATTTCCTTCAGCGTCTTTTCTTGCTCAGCTTTCTTCTCCAGAAAGTCTTTTTCCTTGGATTTCAGCTTATTTAGTTCACTCACCATTTCTTTCTTTTCTCGGTCCAGCTCTTCCTTCATCTTTTCTAGAGTTTTCTCATCATCTTGCAGCTTCTCCCTGTCTTTTACGAGCTTCTTCTCTCGTTTTTCCAGAACCTCAGAATCTCTCTGATATTTCAACTTGTCTTCTTCGAGTTTCTTTCCGCAGTCCTTCAGCGTCTTTTCCAGATCTTCAAACTTTCCTTGATTGTTTTTGAGGTCTGAAGTCAACTTTTCGCGTTCTTCTGACAGTCTGGTATTTTGTTCGATCAGCTCGGCTTCCTTACTTTTGAAAATTCTTTCCGATTCTTTCAGTAAATTTTCTTTCTTTTCCAACTCGTCACGCTCTTCGGACAGTTTTTTCTTTTCCGCCTCGAGTTCAATTTCCATTATTAATGGTTTCTCTCTTTCTTGAGCAAGCTGCTTCTGTTGAGATTCAGATTTCTCCCTCAGTTCAGCTTCTTGTTTTGTAACCATCGAGGATCGCCGATTCAAGGTATCTCTCTCATTTGTCTGCTTAACTTCTTTCTCATCCAGATCTTTCTGCCGTTTCTCCGAAGCTTCAGCGATTTCCCTGTTTCTTTGGGCTTCTGTTTCCACTTTTTCCATTCTTGCTTCAACTTCTAAGTTCTTCGAGTTTGGAGATTCTACTCCATCTTTTTTCGGTTCCTTCGCTTTTGTTTCATTTTGCAGCCTTTCCTCTTTCCGATCATTTTTTGCTGCAGTCGTCTCAGTCAAGTTTAGCTCCTCTTTCTTCATTTTTTCCGATGTTCCAGCTTCCGATTGATGTAGGCGACGCGCGGGGTTCACAACTACAAACCCGCCCGAGTTCACTTTTTCTGATCGAATTGAACTTTCTGAACTTTTGGTAGTGTCCTCATCTCCTTTCAAACTCGAGTTTTCTTCAGGTCCAGCTTTGGCAGAACCTTCATATTTATCAGCCATTTTGGTCAGCTTGCCGTCTTGTTCAGCTTTCTTCAAAAAATCGTTTTGCTTCTTCGGAGCTTCCTGGCTTTTTTCCGGCTTTTCTCTGAATTTTCCGTCTTGTTCTGTCGAGCCCAGCTCGTTCTTGAGCTTCTTTTTCTGATCATCTCCAACAACTACTTCCACTGGTCCTCCTTTCTTGGCCTTGTCGTTCACAGTCTCTTTTTCTTCAGTCTCGATTGAAATCTTCGTTATTCCGTCTTCATCGCTATGTACAGCTACAGGCTTTGAAATCACATTGTCTTCCAAAACGGGATTCGAACCAGAATCTTCCTTCTTGTCGATTTTTTCTTGATTCTCCGTAATCTGAAATATGATCATCAGAATTCGATTTTTATTTTATTTTGTTTTTCAGGTCTCAAAGGGCCACGTTTGCACATAGAATCTCTGAAAGCGTCTCCGCGCAACTCGTTTTGAGTCGGGCGCATTTCGAAGCCAAGCCGTTCCATTTGCAAACATGACCTTTAAAAAAAAGAAGTTTAAACTAGAAAAAAATGGTTATACGCATACTGCAATAAGTAACTATTTTTTGATTTTCCCTCATTTTTACTCAAAAAAACCTTGAGATCACTCAATTTGTTGCAAACTTCTTCCGAGTTCTCGTCTTCGCGGCTTTGAGTTTTCCCGTCTTCCAGGTCTTCGTCGACGTCTTCCAGCCTTTCTTCTTCATCTTCCGATTTTTCTTCTGGCTTTGATCGAAATTCGCTTTTTGTTGCTTCTCGCTTCTCGCCGTTCATTGTTATTTTCTGTAAAAAGTGAATCAAAAAATGATTGAGTGGCATTGGTTATGAATAAAGTGCGCCGGACCTCAAAGAGAGTTGCGCGCGTCCGTATTGCAAATATTCGTAGTGAGCGACTTTTAGCTTTGAAGTGCTATTGAGAGGAAATGAAGTAATCGTTTCAATTTTAGCTAAATTTTACGTTCCTCATTGATTTCAAGACAGTGTTCAAAGTAAGAAAAATCATCTTCCACTCAAAATTGGTTCAACCCACTCAGTTTTCAGAAAAATTGAAATAAAAAAGGTTTCTGTTGTACTAACCAATTCAAATTTGAACAAATACTCGGTCGGAAACGCTTCGTAATGTGTTTCCAAGCTTAACTTGCACTAGAAAAAAAAAAAAAAATTATTTTTTTTAAAAAAATAGCTCACCTTTTTGTGCAACTTTGTTCTGAATTCTCTCTGATCTTCTCACTTCTCTTGGCTCTTCCATTTCATCCATTTTGCCCTGAAAAAAATAAATATTATATAGATTTTTTTCGGAAACAACAGGAAAAAAAGGCAAAAAAATATGAAAATAAGAAAAAAATCCGTTGGACATTTCTCAAAGAGAATTTTTTTAAAAAAGAGCTTATGAACATTAAAAAAATAGTCGCTTTCTATTGAAATGTGTTTCCAAGCATATTTTTTTCACAAAAAAACATTATTTGAAAAAGTCAACACTGCCAAAGTCGGAAGTGCGGAAAAACGGGTGCAAAAAAGGGAGTGACTGCAAAATGGCCGCTAAAAAGGGTCCCTTTTTACGGCCTTTATTGAGCCTTTCATTTTTGGTGGGTTAAAAAGGGTCATAAAAAGGGCGAAAAAAAGGGAGAGGCCGCGAAAAAGGGTGAAGAAAGAGTGGGGGTTCAAAAAAAGGTTCTGAAAGTCTCTGTTATTGATGATTTCCGATGTTATTACTGGAGCTTATTTTCGGTTCATACGCAGTCACTTGTAAAGATTATTCTCAATTTAAAAAAATTGTATTTCTCAAAAAGGGTCCAAAAAAAGGGTGGATGAAGGCCGATGAAAGGACGCAAAAAGGCAGAAAAAAAGGAAACCGTTTAGGAACAATTTCCGGAAACAGACGGATCCGTAACGGACGCTCAAAGGGCCCGTGAAGGGTCCTTCCGACTTTGCCTATGAATTCTTTCACCCGTTGTTCAACTTTCTCATTTTTCTGATTTCTCCCGGATTTTCTCAGTTTATTCACCTTATCCATTTCTTCCGTTTTGGCCTAAAAATCACATTCGAATAGATTTTCTGAGAGGTTAAAAAAATGCGAATAAAGAAGGAAAATGGGGAAAACGAAAAAAAAAAAATGAAACTCGATGAAATTTCTCAAGAAGCCTAATGCAAAAGGGGTTTATAAAATATAAAAAAATTTTTTTGGGTTTTTTTCGAAATAATCTCTCCGAACGTGGAAAAATGGATCAATATTGGATAGGGTTGTCTTAAAAAGTAAGCTCCATAATTTTCACCTCAATTTTATTCTTTTCCAACTTTTTTCTTCTCAAAAAAAGGCATTTTTAGCTTGCCATTGAGGTTGGTTTTAAGTTCAGGAAAATTTTTAAGTTATGTCCAAATTTCAAGGCTGCATAATCTCAAAATGATGACTTTTGGAAGATAATTGTGTTTTGATAATGATTCGATTTAGAAAAAATACGAATATAAGATAATTTTGTGGAGATTTGTAGAATAAATTAAAAGAAAATTGAGAGAGAAATGAAAAAATTGGCTTTTTGAAAGATCCGACGCTATGATATGAGCAAGTGTGAAGAAGACTGTCGGTGTTTGCGAGAAAAATGGCGTAATCTATCGATTCACGACACTTCAGTACTGATAAGACAACACTTCCTCTCTTTGAAACGACATGAAAAACGGAAATCGAAGCAAAATTTTTTAAAAAATCGTGATATTCATTTTCCTTAAGTTTAATCTTTAAAAATCGATCTTTGATCTTTTTAAACGCAAACTCGGAGTGCAATACACTGCCAAAGTCGAAAGTGCGGAAAACGGGTGCAAAAAGGGAGTGACTGCAAAATGGCCGCTAAAAGGCTCCCTTTTTACGGCCTTTGTTGAGCCTTTCATTTTTGGTGCGCTAAAAAGGGTCATAAAAGGGTGAAAAAAGGGAGAGGCCGCAAAAAGGGTGAAGAAAGAGTGAGGGTGCAAAAGGGTCCTGAAATTCTCTTCTATTGATAATTTCCGATTTCATTACTGTTGCATATTTTGGTTCATACACAGTCCCTTGTAAAAATTATTCCTAATTTAAAAAAAAATTGTATTTCTCAAAAGGGTCCAAAAAGGGTGGATGAAAGCCGATGAAAGGACGCAAAAAGGCAGTAAAAAGGAAACCTTCGCCACCCGTTTAGGAACAATTAATGGAAACAGACGGATTTGTAACGGACGCTCAAAGGGCCCGTGAAGGGTCCTTCCGACTTTGCCTATGTACAGAAAATTTTTCTGAGCTTCGGGCATAAAATCGGAAAATTTTAGTGACCACTATGCATAGGCAAAAGGGTAGAAAAAGGCTTCTTTTGTGCCGCCTTTTTGCGCCCTTTTATCGGCTTTTATGCACCATTTTTGCTGCCTCTTTCCTTTTCCACCATTTCTTGAGCCTTTAAAATTTCAGAAAAATGGAAGGCTCGATATAGGGACTCTTTTTGGTGCCTTTTTGCGACCTTTTTTGAGCCACTCTCTTAGCGGCCATTATCCACCATTCCGACTTTGCCCAAGTAGTTTCAGAAGCTTGATTATAGTCAACAATATGAGCTAATAATCAAATCACGTTTTTCAACGAGACTTTTTAGCGAATCCTTAAAGGTTTTGAACATTTTCGTGTACAAAAACTGTAAAAAAAAAATATTTTTTTCAGGGTTTAGAGAATTTTAAGCGCTTTTTAAAATTGAATATAAAAGGAGGCTCGATTATGGTCGATATGATCATTGTCAATAATTTCATAGGGCCACAAATTGATGGAGCGAAATTGTTGTTGAACTCAAAAAGGTTCTGAAAAGGTTAAGAAATGACAAAAAAATTTTCTTTCATTTGGCGCGTTTTTACGATTTCCTGACCTATTTTCTTCAAGAGTTTACATTTTTCAGGTCGAGAAGCACGGAGTTCGCCAAAAGACAAGCCTCATAATACTCCCAAAAGTCTTCTTTCTGTCTTCTTGTAACAAGAATAATCAACATATCGCAATTTTAATTTGTGTTTTGAAAACAAATTCAATTTCGTTTATTTTTGTCAAAATCAATGTACCGTGTGAGAATCATATAGTTTCTTCGAAAGAATGCCGTTGAGTGCAGTGGAATCGCGATGTTTAAAAAAGAGATTAAGGGTCAGGAGATTTTATTATATTCGATATCAATTATTTTTAATTTTATTTAAAATGAGTTCGGACCTTTGACAAATCATACGGACCCGTGAACCGTTTTTTTTTAAATTTGTGCTATGGAAACACAAGAAACGTTCACTTTTTCGCATTGATTCCTGCTTGTAAAATTCGAAACCATACAGAATACCTGTTCCTATGTTTCTCCAGGGTCCTTTTCGGCGCCATTCTGAGGAATCATCCAGAGCTGGCGGTTTTACCTCATGACATGGGGTCAAAACTTTTCATTGCGATCAGACTCGCCATTTCCAAGTTTTATCCAGCAGCATTTCATTTATAATAGGAATTCAGAGTATTCTACAACTGCAAAAGCTCATCCAAATGCAATCAAAACAGTAGAGCAAAAAACAAAATAAATAAACGATAAAAAATGAAAAATAAATGTGACAACGGTTTATTAAAGGAGCATCGAAAGCGCTGCAAATGGGCTTTGGAACGAAGAGCGGCGCTACCAATAGTTCCTCTGTATAAAATATTCTTTTTTTTCCTAACTTTTTCTCCTTTATTGCCTTGTTAAACCTTTTTCTTTTTAACTCATTTTGTAATTAGGACATGAAAAAATGAATTCTCTTCAAAATGGTTCATCTGAACCGCCACGATGATAGGAAAATTAGAGTTTTTTTTGGTGGTGAGAAGTTAAAGAGTTTTGTAATTATTTGAAAACTTATTTCTGCAGCGCGTCAAAATTTCCTTCGATGCACCTGTCGAACGCCTTCATTTTTAACCACCAATAAAGGGGTTTTTGATCAGTTTATTCTATGATTTTGTTTATTTTGTTCATTTTCGACTTCTGAGTTCGGAAAGACATTTAAATACCGGAGAGCCTATTTTCGGCAAATATAATGATATTTTCATTTTTGTGCGGTGAAAAAGGCATGAAAAGGAATTTATCGAGAATAAACCAATGAGAAATAGCGTGTTCGGACCGGCATTGAATAAATGAAAGACATATTCTCAATCAGAACAATATAACCTGAATTTGACGTTAATGAAAAATAGAATAAATTAAAGATTCGTCGAAAATCAAGCAGGATTCGCCAGGATGCATTCTAAAGTATCGACGCGTAGTGGCACAGGCTCGGTCACGTACCTAAAATGAATCGTTTCGCAGTTTAGAGAAATTGATGAAAAAGCTCACCAACGCATATCAGATGCTTGACAAGTGAGCGGGAAAGTCGTGCTGGTCGCAGTGAAATTCAGAAAATTGACTGAATTGGCGACGATACCCGCGTTGAGGTCGAGAGACGGATCCGGCGTACTGAACGCTTTTTTAAGGAATATTCGAAGTTTCTTTGAGGTCAGTTAAATATGATTTTCGGCATGTCGATGACATATTGTAGCTTCTTGTCGCATATAGTCTGTTCAGATTTCGAATGTCAAGTCGTCGCTTAAGCTCCGCCCCTAATGGTGCGACAAACCAATCAAAGAGCGAGCCATTCACAGAGTGTTTTTGAAAGACGTCATTGTACTTGGCATTAAAAATCTGAATAGACTATATCGGAATTTTTATTGAAACTTTCCAAAATACGTTGTTTTTTGTGAGAAAATCGCAATTTACATCTTGGAAAGGATTGATCTACATGTGTAGTTGTCCGATTTAAAAATTCAACCAAACAAAAATTTCTGAAAAAAAAAACATGTTCAATCGAAACATTTCAAGCGAAAATTGATTTTAACCTTTATTTTCAAAAAATAAGTTTATAAGTATCCAGAAAAATATTATACTTTCTGAAACAAACTTTTTCAAATCAAGCCTAAAAACATTTTTTTCAAAAATCCAAGCTGTCGAAAAAAATAAAAAAATTTTCCAAATTTTGAAATCTATAGAACGGGTTCTTGCTCGAAAGTCCGATTCAGACGACCGTAACGACTAAAAATTTTTAGGAAATCGTTCAAATCGAAAGTTTTAAACATCCCTAGTCAAATCTTTTTCCTTTACTAGTCTCATGATTTCATTCTACAGTAATCTTCCCCTACAGTAGGCCGAAAAGCTCACGAGCAAGTGAGAAGGACGGTTTGCCGACAAGTGTCCGAATTGTAGGCGAAAGTCATGTCTCCGTTGGCGAATTCGCCCGTATTTTGCGTCACGGTCAACGCCGGGCAGCAGCCTGGAATAAATATTGTAGAAAGTGAAACAAATTCGCGAATTTTCATGAAAAATTGATTAAGATCACAGCTCCCTATGAATTCGTGTTTCCCGCCAATATTTTTTGAATTTTCAACGCTATTTTTAAATCATCATTTTTTGAAGCATGAAAAATAATTTTTGAGAAATTGGAAATTTTCCAAAGCTTGAAGGATTATTTTCTGAAATAAGCTCCTTCAAAGTCAGATTATTTTTCGGAAATATTAGCCTTTTTCTCGAAACTTAGAAGTGTGTTTTCAAAAAGATACCTTTGTTGAGTGTGATAATGGTGCTCAAGTTAGCTTTTCTAAACATAAAATGTCATTTTTCGAAATTTTTATTTTTTAAATCAGGAAAAATTCTGAGAATTTAGCGCTATCTTTTATATTGCTCAACTTAGGAACTCCAGAGTGGTCCCTAAAGGGGCAACCACTTTACCAACCCCTAGGACCGCTAAAGCTTGCAGAAGTGGCCCCTATAGGAGGCATGCTAGTCGATAATTTTCATGTACTCCATTCAAAAAAATCAAATAAATAAGCGTTTTTTTAAATGAAGTCAAAAGACCCCTTTAGGGAAAACTTCAGCTTGAGGGGCTAAGGGGTCAAACTCTAAACCTCTATAGGGATCACCTTGATTTTATTCCTACGGATATCACTTTTTCGGCCCCTATAGGAGCTGTTTTCCCTCTAACTTCTATGGGGATCACTCTGGGAATTCTAAAAAAATCTTTCATTTTTTATGTAAATAAAACTTGCTTAACCGAGAATGGAGAATCATATTTTTTTTTTCACAGGCTGCTATCGTTTTTGAGCTCCGATTCAGAAAAAATAACGACATCTGCGATCATCTACAGTTCAGAGAAAAACCTGTTTTTTGATCAACACTTTCTTGTTTGTAGGTTTAATTTTTTTCTGAAACTTTCTGGAGTTGTGATGAACGTTCTTTGAAACACTCTGGGGGAACTTCAGATAAACAAAAAAAAGCTTCATAGAGTTTCAAAAAGACCGAGCTCCATACAAGAAAATTGTGAGCGAAAATTTTTTTTCGTATTTTTTCTAAAGGTACTGTCCTTGTAAATTATTTATTCCAAGCACTGAAAAAGAAGTTCTCCCCCAAAAGCCTCAACTTCTACTTCGATTTTCCGCGAAAAACTCACCCAAACCTTCAAAATCAGGAAACGGATGACAACTAGAACAGGACGTGAAAAATGTCGGTACAAGTACATAATAGAACTCAAAACGCATTCAAAACCGAAACTAATTGATGAGAGAAAAAGGTTTTTGATCGTCGAAGCGATGGGATGGGTGAAAAAAAACGCGCTTTTCGATTCCTAAGCCGCTTTGTATTGCTGTACAGTTGGGTGGTCAGTTCAAAATGAACAGGACAAAAAAAGTTGGCGAATTTTTCAAAAAATCAGCTGAAAAAACGGAAATATCTTCATTTCTAAAGGTCAGAAAAAAAGTTTTGAAAAAAATAAATTCTCATTTTTTTCACTTAAATTTACATTCTCTTTCTCTCTCAAATTAACAAACCCTTACAGAAATAAGTTTAAAACTTCAAAAATATTGCAATTTTTTTATAAAATTAACCCTCCGAGCTTCGAAAAAAAGTAATTTTTCCCCAAAAAAATATTTTTTTAATCCCGAAAAAAAGGTATTTTTTTCAAAAATTAACCTTTCAAGCTTGAAAAAGAGCATTTTTTTCTAAAAAAATAATATTCCAAGCTTCAGAAAAAAATCTAAATGAAGCGAAAATGCCACATTTTGCGGCTCTAAAAAGGTTACAAAAAAATTCAATATCAAAATTAGCTCCATTTTTTTCAAAAAAATTACACAGAATTTCACTGATAAAGTCTTCAAAATGAACATTTTCCAAGCTTTTCAAGTGCCAGTGACATGCAAAAAAGCCAAATTTACCCAAAGCCGGATTTGGTGTGGTGGTGGTGGTTGTGGTGGGAGTGCCTGAAAAATTGAGGAAAAATGGTGGAAAATTGTGCAAAAACTTCAAAAAAATGCTTTTTTTGGTGAAGTGCCCAAGTGCAAATTGCAAGTGGAAAGGCTGAGAAAAAAATTTTTTTTTCGATTTTTTTTGGGTTTTTAAAAATTATTTTTCAAAGCTTTGAGAAAAACATAAAATTTTCAAAAAAATACCCGGCTAAGCTCTGAAAAAAAAATTTTTCAAAAAAAGGTGGAAAAATTGCAATTTTTTTTCAAGGAATTTGAGCCAAAAAAATCGCTATTTTTTTGAACTTATACACTGCGACGCATAATTATAGACCCACCCCAATTTTTCCGATTTTGAGGAAGATTAAAAAACTTTCAGCCACCAAATTTTTTTTGTGATAAACCTTGTTGATAAGGAACATAATCATATCCTAATTATCAATCACCCAGTTGAAAAGTTTTTCAAGATACGAGAAAATCTGATTTTTGACCGACGCAGAATTATAGACCCACCCCAGAGTTTTCCGAGTTTCCGTTTCCGGCAACACGTTTTTCCTGATTTTTTCAGTGGTATATAAGAGAAAAAGTTCTCGTGTATCACTATGAACCATAATGCCTAAATCTACTCAAGTTGATAATACCGAAAAAGCGGTAATCGATGCTCTACTCAACAACGGCTTGTCCCATCGGGAAATCGCTCGTCAAACGGGTCACTCAAGACGAACTATTGACCGTTATGCAAGGAATCCGCAAGAATACGGCACAGCAATACATTCTGGACGGCACAGGCTGCTATCGGTTCAAGCTGAACGAGACGTCTGTCGAAAAGCATCAAACTCTACGAAGTCCGCCAACCAAACCAGATCCGAAATTCCTGAAAACGTCTCGAAGGACACCATCTTATGAACAATTCATCGGTCCTGTCGACTTGTGAATACTCCAATGAAGGCAGCACCTCGTCTACAGCAACGCCATAAGAATGAACAGCTCCAGTTTGCACGCTCCAACATGGCCACGGAATGGAATGAGGTATCAATTTTTTCTATCACATTATGATTCCCAATTTTTCTGTTCAGATCATCTTTAGCGACGAGAAGAATTACAACCTTGATGGGCCAGATGGGTACGCTCACTACTGGAGAGCTTTGAGGAAAGATCCGATGTACTTCTCCAAGAGAAACTTCGGCGGCGGCAGCCTCATGGTCGGGGCGGCTTTCTGCGGCAACGGCACGGTAGCTCTTTCTTTTATTGGGACCAGAACGAATTCGCAAGACTACCAGCAACTGCTTGCCCAGCATCTCCTGCCCTATCTCCGTCGCCGACGACGTGCTAATATGATTTACCAACAAGACAATGCATCTGTTCACGCGAGCAACTCCACATTGGCTTGGTTTGCGGCCAATAACGTGGTTCTTCTGGACTGGCCCGCGTTCAGTCCTGACCTCAACCCTGTAGAGAATTTATGGTCAGTCCTTGTACGAAGGGTCTACGCGAATGCCAAGCAGTATACAACGGTCAACGATCTGAAAAAGAGCGATTCGTGCCGAGTGGGATGGTTTGGACAAGTCACTGCTGCAGTCACTCGTTGGCAGCATGCCGAACAGGATTTTCGAAGTCGCTCAGAAACAAGGAGGCATCACACACTATTAATTAATTTTTTTGTTATACTTTGTTGACTTTGTGAAATGAATTTTGTTGATTACTTATAGTGGGTCTATAATTCTGCGTCGGTCAAAAATCAGATTTTCTCGTATCTTGAAAAACTTTTCAACTGGGTGATTGATAATTATGATATGATTATGTTCCTTAACAACAAGGTTTATCACAAAAAAAATTTGGTGGCTGAAAGTTTTTTAATCTTCCTCAAAATCGGAAAAATTGGGGTGGGTCTATAATTATGCGTCGCAGTGTATTAAATTTACGTTATTTCTCTATAAAACTGATATTTTTTTCAAACTTCTAAACATTAAAAAAACCTTGAAAAATAAGTACAAAATCTGAAAAATTCCAACTACTCCTGATTGAATAAATGAATCAATTAGAAGTTCTTCTGCCCATTCTTTGCAAATTATAATTTAAAAAAATGAAAGAAATAATTCACCTGGAGGCAGGGTTGTAGTTGGGGGAGGAGTCGGGACAGTTGCGGCACAACAGTCGCTTCTATAGGCCAGGAAAAGCATTCCTAGCGGCACTACCTGAATTTTTTTCACCTTAAAACAGGTAAATATTCAATTTCAAAAAGGTGAAGGCTCAAAACTGCCGAAAAAAACAATTTGAACTTTGAAAGGCTTGAAAAACTGTAAAAGCTATACTGACCTTTAAAAAATATCCAAAATTAGGAAAAAAAATTTTCTTAAGAAATTGGCTCCCCGAGAACATGAACGTCAAGCGTTTCTGTGTTATTTATTCGGGGATTTTTCAAAGAAAAACTGAAAAAAAGAACAACGACTTGGAAAAATTCCAACTGAAAAGGTCCGAAATAATCGAAAAAAACTAAAAAAATCAAAAAAAGCAAAAAAATCTTGAAAAAAATATCTCTCGATAACATTAACTTCAAAAACACAGATTTTTCAAAAAAACTAGAAAAATCCCTGTAAAAAAAAAAAAAAAATAAGACCCCAGGAAAGTTTTTTTTCGGAAGCTATTTGTAGTGGAATTGGAGTACAGAAGCTCAATTTTGTTCTGATTAGGTATACGGTATTTTTTTGACGGGAAGATCCTGGAATGGACTATATTTCTTGACATATCAATGAGTCTGAGATTTATTAATACGTAAAACGGAAAAGTTCCTTGGGACACTCAGAAGGAGATGAAAAGGTTCCGCCAAAAAGCCTGGAAATGATGGGAAAAAATATCATCCTTGAAAAATCAGCGGGGGGGGTCTTAGCCTCTGAGGAACCTTTTTAGCCTTTTCTTTCAATAGACGTTGAAAAGAGGAACTTGGGGACCCTTAGAAGATCTTTTTTCGGAAGAACCTTTGGGAAGCTTTTCCGTTTTGGTAGGACCTGGGAAAATACGAAAAAGGCTATGAACCCTAAAATTCTTCGGTAAGGTTCAGATAACGTGTACATTGGGAGGAGGAGTGTCAAAAATGACATTTTTTAGGAGCCCAAGAGCCATTTCAAGAGATGTATCATAATATGGTATCTTCCGGGTTCATTGTGATGGTTAACGATACCAAAATCCTCCCAATACCAATCCAGAAAAACGAACCAGAAGCCAGGGGTTGCTCCTCGGGGTGAGTAATCGCATCTGGCTGGGAGAAGACGGCTAGAATTAAGAGGACAGCATCTTGCATGCAGAAGAGTGGAGTCTGGGGGGAAGTTGGAGAAGTGGCCAGGGCTTCCCAAGGAACGGAAAAATGGTCCACCGTCGGATTATCCATTAATTGCCGGCTCCGTCGATCCGCCGTCGTCTATAGGTGCATCTTTGATCGTGGATTTGCGAGTTTCTCCTCTTTTCCTTCGAAGGAAAGTACATTCCTTGTAATCTTCACTTTTTTCGAGATCCGTTTCAAACTAGAAAGTCAGGACTTTTGAACTTAATTCCCTGAGGGAACGCAAAATATAAAAAAAAGCAGCTTTTTCCATTTTTCCTCAGAAATTTTCTACTGAAAACCTTGAAAATCGAACAGTTGGAAGCTAATTTTCACCTCGGAACTTGATTTTTCTGCTCATTCATCCTGAATTTTCGTTGAAGGGAATCCGAAAAATTCAATAAGAAAAGCTGATTTTTTTGATTTTTTTCCAATTGAAAAAAAGGTTATAAAAAAAGCCTTTATAAGACATTTTCCTACTGAAAAACTATAAAAAAATCGAATAAATCGAGCTGTTAGAAGCTAATTTTCGCTTCGTTTTTTTGATTTTTGAGATCCAATTTAAGCAAAAAGAGTTTCTCCTGTTTCTCATTGATTTTTTTCGATCAGAAGTATAGTTTCTGTAATCATAAAACTTCTAAAACAAATTCAAAATAAAAAATTTCGAGCTTTTTTTCCGCGAAAACGTGGGTTCAAAAAAAATCGCAAGGTCTCAAAATTTTGAAAAAATCTCTTTCATCCTTTTAATGGAATCTACCTGATATTCGAAGAACACATAAAATATTTTCGATCCAATAACTAACTGAATTTTCCGTTGAAATACAAATGTAGAAGCACAGAAACGTATTTGATACAGGGAAAATTCGGAAAAAGGAGAAAACTTTATAAATCAACAAATAAAAAAAATTATTTCTAACATTTCAGGACAAAATCACAAGAAACAACATTGCACAAAAAACAAGAACTTTGGATGTTTTAAAAAGTGGATAAATTCGTTGCAAATTGAACAGAAAACGAGAAAAGAGGCACTTTCAGTATTGTAATCAACAAACTAATCAAAAAATCCTGGAAGATCCTAAGAGACGTTAACAACACTTAAGGGCTCACTGAGAAGCTCAGTTTTCCAGGGATCTCTGGATGTACTGAGAAACTTTGAAGTGGTCCCTAGAGGCAGTTTTCTAGGCTTCACTGAATCATGAAATCAAGTTTTTTTGAGTGCGGTAGAGCGAAGATTCGATCCGGCCAGTGTCCGGCGGGACAGGCGAATCGTTCCCGTCAATTCGTCGCGGCCAAACCATTGCACCGTGATTTTGTCGCCAACCTGATTATTCACAATGATTATTAACGAAAAATAATTATCACAGTTGAAAAGAAAGCTATAAAATTGGAAGAAAAGCGGTTGAAAGTCATGAGAACTTGAAAAATGAAGGCTGAGAAGGGTAAATCGTAGAAAAGCGCTTTTGATAGGCTTGAATAAAAAAATTGAGTCAGGAAGAGACATCAAAAGAAATTTTAAAAAACTATATAATTGATAGGAAAACGGTTGGAAGTCATGAGAACTTAAAAAATCGAGACTGTGAAGAGAAAATCGCAGAGGAAATGTTTTTTTTTTGGTTCAAATGAAAGTTTGAGGTCTAAAAAATCAATAAAAACAGTAGAAGTATGGTTAAAAGCCAGGAATATAAGTAAAAATTGATCAAAAAAGTTGAAAATTAAGAAAAAAGCCATTAAAAGCCACGAGAGCTTGAAAAAAATCGGGGCTGAGAAGGAAAAATCGTAGAAAAATGGATTTTTTTTTGACTCAAATGAAAATGGAGGTTTTAAAAATAATAGGACTGTTATAAGTATGGTAAAGCCAGAAAAATAATTCGAAATCGGCGAAAAAAAAAACCTTAAAATTGATAGAAAGCGGTTGAAAGTCATGAGAACTTGAAAAGAAGGGAAAATCGAAGAAAAATGACTGATTTTTGGCGAAAATTGAGGTTTAAAAAATTAATAGAAACAAACAGTAGAAGTATGGTTAAAGCCAGGAATAGACGCAAAATTGGTTAAAAAACTTCAAAATTATGAGAGGTCAAAAGCCGTGAGAATTTGAAAAATCGAGAAGGAAACATCGTAGAAAAATGGATTTTTTTTTTTGGTTCAAATGAAAGTTTGAGGTCTAAAAAATCAATAAAAACAGTAGAAGTATGGTTAAAAGCCAGGAATATTAGTAAAATTGGTCAAAAAACCTTGAAAAATTAAGAAAAAAGCCATTAAAAGCCACGAGAGCTTGAAAAATCGGGGCTGAGAAGGAAAAAGCGTAGAAAAATGGGTTTTTTTTTGGCTCGAAACATATTATTAATGGTAATAAGACTGGTAGAAGGATGGTTCAAAACCAGAAAAAGTTAGGATAACTTGAAAAATCGAGGCTGAAAGGGGAAAGTTGCAGAAAAGCTGGATTTTTGCGCTTCATGGAGAATTTCGGAGAAGAAAACGAACACGGAAAAATGTAATTTTATCAAATCTAAGACTCAAAATCGAAAAATCATGAAACTTAAAGCACAAGTATTATAGTTCAACCCCTTTTCAAAATGAAAGGCCAGACCTTCATTCCAAGAGCGCTGGGATGAGAGATGGCGGTGGCGCTGAGTTGGCCGTTGCTGACGAAAACTTTCTGAGATCCGCCCGGCAGGACGACTTGGACACCTTTGTTCAGCACCTGTAAGCTTTTTGAAGCTTTTCAGAAACTCTCTAGAAATACTAAAAATCTGGCTGGGTCTTTCAATTCCTCCAAGCCAAAATCAGTCTTCTCAGAGTAGAGCTAAACTTTTGGGAACCTTAAAATTGGACAAATATTTTCAAAGCTAGAAGAGATACTTCTTGGAGACCTTCTAGAGTTTCTGAAGCCTCCCAAAAATTTCAAAACTATCTTGAACTCTTCAAAAACATTCTTAAGCTTTCTGAACACTTCAAAAACTTCCAAACCCCCAAAAATTACTTCGAAACCCCTCAAAGACCCCCAAAACTCAAAAAAGTATCAAAAAATCTCCATTTTCCTTCTTTTTTGGTCCATTTTTTGACTAACCTCCGCGATTTCCACGTTCAAAAACTGGCCAAACGAGTACTGGACATTGCTCGTGTCGATGGTAAGTCTGGAAAAAATCATATAATTTTTTTTCTAGGAAAAATCAATACTTATTGATCATTTCTTTAGCCGCCTCGAGCTTTTCCTTGTTCGGCGCGAGGAGAAGAACCATGTTTTCCTCATCCGAAGATATCTGGGATTTATTAATTTTTGGGTTTGATTCGGAAAAAACTTCAGAATTGAACACTTTTGTTGAAATAATCCTCTCGGATTTCGGTGATGAAAACCGAACGTTTCTCAGCATTTCTAGGAACCACTTAAGAGCCCTACCGCTACTAAAAAAAAAGGGGTAACTAAAAATTTTCCGACACGTCCGATTCGCGTTACCAATGTCTAAGAAAGAAACAGTTTTAAAAAAATCAAAGGTCCGTCAAAAATAATTTTTTTTTTTCTAATTTCAGCAATGGAGCGAACTAAGAGGACTAAAATCCGCCCTTTTTTCCTATACCTTGACATCCGTGGCCGTCTCAATCATTTTTGCATTATAGGCTCCATTTCTGAACAAATTCGCCCTTCGGAAAGGCTCCATTTTGAGATGTTCGAAGACGGGGACAGTTGACTTGAACTCCTCGCTGAAAATGATCATTTTCTCGATCCATTTTCAAAAAAATATCGTTTTTATGAACTTTATAGCTTAACGAAACCTGTTTGTGAAACTTTTCAATTCGTTGAAAGCTCTATTTTCAGGCTGAAAATCACAAAGTTTCAAAATGTCCATTTATTAACTATAATTCAACTATAAATGCTCAAAGTCGTTCAAATTTACTTAATAGACGTTATTTTTCATTTCCTGATAACTTTAATGAAAACTTGGAACGAGATGTCAACAGTATAAGTTTAAACAAATCTACACTTTTCTTTCAAAAGTTCAATTTTTTCATATTTAAATTCAATTTTGGCTGGAGCAAAATTTCTTTTCATCCCTTCAACAAAAACCGGTACGAACCGAGGTTTGCTCCGAACGGCGTTCATTTTATTCAGGACGAAGTCGACGCCCTTTTGGCCAGCAGCCATGGCTTCACTGAGCTGTTTCCGAGTCATTCCAGGTATTTTCATGTCGAGTTGGATGGCCGTGAAGCCCTTGGAAGTCCCTGTAAGGGTCATTTTTTGATCAGAATGGACTCTTTTAACTTCATTTCAAGTTTTGTGCAAGCTCAAACAAAAACTACTTTTCTGGTCACGCCGACTCCCAATTTTCACTACCCAGAGGCATTAAAGCTTGGGAAAAAGTGTTAATTTTCCCAATAATGATCTATTTTCTCCCATCAACACCTCCGTTCAACTTCCAAACCACTCTAGTGACACCTTGACACCTTTCAAAACAATTATCCAATCACAAAAACCCTCCAAAACGGTCAAATCGACCAACGCTTTTTGAGCCCCTCTGGCATGAGAACCCAATTTGTGGGCGGAGTCTATCAAGCTCAACTTCCAAACCACTCTAGTGACACCTTGACACCTTCAAAGGTAATTATCCCAATCACAAAAAACCTCCAAAAAGGTGTGAATACACCAACCCTTTCTGGGCCCCTCTGGCATGAGAACCCAAATTGTGGGCGGAGTCTACCAATCAGTATAAATAGGAGCTCTCAGGTAACCAAACTACCTTTCCTAATCGAATCCCAACAACTGATCAATCGCCATATTACCACATTCTTTCTACTATTATTATTCTGACAACCAGGTTGGTTTTTTTCTTTATTTCTTTGCTAATTTTAATCATTTTCTATAAAACCTATCTCCTTTTTCTGCTTTTTTTGCCTATTTTTCGCAAACTTTTTTTGAAAAAAAGGAAAAAGTTTTTTTAAATCAAAACCCGAAGTTTTTTTTTTGCTCATTTCCTTTCGAAAAAAACCTATAGTTACAATTTAATAACTTCGAAAAAAACGCAAAAAAATTATTTTTTTCAATCAAGTCGATTCTCGTTAAAAACTATTCGAAGAACTTCAAGAATCGGATAAATTTAATTTTTTTGAAATTCAGTATTTATTTTTTTATCGTTTTAAATTTCCAGTTCCTACATAAAAAAATGGAAGCCATTGATATCGATTCGATCGTCGCGAAAAATCGTCGAGAAGGCCACCTTCCAGAAGGCGCAGCAGATGGCGTTGAAGCAGTGGCAAGCACGTCTTCATCTTCTGAAGACGTGTGACCAAGAAGTACTGAAGCAGTTCGAGAAACTAGAATTCTATGTGAGCTTTGACGTCCTTTCTTGTGAATAATCCCTTCTAGTTGAAAGTTGAAAAGTTTTTTAGTGTGTATTGGCTAGATTATTAGGTATTTGGAACTGTATAGTTAAAAAGGGAACAAAAACTTTTTGAAAATATTGAAAATTTTTCAGTTGCATGAAAAGTGAGAAAATGTCTGGATTTTCCCTGAGAATGTCTTTAATAAAAAAATACTTTCTAAAAACAAAAAAGGTCAAAAGAATAACATATTGATCTTTTTCAGTTCGAGCTCACGTTGAAGATGAGAGGTGTTTACAATTTCACGTCTACGGATGCCCGGTGGATGATTGTGAGCCTTTCTTTTTCGATTATTCTTTTTAGCCAGCTTCATGCTCTTAGTTATGGCTTTAAAACCACAAGATGTTTGAAAAGCCTGAAAGGGCTCCATTTCACCTTGAAAGCTTCCAAAATCCCCAAGTATTCTGCAAACCTAAAGTCCCCTAAGAAAATCCTAAAACCTTTAAAAGCAACTTAGCGCAACATTGAGAATTTTCTGAAGTCTGACGTCGTTAGTATCTTTTTGGCTTTCAGAAAATAGCCCAGAAGATGCTCACAACGCTCGACGACGAACTGGTCGTCGTCGAGAAGGAAATCATGGAGCTGGACGACCTTTATCGGAGGACTGGCCAAGGAGTCGCCTTGACGGCCCAGGAAAAGGCGTTCGACATTCGCCAAGAAATCCTCCGACTCAATGAAGCGCTTTTACACTTCCAACACAACTGCGTTAGTTTTTGAATTGATTTTTGAAAGAATATCGCTTTTATTTCAATATTCTAAGCGTAAGAAGCCTTCTCCTTCATCTAAAGTTCTCCTTTTTCACGAAATCCCATCAAGAAATAGATATCAGAATCAAAAAAGGGTTTCGACGAGTATTCAGTACACTTAAGACAATCTCATTGTTCAAACAAACTTTTTTCTAGAAATACGAGATGATCTACGCTCTGATGATGAAGGAGCTGAGGAGCAACTTGGGAAGACTACAGTACGCCATATCTAAAGTGCCCAGGTTCGAGGAAATCCGTCAAAGCTCAATTTTGAAGGTTGTTATATAAATGTACATTATGGTTCCTGTTTCTTTATATTTGTGACTGTCAATGCCTTAACTTCATACCCCTTATTATTTCCTAAACTGTAAAGTCATCTTCTTTCATTATTTTTGATTATCACTTTTTGAGCTTCAAGTTCTTTCCCTACTTTCTCAATTTCTTAACTACGAGGTAAATACAGGCATTCCCATCATCTATTCATTTTTTAACGGTTCCTTATTATATTCCTGGTATATTTTCGAGTATCCAATTGTATTATTTAATAATTTTATTGTATTCTTGTTGTATTTTGTATGATGTTTTGTATCCTTTATTAATAATTCTAAATTCTTGTCCTATTCCGTGTCTTTTCTATTGTTGATTTTGGTTTTCTTTTTAATGAATCTGGTTAAAAAAAATTTGTTAATTCGCTCAAGAAAAAGAATCCACACTGAAAAATTACTGGTACTTCTATAAAAGTTTGCAAGTTTTTGAAAATTTTTAATTTTATAATCAATAAATTCGACTAAAAAAACTTTGTTTCAAAAAAAAAAAATGAGATGAACTAATTGCTCCTTTTTTCTAATTCTAACTCTACCAAAAGCGTCGGTCAAGCTCATTTCTTCAAAAAATGTGTTGTCTTCTCAGCTCCTAATTTTTCCCCCACCCAGGCTGGGGCAACAAAGAAAAATGTGTTAATTTTTCTATTATAGTCTGTTCAGATTTTTAATTTCAAGTGCAATGACGTCATTGAAAAACACTCCGTGGATGGCTCGCTCTTTGATTGGTTTATCGCGTCATTAGGGGCGGAGCTTGAGCGACGACTTGACATTCAAAATCTGAACAGACTATATTTCTCGTCAAGACCTCCGCTCAAATCAGAAATCTTTCTAGTGGCTTCTAGACACCTCGCAGAACAATTATCTCAATAAAAAACCTGAGAATTCATCCAAAAAGGTGTGATCGACAATTCTGTCACTTTCTCGGCCCCTATGGCATCCGAAAAGTGGGCGGAGTCTATATATCATTATAAGTAGGAGCTCTCAGGTAACCAAACTATAGTCTGTTCAGATTTTAAATTTCAAGTTCTCGCTGAAACTCCGCCCCCAATGACCAATCAGAGAGCGAGCCATCCACAGAGCGTTTTCGAATGACGTCATTCTACTTGACATTCAAAATCTGAACAGACTATACCTTTTCTAACCGAACTGCTTGAACACTCGGAGAATTGTTACCTGCAATTTTGAAGTCCATATCGCCGGCGTAGTCCTCGTAGCCCATGATGTCGGTCAGGACGCGGTAGTTCTCGTCCGGCGACGTCGGATCCGTCAGAAGGCCGATGGCCACTCCGGCCGCCGGGGCCTTCAGAGGGACTCCGGCGTCCATCAGCGCCAAGGAGCCGGCGCAGACCGACGCCATCGAGGAGGATCCGTTGGACTCAAGAACTTGGCAGGCCAATCTGACCGCGTAGGGGAAATCGTCGGGAAAGACGTTCTTTAGGGCTTTTTCGGCCAGGGCGCCGTGTCCGATTTCTCGCCTGTTGGCTGCGCGGGAGGTCTGGAAATTGAACTTGAGCTTCGGCTTAATTGCAACCTTTACTATAGCCGATTCACGGCTAACTAGGGCGTGGCGTGTCTGCGCTCTCCACCAACCAAGTACTATCTCTTTGCTATCGTGTCAGGACCCTTTTTCGATGGCTCCAGCCGGCCGTGAATCAGCTATACAGAGCTACTAGCGTTTTCCAATACCGAATAAATACAACTAAGCAAATTCGGATTAAAAAGCGAGATATTCGGGTCATTTTTGCTGATAAACTTTCTAAAGGCGCATAGCCAAATTCTGAAGGTCTCAAGGGGAAGATCGGTTTTAGGTCATTTTCCGCGGCTTTAAAGGCCTCATTAACATATTGAAAGAAATTAAATTGATTATCGATAATTTTTGAAGAAAATTCCGCCCTTTGTCGCAAAAAATTTCGTTCAGAAAGAGTTTATAACTTTTTTTTTTGGAGCTTTTTATCATTTTCTCCTCAAATTCATTGTTCATATCTAGTAAAAGTCTCACTTTTGCAGCTTTTTAGCTATTAAAAATTTGAAAAATTTAATAGACAATGGTTCATTTTCAAGCCGACTTAGAAAATGTCTTAAGAAACCAATTTTTTTTCTGATTTTCGTCGACTTTTTTGTTAGGTATGTTTGGATTCTACTTCCACCTAAAAATAAAATTTTCAAAAATCAGAAGAAAATCGTCTCTGATAGTCTGTGAATTGAACCTTTTCCACAACCTCCCTATACTTTTTATTCTATTTTTTCCCTTTTTCCTGGAGTTTCGTCAAATTTTAATACAATACCAACCGAAATCTCGTTGACCGCGTAGCCGGGGAACTCGTAATGAAGCATGAAAGACTTTTTGCGTTGGGATCCAAGAAGTTGGGCGACAGAATCGGGATGGAAGGCTGCAGACGGACTGTCGAACGTCACTGTTGACATTACCTGGAATTCCAGGTGTATTCCCATGTTTTACAGTTTCAAAGAACAGCTTTAAAATTGATCAAAAGCCATCTCAATGTTTCAGAGAAGGATTCGGAAAAAACAGCTTTGTTGAGATTTTTCAGCTTCCTCAAATCTAACTTTTGTTTAGAATATACAGTAACGATAATTCCGCCGATATTGATTGGTTTGAGCTGAAATTCCGCAGAAATGTATTAATCAGAGTGACCAAAAATATTGCAAAAAATAATCATCCTACTCGGAGTCAAACCTGAGAAAAAATTTTTTCAAAAAAATTTGTGAAATACGAAAAACTGCCGTACAACAATAAACATGCGAAGGAAAAAAATTATACGATGAGTAAAATACATTTTCAATATAAAAATCTGAAAAAAATAGAGTTATTATTTTGTTGCATGACCATATATAGAAACTTGACTAAATTGTACTTCCAGACTTATTGATTTTAGAAAAAGAGAATTTTTTTAGCTTCAGCTCTTTTTTTCGATTAATAAAGTTTCAAAGACCCTCAAACTACATAGGCCATTGAAAAAAAGCATTATTTTGAACTTTTCAAGCTTCATAACTCGAAAAATAATCAACTTTATCTTTGTACAGATTCAAGAAGTTCTAAATATCTTTCCAGCCAAATATCATCAAAAATTACACAAACTGTGGCTAAAAATAAGCTCCTTTTTCAAGGAATTTCTCTTGAAACTTTCCCTGAAAAATGAATAAAATGATACTTTTGACATATTAATTGTTAACTAGATTGTACAAATTTCTAAAAAAAAAGTTCAGATTTTGTTGGAATTAATATTTCTAAAACTTTTTCGCCAATTATAAATTATTTTCGGGTAACTAGAGATGTACCAACCACTTTCTAACAGCCCCTAAAGATTTGAAAAAAATCGCTGTCTTGATTAAAAATTCTAGATTTTTGTTCTGAACTTTTTTCGGTTTTTATTCTGAATCTTCCGATTTTTGTTCTGAATTTTTCCTAGAATCGATAACGATATTCACTTGAGTCTGTCCTCGCTGGAACAATGAACATCCATGTAACATGGGATACATGTCGATGTCGATATTAATCGGCCTGAAATCTTCCAATCTCCTCCCGTCGCAACGCGTATTCGATTCCTGGACAATTTCCCTATAAGTTTATATTTTTTTTTCTACAGTAGATCCAGTCAAAACCTCATGATTTTCTTGCCGAGTTTGTAAAACGTTTCCTGAACTACTTCACATAGCATCCCCTCCACGTCAGATGACGAAAGGACGTCTTCGAGGATTTCCTAAAGTTGGAAATCGCCAATTTACAAGAAAAAAACGGAAATAGTGTTTTATTTATTTTCCACGGTTCCTGGGACACAAGACATTAACGGGAACGATGATTTATTTTTGGTTTGAATGTAAAAAAAAGGCTATATAAATTTTTCGAGTACCGGTTCAACTTGCAGCTCCCAAAAGGATGGAGATACAGATTTGCAGCTCCCAAAAGGTTGATGATATAGATTTGCAGCTCCCAAAAGGTTAAAGATATAGATTTGCAGCTCCCAAAAGGATGGAGATACAGATTTGCAGCTCCCAAAAGGTTAAAGATATAGATTTGCAGCTCTCAAAGGTTAGTGATACAAATTTGCAGCTCCCAAAAAGTTGGAAAAACAGACTTGCAGCTCCCAAAAGGTTAGAGAAATAGACTTGCAGCTCCCAAAAGGATGGAGATACAGATTTGCAGCTCCCAAAAGGTTAAAGATATAGATTTGCAGCTCCCAAAAGGTTAGAGATACTGATTTGCAGCTCCCAAAAGGTTGAAGATACAGATTTGCAGCTCCCAAAAATTGAGATACATGGGGTTGCCGCTCCTAGAAGATTAGATATACAGATTTGCAGCTCCCAAAAGGTTGAAGATATTATAATTTTTATGCCGTTTTCGTAGTAAAAATAACATGAAAAATTGGGTCTCACAACGATTTCGGTAAATTTTAGCCGCGAATTCAAAAATTTGGCGGGAATTTCACGAATATTCCCAAAATATCTATTTTCTTTTCTCGTTGTGAGACCCAATTTTTCCGCATCCAATTTTGCATATTTCGCGAAATAAATTCAAACTGAAACGCGTCAATATTGAAATAGCGGAAAATACGTTGAACAAGGCTTTGAAAATCGGTATAAAATTACAAAAAACGAAAAAATTGTACAGATTTGAACTTTTGGGACCTTTTTGTGGTACATGAAGGAGGATTCAGAGCGATTTCCTAAGAAATTACTAGCCACTAATTAAAATTACCGTGTCAGTACATGTAAATTATCAGACCTTGATCTCGTTATCACGAGACGTTTTGTCGTGGGTGATGTTGGTGAAAACGTAGTAAAGCCGTTCCCGAGCCAAATTTTCAACAGCCTGGCCGATTGTTCTCTCTCCGGAGACGGAGCGAAGCTGAAACTTTTCAAAATTGAATATTTGAAAAAGGCGGGCGCGCCGTAGCGCAGCAGATTGCGGGCCTGTCTACGGTCCAACGGGTCAAAAGTTCAAACCCCGTCGCGACCCAACCAAAGGGTTTTTCTAAGGCCGTTTGGGCTTATTTAAAATCCTGAAAGGACCTTTTGGGGGCGATATATTGACGATATCGCGAATAAACCGCAATGTCGCCGCGCCAGTATCGCATTTTTCTAGGCGCGACATCGCGTTCCTCCAGAGCTCAAAAATTGAAAATATCCAAAGTGCAAGGTAGCGCGAAATCAAAGCGAAATGGTGGAGATCAGCGAAAATAGACCTAAAAAAATGCGAGATCGCGCTGGAAATATGCGGAATATCTGAGAAAAAAGCGATATCGCGCAAAAATGCGATGTCGGTTAAGAAAAATTTTAGAACTGGCGCGGTATATCTAAACAGCAAGGTCGCGCGAAAACAAAGCGAAGCGGTTGGAAATCAGCGAAAAAACAGGCCGAAAATAGCGACATCGTGCCAAAAAATGCGATATCGCGCTAAATATGCGATATCGCGCTAAAAATTTCAAAACTGGCGCAGTTACAACGCAGCACTTTCGCGAGATCGTCAATGTACCGCGCACCGTCCTCATTTCAGCGACAGTGAATCGAAAAATCCGAACTTTGGCTTTCACCGGTTTCCTGTCGGCCGCAAGTCCTTCCATGGCGATTAGAAGATGTTCAACCCGTTCAAAACCGACATCCAAGGCTTTTTCAATCGTTTCCATCGAAAACTTGCTGGAAAAAAACTTGTATTTTGACTTTTTCTCCTGCGCTTTTTTTCATACTTTTCCATCAAGTTCGATCATCACAGTCCTCTGGCCTTTCTTCATGGCGACGATCATATTGAGATGAGATTTGGAGCACTGTTGTCGGTTTGGGTTGATCATGATCTAAAAGTCGAAAAAAAGATATACTTCTCATCAATATTCTAGCCATGTGGCTTCAGATTTAAAAATTGACAAAAAAGGTCTTGAAACGAAGAGCCGTTTTTGGTGCTATTTAAAGACTTTTAGGACTTCTGCGCCTTTAAAAACCATACTGTAGCCGAACAGGACCCTTTTCAGACCAAAATCAACCGTTCATAAAATTTTATGACTCATTTGCGACTTTTTGACGTTCTGACTTGTCTGCGCTCTCTTTTCTCTGACCAAAGCTGTCACAGGAACACGAAAAGATCATTGAAAGAGTGGAGAGTCGACAAGAGAGAAGAGGGCACAGAGAAGTCAGACTGCTTCAAGTGCTCCTTTAATAGCGTTACTTTTTTGGTTTTTTTTCTTCGAGCTGTTCATCAATTAATATAGTTAAATCGATTAGAGTAATGCTTACCGCGAGGGCGCCGCAAGCGATATCGCTCGCTTCAAGTTTATAAGAAGAAGCGATAAAACAGCGAGATTTTGACGATGTCGCAGCAAAAAGCCTACATCGCCTTCGGAGCGCTGCTCAGATCAAAATCGATCAGAAAAAGTAGCACTATCTCATCCAATATTATAGACTATATCGCAGGGAGAGTAATGCTATATCGCAAGCGATATCGCTCGCTTCAAGTTAATGAGAAGGAGCGATAAGGGAGCGAGATTTTGGCGATGTCGCAGCAATAAGCTTCTGCTATATCGCTTTCGGGCTTAGATCAAAATCGATCAAAAAAGTAGCACTATCTCATCCAATAATACAGACTTTATCGCAGCGAGAGTAATGCTATATCGCAAGCGATATCGCTCGCTTCAAGTTTATGAGAAGGAACGGTAAGACAGCGAGATTTTGGCGATGTCGCAGCAAGAAACCTACATCGTTTTCGGGCCGCTGGTTAGATCAAAATCTATCAACCCAAAGAAAGCAGCACTATTAAAGGACCATCACCGCGAAACAGTCTTGAAGTTTCAAAGGACAACTTTTTTCGAATTTTTTCAAATTTACATTGGAATTTTCATCGGAAACGATGCGGCAAGTGGCGAGAGGTCCATCGAAATCGACTTCCGAGAGTTGCAGGGCCATGGAGGCTGCATTCAGGCCCAGGACGAGCTGATCCCCGTTCTCGTCCAGAACCAGAGGCTTGCAAACGACTTGGACTTCGCAGCATTCCGCTGGGAGTAGCGGTCGGAGGGATCTGGAAAGCGAGGAATTTTTTTCACTTTCAACGAGGAAATCGCAACTCAAAACTGCTAAACAGTGCATTCATCACCCTTTTGAAGCCTTTTCGATTATCTTTGGGGTCATGTACTGTTTGAAAAACGAGACTGGAAGTTTCCCATTTTTGAAGCACCTTTTCAGGTAAAAATATTGGCTTAAAGGTTCCTAAGAGAAAATAGAAAAGTGCGCCCGACCAGAAACGGTTTACGCACGATGGCATCAAATATAAGGAAAGGTAAGGAAAACGAACGAAACACGTTCAGCCATTCCAAATGCGATCTCCAACTTGAAAATCCCATACAAACTCAAAATGATCTTCTTTATGAATCCTACTGTTAAAGCGGATTTTCCCTAAAAATTAGACACTTCTAGATTTTTTCTCGGATTTTCATGACAACAAAGTTTAAAAGATGGCTCATTTTTTAAATCTTCTTAAATTCACAAAAAGCTGAACTCAAAACCTGTCAATGGCCCTCGAAAGGAGAATCTCGTGATCCGACTGGCTCAATTCGCGACGCAAAAAATTGGTCGGAATGCGGCCAACTGCCGCGGCGCTTTGTCTGATAATCAAGATTATCATCAACGAAATTCATAACTTTCTAGAATTCTTAGGAACGCCAGAGTGGTCCCTAGAGGGGTTAGGGAAAAAAATCGCCTATAGAAGGCAAAATATTGCTTTCTAGAGGGGCGAAGTTTGAGTGTTCCCTATAGGGGCTCAGGATCTGAGCTCGAAGTCTCAAAACCTCAAGTGGTCCCTATAGGGGTAAAGTAACCCATTGATTTTTGAATGCTTCTTCTCATGGAGTTACATTCAAAGAAAAACAAGAAACGACTAGGTGCCACTAAAGCTTGCAAAAGTGCCCCCTATAGGGTTAGATAATGTGATCCCTAAAGTGGACCCTTCAAACATCTAAGGTCGCCTCTCTAGGGGCCACACTAGGGTTCCTAAGTAATTTATCGGTTTTTTTTTTCGAAAAATGATATACTCAAGAATGAAAAACCTTCACGAAAGCTTCAAAAAAAGCGTTTTTCTTATGAATTTTCTCTTTTTTTCCATTTTTCTCTAGTCACTCGACATGAAATTCCAAAAGTCACTTGTAGTCGACGACAAGTGTGCCGGGTTTGCTTTTATTCGCGACGCAAGTTGCTAAAATCGCATTTCCACCGCAGGAAGCGACGACGGCGCCGCTGGTGAACCGAGCGACATGCCCTAAATTTTTGAATCGTATTCAAAAATCGGAAAAAAAACTTTCAACGAATATTTACTATAATTAGAATACGACCAGGTCCACAAAATCCTTCAAAACCCGATCAAAATAGATTTAAATTTCAGTTTTCTAGGCACAAAAAATCTCTCTAGAGCTTTTGAAACTCAATGTTGACAAAAAAAAATGGTAGCCCTTGAATTTTGTGAAGTTAGACTCACAACTACATTCTAAGCTTGAAAAATCGGGTCTCAAAAAGACAAATTTAATAAAGAAAAAGTTATCAAAGCAAGTCAAAATTCCCAGGAAATTTACAAATTTTTGAGAATAATTCAACTCCAAATTGGTCTCGAAGAATCAAATCATCTTGAGAAAGCTAGAGTGGTCCCTAGAGGAGCGACCTTATAGGTTTCCCCTTTTAGGGACCACTCAGGTGTTCATAAGGCTTGATAAATTTCAATAAGTGCTAAAAATTTCCTTGGGAAATAATATATCGAATTTACTTTCTAAACAATGTAAATCCCACATGAAAAAAGATTTTTAGGAGCAGATATAAAGTTATAAAGAGTCTCTGCGCCTTTAACCTGGGTCTCAAAGCGAAAATATACAATTTTACAACTTGAAACCATAAAAATCTCAATTTTTTGAATACTATACCAATAATTGAGTTTTCCCGTATTTTCACCTGTTTTCAGTTCTAAACTAGGCCCGTCGTTCAGCTTCACGGAAACCGACTGTTCGCCGGCTTTGATCGATTTCGCATAGAAGCTGAATTTTGGTCGTTTTCTTCAAAAAGAACCCAAAAATCACCTTAAGCTCCTTATCCGCTGAGCTATTGAAGAGTTCATTATCATCGAAAAAGCTCATCTGCGGCTCATTTTTTGAAAAATGCTCTAAAAAATTTTTAGAACTATCATTTCACATTTTGCAGATAAATATCGCTGGTCAAACGCTCGAATGAGAAGTGAAAAACAGGAAAAATCAGAAAAAAAAGTTTATTAAATACAGAAAAAATACAAGGTAAGCATTGGACAAAACAGCTTCGGGAAAAAAAAGGAATTGTTGCTCCACCGATAAAAATTTCAATTTTCGGATTTTAAAGCGTTTCCCATTCAATATATAAAGGAATGGCTATTAAAAAAATTCTGAAAAATACGATTTTTTTGATTTTTTTCAGTGGGATACTTGGCTGAAAGTTCTAATTTTTTTCCTTCAAAAAGAATTTTTTTCAGAAATAACATACACGAAATACACATAAAAATGATCAGATTATTAGAAAAAAATGAAATTAAGGAAATTTCTCAATCGAGTTTCAGGAGGTCAGCACCTGCGAGCTTCGGACGTTTACTGAAAAAAAGAGATTTTAATATTCTGAATTTTTTTTCATAAATCAAATTAATCCAAGAAAAAAATGAACGATTATCCTAAAAATTCATAAAAAAATCATTCAAACCGAAATTTGAGTCTTATTTTTTGCTCTAATGCCGTATTCAAAGTAATTTCCGCAAAATGCAAAATGATCTCTGACTCTCCAAAATTTAGTGATCTTTTCCTTTCTCTAACGGGTATTTTGCATTTCGCGGAAATTACTTTGAACACGGCATAAATTCTGCAACCTTAATTGATCCATAAAACAGCTCTGTAAAGCTAAATGGCAAGTTTTATTGGCCCCAAAAAATTCCCAACTTTTAAGGATAATTTTTTTGATCGCTCAAAATTCTATCCTTTTTGAACTTACACTGAATAGAGTGCACTTCCTCTTGTCTGGTCAGGAATCTTCTTACATTCGAATCGCAAGCGATCAAAATGTACGGCATCGACATGCCGGCCTGAAATTTCGACCATTTTTCGAGGTTTGCAACGTTTTGGTCGCATTTGGAATGGCTCGCGGACTAGTATGAAAACAGCTCGAAATGATACATTTTTCACGACTTTGAGTCGGTTTTGGCGCCAATTCAAAAATTATTGCATTAGTGGAACTCTCAGGGAGTCTATCCCTATTAAGGTGCGAAATTTCCGAAGCAGCTGCATTGAAAATCATCCGAGTATTGATTGAATTTGCGTGGGAAAAATCCGAAAATGCGATAACTTTCGAATTCGCGCCAAAAAAATCGTAAAACAGCTTTGCAAAAAGAAATTTTGATGTTGATTTTCGGAGAAGCGCAAGCCGTTTTAGGTCGGGAATGTGATAATAGCCACTTCGCAGCTTTAGCTGATTAAAGACTAGCTTGAGACGCAAAGGGGGGCGTGGCCTGTCTGCGCTCTCCACCTAAAAATCACTGTTTCGCTTCTTTTCGTGTCAGGACCCTTTTTAAGGTGGCTCAAGCCAGCTGTAAATGAGCTATAAGCCATTCCAAATGCCGCCATAAGCCTGTAGGCCCAAAAATTACCATATCCGTGACAAAAGCCTGCACGAGGACTTGCAATTGGAAAGGGATCAGTTCGACGCCAGTGAAAACACGAAATGCATTCAAGACCTGAACAGGAAATTTCATAATTTTTTTCAACCTCTGACTTTTTGAAGTTAACTATCTATAAAGTTTCATTTTTTTCTTCCAATTTTTTTACTAGAACTTTTCAAATAACCTTCAAAAAAAGCTCGAAAAATTGCTATTCTAGGCTAATTTTTGAACAAGGTCTAAATAATCTTTACAATTTTTTTACTACTCGAAATTTCCGCTTTTCTTGAATTTCATTAAATTTTTTTGAATGTTAAAAAAAGGTACATTAAATCCCAGAAGGCCCAAATGGATCAAAGTCTGTGTAAGGGCGATTCTTGTGATCCGTCTCATTATATCACTGGATTGCTCATCGACGCCTGAAACTTTTTATCTTTTTCAAGGCCATCAGAAAAATCGTCACTGATGATAGCGCGCTCCACGGCTAACTCTTTTTTTGTTTCCAAATATGTTTCTTTTTGTCGATTCTTTTTTGGAGAACCTCCAACCAACTGAAAAATTTTCAAACTCAAAAACTTCAATTTTCGCGCCTTTGGATTCTCCGTGGAGCACACATTCGTGACTACTTTTTGGCGAGGCTTTTTTTCTAATTCAGCAATTTTTGCATTGTTTGTTTTTTCTGCTACTTTTCATCGCGTAAAAAAATTCGAAATTTTTTTATTTTTTTCTGATTTTCAAATTTTAACGGAAACGTTTCTGTTTTCAAACTTCGCTCCTTTAATACAAAAAAATTTGATTTTTTTCAAGCCCTTTTTGCTCTAAAAAGTGAGATTTCGAATTATGAATCATCAAATTTTACATCTTCAAATCAAATTTAAGCTTTAGAATTAGCTCAAAAACACTTTCACTTTTTTTCCTTTCACCTTGCAGCAGCCTAGACATTGTGAAGAAGTTAATAATGACCAGAAGCATGTTGAAAAAGAAGAAGAAAATGCTTAGGAAGGAAACTAACACAATGAGAACGTCGCTGATTCTCTGAAATTTTTCGGAAAACCATTGAAAAGCCTTTGAAATTCAGAATATAGCTTATTTAAAAAAATCTGCTCACTGAATCATAATAAGGCAGAACGAGGCCGTCTTTCATGACGTATTTGGCATGGAAATTGCCGAAATAAAACAAGGGACTGATGCCGATGAAGCATAACATCATGGAAGCGAAGTAAACTGGCAAGACGTACCTTTTCCAGAACTAAAAAATCATGTTTTACATTTTTAGCATTTTTAAACTCCGGAAAAGTCTAAAGTTGGCGCTTTTTTTGCTCGAGTTATACTGACCGCGGTTTTTCTTAACCTATTTTTTTTTTCTTCTTCTCAACTGGCTCATCTGCGGCTCATTTTACACTTCCCAGAACTGAAAATTCTGATTTGCTTTTTCATCTGAGCATTTAAAAACTCTGGAAAAGTCCCGAAATTCGCGATCACTGTTTTGCCAACCTAATCATACATGGGCTAACCAACTACTTTTTTTGTGACGTCATCACGTACCCCTTGAAAAAAAGTACGTACTCCCCTCGAAAAAAAGTACGTACCCCCCGCGGAAAAACTATCAATGTGAAATGATTATTAAAGTTAAGATAAAAAAATTAAGAGAGACTATTATCTTGTTTCGCGGGCTTTTGGAAGTATATTCAGCTAGGTGTCAATACTCCAAAAACAGAAATATTTCAACTTTTTAGCGTAGACCCCCCAAAAATCCGAAAAATCGATCTGTTTTCAATGTTATCCTACATTATGAAGTGAGTTTTATGATCTGGCCAAGTTTCAAGCCGCTTGGATGAGTTTTTAAGAAAAAAATAATTTTTTTGGGTCACCGGAAATTGATATTTTTGAATTTTTTTGAATTTTTTTGGCTCAAAAATCACTATCAACCTCGAGTTAACGCTAAATAAGGTATATGCTTCAAGTTTCCAGGCTTCCGGACGTTTTTTTGACCAAGTTAGAGTGTTTCAAAGCGTTATCACTTGACGGTTTGCGTACCCCCGTACTCCCCCAAAAATCCGAAAAATCGATCTGTTTTCAATGTTATCCTACATTATGAAGTGAGTTTTATGATCTGGCCAAGTTTCAAGCCGCTTGGATGAGTTTTAAGAAAAATAATTTTTTGGGTCACCGGAAATTGATATTTTGAAATTTTGAATTTTTTGGCTCAAAATCACTATCAACCTCGAGTTAACCCTAAATAAGGTATATGCTTCAAGTTCCCAGGCTTCCGGACGTTTTTTGACCAAGTTAGAGTGGTTCCCGACCGCGACGCATGGTGGCAAAATTTACGCTTCGCTTGCACTGTGTGTTAACGCCGTGAGGATGAGTTGAAAAAAAAATGAGCGTTAGGGTGAAATTTTCTCTAAATCAAATATGTTGTAGAGCACGATTTTTGGAATTTTTAAAAAAAAAACTGAATATCATCACTAGAGCCGTTTCCGAGATACGGTGGCTCAAAGAAGTACGGTAGACCCCTTCGAAAATCTATATCTTGACAAAAATTCGACGAAACTCAACCAAAGTTTGTAATAAGGTGCAATATAATTTTATTCAATTTTTAAAAATCTATCACTTCATTATTGCTTATTATTGCTCATATTAGAGAGTTTTTCTCAAAAAAATCAAAACCAGTATATGACGTTGCGGTCCAGCGTTTTGTCTTGTTGCTATCGGAACCACAAAAAAAAATACTCTATCTACTGAGCAAAACATGAATTAGGCGAGTTTTCCATCTAAGACCCGAAAACTCCAGAAACCTGTAATTTTGGGTAAGATTACCGAATAACTTTTTTATCTCGTGTTTTTTTGGATTGAAACTACCGAAATCGAGATCAGCATGCATTCTTACATCTACTAGGTCATTTCTCAAAACGAAACAAGGAAAAAAATCGAAATTTCAAAACATCACTTTCCGGTGACCCAAAAAATTATTTTTCTTAAAACTCATCCAAACGGCTTGAAACTTGGCCAGATCATAAAACTCACTTCATAATGTAGGATAACATTGAAAACAGATCGATTTTCGGATTTTGGGGGAGTACGGGGGGGTACGCAAACCGTCAAGTGATAACGCTTTGAAACACTCTATAGTCTGTTCAGATTTTGAATGTCAAGTCGTCGCTCAAGCTCCGCCCCTATTGGTGCGATAAACCAATCAGAGAGCGGGCCATCCACAGAGTGTTTTTGAATGACGTCATTGCACTTGACATTAAAAATCTGAACAGACTATAACTTGGTCAAAAAACGTCCGGAAGCCTGGAAATTTGAAGCACATACCTTATTTAGGGTTAACTCGAGGTTGATAGTGATTTTGAGCCAAAAAATTCAAAATTTCAAAATATCAATTTCCGGTGACCCAAAAAATTATTTTTCTTAAAACTCATCCAAGCGGCTTGAAACTTGGCCAGATCATAAAACTCACTTCATAATGTAGGATAACATTGAAAACAGATCGATTTTCGGATTTTGGGGGAGTACGGGGGGTACGCAAACCGTCAAGTGATAACGCTTTGAAACACTCTAACTTGGTCAAAAAACGTCCGGAAGCCTGGAAACTTGAAGCATATACCTTATTTAGGGTTAACTCAAAGTTGATAACGATTTTGAGCCAAAAAATTGTAGATTTCCAGAAATCATTTTCTTATGGGGTCAGATGTTGATTATTTTTTTAAATTTTCCAAACGGCTTAAAATTTGGTGATCATGTATGTATCATCCATTGGTACCATTTAAACTAGAATTCAGGTCCATTTATCAGCTCTGGAATTTTTTTTAAGGCTATTTCTACGATTCCCCGCGATTTTATCTACCGTTCGGAGCTAGGCAAAAAGATAGGCAACGAATTTCCTACTAAATGTACTTTGAAAAGCTCGATAAATAATATGGATGCATTTTCCGCGGCTTAGAAAGCCATCTGAATGAATAGGGGGGCCCGAAAGTGAAAAACAGCCTGTTAGCCCACGTATGAACCTAATATACCGTAATATATTTTTTTCTGCGGATAAATTTTCTTAACTAACGACTAGTTTGAGGAAGCAGTTTCCACAAGTCTATCGTTCTCCCCTTTCAGTCTTCAACTAAATATGTTTACCTTTGAAAAATACGTCTCTTTTGTTGGTGGCCTATTTATGAGAGCTAATTTAACCGCGGCTGTTTTCGCAAAACTTTCCGATATCACTAATTTTTGAGCTTATGCTCCTAAGGCTTGTTTCCTTGCTTTTTTGAGCGGCTCTAAAAAAAATCATAACTACTTCGCTGCAGCTATTTTGGACATCTATTCAAACAGCCGCTTTTTTTTCTCAATTATCAAGATAGTGACAATTTTTTTGGCTATTTCGGTCAGAGAGCTCACTTTTTATTAGATTTTTTTTTACTGTCTGCATTTTCTCTACTATTTCATTTGACCAATTTTAGGTCAATTTTATACAGAAAGAGCTGAAAAGAGAGATTTTTGATAGTATTTTTCAGTATATTTCCCAAGAGGAGCATTTTTCGAATTCAGATTTTGGACTTAAATAAAGGTCCTTATTCAAATCAACACCAAAAACCTGATTGGATCGAAAGAACAGAGCTGTGGTGAGTCGATGGATGCTAATAAGTATAGAACTGATATTTTGGGCTTGGCCGAACCTCAAACCATTCAAAAATTGTTTCTGAACATGAATTACTCGAAATTCACCATATATTGAACTCTTGCGTTAGCGGCAGGATTATATACGCCTTATAATAGAAGAAAACCCAAATATCGTTTCTAAAATCCTCCATCATCAGTTTGATAGTGAACCAAACGTTCAGGCAGCATAAAAAGTTCTAAAAATTTTGAATCTAAATGTTTTTCTGAACGTAAAGTTACCATAAACAAGTCGCACTGGACAATGCGATAGAACGAATTTTTGAAGTTCTTGGTGAAGAGAAGAAAAAAGAAAATAATCATCAAAATGAATGATGGAACTCCATAAATGATGAAAATGACGTTGAGGAAAATCATTGGCGAGGATTTCGAGTCGACAAAAAAATGAGAAAAAAGCTTGGTTTTATAGAAGGCCAGAAAATTATAGGGCTTTCGAAGTTTTGAAACCGTTAATTTGAGTAATAATGCGTATTTGCCACTCATCCTAATTATTATAATCATTGAAAAAATATTTCCTTTGATTCTCAGTTGCAGGTTTCGAGTTCTCGTGAACCGAGGAAAAGGAAATGTTTCTGCGAAACTAGAAAAAAGAGCAAAGTCCAAAAATAAGAAAAATAGAGTATACGATAAGCCTTTCAAAAAAACATTCGGAACTTCGTTTTCTTTGAAATTTCTCTACATGTCAATTTTTTTAAAAATCAAAATTAAGGTCTTTCAACTTTCGAAAAAAATAATCTTTTTTTATTATTTTTTTTCTTTCAACTACTATTCTGATTATTATAATTTCTTTCCCATACTTCTTTAAGGTGAATTGAAAGAAGGAGCAATAAAAAATGATTATTGAACATTTCCTACGCTCAAAAACTATTCGAAACGTTCAATTTGTTTGATTATTGCTTCGGAATCGCATAATTAAAGCAAAAAAGGTTAGAAAAAAAAATACCTTCTGTGTGGTGATCATTCAAATTTTGGGTTAAAGAAAAGTTTCAATGAAAAAAATCCAAAAACTCGTGATTATATTTTTTTGCGACGAAAAATAGCAACAAATGAGAAAAAAATATTTAAAAACTAAGAAAATGCGAAAAAGGCGGAAAAACTTGGTTTGAAGCATCAAAATTTCGAGCTTTTTGAAGCATATTCTTTCTGAAGAAGTAATTCAAAAAAACGTCAAATTTTGAATTTTTTTAAAAATTTTAATTTTCACCTGTGCAACTGTTCAATTTGAATATTTCGTAACTAACCTCAATCTCCTCAAGAGCTGATCTACTGAAAAAGCCCATTCTCATCGCGAGTTATCACCTGAATTTATTTCAATAAATTAAAAAAAGCCCCAAATTTTTTTTCTCTCTGTGCTGTTTGAAAATCCGAGAAAAAAATGGTCTCTTAAAGAGATTTTTTTAAAAAAAGAAAAAAACCAAACGACTTATCGACAAAAATGATGGATTTCAACTTCAAAAAAAAACCCTAACTATCTCGGAAAGATTCTGCAAACAACCGATAAAAATATGCCAAGTGAACTCTCGACCAAACTTTCTTCAAATTTCGCAACAGTCCTTGTCCAGGAGAAGAGAAATTTACTAACAGCCAACAATTAATATATACCACAATAAATCAAAAACAAAAAATAGTGTTAAAAGCAGTGAACAGCCTTACGAGGGCACGGGGGATAGGGTGAAATAACCGAAAATATCAACGATAAGGACACCGAAGCCAAAAAGGGAATAAAACGCCAAGCGACCGGTTGTTCACAACAAAAAGAAAAGAATAAGAGAAACAATACTATCTAACTTCGTGAATTAAGGCAAAGAAGAGTGGTACCCACTAAGCTACATAAAAAAAGATAACGAGCTGGTGTTAAATTTCTTAAAGAACAAGTGCAATATCAACGTGAAGAGGTGAAAACAGAGTGCTTCGAAAGGGGAGGAAAATCGTGAAGTTCTGATTATTCAAACTACCGAGTGATATACTACATTCACCACTGGCTTTTGGTCAAGGAATACGCGAACTTGCTCGTAAATGCTTTCCATGCAACAAATCAAGCGCGAATCCTTTTTAAGCGTATTGAGTGGTAAATGGAGTCCACCAGCTCAACCCAAATCCATAACACAATCGAGAGAAAAAAAATAGGCCAACAAAAAGGAAGAAGAAATCAGAAATCAAATAAATAGATCAGAGAGAAAGGTAGTGAGAAAAACACACGCAACAAGTAGAAAAAGGAAAGAAGAGAACGGAAACAATTTCACACCCTAATCGGTTGATCTATTTCGCCTTCTCTGCGGCAGGTTCAGCGGCTTTCTCGTCCTTGGCATCGCCTTCCTTCTTGGCGTCCTTCTTCTTCTTCGGCTTCAGGGCCGACTTGAGTGTTTTCACGAGTTCGGCGTCCTGAAATTTTGGAATATTTTGTACAAGAACCGCCTTTAGCTGAAATTAACCTTAAATCATCGACAAAAAGAAACACATTTGGAAAGACAAAAAGAGTTCTACGGAGGCTTTATGGATGATTCAAGGTTACAAGCTTTACATAAACTAAAAAATCAAAAAAAAAAAAAGACAAACCTTAAGGGTGGCAGTGGGCTCATAAACGTCGGCTTCGAGAGGAAGGCCGGCGATCTTCAATAGTCCGTTTGGCATGACCAAAACGGTCGCCTTAAACTGAGCCACAACGTCTCCTTCCTTCTCATACAAGACCTGAATTTTTCCAAAAATGAATCAAAGATTACTCAAACTTTCCTACCGGGTATGGTGTCAAGAGTCCGTGTTTCTCGCACTCGACAACTCCCATCTTGGCCTTGACTTCTTCGCCGAACGATCGTAGAGAGAACGGCATTGTTCCGTACTGGAAAAACAAATGATAAACTTTTTTCATAACATTTTTTTGGACAAAGTTGGCTTGGGGCACAAGGAGTTTTGTAAATTCAACAATTAAAAGCAATTTTTTCCTCAAGCCAGTTTGTTCAAGGCACAATGTTTACCAATTTATTGCACTCGGTGAAGAAAACTCGAGAAGCCTTCATCTTGAGTTGGTATTGCACCGACTCGTTCTTCTTGAAAACTGTCGTTCGGACGTCAATATCCTTCGGCTTTCCCTTTCCTGTCGTGAAAAGAACGTCGATGGCGTAGGCCTCATGCTTGTCGATGTTGACCTGATGTTTTAATTGTGAAAAAAATTCATTCATCCTCAAACCTTCTCCATTTCGGACTTTTGCTTCTCTCCGGGATTCTGAATGATTTGCTTCTCACCGCTGATTTCGTTCCTCTCAAGTTGGTGGGAAACCATGTTCTCGATTGGCGTAACTCCGTACTCGGCGGCAACCTGGAAATGCTCATTTATTGCTTTTAATTGTAAAAAAAAAAGTAAGATAAACCTTATCAATGACATTTGTGACTTCAGTGTTACTGTTTCCAACTCGAAGGGTACGGATGGCAACTTCCAAGGCATCGTAGGTTCCCTTGATCAAATCGGCAAGCTTTCCGGTCACTTTGTTGTCCTGCAATTTATGATTTTAAAAGAGTGGCCGAATTGACTGAATTAAAAGAGCAGTTCAAATTCTGAAGCTATGAAAATTTTCTCAAACAATTAAGACTGACAAAAAAGCTAAATTTTTCACAAAGCTTAAACTTGGGTTTGCTCTTTTTGAACATCGTGGTTTAAGTATCCATAAAAGCAGAGGCAAACTCAAAAAAGTTATTAAAACAATGAGCAGGTTTAAGCAAATTTAGAAAACTATCAGGAAAGGTAGAAATTTGAGAAAGCTTGAAATTGTTTCTAAAGACATGTAAAACACAAAATCCCGTTTCTTTCCATCAAATCCATAAAAATTTTCTCCCACACACCTTGGAAGCTCCAACGACAACGGTGTGGGCAAGGGTGGCAATGAAGCCATCAATATGAACTCCGAGTTCAACCTTGACGACTTGACCGTTCTTCAGCGTGAGAACTGGATCAGATCGGAGGGGTGAATAATAACAGATGCAGTTGTCAACAGAGACACAGGTCGGCATGGCAATACCCTGAAGATCAAAATCATTCTCAATTCCAAACATACTCTATATAAAACTCACCTTAGTAATTCCCTTCTCCTTTTTGTACATCTTTCCGGTCTTTTCAGTGATGAGCTTATCTCCGAGGTCGCAGAGTGAAGCAGCCTCAACTCCTTCCTTTACGCCGGCGATCACTTCCTGAAGTTCAACTTTTGTAAAATATAATTATCTTTCGAATCAATGCCTTGAGAACGGCGTTGGCGATCTCCGCAGCGACGTTGTATTTAGTGACAACAATGTCATTAGCCAAGCTGAAATCCTCATGGGTGTGGCTTCCATGGCTCGAGCAGCTGCTTTCACTGTCTCTGCGGACCATTTTCACGTCAGAGAGGCTATCTGAAAAGGAAAATTTAAAAATCGAACGAAATCATCACAACTACTGATTTGCGGAGATAAGGGCAAATTTAGGAAAGATTTCTACTGAAAACAAGCTATAAGTCAACGCAAAAACAAGATAATGGACTAAATTTGATACAGCAAACTTGAATCGAAGACGGCTTGGGAAAAAGAAAAGAAGAAAAAATTATTTGTAAGTGCGAAAAAAGATTTTATTAATTTTTTCAAAAATTTTTTTCTTCTCATCAAAATGAAAAGGCTCAGAACAAGATTAAACAAAAAATGGAGGCGAAATTCAAATCCTACACTGAAAATTATGGAAACACAAAAAATTACAGCTCTCAATTTTTAGAAAACAAAAAGCTAACCTTTGGGATAAAGTACAAACCGTATATTACCATATTTGACAGAAAAAAATTGTAGCAAAAAGAGGTACAATCCGAAGAATCAACAAAAGAAAAAAATTTCAAAAATGAATTTGAATGTTATTAAAGGCGCAAGGGTCTTCAAAGTCGTGGTGGGACACCCCCGAGCGATAGGGCACATTTTCTATGAGACCGGAAGTGGGAGTTTCTGAAATGTTTGAATCTACTTTCATTTTTTTAAAAATTTAGTAGCTCTGCGAGCTTTCCAAAAATTTCTCAGAAAGGGAGAGAACTTCGAGAAGGAAAAAAGAACTATAAAATTGAAAATAAAATTCTATGAGAGCAAAAAGAAAGTTGATTGAATTATTTTTTTTAGACATAAAGCGGGTTCTTCCAAATAACTTGCTGTAAGGCGCCAATTTCTGTAAGAAAAAATTTATGAAAGTGAAATTTTACAGCGTCCAAGAAAAAAAAAAATTTACTCGAAACGGTAACCATGGGAACCGGCGAAAGCCAGCCGCTGTATTCTATTTCAAACTAACCTGGAATACCGAAAAAATGGAGGATCAAGACGAAATTCAACAGCCGGAGCAAATCATCAACCATGGACAACTCGACTTGACGCCAACCTTCAGTTATTCGCTAAACCATCGGATTCTTGCAAACTGTGCCGTTTCGGCGATTTTGGAGCCTGGGGGTAATGATACTCTGGTCGCTGTGACGGCGTCGAACAAAGTTGTCATCCGTGGTGAGTTTGGTGATAAATAAAATGAGAGAAATGTGTAATCATCCAATAGAATTGCAATTTTAAAGGATATATAGTCTTATGAATTTACAATACACGAAATACGCGAAGAAGAGAAACGAATTCAGAATTTGAATATGCTAAAATTTGAAATTCACGAACTGTATGAAATAGTTCAGACAAAATTCGGAAAGATAAGAAAATCGTCAGAAAATAAAAAGTTAACCTAAAATCATGAGAATTATGCTCAACAGCCTTCCCTATTTTTTCATTTTTTTTTTACTTGTTCCAGAAGTTTATTAAAAATTTCCATTTCCTACGACTATTTTCTAAAGACTCAATCCATTAAGTCAGTTCATTCATAAACTTTCTCTTTCAGAAACCGAAAGTTCACTGCATATTTCCGACACAATTCGTTGTATAACAACTGCTCCATTTTGTGACGGATATGATGCTATAGTAATCGGGACTGAAACTCAAATCATCGTTTTTGATATTCACAATAATGCGACCCTGTTCCGACGAGACATCCCCGATGGCGTCAATTGTTTTGCGGTTTGTTTTACAGAATTTTTATTTTCGAAATTCTTGCTGTGATATTCAAAAGGCCAAAAAATAATTTCATAAAGATCTCGATGAGAAAATTTTCATCAATATTTTTTGTCATTCACGACTTCTGAATAATTAACCACCAGCAAGAATTTTTCAAAAAAAATCGCTTTACCTATACAAAAATCTAAATTTCAAGGTAGGAAATGTTGCCGACATGAATCCAATGATCTTTTGTGGTGGAAACTGCGCAATTTGGGGCTATGACAAAGAGGGAAACAACGTCTACTGGACTGTTACAGGTGAACGAAAAATTCTTCAAAATTAAAAAAAAAATTTCAGGAGACGTAATAACTTGCATGTGCATTTGCGATTACGACAATGATGGAGAAAACGAGGTTTGAATGAAAACTTAAAAAGTTATGAGATGAACAAATAACTTTTTCAATATTTTCATAAACCTAACTTGTAAAACGTTCATTATTTCTATTAAAAAAAGCTCTAAACAACATCTTTTACCAATTTCAACTGTCTTCAGCTCATCATTGGGTCGCCGGATTTCGAAATCAGAGTCTTCAAAAATGACCTGATGCGGTCCGAATTAATGGAAACCGATGCCGTCGTTTGCCTTCAGGCAGTTTCTCAGTTCGTTTACCTTTTTTTGAGCATAATCTGACGAAAAATTTCCAGAGACTGTTTCGGCTACGCTCTGGCAAATGGAACAATCGGTGTCTACCAGAAAGAAGAACGACTTTGGCGAATCAAGTCGAAAAACAACGTTTCAGCAATCCTACGCTACCCCAGTGATGAGCTCATGACTTGCGTGTGGAAAATGGGGAAGGTTTGAAGAAGAAAACATGAGAAAAATAGGGAAAGGGAAATTTTGAAAATGAGACACAAAAGACGCCAAAAAAGTCGTTCTGATTGACGCATTTGTGGTGCGTCTCTTGGCCTCGATTTACAATTTGAGAATTTCTCGCTCCTATAAAAGATTACGGCGTTCTGCGCAGTGGAAGAAAATGTAAAAATTTTGAAAATGCGGAACGGCTTCGAAACGTTGCTCCACCTAGATTTACGGTAGACAGCTTGCGCGCGAACATTTGAATTTCTTGTTGCTCAAGTGCTTCAGGTGATTTTTCATGTTTATTTCAGTTGTATCTTTATCTGTTTTGTTCTGATTTACGGTAATTATTTTTTATTGCGACAGCAAAATGCAAAGAAACTTTTTTTTTCAATTTTCAATATTATTACTGCTGGGTTTTAACAAAATTTTCCCTTTGAAACAAAGAAAAAGCCTTTCAGCAACATTTTCAGTGTCAAATTAAATTTTTTATTCGAATCAATCAATCTCTTCATTTTCGTAACATCAGAATGGTATGGCTATGTCGCAGAGGAGAAAAAATACCACTAGGTGGATGAATTAAACTAATTCTGTAAAGAAAACTTTTTTTTAAATTTTTACTAAGTCGGGAAAGACACATAGAACCACAATAAGTCATTTTCGGCACAAAATTCCACGTTTTTCACTGGAAAAAAGGACTATAAGCAATTTTGAGGGTGAAAGGTATGAAAGTGTTCAGAAAATAAGAAAAACTTTCACCCAAATGTTTTTTTGTCAACTAGAAAAGGAATTGTGAAAGGATCGATTTTTTTCACGTCTGTAGTTTTGAAAAAACGCTATTTTTCGAGGAAAAAAATTACTTTTGAATTTAATGAGTATGCGAGTTAGCGTCGTTCTGTGTATGCACCAAAGAAGTCGAATATTACGGAAATTGTGGGAGGGGCGTCGTCAAAAGAACACCGTGGTTTCAAACATCAACCACTAAGCTTGTGAAAAATAACTTGTTAAAAATTCAACTGAAAAAAAACTTCAAGTTGCTTTTATGAACTTTCAGTGGAATACCTCATTTCACCTTAACGTGTTTCGGTTTTTGACTGTTGTTGATCCCTTTTTGAGCTTGTTATTCGGCTTTCTCCGGCTTTGCGGCTGAAAAAGTTTATTTTATTTAAAAAAATTAACTTTTTTTATTCTGTGAAAGTCCAGTTGGACTTAATCTTTGGTAACATGATGAATTTTTTTCACGTTGAGGGCAACACTGAAGGCTCAATTTTTTTGAGTTTGAAAGTTGACGATTCTTAAATTTAATTGGAAAAAGGTGATTTGCCACCTGGCACCAGAGCTAAGGTCTCACGTCTGAAAAATAAAAATTATTCTAATTGACGTGAATTAATTTTCTTTGCACAGACGGTGAAAGTTTCTTCCTGGCTGCCTCGGTCAAAGGAGTAGCAGTAATCAATAAATCAAAAAAAATGTTAAATTGATCAATCTCCCAGTTTTTCCTTCAGATAGACATGCGCCAAGTGGACAACGGGGACGTCTCCTCAAAGGATCAGTCGACCTCAGGCCAAGTTGTGGCCGCCTGTGCAACTCACAGCGAAGATCCTCTGAAGGCCCATATTACTGTAGTTTTGAGCGATGGGAAGGGTATATAAAAATCAATAAATTCCAAAATCGAAACTTCAAATTCAGTACAAGGCTACAAACTCCAGCAGCGCAAGGAAAATAACGATAAAACCCAGGAAATGATCAGGGAATTCGGGCAGAAAAAGCATAATTTAATGGTTTTGTGGAATCAGAAAAGGAAAAATTCTTGAAATGACTTGAAGATGGAACTGAGTAACTACGAGCAAGAGGAGCAAATGACGGAGGCTGAAAAAGAAAGGGAACAGCGGATTCCGATTGGAACTGTTGTCAATTGCTTGTATGTTGGTGGGTTTTAAGGCAGTTATTTTCCTACAAAACTGATGAATTCGGTTTTAATTGAAAGCTGAGGTTTTTCTGATTAAAACCGTGTCAAATTCTTGGAATTTGATAAAGTTTGAACAAAGTTATGATTATTTAAAGTTGAATACTTTTTTTAAATTTTGAAAACTCGGAGAAAAGGGCGCAGTTTTTTCCGATTTCTAAAGGGAAATGATGATATATTGTTCAAAAACATCCATAATTTTTAAAATTAGTTGATTTTTAATGAATTTGTGGCTTTCAGAACATAGGTAAAGTCGGAAAAAGTCGAAAAAAGGCTCTATAGAAAAAGGGTTCCTGTTTGCAGCCTTTTTGCGCCCTTTCATCGGCTATTTTGCACCATTTTTGCTGCCTCTCCCTTTTTCACCATTCCTTGAGCTTTTAAAGTTCTAGAAAAAATGGAAAAGTCGATGACAGACCCATTTTTCTGCCTTTTTGCGGCCTTTTTTGAACCATTATCCATCAATCCGAGAACCTTTTTCGTAATTTTTGACGTTTTTTTGAATTTCTAGGCTGAAGTGTATGTATCTTGAAATATTTTTACTCGGATCTGTTATTTTTCATTTGAAGTAAATTTTTCTGGATCATATAAAGTGTAAATTTTGTCAAAAAAGAAACTTTATTCTAGGTTTTTTTCAAAGGTCCTTGTTCATTTTTCGGCAAAAATTGTCAAATTTAGGTATTTTTCCACGGCAAATAGCTTTCCTTATAATATTTATTGCTAAAAGGTGCAGTTAAAAAAATGAAAAATTCACTAAAAGGTGCGGTTAAAAACGAAAAACGATCATTATCCACCATTACGACTTTGCCCGAGAAGCTTTTCCACAATTTTTGACGTTTGTCCGAATTTTAAGGCTAAAGTGTATGCACCTTGGTTTTTTTTTAATTCGAATTCGTTATTTTTCATTTGAAACAGACTTTTCTATGGCGTCTAAAGAGTTAACTTTGTCAAAAAATAATTTTTATTCAGGGTTTTTCAAAGTTCCTTGTTCATTTTTCGGCAAAAATTGGCAAATTTAGGTATTTTTCCACTGCAAATAGCTTTCCTCATAATATTTACGGCTGAAAGAAACAGTTAAAAACGAAATTTTCCAGTAAATAGCGACGAAAGAACTCTGAATTTGGTTTTGGAAGCGTCGAACAATGTCACGATTCGGGCCGTTGTCATTTTCGCTGAGGGGATGTTCGAGGGAGAATCTCATATTTGGTTATTTATCAAGTTATAAGAAGATTGAAAATGTAAAATTCAGGATCCCTGGAAAATTGGAAGGGAACGGAGACAAGGCGACGATTCCAATAGTTCCGGAGAAAGACGCCCAAAATGACATGCATATCAAGGCGTTTTTGGGGGCTCCTGATGCGTTAGTTGTTAAGGAAAAGCTTGAAAAACTTCAAAAATTGAATTTAAAGCTGTTTTTTTAATTGAGTGCCTTTCGAAATATTCAAATTTCTTACTTTCAAGCAGCTTTTTAGTTGGATTAAAGGCATAGAGGCAGTAAAAAATGACGTTTCAGGTGAAAGCAGTATCTTATATAGTTTTTTGTTGCGAATTGAACGGTGTACTCAAAAAAATCACAGATGTGACAACTTTAGAAGAAAAAGGCGATTTTACTTTCCCGCCTTTATTTTTGAAAAAAGCTTTCGATTGGTATACAGACAAATTTTTACAGTAGCCGTGCACGCGATGTTGCGGACGTCTCATTAGACTCGCATTTTGTGAGAAATAACCGGATTTCTGCTTCAAATAAAGGGTTTCTTCTCTGAAAAATTGATTAAGAAAACCGAAAACACACATTGATGATAAAGAAAACACAAATAATCGCTATCCCAACCGAAACCTGTGTAAAATCATCATTTTTCACCAAAGAAGCATTTTTGCAATCAAATTTTGCAAATTATACATGAATAGAAAGCTTTGGTGACGAAAAGAACTTTGGTGTTAACAGAAAAAATTGAAAATTGAAAGAAACGAAGAAAAAAGCGAAAATCCGGAAGATGGCGAACCCTGTTGTCCATAGAGCAACTTTACTGCAAAGCGCCCTTTTCGCGGGAACTCAAATTTTCCTTTTTCCGACTTTGAATTATTTTTTCTACAAAACTAGGAAGTTCGGTACGTTTTCAAGATCACCGTTCGATTTGCAATGAAAAACTCTACAAAATGCTGCTTTGAATTAAAAAACCGTTTTTTTACTGCCCCTATGCCTTTGAGGAATAGTTTGAAAAACGCCTAAATTTGAACTTCCCGCTGTTCTTTTTGATTGAATTTCTTCTCGCATGCTGATCAGGTGTCTCAACGGGTGTACCCGTATTAAACCCGTGTTTCTGAAGTTATTTTAGTCTCAGTTGGGCTAAAACGGGGGAACAACGGGTGTAAGAAAAATATGTAACCCAGCTGTGCTAAAGCGGGGTCTCAGTTGGGTTAAAAATTGCCAAAAGTTCTACCAGCTGGGCTTATACGGGTTCAATACGGGGGCACCCGCGGAAACGCCGTTTTAGCACGGCTGGGTTACCCTGCTCAGCATTCGAGTTTGAAAATTACCAAATCCCCCATTTCAAGCAGCTTTTCAATTAGAATTAAGTTTAAAATCCTGATTTTCCTAATGAAAATGACCATATTGATAAAGATTCAGGTTCAAACTGCACGTTTTCGAAATGTCCCGAACAGTGCCCCGTTTCGCCCGCTTTGCCCTACTTCCTTTCCAGGAAAATTGGGTGGAGCCGACGTCCTACGTCGAGTTCGAATCGAAGCAAAGGGTTCAGAAGGTTGATTTTCACAGGGTCAATGCAAAAATAAAAATAAATTTTCGTATCATTGATTTTTGAACTGTTTCCTGAATATATTCTTCCCTTTTCGGCTGTATCAGGCCATTTTTTAGAATTTTTTTAGGCGGATGAATTTGAATCAAAAAAAATTAGGCTCACAAGAATGTAGATTCTGGCTATTTTTGGTCATTAATCGATGAATTTATAGTGAAAATTATATTTAAATTGGATTTTTTCATGAAACCTCTCATTGGAGCTATACAAGAAACTTTTCAAAAAAAATTTTTTTTGGCGGAAAGTTTTGATTTTTTTGTAAATGGTTTAGAGAATAGATTTTTGGCTTTCTTGGTCATAAAAAAACAATTTTTTTAGTGTAATTGGTGTTTCAATTGGATTTTATCAATGAAATATCCCTTTTTTTCGGATTTTTTTGGTTGAGTAAATTGACTCGCAGCAAAGTGTTTAGAATTCAGATTTCGGCTATTTTAGGCCATAAAAAAATAAATTTTTTTAGTGAAAAATTATATTTTAATTGGATTCTCTTCATCAAACCTCTTTTTGGCGGTAACAGGTATTTTTTCAAAAATTCGAATTTTCTGGTCGAAAAATTATGAGATATGGAAATACGCCAAAAATTTCTAAATTTTTCCTTTTCTTATGATTTTGGCGAAAATTTCGATTTTCAGCTCTTTGACTGGGTCCACGAAAGCTTCGTGGTGGACGTCAACTCGCCGGCCTTCAATTTGGACGCTCCTCAGGTCGAACTCCGGTTTGTCGGTCTGGCTCCTCGGAAAAATTGCCAGCTCTCCATCAAATTCGACAAACAGGAAAATAAGGTTGAAAATTGGGGTTTTTGTGACATTACAGCGTATAATTCATTAGCTATACTGGAAAAAAAAGCTCAATTTAGACCCAGTGAAAATTTTTTTAATTTCTTGGAAATTAATTCAAACACGGTACGAGTTTTATACAACGACTACTTGAAATAGAGACACTTTTCTTTTTTGTCCCTCTAGGGACCACTAGCATGCCTCCTAGAGTGGCAGTCAACTGAAACCCCTGCAGAGAACACTAGCTGGACCCCTATAGGGGCCACTAACTGAAAACCCTAGAGGGACCACTTTTTCAAAGGCCAGGGGTTGTTAAAGTGGTCTCGAGACAGTCCCTATGGGAACCAATAACTGAAAACCCTAGAGAGGGTAAGAGCCCTCAAAGGGATTGATAAAGCGTTCATGAGAAAGTCCCTATAGGGGCCATTAACTGAAAACCCTATAGGGACCACTTTTGCAAGCGCCAGAGGTCCCTATAGGGATTGGTTAAAGGGTCTCGAGACAGTCCCTATAAGGACCACTAACTGAAAACCCTAGAGGGACCACTTTTTTAAAGGCTAGGGGTTGATAAAGTGGTCTCGAGACAGTCCCTATAGGAACCACTAACTGACAACCCTAGAGGGACCACTTTTGCAAGGGGTAGAAGCCCTCAAAGGGGTTGATAAAGCGGTCCCGAGAAAGACCCTAAAGAGACCACTCTGGAGCTCCCTAGTTTGTCGCGGCCTGAAACTCTTTTTTCTCTGCGCCCCCTTCGTCTCTCGGTGACCCTCTCATGTTGACATACTATTTTTATGTTTCTCTGACCTCGCCGGTGAGGGAACAGAGAGACGCAGGCATAAATGGACTGGAAAAAAGTCCAGGTAACTCTAGGCGTAAGTAGTTTTGCGGTCGGGTGCATTGAAAAAAGAATCAAGGTTCTATCGGACTATTTTTCACAAGAATAGTGAGAAGAATTTGCTTAAAGTTTCTTTTTTTGTAGTTTTAAAGCTCATAATTTCCAAATCGAGCCATTCCCCAGATGCGAATCTACCACGACTGCATCGAAACGACGGGAAATATGGTCCAAAGTTTGGCCGAATACTTCCAAGTCCACTCCCTGACGTCACACGCCTCCTTCAAGCCGCTTTTCGACGAAGCCGAGGAGATTTTGGGCGAAGTTAGTCGGGAAAAATGCTCAAAAATCAGAATTTTCGGTGCAGATCTTGTAGATTATCTTCTCTTGAGAAAATCCAGTTCAGATTTATAAATTCATTTCATCATAAATAGCCGGGATAGGAAGTCTAATTTGTGAAAGTGAAAGGAAAAGCTGGCTCAAAGTGTGGATAATACGGTTTTTCGCACTTTCTGATGATTGATATTTAAATGAAAGTACATTTTGAATGATTTTTCGGTTTGAAATCGCAAAATTGGTGTTTCGAAATGAGTTCTCACCAAGAAAACTCGATTTTTCGGAAAAATAATTTTATTTTCTTGAGCTTTCCGGCTTCCAAAAAGTCACTACTCATCATAAATGACGTCACGTACTGTCATACTTTTTTATGACGTCATTTATCGAGTTTTCACGTCATACGATTTTTTTTCCATCTTTTCTGATCTTTCCAGTAAAAACCCCCGATTGAATATTGCTTTACCAGATATTCTTTAATCTATAACCAACCTGACGTCATTTTTTTCAAGTTCTGAAGTCATCTAAATTTCAATGACGTCATAAATTATTTTCTAGCTTGACGCCATGACGGACCTACGTGATCGCCTAACGGCAGAACTTCAAGAAAAACAATCTGCTGTCAAAGAAACTTTAGTCCGAGCCGAGGATTCAATCGGGATCGATAATATGTAATATCATCATTTTATCACGTTCCTCACTATTGCTCATCTTACAGAGGGATGGCTAGGAAGTTGTACGCTCGCCTGAAGCAAATGGACGCCGCCGCCAGACAGGCTTCATTGCTCAGGTTAGCTCAGAAATATCATTTTAAAGTTATAATTATGATACTTTAGGTCAAATAATCAAGAAAGATGCGTTCAAAGCCTCCGTCGTCTCAATAAAATCATTGAGAATTCTTCAAAATTGCGAGGTTTTTCTTAATTTTTCCAATATAAATCAAAGTTTTCAATTTCAGTTGGTGAACCCGGTCGTCAAATCGTAGTGGCCTGTCGTCAAGCGATTTCCGACGATAATAAGCAAATTATCGTTAAAATACTCGAATTCGGAGCATCTGCATGAATAAAAATGTACATAGAAAAACAGCAAAAAAGATTTGCCGCCAGCAGGGGTCGAACCTGCGACCTTGGGCTTATTAGACCCACGCTCTAACCGACTGAGCTATGGCGGCCGGTGAGAGCCGCGCCTCCGTTTTCCCCCATACGACTTGCCACGGAGGCTGCAACGTTTACCCGTTTATGATGGAAAATCAAAAAATGTACAAAAATGATTAAAATTGACAACAATCGGCGAACAATTCAGTGCATTCGGCCTCAGCTTCGCCGTTTTGAATTCTTTCAGTCGTTGTTCGGAATTTTTTCCTTTTTCTGTCTGAGAGGAACTTTCCGAGGCCCTAAATCCGTTGGTGATGATTTTTGAGAGGTATTTGAATACCTTATACATTTTCATAGTCCCAACAACGTTTGCCATTCTTCCTAGCATAGTTATGAGGACCATTATGGCGGAACTCGGCTCGATGAATGGCTCGTAGGATGCTCCTTCAGTTCGGTTCATATCGATGCCTGGAAAGTATGGATTTTTTTCAAAATTACCAGGTCAGAAATTGATAAAATTTAAAAAATTCAAGTAGTGAATGAGAATAAAAGAGCAAAATAAAATTCTTTCCTGGAATTTTGATAAAAATTTTCTGATTTTTGTAATGTGAAAAGAGCCATACAGCCTAATGCGCTCCAATGATAAAAACTTGCCAAAAATTCACCTGCTTCAAGGAATCTCTTCTCAATCGCCGCTTCAATGACATCTTTGTCCATTTGGGCTTTCATAAAAAGGAGGGCGGCTCCAAAAATGTTGAGAAAAAGCCCGTAGAGGACTAATTCGACCCAGCCTGAAAATTTTTTTTTTAAACTATTTTCTTATGGTTACTCGATTTTTCAAAAGTGTTCTATAAAAAAAGCCATCTTTCATTAACAATCTTTTGCGGCACAGAAAAGGGGGCGGAGTCTTGATGCAAGTTGGGCGCATTTCTTTTTTTTTTCAATAACTTCATTTTCCGCTTTTCCTCATTCCATAATCAGTTTAAAATATCAAGGAACTAACCCGGTTTCCGTCGATTGTGTTTAAAAACGGTCCATTTCTCCCTCCAAGTGATTTGATCACTTCGACGGTATCGAATTCGATTTCGAGCCATTTATTGAAGTTCTAGAAGTTTTTTGACATCTGAAATGAATTTTCTGGGTTTTTTATCGGTCTTTGAAGTTGTTTCGGAAGCAGAAAGTATACGAAATGGAGGAAAATTGAATTTATTTTTTCTTTTTTCGAGTAATATGGAACGAAATTTATCAGTTCATCTCAAAAGTAAAGATCAAGTAGAGAAAAACGTGACCACAAGTGCAAAAAATATTATCAAACTACGCGTCAAAAACGGCTTCTATCATTATGAACCTTATTGAGGCTACAAAATGAAGCCATAGGAATTGATAAAAATAGTATTGCAGCTGGTTTTTTTCAATAAGAAACTATTAATATTTCGATAAATGGTGAACACTTTCTAAAGATTTTTTTTCTAAAACTATTCTATTATGGAAACAATTTACCTCTAGAATAGATTTTAACGTCTCCACTGATGCGCTACGGGTGAAAATTAATGATCTTTCTAGCTCAGCCTTTTTCGAATCCATTCCTTCCCGTTTGCTCTGATTCCCTTTCTAACCCCGGGTCATAGTCTACTCGTTAGGGTGGACTAATTCCCTTTACTGGTTATTTTACTGCTCTCTTATTTTAAATTTTTTTAATACTTATTTTTTTACCAGTATGCAGTAAACAAACCTATTATTATAAAAATCAAATTTGAGATGTACAAGAGTCTCATTTGACACGGTGTTTCGAGATCTACATACCGCCCACAAAAAATTCGTCAAATATGATGTTTCTTGTGCATCCACAGTCGACGAAAATTTGCAGACGGCCGAAATTTTTATAATTTTTGAATGGACAAAAAACCTTTTTTTGAAGCTAAAAATAGAAGGGAATGTGCTTGTTCATTTTTAATATCAGAACGCAAAAATACAAAAATAAATCAAATTTTTCATCAAAAATAAATTTTTAAAAAAATTGAATATTTGAAAAAAATCGCAATAACGTTTCGGTGCTACGACAAGAGCGAGTTTTTCCATTTGCGAGCAGTACTGTATGCGGCAAATCGCATTGCGTGCATGCACTCTGCGTGTTTACACTTTTTGGTGCGTGACGTCATCGCGCCGTACATCTGCGGGTTTTTGCTTGCGGGTTTTTCGGATTTTTGAATTTTTCCGGCTTATTTATTTTTTTCGAAACAAAAAAAGAAAAACTTTTTTTATTGATGAAAACTCTGTTTGTCAAGGGGGCAGCTTAGGAAAAATGTTTCTTTATAGATAGATATTAGGTCAACTCCACGAATATAGAAAAAAAAAGAAGTAAGCTAATATTGATATTTCAAAGAGGAAAATATCAAACAATTGCATCATAACAAATACCAGTAATTGAAATAAGTTATATCAAAAAAATAAGAAAAATAAGAAAAATAACAATTTTTTTACAGAACCATCATATCAAACAAAAAGTCATTTTCCCAGAAAAATATTCAAGATATTTTAAATATACATTGAGAGATTTGAAGGGACTTGTCAGAAATTTTACGAAAATTGGTTTCTTCTACAACGCCGGTGTTGAGAGTGGAGGAGCAGAGACACCTTTTTTTCGCCAAAACTTCCTTTGTGATTTCTTGTTGATTTAAAAATTGAGTCGAAAAACAATGTCGTTAACATAATCGTCAATTTCCATCCTGAATTTCATTCATAGCATCACTTTTTTTTATTTCAAAATCTGAACGAGAAAAAAAAATATGAGAAGAAGAAGAAGAACACGAAGATTTTTTGAGGACAAAAAGGAGCCTTCCTATGAGGTAAAAAAGAAGTTTTCTTTTTGTTTCGAAAATATTCGCACAATCAAAGCCAAACCGGAAAAAAAAATCCAAAAAAAAATTTCAAAAAAAAAAACACTGAAAAAAAACCCGCAAGCAAAAAACCCGCAGATGTACGGCGCGATGACGTCACGCCACAAAAGTGTAAACACGCAGAGTGCATGCACGCAAAGCGCTTTGCTGCTCTAACAAAAGTTGCGGTGCACCCCGCGTCCAACTCTCGTTTCACCCCGCAGTGTAACCAGGGGTGCACCCCATTTAGCTTTAAATGCCAATTAAGGTACTATTTCCGTACACGATTTCGAAGTGGTTTGTTTCCCAATATCACCATTTTCTACCGTTTCATCCTAGGTCGTTTCGGTAGCTCAAAAAGAACTTTTCATTTCTGACCGGTTGCCCCAGGGGTTCACCCCATTCAGGTCCAACGCGGGGTTCAGCGCAAAAATCAACGAAAAGCTCACTTTTTTCGGGGTTCACTGCGGGGTACATCCCCATTTTTGTTAGAGTGCATACAGTACTGCTCGCAAATGGAAAACTCGCCCTTGTCGTAGCACCAACGTTTCAGCCAAAAATATTGAGTGTTCTCCGTTTTTGACCAGTTCCTCATTGGAAAAAGGACTTTTCATAACTACCAGGTTTCAATAAAGTCAAAAATCATTTATTGTAACTTTAAAAATTTGGAAAAACCGTCATTTTTGAGATGAAATTCTCTACTTTTTATCCATTCGAATGAAAAACGTGATAAATAAAAGTGATAGTTTTCAAGGAAACAAGAATAAAAGTGTGTAATAACACGAGGGAAGATAAGACACGCCTTCAGAAGCCGAGAAATCCCCGATTTTGGGCAGATTAATCGCTACGAGGAAAAAAAAAACTTCTGCTCAGTTTTATTACGCCCGTCACTACTACCGTAGCCTGGAATGATTCAAACCTGCGGATCTAAGCCGATAAAGGCTTTTTTGGTGATATTACTTTTCGGAAATGTCCCTGAGGCTTTGGTCAGGAATCATTCTTTTTTTTGATTTTTTGAGTTTCACGCTTTAGTTCAAGGTTATTATTCAATGAAAAATCAAAGGCACAAGAAAAAAGCACAAAAATCGGCAAGTTGAATGCAAAATAGGACAAGAAAAGAACCGTAAGCAACCGTGTCGAAAAAAAAAACAAAGAAAATGGAAAAAATCCCTAAAAATCCTTATTTATACAAATAATTATTGAGGGAATGAGAAAATTATATTAAATTATGGTGAGTTTTCATAAGGGGACAAATCGCCGACAAAGTTTTCCTGGACATTTTCGTCCAATCCGCAAGGGCGGGTGAATTCTTGGCCTCGTTCGTGGATCCATTTGTTGGAGACCTGCAAAAAGTGATCGCATTTTAAAGGTACAGTCAGGTTTTTTTCACCTTGAAAGCTATATATTGTTCTACGGTAGGTCTCTCAATCAAAAAAAATAAATAAAAAACCCGAAACTTCTCCTAACTGTGTATTTTCAGTTGTGAAAATTTTCAGAATCATTTTTTTTTTCTCAGTAAAGCTCAATACTTTTCCCCAAACTGTAGATGACCAAAACGTACCCATTTAACGCCCATAAGTACGGGACAAGCGGCATGGCGAGTCCTCAAGTCGCCATCTCCATTTCGCTGAAACAAAAAGATTAATTTTTCCCTTTGAATGACTACTATGAGCTTAAAAATGACGTCATTAATTTAACTTATGACAAAAAGCCTAACATGACGTCATGCTGTCCATGTAATAATCAAAAAATTTTTTTTTACACAACACTCTTTGCACTAGAGATTCAGCTTAGCCCTGCTTAATTTTAACTTTTGGGAGCTGCAAATCGACCTGCTCAATTTGAAAATATTGATTTTTGGTCTGCCTAATGTTTTGGGAGCTGCAAATCGACCTGCTCAATTTGAAATTATTGAATTTTGGTCTGCCTAATGTTTTGGGAGCTGCAAATCGACCTGCTCAATTTGAAAATATCGATTTTTGGTCTGCCTAATCTTTTGGGAGCTGCAAATCGACGTGCTCAATTTGAAAATATTGATTTTTGATCTGCCTAATATTTTGGGAGCTGCAAATCGACCTACTAAATTTGAAAGTATCGATTTTTGGTCTGCCTAATCGTTTGGGGGCTGCAAATCGACCTACTCAATTTGAAAGTATCGATTTTTGGTCTGCCTTATCTTTTGGGGGCTGCAAATCGACTTGCTCATCCTTGTGAATATTGATTTTTGGTCTGCTTAATCGTTTGGGAGCTGCAAATCGACCTGCTCAATTTGAAAATATCGATTTTTGGTCTGCCTAATCTTTTGGGAGCTGCAAATCGACGTGCTCAATTTGAAAATATTGAATTTTGGTCTGCCTAATATTTTGGGAGCTGCAAATCGACCTACTAAATTTGAAAGTATCGATTTTTGGTCTGCCTAATCGTTTGGGGGCTGCAAATCGACCTGCTCAATTTGAAATTATTGAATTTCGGTCTGCCTAATGTTTTGGGAGCTGCAAATCGACGTGCTCAATTTGAAAATATTGATTTTTGGTCTGCCTAATGTTTTGGGAGCTGCAAATCGACCTGCTCAATTTGAAATTATTGAATTTTGGTCTGCCTAATGTTTTGGGAGCTGCAAATCGACCTGCTCAATTTGAAAATATCGATTTTTGGTCTGCCTAATCTTTTGGGAGCTGCAAATCGACGTGCTCAATTTGAAAATATTGAATTTTGGTCTGCCTAATATTTTGGGAGCTGCAAATCGACCTACTAAATTTGAAAGTATCGATTTTTGGTCTGCCTAATCGTTTGGGGGCTGCAAATCGACCTACTCAATTTGAAAGTATCGATTTTTGGTCTGCCTTATCTTTTGGGGGCTGCAAATCGACTTGCTCATCCTTGTGAATATTGATTTTTGGTCTGCTTAATCGTTTGGGAGCTGCAAATCGACCTGCTCAATTTGAAAATATCGATTTTTGGTCTGCCTAATCTTTTGGGAGCTGCAAATCGACGTGCTCAATTTGAAAATATTGAATTTTGGTCTGCCTAATATTTTGGGAGCTGCAAATCGACCTACTAAATTTGAAAGTATCGATTTTTGGTCTGCCTAATCGTTTGGGGGCTGCAAATCGACCTACTCAATTTGAAAAGTATCGATTTTTTTGGTCTGCCTTATCTTTTTGGGGGCTGCAAATCGACTTGCTCATCCTTGTGAATATTGATTTTTTTGGTCTGCTTAATCGTTTTGGGGAGCTGCAAATCGACCTGCTCAATTTGAAAATATCGATTTTTTTGGTCTGCCTAATCTTTTTGGGGAGCTGCAAATCGACGTGCTCAATTTGAAAAATATTGAATTTTTGGTCTGCCTAATATTTTGGGAGCTGCAAATCGACCTACTAAATTTGAAAGTATCGATTTTTGGTCTGCCTAATCGTTTGGGGGCTGCAAATCGACCTACTCAATTTGAAAGTATCGATTTTTGGTCTGCCTTATCTTTTGGGGGCTGCAAATCGACTTGCTCATCCTTGTGAATATTGATTTTTGGTCTGCTTAATCGTTTGGGAGCTGCAAATCGACCTGCTCAATTTGAAAGTATCGATTTTTGGTCTGCCTAATCTTTTGGGAGCTGCAAATCGACGTGCTCAATTTGAAAATATTGAATTTTGGTCTGCCTAATATTTTGGGAGCTGCAAATCGACCTGCTCAATTTGAAATTATTGAATTTCGGTCTGCCTAATGTTTTGGGAGCTGCAAATCGACGTGCTCAATTTGAAAATATTGAATTTTGGTCTGCCTAATATTTTGGGAGCTGCAAATCGACCTACTAAATTTGAAAGTATCGATTTTTGGTCTGCCTAATCGTTTGGGGGCTGCAAATCGACCTACTCAATTTGAAAGTATCGATTTTTGGTCTGCCTTATCTTTTGGGGGCTGCAAATCGACTTGCTCATCCTTGTGAATATTGATTTTTGGTCTGCTTAATCGTTTGGGAGCTGCAAATTGACCTGCTCAATTTGAAAATATCGATTTTTGGTCTGCTTAATCTTTTGAGAGCTGCAAATTGATCTTCAAAAAGTTTTGAGACCTAGTGATGACGTCAAATTTCTTCTGGATAAAATTTGAGCCCTCACCCTCAAATTGTACCAGAACAAGGCATCATTCTTCGACGGGAAAACGGCCGTTCCGAGATGATTGAAAACGGTGGCTCCGCCCCTTTCCGGTTGGCTCATCTGCAAATGCCGCACTCTTTTTAGGGCTCGTTAAAAAAAAATTGATTTTTTCAAGTTTTCGGACTGAAAATTTCGTCTTTTTCTACATTTTCTCTAGCAAAATTCTTCTGAAAATGATGAAATAGTTCTGAAAAATCTTGAATTCGATGTAACTCATGCTCTAAATTTAAAACAAAACCTTGAAAAATTGCAAAATTACATGCTAAAGACACCAAAGAATTTTTGCGAAAATCAAAATTTGAAGATAAAAAAAATTCACATTTTCATCATTCCCCATACACATGACTAATGCGGTCACCGTAATCGCATGCTCTTTTCGATATTTTTTTTATAAGGTTCATAGGAATCGTCGTTTTTTCACTGCAAACCGAGGTGAAAAAAATCAAAAAAAAAACAAATCATGCTGGACGATTATTTTGTCTACAGAGCACACTTGGCCACCAAAAAAAGCCTCTCAAATTTTTTAAACTGAAAAAGTCAAAGTGGATTTTAAAAATCTTCCGGAATCATTCGCAGATGAAAAAAAAAGAAGCAGATTTTTTTTTCAACGTCCACACAGAGTCGAACGAAATACCATGCCAAACTCAATTTTAGAAGCCATTTGAAACGGTAATCATGCAAAAAAAAAACGCGGCTATTTCTTCACACCCCTTTTCACACACAAAAAACGACGATTCTCACGAATTTTTTCAAATTTTCAAGAAAAAAAAGTTCATATAAATCCTCACGTAGAACAAAACGGTTGCGATTCGGTTGCCCGTGTTAAGGCTCTTGAAGGCATTCTTCTCCTCTTTCTACAATACCCAAAATTAGTTGGTAATCTTGGAAACTCACGTAGAACAATACGGTGGCGATGCGGTTACCGTTCGCCCGGTACGGCTCTTTTTCACCTCTCTGGAAGTTTTCAAATTTTTCGAGTGTTTTTTTTTCAAACTATCTTTGAGGGTTTACTTAGGAGCGCTATAGTGGTCACTAAAGGGGTTAGGGGAAAAATAGCCCCTATATGGTTCAAAAAGTGCTCCTTATAGGGTTCAGAGTCCGGCCTTCACGCCCTGAAGCTTGAGTGGTCCCTATAGGGTCTTTTACCATTTTGTTTAGATTTGAACATTAAAAAGGCATATCGGTCAATTTTGCAAGCTTCATTGGCCCCTATAGGGACAGGTAAAGTGGTCCCTAGAGGGGGGGGGCCTTCAAGGACCTCTAAAGTTGCTTCTATAGGGACCACTATAGCGTTCCTAAGTAGAGAAAATCCAGAGAACTGTCAGAAAATTTTTAAATCGTTCAAAAGATCATTTAAAAAATTTTATCTTCTCAAAATTATGCAAAAAAAACTTTTTTTCGAAATTTTTCCTAGAGATGACGGAGAAGATGGAAACTGTCAGACCGAAAAAATCATCTCTTACTGTCAGGCACCCTCCATGTTATCCACACTCTTTTTTCAGCAATTTTTCGTCAAAAAAAGGTTTCTTGACATTTCTGACAATGCTCTAGATTCCGAAAAAAATAAGTGAAATAACTGAAAAAAAAAACCAAATTAAAACTGAATAATCTCTTAAAAAAGAGCATAATCTCAAATTTTTAAAAATGAAAATATTCTCTAACTGTTCTAAATTTAAACTTGAAGATCAGTATTTGAGAAAAATAGAGTTAAAACCAAAAATTCAACTGAAACGGCACGAAATCCAACCAAAAATCACTCAAAAAGTGCAATCCGAGAGGTGTGAATAATTGATTTTTCTGAACCGCATCGCTCACCAAAGACATATCGTAATGGGGGACATAATGGCCGCCGATTCCATAGTTGGCGATCTGAAAACCCGGGAAAATGACTGAAAATAATTCACCCTGGCAAAATCGAAATGCGGGTCGTAGTGACCGCCGAGGCCGTAGTTGGCTATCTGGAAATGTTTTTTAGAAGTGTTCAGAGGGAATTTTGAAGGCCGAAATTCGCAAGGCGCGAAGAAAAACGTCGAAACTTATTTAAGACCTTATTTGGAACTTTTTGAACCAAAAAAATATAATTTTTGGTCAATAGTGAACAAAAAAATTTGGTTAAAAAAACCTTCTAAACCTTTTTTTGAATAAAAATTAAGCGCTTTAAGACCTCTAAGCATTCCTGAATTGAAAAAAATTTTCGAAATTTCGAAAAAATCTGAAATTTTAACGTTCTGAAAAAGTCGAAATGACCAAAAAAAGAGAGAAATCGCGAAAAAGATGATTTTTTTTTAATTCGAGCAATTTTTTCCAAATTTCGACTGTGAAAAATTCGTTCTATATTTGAAATTCATAAAAAAACTATCCGCAAATTTAATCGAAAAAAAGAGGAATTTCTGAATTTTTCTGCACAGAATAACCTGAAAAGCCATTTTTCTATTGAAAATGCGCTCTAGTGATAAACCTAATTCGCGTGACAAGAAAACTATTTTTCAAGCCAGAAAAAACTTTTTTTTTGAAATTACTCGACATGACCTCATTTCCAAAAAATTCCCTTCAGGAAACTCAATTTTTGGCAAGGTTTCCAGCCCAAAAATACCATTTCCGAGCCGATTTTTGATATTTTGTTGTACCTGGAGCTCCTCGGAAGTCGCCTGGTTCAAGTTGGTGAAATCCTCGATTCTCCTGTTGATCCTGGCAACGACGGGGTGTTCTTCGCCTTTCAGCCAGGCGCTGAGAAAAAAAAAACAGTTTTTCTTCAAATTCGCGACAAAAAGGTACATCAATAAAGCAAAAAAGTACACATTTTGGAACAACTCAAAAAAAAAAAATCACATCATATACGGCAAATTACTCTGTAGAGGACAGGTAAGTACACTAAAACTCATAAAATGATGATTTCTAATAAAGGGAACATTGGGGGAGGAAGCTACAGTATACCTTTTGGAGATACGGTAGGTCGCGTGCTCCAGTTCGCCGGTCTTTGAGTTTTGTACGGTGGCCCGTTTGAGCTGAATTGACACGAAACTCAAAAATCAAATCAAAGCAACGGAAGAAGTTTTTTTTCACGCCATGCTTGATGTACTTCATTCTTCACGACTTGAAACTGTCTGACCTCTCTACGTCTCTTTTTTCTCATAGATCATGACAACGAGATCCTTCACGTCATAGAACTGTCTGACTTATCTGCGTCTCTTTTCTCTCTCTATAGGGGTCATAGAAACGAGGTTTGTCATGTTATGGAATTGTCTGACTTCTCTGCGTCTCTTTTCTCTCTCATAGGTCACAGAAACGAGATCTTTCCCGTCATGGAACTGTCTGATTTCTCTGCGTCTCTTTTCCCTGTTTTCTTTCTCCAGAGGAGTCATATAAACGAGAGAAAATAGCAGGTAAAAACGAGATTCGTCACGTCATCGAACTGTCTGACTTCTCTGCGTTTCTTTTCTCTCTCCAAAGGGGTCATAGAAACGAGATTTGTCATATTAGAGAACTGTCTGACTTCTCTGCGTCTCTTTTCTCTCTCCCCAGGGGTCATAGAAACGAGAAAACAGCCCTTAAAAACGAGATTCGTCACGACTTACAGCTGTATGACTTCTCTGCGTCTCATTTCTCTCTCATAGGTCACAGAAAAAAGGAAATACCACGAAAAAAGCAGAGAGACTTTTTCAAGTCGTAACGAATGAAGTTCATTTTTCGCATTTTTTGCTGGAAAGGAGGACATTTTCAACGGCAGCACACTTCAGGGTTACGGTATCAGTTGGATACAGTATACCTTTTCGAGATACGGTAGTCAACCGTGATGAGCGAGCCGTCGCTGGCTTTGACCGTCGCCCGTTCCAACTATTGATTTCAAGAGGGTGAGATTTTTTTTCGATAGAAAATTAGGAATTTTTGAGCAGAAATAATTGATTAGCGTGTCCACTATAGGGGTCACTAACTAAATCCCTATAGGGCTTTAGTGGCTCCTATAAGGACAGAGGAGTGGTCCCTAAAGGGGAACCGTCAAGGGCCCCTAAGGCTTCCCCTATAGGGACCACTCTGGAGTTCCTAAGCCGAAAAGCAGAAAGTTATCAACTTCTAAAGCTTTTTCAGATTTTGAAAGTCAAGTCATCGCTCAAACTCCGCCCCTAATGACGTCATAAGCCAATCAGAAAGAGAGCCATCCACAGAGCGTTTTAAAATGACGTCATTGTACTTGAGAAGCGTTATTCGTTCGAAATAATTCCGCAAAATGGGCAAAACTAAATATATTGAGAAAATGGGTCTTACAACGAAATATACCGAGAGCTCCAAATTTTGAAATTACAAGGGCTTTTTCAAGGAAATTTTGAATTCGCGCGTAAAAATCACCGTAAACAGTTACATCTTTGAATAAATCGTTGTAGGACCCATTTTTTCAGCGACTCCCGAAATTCTGATTTTGTCTATTTCGCGAAATCATTTTTGAACACAAAATCCAAAAAATCTGAATATATCAAAAAAATTTTTTTGAAGAAAAATTATCGTTTAAAATACTGAATTTTGAAATAAAACTCAATTTCATAATGGAAAAGCAGGTGTATAATTAAATTTTCCACATCTTTTTTTTTCCTTAATTTGACTGTACCTTTGGCGTGGCGAGTTCCTTGACGACTTCAATTTCCTCATCGGAAACGACATCCTTGAATAAAACGGCCAGGGGATCAAATCGCAGGATTTCGACTTTGATCGGCGCCAACTTCAAGAACGGCTTGTCTCTCTGAAATTTTCCTATCATTTCAACCTTCTTTTGAATTCTTGAAGAACCTTGAGGTAACAACGGAGTTTTTTGGCGTGTTCCGGCTCGGGAGGCGGAATTTCTCCACGGCAGAGAGCTTCGTAGGCGTCTCGCTCAACGATTCCATCATTTTCTACTCGCTGAAAATGTCTACCTTGATGAAATTTATCTTTTTTCGGAAGAAAATGAGGATATCAACAAATTTTACACATAAAAATTCTATGAAAATGTTGTAGTGTCAAGATTTCACCCCGTAAATCTATACCATTTCAAATTGCCGCGCATTATTAAGATGTGCAGGCCACCTTCACAGTTCCCCTTCTGCGCAATCAGGCGATTGAGTTTTTGTTTTTTTCTCTTGTTCTTACTTTTGTATGAAGTAAATAGTTTAGTAACTAAAAGTTGTATATATTGAACTATACAACAGAAAATCGATGAAAATTCAAAAAAAAAAAGTCGAAAATTTTTTTGCCAAAATTTGTTGGTTCCATTTTTCTGCTGTTAAATCGACAGAAATGAAGCTCAAAACGATTTTTTTTTTTTGGGAAAAAAACCAGTGAAAACACAAATAACTGAGAGACTTTTGAGGGGTTCCTTTAAAGGGTTTCATAAGGATCCCTATAGAGACCCCTCAAACTTTGAGAGCCAAGGGTCATATCTAAATCAGGGATCCCTATAGAGGTCCCTTAAACAACAAACCCCTATAGGGACCCCTCAAAATGTAAATAAAATACCTTGTTGACAATCGGCGGCAGCTCTCCTTCCATATCCTTTCCTTGGAGCATGTCTTCGTACCATTTTACGTTCCCTGAAAATTGATTTCTACAAAATCATCAAAAAAAAAATTTCTCTCCACAATCGTATCCCATTTTCAAAGCAAAGAAAAAAATATAAGTTAATTTGATTGCGAAAATTTTCAGATAAAAGAAGATTTATGTACGAAAAACCAACAAACGATGATTTCCTTTCAAAAAATGTCTTGGAAATCTTATTAAATAAATCTTAATAATGAAAAGAACAAATTTATCATTCTTAAAGTTCTATTTTCCCAAAAAATTTTCATCAAAATGTACCTTTTTTAAAGTTTTTCTACACAAAATAATTGAAAAACCCATCTTTTCACTTTCTACTGTACAGTAGGAGAGCCGGAGTGGTCCCTGGAGGGGTAATTTTGAGGGCCCTTGGAGGTTCCCTCTAGGGACCGCTTAACCTCGCCCTATAGGGGTCACTAAAGATTGCAAAGGTGTCCCCTTTAGGGGCATGCTATAAGGCTATTCAACTTTGAGATCTGAACAGAAAAATTGTAAGACCCCTATAGTGACCACTTGAGCTCTAGGGGCTCAGGATAAGCTTCTAAACCCTTATCGGGAAAACCTGAATTTCACCCCTCTAGGTAGTTCTATTCGCTCTCTTTTAGGGACCGTTCTTCCCCTAACCCCTCTAGGGACCACTCTGGCGTCCCCAAGTACCTTAAATTGATGATAATTTACCTCTTTTGCTATACTTCATTTTAACTTTTAAATAATAACAAAAGGTTAAAAGACCCCTAAAGTGACCACTTGAGATCTAGGGGCTCAGGATCAGTTTCTGAACTCCCAATGGGACCACCTAAATTCCGCCCCTATAGGGCCTGTTTGTCCCTAACCACTTCTAGGGACCACTCTGGCGTTCCTAAGTACCCCATGATAATTTACCTTTAGCCCTCGGGTGATTCGGAGCGATTTGGGCCAATCTTTTGGTCAAATTGAGGGCCCTTCGGACATTTCCTTGTTGGTAGAGAGAATAGGCCAAATATTCGAGGATTTCCGATTCTTCCATCGATTTGGGCTCTTCGTTCTCCAGCTGGAAAAGGATGGTCTTTTCTTCAAATTAAATAAAAAAAAAAATTATTTTAACTCGAACGTGAAACAGGAAACAAAGAAAAACAAGAAATAAAGTCGAAAATAGCTTTTTATAGGGTCAAAAAAATAGTTCATTCGCCGAAAATTAACATTATTTCAATCTGAAGAATTTTTTTATATGGTTCTAGAAATCCTATTTTTTTTTAATTTTGACCGTTTTTTGAACTGAAAAATTACCTTATTCATAGCAACCTGCATCCAAGAAAGCGTGTGATAATAATCTCGTTGATTATAGGCGGCCCTTCCAACCTGAAAAAAATTAAATTTAAAAACAAAAAAATTAAAGAAAAACGAAAAAAATTGAACTTTTACCTGGATAATTTGAATAAAAATATTGATAAAAATCCAGAAAAATTCCATGATAATATACATTTCTAGCAAAGAAAAATGAAATTTATTTCTCTAAAAAGACCAATTTTTTTCATGTTCCTTCTTTTTTCTAAATTATTCTATATTTTTTTAAAGGTTTCAAGTATCAAGATTCAGTTTACGCCATCAATAAGTTGAATTTTTAAGAATCTGGCTGAAATTTTAAGGTTCAAACTTCCTAAATTGAGTTTTTTTGTTTGTTCAATTTCTGAAAAACTTCCCTTCAACTCATTTTTTTCAAGCTATTGAATGCGCTAAAATTGGATTTAAATTCAAATAAGTTGATTTCGAATTGAAAAAAATAAGCACGAAAAAGTAAAAAAATTAATCTAAAAAGCTGTTAAAATTTATAAAAAGCGGAGTTTATAAATTTTTTTTTTTTCTGAAACTCTTGTTCATAAATGAGGATATTTATTTGTTAAATGAAAAAAATAAAAATAAAAATGAGGATATTTATATTTATTTATTTGAATTTTTTTCGATCAATCAATAATGAGAATATATTGTTTTATGAATCCAATCGCTTCGAATTACCTAAATCCAACAAATTGAAAAAGACAATTAAACCTAAGTTTTATGCTTTTTTTGAAACGTGGTTGTTATTTGGTCCGGAATATCAACGAAATGAACTTAAAAAAGCTTATTTTTGTACTAAAAAAGGGTATAAAATCCAAGTCATTCTTTAAGAATTCCAGAGTGGCCCCTATAGGGGTTCAGGGTCTGACTCCTTAGCCCCTGAATCATAAGTGCTCCCTATAGAGGTCTTTTAACTTCATTTAAAAACGCTTGTTCAAACATGGACCTCTGAGGTCGCCCCTATAGGGAACACTCTAAGCTAATCAAAATTCAAATATTTCTCCATTTCTCAATCCTCCAATCACCTCAAAAATGTCGTGAGCGGTCAATGGCTTGCCGACTTTCTCTCCGTCAATAACTCCGTGGGCCAAGTCATGGGTATCCAGTTTGTAGGTGTCCTGAAGTCGGAGCAAGGCCGTGGCGGCTCCGCTGAGGTCTTCTTCTTGCGGGAATCGGACCTTCAAATCAATATCTTTTAATTAAAAAAATATAAATTAAAGTTTTTTTCGACTGGTGCTGCACTACGGTGTGTATGCAGAGCGGATTTCTGCGGTAATTCGAAAAATAGCTCGTCTTAGAAGCGCCATAGTGGTCCCTATAGGGTTTAGGAAGAAAAAAAAAGCACTGTGAAAAATTCAGTGGCCAGTATAGAGGTTCCTCAAAGACTACTTGGAGAGGGCTCTGAAGGGGCCACTAATTGATAATCCCTTAAGTGCCCACTAATTAGACTACTATAGTGGCCACTAAAACGTCAAAACCCTATAGGGGGCACTTAGAAAGAAGTGTTTCCGGTGTAAAATTCAAGTGGTCCCTATAGGGGCTCACTCCTGGGACCCTGAAGCTAAAATGTTTTTATTTCTTATGGTAATATGGTACTTATGGTGATATCCTTTTTTAAAAAATTTTCTTCCTTGAAAAGAAATTTATTAAAAAAATTCAAAGGAAATTCTAAAAAAAGTCATTTTTTTCAAAAAAATCCACTTTTTAAGGTTCTTCGAGCTTTGGCAGGTACAAAAAATACGAAAAAATTCGAATTTTTCATCAAAAAACTGACAAACCTGGCTATTGACTCGATTTTGGGTGATATTTTTGATATATTTCTCCGCCGCGTTGTTTCTCATGATATCCTCGACCTAAAATTATCAACTTTTTTTGATTTTTGTCGCAGGAACCGACCTTCTTCCACTCGCTCGTCAATCTTTTAATCAAAAGATAGGCATTGATCGGATTCGTGACGAATTCCGGGCCGACTTCTTCGGCGTGAGCGTTTCTCTTCGAGTATTCATCGGCAAAGCTGAGAGAATGATCAGTTTAGTGTAAAATTAATAGATTGTGAGTAGAATTATCGAAATGTGTTCTGAAAATTCGAAAAAAACATTTAACAAATTTGTTGGCCAAAAAAACTGTCAAAAATAAAAAAACGCTCTACCTAAACTAAATTTAAGAAAAATTCATATAAATAGAGGAATTTATAACAATGAATTCTTGAAAAAAATTCCAAAAAAATCTGCTGAAACTTGAAAAAAATTCCTTTTAAAACTCGATTTTTTTCCGAAAAGCAACAAAAAAACCAAAAAAACAAATTCATTATTTCTTCAAAATCAATTCAAAAAAACTCAATTTGAGTAGTTCAAAACCTCAAAAACTTAATAAAAAAATTGGAAAAATCACAATGGCAATTGATAAACTCTGAAAGACCCTGGAAAAAGGTATCAAAACGGCAAGTCAACATATTCAACACTACAGCGGCGCGCAAGTCGGAAAAAGTCGGTGGCAGGGAAAGAGAGGGTCACTTTTGACGGCGCCCGCGGAAGGCCGATGAAAAAAATATACCAAATGTTTGTGCGACTGTCAGTGAGCGCAATTTTCATTGCTGAGGTCTTTTAATTATTTCAAAATTAATTAGAAAAAGGTAAAAAGTAAAAAAAAATACATAAGTAAATAAAAATTACCGTAAATGTAAATGAAACCAAATTTCACTCATTTTACAACTTGGTATGAATAAAATTGTAATTTTTATCGCTTTTGTTGAATTTGTGAATTTTGCGACTTAAAATTCAATAAATTTCTTGAAAACCCTATAATTTTCTTTCAAAAAGCATATAAACTTACTTTCTCAACTTGTTCAATCTTTCCCTTTCCGCCTCAATATATTGATCGATAACGCCCATCACGTCCTTTTCAGCGCCCAACATGTGCTGAAATACCAAAAATTTACGTAAAACAATCAAATTCTACGAAAAAATCCCCTCCTAACACTATGACGCAACCAGGACGCGAGGACCTATTGCGCCTGGCACCCTCTGCCAAGCAACTGGCCGCGTGGCGCAATGGATAACGCGTCTGCCTACGGAGCAGAAGATTGCAGGTTCGAATCCTGCCGTGGTCGAAATCTTTTTGCACTTTTTCTCACCTCCATATCGGCGATGGCGGTGAATAAATCAGCCAGGGCGAGGGCGAGTAATGCGAAAAATAGGAGTAAAAACCGCATGGTTCTGAAATTCGCTTTTTGACCTTAGGGACCGGATTTAAATCGAGGAAAATCGAAGGAACGGGAGGAAAAAGGAGCTGGAGTAGAGGGAAGAGGACATGTGGCACCACCCGAAAGTTTTGCTCTGTGCTTCTCTAAATCTCTTCCTCTCTCTGTTCACAGAAGAAGGGAGTTATAAACTAAAAGCTTCGGTCGTGTTCCACTGGTCAGAAAAACCGAAATTGATAGATTTAAAAATTGGAAAGGGAAAAGTTTAAAATTATCTATGAGTAAACTTACAACAACAACGAAACAATAAGAAAAACTCGGGAAATTACTAATAAAGCATTCGTGAAACCGAAAAGTGAAGTAAAAGGGGGTCGGAAGATCGAGTTTCTGGACCGCGGGCTTGAACTTTTTAGAAACAGTGTGTAAAGTGATCCGTCTTCGTCTGTGCGACTTCAACTCTCGGTTGGGCAATGTTTAAACCTTGGGGTGGTAATTAATAGCTTTCTTTGAGCGATTGGAGCCTTTTCGATTGGAAAGAATCTGAAAATTGGAATCTGCAAAAATTATTTTTTTTTTCTGATTGTTCCTCGAGTTATTTCACTTTAATCTTTGAGTTTTTACAGTGAAAAAAGCTTTTATGGGGCCGAAAAAGTGGTCCCTGCAGGGGTCGTTCAATTTTGTTCAAAAAAGGATAATTTTTTAGTTTTTCGCATTTAGTTCATAAAATCAACTAGCATGACCCCTATAGAGGCCACTAATTAAAGGCCCTCTAGAGACCACTTTTTTTTTGAGAAGTGGAATAGGACAACCAAAAGAAAAGAAAAGGAAGAAAAGGAAGGAAAATTGGAACGCGGACAGAGGAATATAGAATATTCTCGAAGACGGCCGAAAGGGTGAAGGCCACTCCGAAGGAAGGATCCCCGGACGGGGGGAAACAGTGGGGGACGCAAGAGAGACGCAGAGAAAGGTCGAGTGGTCATTTAAGGGATGGGGTTTTTCAGGGGTTTTTTGACCCAATTTGTATATACGTATACGTGTAGGTGTTGGAAAAGTGATAATTTAAGGGTTTTTTTCGACTCAGAGATTCCAAGTGACCAGTATAGGGGCCACTTCTTTAGGGGCCACTTGAGTGATCTTTCTGAGATGACGAGAAAAAATTCAGGTTGAAGATTGAAGTTGAAGGGAGAAACAGCGTGGGGCGCAAGAGAGACGCAGAGAAAGGTCGAGTGGCCATTTAAGGGACGGGGTTTTTCAGGGGTTTTTTGACCCAATTTGTACGTATAGGTGCTGGAAAAGTGATAATTTAAGGGTTTTTTCAACTAATGGGTTCCAAGTGACCAGTTTAGGGGCTAATAATGATTCGAAGCTTCATCTTCACCCCTTTAGAGGCCACTTGAGCGATCTTTCTGAGATGTTCAGGGAGGCGTTGATTGATTCATATGAAAAAAATTGCTTTTTGGAAACAGACCCTGAGGGGGGAAATAGCGTGGGTCTTAAAAGAGACGCAGAGATAACTGAAGTGGCCAGTTTAGTGATTTTCATTTGATGGGTTTTTCAAGGGTTTCTTGACCTATTTGTACGTATAGGCGTTGGAAAAGTGATATTTTAAGGGTTTTTTCAACTAATCGATTTCAAGTGACCAGTTTAGGGGCTATTCGGAAGCTTCGCCTTTACCTCTTTAGGGGCCACTTGAGTGATCTTTCTGAGATGTCTAGGAAAACAATGATTGATTTACGTATGAAAAAATTGCTTTTTTGAAACAGAATTGAGAGAGAAATAGTGTGGGACTTAAAAGAGACGCAGAGATAAATGAATTGGCCAGTTTTTGATGGGTTTTCAGGAGTTTTTTGACCTAATTTTGACGCCTCTCACTTATCAAAAAATAAGTGATCACTTAAGGGCTTCTTCTTATCACTTAAGGAATTTTGTAGTCTGCAAAGCTTTCTTTGTTTTAAGTGGACAAGTTAGAGATATTATTAGGATTCAAGAGTGATCAATATCTACAACTAACAAATAAATAGCGACTTGAGGGATTATATAAAATTTCTGAAACAGAAAAAGTCGATGAAATGAGTGAAAATTGGGATAATTACCAACAGATTTTTTTCAGATTAGGACCAAAAAAATGGATTTTCGAAAAAAATATTTTTTTCTACCTAATCCTTTTTTTCTAACTGATGTCCTTGTATTGGATGAAGAAAGAGATTTTCCTAAATAACGAAAAAAAGGTCTAAAGAAAGGTTCCAGTTATTTATAGCAGCCTACGAGGAGGTGTGAAAAGCGAATTGCAACACGAACTGAAGCAGAAGAATCAAAGAACGCGCAGAAGAAGAAGAAGAAGAACCGGCGGTGAATGTTTAAAAGAGAAGCAGCAGCCGGACGACGACGTGAGGATTGAGAGGTCGACGTGACCTTTTCCTCCCAAAAACCGCCCCGGCAGACGCCTCGATTATACAACAACTATATGCATCGCACAGAGCAAATTGCGTCGAATCACGTATTTGGTACAGTTTCGGAAGGGTTTTGATGATTCAATACCAACTAGGGAACCTTTTTCAGGCCCTGAAACTTTGCTGAAATTTATTTTTGAGCCTTCTGATTTTATAAGAAAAAAATTTCTCGCAAGATCTTTATGATCTTTATGAAGATCTTTATGAAGCTTCAAATGACGCAAAATACCCAAATTATGACAAAAAAGCGCTTTTTCAAGATTTTGAAGCGTCCTAACTCGAAAACGAGATCTATTGCGAGAAACTTTCTTTTTGTTCTGCAATCAGGAAGTCCTAAAATAACACCTGAGCAAAGTTTCGACAAAGGTTCAAAAGAGGGGGGGGGTGAATAAAGTTTCCTAGTAAGAAAAGGCTCTGGGAATGTTTGAAAATCGAAATATGAAGCCTTAAAAAAATTTCTTGCTTCCTGAAAGGTTTTTTTAAATGAAGATCCATAAGTAATAAGAAAGGCACGGTCTTGCTAGAGTTTGCAAAAAATGGAAGCTCTTTGAAAATTTATTTTTTTTAAAGTACAGGTCCGGCCACATTTAGAAGTTCTTTGATGGTGCAAAACCAAGAAAAAGGCCAAGAAAGACTTGAAAAAAAGTTCTTCGACAGTCTTTTGAACTTTTGAACTTCCAGGACTTTCAAACGTTTATAATTGTTAAAGGGAAGGCAAAGTTAGAAAAGCCCTTGAAGGCAACAAATAATGGATGAAGCTTTAAATTATGAAAAAAAGATTTCTTAATAAAAATAAGAAAAATATATGCATCGCCAGAGCAAGTTGCGTCTAATAACGTATTCCGATACAGATTCCTTATTTGGAAGATTTTTGATTTTACGAAACCAGGCGAAAGATCTAAAAAAAATGGACATGAAAAAGGAAAGATAAAGACATTTTTGACTGGACAAAGATCTAGAAAAACCCAAAAAAGGAAGATAAAGCTTCTTCGGCCACTTTTTGATATTCAAAGTTGATTCAGAAAGTTTTTCTGAAGATCATCACTGTTTAAAAAAAGAAAAAGTCAGAAGAACCTCAGAAAGCGTTCAAAATCTTACTAGAAACCAATTCTGTTCGACATTTTCTAGACTTTGAAGCTTTAAATATTTCTCCTTTGGGAAGAAATTTTTTAAAAGGGTCAAAAAAAATCTGATCACGTATTCCGGTACAGTTTCGACGATATTCAGAGGAACTTTCAGGATGCAAAAATAAGCAAAATATCCGGAAAAGGGAAATATGAAGCTTCAATAACTTTTTGAATTTTTCAAAGCTCTTTTCCAAAAAGTGTTTCAAAGGTCTAAAACTGTTAAAAGAATGAGGTGAAGTCAGAAAAATCCTTATAAAAGTTCAAATAAAATATTACGCTTAAATTTTTCTGCCAGAAAGCTCATTTGATATGGAATCTGGGACCCTTCGATTTTTTTTTGAAAACATAAACGTTAAAAATTGGTTCAGGTTGCAGTTTCCACTCAATTGAACCCTTTAAAAGGTTAAATTTTGCCGGAATCAACTCAAAAAATCCTTCCAAAGCTTTAGAGTCCATAAAAATTGATAGCCAGGCTTGAAAATTCAGTATTTATCCGTTTTTTTCTTCAAGAAAGCCTAGAAGATCCCTTTTTCGATAAACAAATGAAGCGATACTCTTTGAAAAATGAGACAAAAAAAGTTTCTAATGAAAAAGAGGAATACCTTGAAACAAAATCGGCCGGCAGATTTATACCCCGGGCCAGAAAAGGGAGGAGGAGCGACAGAAGGGGGAAAAAAAAACAAGGAAAAGACGACGTGGACTAGAGAACCGGCTGCGGAAAGAATCATTGAGATTCTCACGTCGGCCCGAGGAAGTTTCGCAACGATCAAGGAACCAAAACATGGGTCTTTATATTGTTTTTGAGTGGTTTTGTAGCTTCTGCCGTCGTTTATTTGCCTCGATTGATAAGTTTTGAGGAGAAAAGTGAATTTTTGGACATGGAAAACAAATTTTTTTTGATCGTGCAGAGTCACAATGGCTGCTAAAAGGGAGAGGCTTGAAAAAGGCAGCAAAAAGGGTCCCTTTATAGGTCATTCCGCGCCAGCTTGTCACGATTTTGAATTTCCTCGGAGCTAGAGAACCCATTTCGGCGCTTCGCTTCGATGCTCTCGGTGTGCCTCCTTGCTTGCGCCTTTAATAAAACTCATTATTTACGAACTTTGGAATTTTCTTATTTTACAAAAACAGTTGTAACATCAAATTTTATATCAAACTAACCCAAAAATTATATGCAAGAAAAGCTCGAACAGCCGGTTTCCTTAATAACAATTAAAAAGTAATAATTCAATCTTTTTGACTTTCTTTTTTTTTACAAATCCAGCACAGAATCTGAGTGTGTATAGGTTAAGCTAAAATGAAATCGATCTATTGAAAACAACCTCGTAAATTAATAAAAGAGATAGAGGAAATTGAAGTAATCAGAAACAATGTTTTATTAAAGGCGCACGCAGGGGGGGACACCGAGAGCATCGAAGCGAAGCGCCGAAATGGATTCTCTAGCTCCGAGGAAATTTAAAATCGTGACAAGCTGGGCCTATATCGAGCCTTCCATTTTTCCTGGGATTTTAAAGGCTCAAGGAATGGTTGAAAAAGGGAGAGGCAGCAAAAATGGTGCATAAGGGCTGAGAAAATGGCGCAAAAAGGCTGCAAAAAAGTCCCGAAAAGGAAAATTTATTTTTTCAAGGTCTTCTTCAGGGGAAAAAGATGGAAAATTCAAAAATCAACTGAATTCTGCAGCACTTAAAAGAATCAAAATCTTCTTTTTCGGGCTTTGAAGCATAATTTCAAGGCTTCTGCTCTCTTTTATTTGCTTCGATTGATAAGTTTAAGTAAAAAAAGTCAATTTTTTTGATCCTGAAAAAAACAAATTTTTTTCGATAATCTATTCAAACATCGCTTTGAAAGGTTTTTTTTAAAAAAAGATCAAAAGTTCAGAAATTTAAAAAAAAAATCAGTAATGTCTTGAAAGCCAACAAAAAATGTACGTTTTTGTCCTTTGCAGCAGAATTTCGAAGTTTTTAGTGTTTTATTTGCTTCGAAAACAAGAAAAAATTAAATCTATTCAAAAATAGTCTGTTCTAAATATTTTAAAGGAGCATACAGTGATTGCAAAAAGGTCTCGTTTCAAAGCTTTTTCAGGTCCCGCAAGCGCTTTATAAGGGCTTTTGGGCTGTAATTCTGAATTTAGGCCTGAAAATTCCTTTTCCTACTGTGGAATGCTCCTTAGCCATCAAAAATCAAGAAAAAGATGATTTCCAATGCCTAAAAATTGCAGAATGTTGAAAAAGGCAAGCTAAACATTTCCATCATTTTCTGGAAACATCAAGCAATGTGTTGAGTTTGATGCCTCAGAAATTTGCAGAAAAACTAGGGAAATTTTAAGTGGCCACTTAAGTAGTCAAATTAGTGGCCTCTTAAGGGGTTAAGGTTTAGTGGCCACTATAGAGGTCCAAGTGCTACTGCTAGACCACTAAAAATTTTAGTGGCCACTATAGGGTTTTGACGTTTTATTGGCCTCTATAGTAGTCAAAATTAGTGGCCACTTAAGGGGTTAAATATTAGTGGCCACTATCGAGGTCTAAGTGCTACTACTAGACCACTTAGTGGCCACTTTAGGGGTCAATGGATCAACACAACTGGTCCGATCTGTTGATTTTAAGATTTTCAGAGTTGCTGGAAGGAATACTGCTTGAAAAACTACTGAAGTGGCCACTAAAACGAAAAATAGTGGCCACTTTAGCGCCCCCTCCAAGCAATCCTCGGCGAGCCAGTGGCCACTAAAAATTTTCCCAGAAATTCAAAAAAAGCAAAACAATAATTTCCAGCATAACCAACCATCTTTTCAAAAAAATAATCTCAAAATACTCATAAAACTTCATAAAATCCAATAAAACCAATCCACAAGAAGGGAAATCAAACATACGATCGACCCGGCTGTCTAGCCAGGTTAGATTTGGGGATAAAAATAAAAACAAAAACGGAAAAAAATAACGAAAAACGGGGTTCAGCCGGGAAAGGGGTATTGGGGTAAAACGACGTTGGCGTGTTGTGTGAGGCGGTTGGCCGAAAAAACAAGAAGTTCGGGTCGGAATTAGTGCTTCTTGCGGTTGTTGCCGTTGAAGTTGCGCTTGGGGGGCGGGGCCAGTTTCAGGGCCGGAGTCGTCTTCGACGGCAGCGAGTAGAGCAGCTGCGAGGCCGCGTAGTTCTGCGAGGGTGCTGCAAACTTGGTGTTGATCATTTAGGAAGGGTATACTCAATCATTTTGGGGATGGGATACTTTTGATGGTACGACAAAATCTCAAGCCCGCAAATCTCGAGGACCGTAATCTTGTGTACGCAGATCTAAAGTCCCATAATCTTGGAAACCAAAATCTTGGAGACCAAAATCTTGGAAACCACAATCTTGGAAAGTAAAAATCAACGCTTTTGCGAATAGATTTTATCAGAAATTGTATTCGGTGATCCAAACAAGAGAATATAAGTAGATAAAATGCAACAAAGAAGACTAAAAAGGAAGATTTCTGCTTTCCAAGACTGTGGTTTCCAAGATTTTGGTCTCCAAGATTTTGGTTTCCAAGATTATGGGACTTTTAGATCTGCGTACACAAGATTACGGTCCTCGAGATTTGCGGACTTGAGATTTTGTCGTACCATCATACTTTTTCCTTGTTTCATTGAAAAAGTAGTTTCATTAAAAATTCTCTAAATTTTTATCTGACGCATATTTCTTTTGAAAAAAATGGTTTCATACATATTTTTTTAGATAGAACGGTACAAAAATAATCAAGACACGGGGAATAAATGAAACAGGAAACAAACGGAATCGAATAGAGTTGAATTTTTTTGCTGACTTTTTAGGCCTAAGTCTATCAACGAACAGAAAAAAAGTTGATAAAATTTTAATTTTTTCCGAAAAATACTTTTTTAAAGTTCACGGAATTGGCTTGAAACTTTTTGAATTACTGATTATCTTTCCTTTTTTAAAAACTTCTAAAAAAACTTCAAAAACGATCCAATTCAAGCAAAAAACCGGCTGAAAAGTAGCATTTTGGAAAGTTTCAATAACAATTAATAAACATTTTTTAAATCGCCATTAAAAGTTTTTTTTTTCTTGATATTTCCCACGGTAATATACCTTCATAAGGGGGCCACTTACAGCTTTCTTTTTTCGAGAATAATTTTTTGAAAAACTTCCTTTCAAGTTTATTTTTTGATCTAATTTTTCGTGGAACGAAATTTCTCATCCTTGCATTCAATTTTTTTCAGCTAGTCTTAGAAATCTCATAGTGGCCTCTATAGGGGTTTGGGGGAATACAGCCCCTATTGGGGCCGGAAAAAGTGGTCACTATAGGGGTTTAGGGTCTGACCTTCTAGCCCTTAGAGCTCGAGTGGTCCCTATAATGGTCTTTCCATTTTATTTAAAAAAACACTTTTTTTATTCAATTTTTTTCGCATGAACATGCGTCTTCGCTTAGAGTTCATGATCATGAAAATTATCGACTTAAACTTCCCCTATAGGGACCACTTTTGCAACCCTTAAAGGACCCTAATGAGATTGGTAAAGTGGTCCCTAGAAGGGGCGCTAAGGTAGCTCCTATAGGGACCACTCTGGAGCTCCTAAGTTAATTCCGCGGCACTTACCAGGAATAGCCGGAGTCGGCACAGTCGCAGCGGCGACGCGCGTCTGCATGGCGAGCATGGTGGAGAGAAGTCGCGAGGTCATCTCCGTGTTCCAGCAGCAGCTGCCTCCATTGGCCTGCGACTGTGGCTGCGACGGCGGCTTCTGCTGGTTTCCGAGCGTCTCCAACAAGTGCGACAAGATGTTCACCGTCGGATCGTCTGGCTTCCTGAAAATCTTCATGATTCTACAGTTTTCGAGGAACTCCGCACCAAATTCCCTGGGATGAGCGGTCCGTCTGGGTGGTCTGGTTATCGAAAACGTTGAAAGGAATATTTTGCTGCGGCTGGCTGGCTAGAAGGTTGTTCACGAAATCGGCAGGAATAGGATAGCTGGGCTCCTGGAAAACCCTGTCTTCATTTGAAAAATATTTTAGTCCATTCGCTCTGACTTCTCTGCGTCTCTTTTCCATCACCGAGGAGGTCATAGAAACAAGAAAAGAGCACATAAAAACGAGAGCGCAAAAAATTGGACTTTTTCAAGTTTTAACGATAGGAAAACGGCTTAGAAGCAGTTATATCATTAAAAAGGTTACAAAAATGATTATTGAATCCAAATCCCTGAGTAAACCCTTAAGTGAAACATCCTAGTTCATTCAGAAATCATTTTCGTATCTATACCTCCTTCTAGGAATTCCAGAGTGGTCCCTATAGGGGTTAGGGGAACAAACAGCCACTGTAGAGATCGAAAAAAGGTTCCCTATAGGGGTAAAATAAAGGTGGTCCCTCTAGGGGTTCGAAATCTGATCCTGAGCCCTTAAAGCTCAAGTGGTCCCTATAGAGGTAAAATAAAGGTGGTCACTCTAGGGGTTAGAAATCTGATTCTGAGCCCTCAGAGCTCAAGTGGTCCCTATAGGGGTCTTTCAACTTTATTCTAAAAACGCTAATTTATTTCAACAATTATCGCCCCTAACTAAAATTCCTATAGAGACCTCTTCTGCAAGCTTCAGTGGCCCCTATAGGGGTTGGAAAAGTGGTCCCTATAGGGGTAAAATAAAGGTGAATCCTATAGGGGATCAGGGTCTGACCCTTTAGCCCCTCAATCTCAAGTGGTTCCTGTAGGGATCTCTAAACTTCATTTAAAAACGCTAATTTAGTCGCCAATAACTAAAATACCTAGGATCACTTCTCAAGCTTTAGTGGCCCCTATAGGGGTTGGTAAAGTTGCGCCTATAAGGACCATTCTGGAGTTCCTGAGCCACTACAAAAAACCCAGATAAATCTCTAAACTTGTTCAACTTTTCGATAAACTTGGAAAAAAGTCAATTTTCTTCGAAAGTCTTCTGGAATTTCCCGTCGTTTCAGACCTCCTTGGGGGTCGGCGGAGGGCAGGTCAGACAAGCGGATCTCTCGTAGGGCGACTGCTTGGAGGCTTGCCAAGCCGGCGGAGGACGGTAGGTCCCGTTCATGATGGCGAGTTCGACCAGCTGACGGCGCTTTAGTTCATCTCTTCCGTCGCACTGAAGCTTTTCAGATTATTCGGTTCTGGGAGGAGCTGAAACCGGCGGGACGAGCAAGGTCTTGACGACGTCAACCGCGTCGACGATGCGTTGCTCGGCGGCGCGTCGCGGTCCGGAAGTTTCGATGACGACGCGGAGCGGCAGATCCGCCATGTCGGTGCTGCTCACTTCGTTTTCGGGGAATCTCTCGCCCTCGTAGCGATCATTTTCCGACGCAGGAATCGGCGGACGGACGGTCTTGCGTTGCGGAGTGAGGCGGTGACCATGACCGTACTGAAACTCCCATAAAAATCATTAAAAGCTGAAAAAAAAATTGATTTAAGCAGCAAGCTCCGCCCCCAACAGCGCTCTGATTGGTTTGATCTACGCATAAGAGGCGGAGTTTGAGCAATGACTTGACATTCAAAATCTGAACAGTATAGCCTGTGTACCACGACTTGGAATTTCACAGAACGACATTCCGCTGTGCCGCTGCGCGCCTTCGCTTTTTTAAGGTACTCTACTTCCATGTGCTCCCACAGCATTAAAAATCAATTGAAAGCGTGACCTAGATTCGAAATAAGCTTCGCGAACGCGACGCAGCGGAACAGCGGAATGTCGTTCGGTGAAATTTCAAGTCGTGGCACACAGACTATATTATTTCAAGTTCTACATATTCTATTCGAACTCAAGGACCTCACAAAAATACCTAAAAATTCAATTCAAAAGATCATTTCAAGGTTCTAAAATGCAATTTACAGTTTGTTTTAAAAAGGCACTGAAGAATGATTTTAAAAAATTCGAGGTCTTTTTTCTAATGAAAAGGTTCTCACGCAGCTTATTGTATTTTTGATCGGCCTAATCATTTGGGAGCTGCATTTCAGAAAAAAAGTATCGTTCAAGGTCGGGCGCAGATGTGAGATCCTTCTCCGACATGAAAGACTTTTTTAGGAACAGAGTGATCCCTATAGGGGCAACTTAGGGGGCCTTGGAGGGTGCCTTCTAGGGGCCCTTATACCAACCCCTACAGGGTCCACTACAACTTGCAAAAGTGGCCTCTATAGGGGACATGTTAATCGATCAATTTTATGAAAAGAAGTTCTTCCATGGAACGAACTGACTAAATAAGCGATTTTTAAATGAAATTGAAAGACCCCTATAGGGTCCACTTGAGGTTTAGGGACTAAGGAGTCAGACCCTAAGCCCCTAGAGGTTCCATCTTAGTTTTACCCCTATAGGGACCACTCTGGAATTCCTTAGTTAAGACCTAAATAGCAAAAAGACACGGATTCCTACAGATTTCGCTATGTTTCTAAAATATCTAAAGTCCTTTTAAAAACCCCCTTTTCCCTCTATTTTTCCTCAAAATGCACCGTTTTGTTGGAATATCTCCCACGGATCATGATTCGGCAGCCAGTGTCTTTTTCCAATTGCTTAGCCGTCATTCCACGAGGGCCCAGGATTCGTCCGATGAAATTGTACTGAAAAGTTGATATTATTTTTCATTTATTCGCTTTTTCAAACCGTAGGGAATTCAGCCACCGGAATGACGACCGTTTCAGACAGGGTGACTTCTTCATCGTCGTCGACGTCTTCAAGAATCGGAGCAGTGATGGGAGATTTCTCCTTCTTCTCAATGACCGTCACGACATCCGTGGAGGACTCTACCTTGCTCAGAGCGATTCTTTCGATTTCTAAACAAAAATAATGATATTCAAAAAAATTAATCACGAAAAAAGGTTATACAGAAAACTTCGTTTTTGCGAAATATCTAATAAAAACATTTGATAACCTTTATCCAAAAGGTCCAAAACGTGTTTGACGGCCGGATTGTCTTGCAACTGGGTGCGCTCGTGGAGCAAGGACGCCAAATAGCTCTGGGAGTTTCCCAAATGCGATTCTTCGGCGGAAACCACATCGTCCGTCTTTTCGATGCCGCTCGAGCGCTCATGGTTCGATGAGTGACGAGAATTCGACTCGTGGCTAGTCAACGGGATCTTAAATTATTCTTTGATACAAAAATTCTAGATACAAGAGCCAAAACTATCGCGAAAAAAACTTTGTTTTCCTGAAACTAAATTTTTTTCGAATGTGAGTTTGATCAAAATTCGTATTTTAGCTCGCTCAAAACTTACTGCAGCATTAAAAAAAGCTCTCTTATCATGAAAAAAGCTGAAATCTATACAAAAACGAGATTTCTCGAGACACCAAAAATTGAAAACCAAAAAAAGGAGGGGTCTGTCGTAAAATAAAATGTATTCTGCACAAAGCCGTGTATGCACTATTTTTTCACAGTGAAAAAATTCTGACTGCGAAACTTTTTTTCCTTTTTTTTTTCATTTTAATTTATCAATCTTTTCATACCTTGGCGTCCGTCACCGGAGGAGACAGGAACTCATGATTATGATGAGCCGAAGCGTCAAGAACGTCGCCGGCCGAGCTGGCGAGCAGCTTGGTCATTTGAACTTTTGCGCGATGCAAGTCTTTCTGCCAAGGGAATATTGTTTTTTGAACTCTTTTCTGGACTATAATTCACTTTTTCAACAGTTGCTGTTTCAGAGAGCTTGCTGTGGATCTCAGCGAGTAGCTGCTGGGTTGAGTTGGTCATGATTCTGAACTCCTTAATTTTTTTTTCCGCTTCAATGTTGAATTGGGTTAGCTTTTCTCAAAATGATTTCTAGGGTTCAGAGTTTTTTTGACAAGGGCTGTAGCATTGAAAGAATCTATGCCACAATTAATCTTTATAATTTTCATTTTTTTCTGTAAATAGTTTTTTTAAACCAACGTTTGGGATGAGAAGTTTTGCTTGGTAGTCGAAGTCGAGCGTTTAGAGTTCGAGGTAATGAAGATAATAAATTTTGATCAGAATCTTCCGATTCGGACGGAAAATGAAAAAAGTGGGCGGGGCCACCACGTTTCCACGTCCATCCGGCCATTTCAAATTTTCACGTTGATATTTTTCGAACTATTTTTTTCTGAAAAATTAGCGATAGAAAGTTATCGTTTGAAAAATTCAATCGGAAATTCGAATTGAGACGAGGAATGAGGAGGAATGGAGGAACTGGACCCGCAGATTGGTTGAAGTGAATCTTTAACGCTTTTATTATGATAACTAGAACGATATTATTTTTTTAAAAATTTAATTTTAACGATTAGGACTTTTTTTAATGGATACATCGTGAGTATTTTCCGTTCTTTAGAATCACAATGGTCTTGGAGATTTCCACAAACTTTTTGAACTCGCCCGAGAAAATATAATCCATGCACGGCTTGCAAAATATCTGCGTGCTTGATGCAACATTCAAAATTTCTGTTAAAATAAATTTTTTGTAAACTTTTCTTTCTTTTTCTTGTTTCTAGTCGGTTTCCAGATATGTCTGAAGACAAAGAGAATGATTCAAAGTGCCCGTTTGATAGAATGGTTTAGTTTTTTTTTTGATTTTCAGAAATTGAAGTATAAATTTAGACGGAAATGATCGACATATTTTGTGAGGCAACGAGAGAAATTCGCTTTAAAGATGTGATTTTGGAAGAAGTAGCTGTGAGTTTTAATTTTTTTTTTCGGATCAGAATAATTTTTCAGATGGATCCTTGTTCTTATTTGGAGCAAAACCGTAGGAGGAACGAAGAACATCGAATCGGTCAAGAACTCGTCGAAGAGAGAACTCGTCGTTCTGAAAGGCCAAAAAGGGAACCCGAGCCGGAAGAACAGGAATTTGGTACTGGAAAAAAAAAATAATAAGCATATATTTTCTTACAGAAGAAGAAGAACATGACGAGGGCCCGAGGCAGTATTTTTTCCCATCTTTGCAAACTCAAAGGAATGATTTTGCTTCGGATGTAATATACGATTTTGAAAGCGACTTCCAAGTGAAAAAGGTTGGTTTCCGGAGAAAAACAGGGGTTTCGGCCTTTTTTTCTTTCTTTGATCATTCTGAAAAAAATGTTCTGTTATTCTTCGCTCTTTCTTGAGGTGTTACCCAACCATTGTTCTTTATAACTTGTTCCATAATTTTTTGAAATGATTATTTTCGTATTTTTTATAGGAATAAGCTTGAATTGTCCTTTCAATTTTCTCAAAATCTCGCCAAAATTTTGCAGATTGCCGTTCTCGGCTGCGGCGCCATGTCTCTAGAACGATCCATGATCAATTGGATTGAAAATATGTATTGTGAACGGATTTTATCAGTTGATATTGATCCGAACGCCCTTCTGGAGGGTTTGCAGAAGCTAGAGTGAGTTCATGAAACGAGTAATTAGAAAATTCGAAAAAGAACGGGAAAAATAGGACTTTTTCTTTTGAATTATCTCTATTTTATTTTATTTTTTTTATTTTTTCATTTTTCTCTGTAGAATCGTTGTATTATCCATGCAATAAATTGTTGAAAATGATTCAAACTTTCAATTTGAAACGTAAGTTAATAAAAATATAAGGCCAAGCTCTATTCGGATTACAAGGAATTTTTCTCATTTTTCAAAATTATTTTTTGTGGTTTTTCAGTGAGATCAATGCCTCATTAAACTTGTAAAATCTTTAAATTTTAAAAAAATATGTTAGATTCCAGGAGAATCGTCGAAAATGCGAGAGCGGAACGGAGACCCGGGCCTCCCCTTCTTTTTCAGGCCTTTTTAGGTAAGAAATTGATTTTTTTTCGTTTAAATCAGCTTTTAAAGGCGCATAGGCTCTCTACGTGCCTTTGAAACTTTGGAAGATCATTTTTTATGAGTCAAAAATGTTCAAAAATAATTGGTAAATGACGTAGGAGTCTTTGTAACAGCTATTAAAGGCGCATAGCGTTTTATGTGCCTTTAAATCTCTAGAATTATATTTTTTATGAACCAAAAACGTTCAAAATTTCTTGGTAAAAAGCGTAGAAGTCTTTATAACAGCTCTTAAAGGCGCATAGGTTTATCATGCGCCTTTAAATATTTGGAAAAATGTTTCTATGAACCATAAATGTTCAAAAATCGTTGGTAAACGACGTAGCAGTTTTTATAACAGCTATTAAAGGCGCATAGATGTTAATACCCTTTTTCATGCTCTTTATACCCAATAAAGGATATCTCAATAAACAGCAGAGTTCAAAAGAAAAAAATAAAAAAATTTTCCAGGCGATATAACTGAAATCGACACAAGGTTCTGTGAAGCTGATATCATCGTATCCATCGAAGTGTTCGTTTTTCATTGATTTTTGTCAAAATCAATCAATATTTTGATAGAATCGAGCACATGTCCCTGGAAAGTGCGAACAAGTTCGTCGACAACGTTCTTGGCGTTTATCGACCAAAAGCCTTCATTTTATCGACCCCAAATAGGGATTTTAACCCGGTAAATGAGGGAAAATTGGTTGCGCAAAGGGTAAATCGAGACAGAAAATTTTTTTTCAATCGTTGAAAAGCTTATTTACAGAGCTTTAGATGATCACTTTTCACTGAAAAAAATCAGGCGATTTTCGAACCTTTTTAAAAACTTTTCGAGTAAATTAAGAAAAAAAGGAATTTCAGGGGGGTGGGGGGTCTGAAGTGAAAAATCAAGATAAAAAAATTTTTTTTTAATGTCAAAACATTTTTTTCATAGCTTTATATGACCAATTTCCACTGAAAAAAATCAGAAAGTTTTTTTCGAATTTTTTTAAAAAATTCTTGAGTCTTAAAAAAATATTTCTTTTTCATAGCTATATATAACCACTTTTCACTGAAAAAAATGAGAAAGTTTTCAAATTTTTTTCACAGAAGTACTTATTTTATTTCTATTCCGTCTTTTTGATGAAAAATTTTCTATTTTTTTCAAAATTTCTAGGCCCTCAACATGAAACCGTCCTCTTTCCGTCACTGGGACCATCATTATGAGTTTTCTCGTCAGGAATTTGAGGATTGGTAAATATTTTCAATTATTGATTTTTTCTTTTCTAATTATTGATTTTTTGGTCCTAATTATTGATTGAATTAAGGGTAGCAGAAGTAACGGACCGTCATCCGCATTATAAAGGCGAAATTAACATGGTTGGAACTTTGGAAGGTTGGTTTTTAGGGTTTTTTTGTTCGAAAACTCACTGGTTTTCAAACGTAGTTTTCTGATTACAAATTTTGTTCCCATGTCATAGTTCTTCATATTTTTTGATCAATCTTTTTCACAAAAATTAGAATTTTGTAGGTTTTGAAAGCCTTGGCGGTGGCAGCCAATTCGCTATTTTTTTCACTTGAATCTGACGAAATTCCGAAAAATTCCTCGGGAAGCTAGGAGTTTCAAATATGTGAGTTTATTTCTGGTATAAAGAAACATATTTTATTCTATCATGGCCTACTTTTTTTCTTTATTACTCTACTTTTAGAAGCGAGAAGAGCTGACTATGAAATTTTTGAGTGCCTAAATTGTAATTTCGAGCAGTTTTTGTTGAATTTTCAATACTATAACAGTATGAAGAGTGAAATCCATTTTGCGACCTTTATTGAGCCTTTATTTCTTGGTCACGGCGTTTTTTCGACGACTTTTTCTCCGTAAAGTGTCGTGTGTCCTGTGCATGCACTGCGACGCTTTAACGCAGAAAGTTGCGTTTATGTAGAGAAATTTCGATTAATCTCAAAATTCTCTGGTAATACGGCGGCCTGCGCCTTTAATATGCTCTGTTATTCACGCTTTTAGAGCCGGAATCTCTGCCGTTCCCATGACGTCACGTGGGAACGGCGGATTTTTTGGGCTCCGCCCATCGTGTCTTTTTTTTCGCATTTTCTTCCATCAGCGAAAACGCCGTGTGGTGGGCTGAAAATCCTCGAAAAAAGGTGAAAAAAAAGCCGCAAAAAGGGTGCTGAAAGTCCCGGCCATTGATTATTTCCGATTTTATTATTTTAGCACATTTTAGTTCATACACAGTCCCCACTCAATTTGAAAAATGTTGTGTTTCTCGAAAAGGGTCCAAGAAGGGTGGATAAAGGGCGATGAAAGGGCGAAAAAAGGCAGTAAAAAAAGGAAACCCTGGCCAGTCGTTTAGGGAACAATTAATGGAATCCTTTAGAACCCATAACGGGACGCTCAACGGGTTCGTAAAAGGTCCTCCCGACTTTGCTTGTAAAATGTATTATAGTCTGCGTGCCACGACTTGAAATTTCACCGAACGACATTCCGCTGTTCCGCTGCGTGCGGTTGCGAAGCGTCTTTCGAATCTAGGTTTCAATTGATTGGTATTGCTGTGGGAGCACATGAAAGTAGAGGACCTTAATAAAAGAAAAAAAAAATCGAAAGCGCGACCAAGGTTCGCAAAGGCGCGCAGCGGCACAGCGGAATGTCGTTACGTGAAATTCAAAGTCGTGGTACACAGGCTATGGACCTCTTCTTGAAGAAAACAGCGATTTTTCAAAAAAGTAGTTGTTATTTATCAGGCCGGTGACTTACTCCTGCCTCTGGGCCGGGACAAAGTCGAAGCTTCTATCTCCTGCGTGGCCATGTGTAGGTTTCTACGCTCAACGGAACTTCGGGAGGAAGATCTGAAGATTGTCAGTTTCAACCTTGAAATAGCTAAAAATAGGGATGAAAATTGAACTAATTGTTCGAAATAAGTTGAATATGAAAAATGGAGAGAAAAATTCTGGAAACGATCAAATTTGCAGCTCTCAAAAGGTTTAGCAGATCAAAAATTCCATTTTTTTAAAGAATAGACCAAAAATTCAGCTTCCCAAAAAAATGAGCAAGGAAATTTGCAGCTCTCAAAAAGGTTTAGCAGATCAAAATTCCATTTTTCTAAAGAATAGACCAAAATTCAGCTTCCAAAAAATGAGCAAGGAAATTTGCAACTCCCAAAAATATTAGCAAGGGAATTTGCAGCCCCCAAAAAAGTTGACAAGAAATTTGCAGCCCCCAAAAAGTTGACAAGAAATTTGCAGCCCCCAAAAAGTTGACAAGAAAATTTGCAGCTCTAAAAATATGAGCAAGGAAATTTGCAGCTCCCAAAAAAGTTAGTAAGAGAACTTACAGCTTCCAAAAAGATAGGCTAAGGAATTTGCAGCTCCCAAAAAATAAGCGAGAGGACCGGCAGCTCTCAAAAGGTTATGCGGCAGATTATCAAATTGATTTCAAAGAAAAAAATCAGGCTTTCCAACGCTGAACTGTGATCAAATCGAACTTTAACAAAATTTTCTCCTAAAGAAAAATTGGACAGTTTCCTTTGCATATTTTCAATAAGTTGGGTTGAAAAGTGCTGTTAAAATAGTTTCTATTTTTTAACCTAAAACGTCAGGGATTTTGCGTCAAAAAAACCCTATTTTTCTTAAGCTCTCAGTTTTTGAAAAATTCTTCCATTTAAATTTTCAAAGATTTGAAAATATTTGTTCTATCTCCCTGGATCTGAAATAAGAAATCTCCATGAAAGGCCGATTTTTCAGCTTTTTATGGCTTATTTCGGAATATTTTTTTGCTAGATTTTTAAAATTTAACTTCCGAACTCAATTCTTTGTACTATTCCAGCATAACATGTAGAATATTGTCAGATTTTAGAATTTTTTCGTAACATTCGATATAATTTCTGTGGTTAGGATGATTGTTGGGAAAATGCTCGAACATTTCTTTCAAAAATCAGTAGTTGAAAAAACATTTTCCAGCTCCAACCGAGCCAGCGGCGCTACTGGAGCTTCCCAGCCGAGGAAATCTTTCCTTTTGTGGAAAATTTAGGTCCTCCTGGCTTCTTGACCGATACTTTCTCGAAGATAAGAATATTGTGCGTTTTCGTATCAAGACAATATATTTATAAGGCATTTTTAAAGACAAAATTTGCCGGCTTTGTCGTTCGCCGCCGTGGAATTGGCCAATCGCGGGGAGGAAATCCGGATCGCAACTTATCCCGAAAAAGATGAGCTGGTTAGGTCTCTCCAGGACCAATTTCCTATGTAAAAAGATATTTTTCAGTTTTTTGTGTATATTTGTTCTCTTTCTTTGTAGCTTCTTTTTTTCAGGGTAGTTTAATTATTTTTTTGCTCAAGAAGTGTTTAAAGGCGCATAGCTAGGTTCAAAAAATAATGTTAAAGCCGCTTTTTTTAGTTCTTAGTGTCCTTAAAAAAACCCTAAAAAAGGATTTTTCGAGCCTATTTTTTTTCAAATTGCCTTTCTACTTCAATATTTTGAAGATTTCAAAAAATGTTTCCGTAAAAATGGGCTCAAGACGTCCCTCGAGTGATTTCAAAGCTGGAATTTTGTTTTGAAAAGCATTTTTTCTGTACTTTTTGGGCGTCTCAGGAAGGGTTTCTGGAAATTTTTGTGCTTTTTACTGGGATTTTTTAAAATCTGGGAAAGTTTTTAGTGGTCACTATAGGGTTTTGACGTTTTAGTGACCATTTAAGGGGTTAAAAATTAGTGGCCACTATAGAGGTCTAAGTGCTACTACTAGACCATTAAAAATTTTAGTGGCCATTTTAGGGGTCAATGGATCAACATAACTGGTCCAATATGTTTGTTTTAAAATTATCAGAGCTACTGGAAGAAATACTGGATGAAAAACTACTGAAGTGGCCACTAAAACGGAAAAAAGTGGCCACTTTAGTGTCCTCTCCAAGTAGTCCATGACGAGCCTCTACAGTGGCCACTAAAATTTTTCCCAGATTCCAAAAAAATGTCAAAATTGTCAAATTAGGTGCCTTTGATGCGAGTTATAAAGCAAAATAATGACTTTTTTAAAAAATAATTTTAAATCAAAATGTTTTATTTCTCACACACAAGTACTAAATTTCACGAAATAGATGTAGGGAGAATTTGGGAACATATGTGTCGGAACTTGTGGTGATGGAGGGAAGAGGACCCGCGGTCGTGTTAACCCCCCACTTGAGTAAATTGGAATAACCTTGAAGTTATTCTTTTAAATGTCGATTATGTAGCTTTCATATTTTTGTTGGATCAAGAGTGTTTAGTTCTGTAATGTTGTTTTCAAACCATTTCTCAAGTTTAGATCTGAACTTATTTTTTTCATACTCAAATACTATGTTTCTATCCATATGATTCCAATGATTCAATACTCTTTGATTAATGAACCGGTAGTGTATGTCAGAAAGTAGAGGCCGCTCTATTTTGAGGCCATTTCCTCGCAGTTGATTCGATCTACTTCTTGTATTTTGTAAAGGGATTGGAGATGGGCACCAATAGTATCCGTAAATGAAATTGTGAGCAGCAGTTATGTCTTTCTTTAAACGTCTTTGCCAAAGGGTGTTTAGTCCAAGACGTTGAAGTCTTTCTTTGTAATTCATTTTAGGGAAAAGTCTTTTAGTAAATTTCCTTTGAACTGATTCCAATCTATCGATATCTGTTCTTGTTAAAGGACAGAAAAGTTCTGACCCATATTCAAGAACAGGTAAAATCTTCAACTTGTAGCAGTTCATGAAATTAGTGTGCGAGAAGGTAAAACATCTAAAAAGATTATTCACAATTTTCATGCATTTTTTCACAATTACATTCACGTGACCATTCATTTTTAAATTAGAACTAAAATGTACTCCCAGATCTCTGATGAATATATCTGTTGGAATTTTTGAGCCATTTATTGTGTAAGAAGGGTTCTCAGTATTGGATTTACCATATCTGACATGTATACTCTTTGAACTCGATAGGACAAGCTGTCTATCTGCTAACCATTCATAAATAGAGTTTAAATCTTCCTGAAGCTTATGTTCGAAATTTTCTATCTTTGAACTTATCATTAATTTACAATCGTCGGCATATGTTAATAGTTCGCTGTGTTTGACTACTTTATCGATATCATTGATGTAAAGAAGAAAAAATAAAGGACCCAAACAACTACCCTGTGGTACACCCGAAAGTACGGGAATTTCATCGGATAAAGCTTCATTTATGCGTACCATTTGGGTACGTCCAATGAGATAGCTCTGAAACCAGGAGAGTAGCCGACCATTGCAACCATAGGATTCCAGTAAGTTCAACATTCTGCGATGTGTTACGGAATCAAAGGCTTTACTTATGTCCAGATAAATTACGTCTACTATGGCTTTTTCATACACGTTTTGAATCAAATATTTTTGCTTTTGAAGCAATTGCGAAACGGTATTTCTGTTGTTCAAAAATCCGTATTGGGCTTTGGATATTATGTTTTTGTTCCAAAGATGATTTCTTAAACTTCTAACGATAATGGATTCGAGTACTCTGCATGGGACACATGTTAAACTGACAGGTCTGTAGTTTTGAGGCTCACTAAGGCTTCCTTTCTTATATATAGGTCGAACTATTGACTTTTTCCATAAACTAGGCAAGCATGAGGTATCCAATGTTTTTTGGAATATCATTGATAAAGGTAGTGCCAAAGGGGCCGCTAGTTTTTGTATTATGATATTAGACAATTTATCCGGACCGGCAGAATGTAAAGGTCTAAGCTTCTTCAAACATTCGTATACGATATATGGATCAACGTTTATTTCTTCCATACTTCCAACCGAGCTCGTATTATTTATGAATGGTCTCTCATCGTCTTTAGTAAAAACTGAGCAGAAAAAATCGTTAAAAGCCTGAGCTTTCTCATTATCATCGTTGGTGCATCCATTTTTAGTCTGTATGAAAGGCGGATCAACGAATATGGTGGTCTTATTTCTAATATAATTCCAGAACTTCTTGCTGTTTGGTCCTTTATCGATAGCTTTCTCTTCTTCTTTAATTCTAAAATCTTTGATAGCTTTCCGGTATTTCCACCAATTAGTTTTATAGGTCAATAAGTCTTCGGATTTATTGGATTTTTTATATTTTATGTAGGAATTTTCAGAGTATCTCTTCAGTTTCATTATCTCGGATGGTAGATTAGACTTTTTGATAGTTTTCTTGGGTATAAATTGATCAATTAGTGGCAAAGTTATATTCAAAAAAGTGCTGTACATTTTGTCAGCTGTGTCACATGTACTGAAACGATAATTCCAATCAATCCAAGCCAATCTTTGTCCTAAAGATTCAAAGTTTGCCTCTGAATAATCATTTACAGTAAAATGCCTTTCGATGTTAATTTTTGGATTATTTATGTTCACTTTGCAAGTGACTGTTGAGTGATCAGATAAAGGCTTTTCAATTTTTATATTTTCCACCATATTTTTCTTAGACGTGAAAATTAGATCCAAAATATTGTTTCCACGAGTACTCTGCTTTACCTTCTGCGAGAAACCCTTATCACACATTATATCAACAAAACTGCTACTCACAGAATCAGTCGACTTCAGTGTATTCCAATTTATTTGTGGAAAATTGAAATCACCCACAATTATGTGCTGCCCATCTCCAACTTTTTTGTTTATAGTTTCCAACAAGTTTGCGAACTCAACTGTGAATCGAGGGTCCCAACCAGGCGGCCTGTAAACTGATGTTAGATACCATGGATTTTGCATTTTCGAATCTGCTATTCTTATTGTTAATGCTTCAATGGATTTTTGACACGTGTCGGTTCATTTCTTGACAATTGAAAGATGTGGCACATAGTGTTAAAAGACCTCCTCCTTTTTCTATTGTTCCTACAAACGTAGAAACTCTGAAAACCTTTTAAAAATGCGTCAATAGGTTTTAGGTCATCTTGTTCTGAAAGCCAGGTTTCACAAAAAAACATAAAAAAACTCGAAAAATTTTTGGCTGGCACTCAAAAATCCAATATATTCTTCTTACTTTTCAAACCTCGAATATTCGCTATAAAAATCTTGTGTCCACTCATTGTGGGGAGTTGGAAACCGTCTTATAGCCGCTCTCCTCCTGAACCTGCTCCTCAAATGGGGTAAATGGGGTAGGATTCTTTTTCTTGACGATGGTCAGGTCACGCACGACGTATGTATAACTTCCTTCTTTGCGATTTAGCTCACGCGCATAGTTTCTCAGACGTCTGTCCTCGGCTAGTTCTTCGTACGAAAGATCGTTTCTCGCGTAGCGGCAGAAGGAAGAAGATCCGATGGTATACTTGATGAGCCGATGGTTGTAGTCGTTTCGTAGTTTTATCTTCACTACCCGGTTTTTGTTGTCCTTCCGTTCTCCGTGGCGCCAGACCTTCTCAACGACGTCAGAAGAAATTCCTTTTGCGCCAAGGATTTCCTGGACGGCTTCTTGAAGGTTCTCGTCAGTCGACTCCGGTACACCGATCGCAACAACGGTCAGGTCTTTCTCGTGTTCTTCCCTCGAGCGAAGAGCCTTCTGTGCTTGCATGGCATAAGCAAGCGGCGACGTCATCGGTTCGTGCGGCTTCGGAGTGGAGGCGGCTTCGGCATAACTCTTCTGACGGGCGTCCGCTAGGCACTTGCGGAGCTCGGAGCAAACTTCTTTGAACTCGTGGATCACGTCAGCCTTCTCTCGGTTGTCCACTTTGAGCTCTCGGATAGTATCATTAAGAGAATTTATTTCGGCAGTCTGTTCTTTTACCTTCTGTTCCATTTCACGAAGGCGACATTCAAGCTGATCCTTCGTTGTACGACTGGCCATTTTGATAGTCGACCTCTTCCAATGAAGTGAGAAGCGTGGAATGAAGTGAGAAGCGTGGAATGGGTGGACTTATTGGACTTGGACTTATTGGAATTTTTTAATCCTACTGAAAGTTGTTCAGAACTCAATACTCACATTTCACACGGAAAAAAAGTCCCAATTTTTGAATTTTTATTTAACAATTCACCCATTATTTCACTTGAAAAAGTGTTATTTTTTTCTTTCAAATTAATAAAAAAAGTTTGATTAATAAACGTGAAAGACATCAGTTCACTTCATTTTTTACCAAAATGCTCCTTTGGCCCGGCAAATTCTTCCTTATGGCTGTGAGTTTTTTTCTTTCCAATTATGAATCGAGTGGAAAAAAATATGAGTTTTGAGAATCTGCTAACTTAGAACTTCACAGTTTCGAAAGAGATAGAAAAAACTGCACCATTTTGCTTTTTATTAAAGTTTTTGCCGTGTTCAAAGTAATTTCCGCGAAATGCAAAATACCCGTTAGAGAAAGGAAAAAATCACTAAATTTTGGAGAGTCAGAGATCATTTTGCATTTCGCGGAAATTACTTTGAACACGGCATTTGAAACCAGAAATTCCTATTTTCTTGGTAAAATTTGAGATTTGAAGCTTCAGTTCTAAAAAGTTAATGGAGAAGTTGTTTCTGACTGATGAAAATAAGGGCGTTCTAAAGAATTTTTCAGTCCTTTTTTATTTTCGAAAAATATCATTTTTTTGTATTTGCTTTTTTTATTGCTCGGGCAAAACTGAAAAGCTCCTCAAAAGCTTTTCTCAAAAAAAGACCTTGAAAGGGCCCCCAGCAGATCTTTTTTACATCATTTCAATTCTTTTTTGCATCTTTTTCACATCCTCTAACAAAAAGGATGCTGGAAAGCAATTGAAAAGATTCGAGATGATTCGAAAGAGGCTATGAAAAAGGTGCTCAAAAGCTTTTTACATCATTTTAGGAGCTTTTAGAGGAAGCTTTTTATCTCCCTCTCCGGATCTTTTAAGGATCCTCAAAGGAAATTTTCCGTTATACCTATGTGCCCTCTCGCTTCGATTAGAAAACCTCTGATTTCTCTGCGCTCTCTTTTCTCTCAGCCTTGTCCTTTGGTGCTACGACGAGAGCGAGTTTTCCATTTGCGGGGAGTACTGTATGCGGAAATGCGCATTGAGTGCATACTCGTCGCGTGTTTACACTTTCCTTGCGTGACGTCACCGGGTAGGACATCTCCGGGTTTTTGTTTCCGAGTTTTTTTCGAATATTTTTTTCAAATATTTTTTTGTTATTTTTTTCAAGATTTTTGCATTTTTTTCTCGAGGATATTTGCACGATAAAAAAACAGTATCAAGAAAAAAATTGAAAAAAACATTCGAAAAAAACTCGGAAACAAAAACCCGGAAATGTCTGACACGGTGACGTCACGCAACGAAAGTGTAAACACGCAAATTGTATGCACGCAATGCGCATATCCGCATACAGTATTCCTCGCAAACGGGAATCTCTCTCTCTTGTCGTAGTACCTGTCCTTTAGAAAAAAAACAGGCCTTATTGGGATAAAATTTAAATGGTCCCTCTAAACCCCTAAAGCTCAAGTGGTACCTATAGGGTCTTTCAATTTTTGTTCAGATTTGAAAATTAAAAAGACAAAAAGGATCATTCTGCTCAAAAGCTGTATTATTATTCGTATTCGTTCTTCACATATTGTTCATGAAAATATTCGACTAGAATTTTCCTTATAGGGACCACTTTTAAGGGCCCCTATAGGGGGAGGTGAGGTCGCGCCTATCTTAGGAACTTTTAGAGTGGCCCCTATAGGGGTTAGGGGAAAAAAAACAGTCCCTATAGGGCCCGAAAAAGTGTTCCCTATAGGGGTTTAGAGTCTGAAGCTTAAGTGATTCCTATGGGGATCGTTCAATTTTATTCAAAAAAGGTTTGTTAGTTTTTCGCATGGAAGTGTTTCTTCGCATAAAGCGCAAAAAAATTATCGAGTAGCTTTTCCCCTATAGGGGTCACTTTTGCAAGCTTTAAAGACCTCTATAAGGGTTGGTAAAGTGATCCCTAAGGTTGCCCCTATAGGCACCACTCTGGGGTTCTTAAAAGCCTAGTCGGCGAGGGAAAAAAGAGCGCAGACGGGTCAGAGTCCTGCCTCCCAAAAACGCCCGTTTCAGCTGGGAACTTTGAAACCCCAAGTACTACACGATCCAGTAAGAACTGATTTCGGATCAATGTTCACTGAACATTTGTCCCGGGCGGACAATTTCGCGACCTTTTCCAAATGGCTCATGCCCAACACGGTGTTGCAGATTTGCGACGTGGAGATTAGGGGGAAAGGTGGGAAAAAAATGTAATATTTATTCAGGTCACAGTTTGAAAAAAGGAGGGAAAAGACCAATTTTGAATCGAACTTCAAGGGTGAGAGAGTATGGGAAAAATGGAGAGTTCCAGACATTTTCAGAATTTGGGTTGAGTACATCAAACACACGAAAATTTGTATAGTTCATCCTCACAATTTGAAAAAAATCTGTTTTCTCTGCGCCCTCTTCCGTCTCTCTTTTATATTTCCACGTTTGTCGGTTAGAGAGAAGAGAGCGCAGACAAGTCAGTAAATCAAGAAATCGCAAAAACTCTCGCGAATTCCGGAAAGTTACAAAAAAGCAGGAAAAGATCAATTTTGAATAAAGTTTCAAGGATGGTGCTAGAGAGTATGGGAAAAATGGAGAGTTCTAGACGGATATAGAAATTTCTCTTGTTTCAACTCCGAAAAAAACCGGGCCGTTTTTGACAATTTTCGCTAATTTTCAGAAAACATTACAAATTATTGGAGGGCGCTCAGTTCTAAGTACAAAATTCATATGGTGATTTTTTTTTTTGACCGCATTTGGAATGGCTTGACGCGTCGCGGTTTCGAATCTAGTTATATTGGGAGAAATCCAGCAAGTGAGCACTTTAGGGTTTTGAAAACCGGAAATTTGAAAGTTCTTAGGATCTCCAGAATGGTCCCTGTAGATAGGGGACCTCTCTAGGGACCACTTTACCAACACCTATAGGGGCCACTAAAGCTTGCAAAAGCGGTCCCTATAGGGTTTTTATAGTGGTCTCTATAGGGGATATGCTAGTGGAAACCCCTAAAGGGACCGCTTTTTGGCCCCTACAGGGGCCGCTTCAGACTCTAAACCCCTGTAGGACCACTATACTAATAACCCTATAGGGATCACTTTTCGGCCCCTGTAGGTGTCGTTTCAGACCCTAGACCCCTGTAGGGACCACCTCAATTTTACCCCTAGAGGGATCCCTTTTTCAACCCGCATAGGAGTTGTTTCAGACCCTAATACACTGTAGGGACCATCTTCATTTTCCTCCTAGAGGGACCACTCTTTCGACCGTATAGGGGTCATTTTAGACCTTAAACCCCTATAGGACCACCCTAATAATACCCCTAGAGGGACCACTCTTTCGACCGTATATGGGTTGTTTCCTCCTAACCCCTATAGGGACCACTCTGGAATCCCTAAGCTACGATGCGTGCCCTTTTGGGTCGGAGCCGAGCCATTCCAAACGCGGCCTCGGAGTCTTGAAGAAAAAGAACTTTCCCCCCAAGGCCAAAGTTATTCGCTGGAAGTCGATAGCCGTTGAAGCGTTGCAACCGACTCACGTGTCCGCTTTTTACAACAGTAATGAGATCCCGACTTTTCTCTACTTTGAGAATAACCTCGTTTGGGTCGGTTGCAAACTTTGATGGGATTAATACATTTTCTGCTTCAGGATCCATTTGAGAAACGACATTTCCTTTTCCGACAATGGCGGATTGGTGTCGACGAATGTGATCTTCCTTTTTAACCTTTTTTAAGAATTCTAATAAATTTTGCGTCGGAGTTGTATGATTTTTTTCAAATCGGAGAAGTCCCGTTTGAAGATTTTTTTCACGATTTTTTTAATGGTTTTGGATTCATTTTTTTACTTTTTTTCACTGCTAGACCCTCTTTCAACAGGGGGGCTCATTAAAATTTCAACGTATATTTTTTTCTGATTTTTTTCAAAACATTTTTTTCAAGAAATTCTCAATTTTTTTCCTGACACGCTTACATCAAAAAAATGTTTTTTTCAGTTCTCTCTTGAAAAATTTCTGAATTTTACTCTTCCTTTTTTTCATTTTTCCGTCTTTTTCGAAAAAAATCTTCAAATTCGGAATTTATTATTTCTTTCTATATCAATCTTCTCTTCAAAAAATTTTTTTTTGCAAGGTAACCGCGCATAGAGCAATAGAATATTGGTTCCAGTGATTTGAATCAATTTCAAAACAGCAAAGTGAAGAAATTTCCAAGAACAAAAAAATTGCATCATCGTCCTTTCAAAAATCTTCTTTGAGTTCCCAATTCTTGCCGTTTTTTTTTGATTTCCTAGATTTTTGGTGGATTTTTTAACTTTCTTATCATTTTATTCAACATAATCTTGTTCAGGTGAATGTTTCAATCTTAACTGATTGCTTAATTTTTCAAAAGGACAAGAAAAAAATTTCGAAAAATGTTTTTTTTTACTTTTTTGAGCGAAAAAAATTATTCAGCAGGTTTTTCCAGGCTTATAGTACAATCAAAAGCCTTTTCATAGTTGCTGAAAGGTCAGAACTTCCTGAAAAAAACGTTCTTCGATATTTTCACTTCTTTTCAAAGCCCCAGAAAAAAATTCCTTGCATTTGTTTTTTTAATGAATTTTACATGGGTAACGTAATTTTTCAATTTTAATGCACTAAATTTTCATTTTTTTCGAATTTTTTTCAGTAAAAATGGAGCTCGGACCAGACGGAAAAACCTTGTAGGGCTTGTGTCAGCGTTGAGGAAATGATGAAAAAGGGGCCGGGAACTCGCTCAAAAAAAGCCAAAGATGCAGGTTTTCCATTGTGAAATGTTAATAAATAATCAAATTTTTATTCAAAAAAAGGCAGGAAAAATTATTTTTTTGAGTTTTTTAAATGATCCTATGTGTATTTTAGTGATCTAAAAAAATTCTTGGTCTTAATAAGATTGTCTGATTTCTTTTTGAATTGAGTTGTTTTTTTCATTTTTTTAAAAAGTTTCCTTGGGAAATCTTTTGTCTTAAACGGAAAAAAACTATATTTTCTATGATAAATAAGCAAAAAAACGGCTCCAAAAAAATCAATCCCAGAAGAAAAAAATTTTTGCACTATTGAAATCGAAATTCGATATATTTTTAAAAATAAAGAAGTTTTTATTTTTTTTAAAGTAATTTTTTTCGAAATAAATTAGCCAATTTCCATCGATTTTCTTGTGAAACTCGATAGAAAAATATAATTTTTCAAGCAAAAAAATTTGTTTCCGATTAACAAACTATTACTGAAAAAAATGCTTTTTTCTCATTTCCAGGCCAAAAAAACAACCCAACCGTCAAGCTCAAAGCCGGCCGAACCGGATTCCCTGCCTCGAAATTGTCCAGTTGACAAGGATGAACTGGGTAAACATTTGAAATCGAAATATTTTGCAAAAAAATTCATTAAAATTGAAAAATTTCAGGCAGATCCACATGGAAGCTCCTCCATACGATGAGCGTTTATTATCCTGAAAAACCGAGCGAAGAGGATAAAAATAACGCCAGGAGTTTTATGAACACACTTGGAAAGGTACGAAAAATACTTTTTGATTCGTTGCAGCTTTTTGAGCCGAGAAAAAAAAAATCGATATTTTTGAAAAAAGGCCCTTTCCACTAGATAATGTCTAAATAATCAAAAAAACAATTAGTTGAAAAATCCGATTTTCGAAAAAGAAGCAAGTAATCTCATTTGAAAAAAATATCTTTCATTTTTTTCATTTTTTTCCAACAAATCAATGAAAAAAACGTTGAAAAACATGTGGAAAAAAATTGAAAAAAATAAGGAAAAAAAGAGAAAAATAAAAAAATAAAAAAATAAGTGCGATGGGGCACACTTTCTCCGGATTTCTTGGAAATTCGATTTTCACGAATTTTTTTACATTTCTGAAAAATTATCTTCATCTTTTTTTCATTGAGTTTCTGATTATTTAATCTCAATTAGGACCATCATCAATGTTTTTTTCAGAATTCAAGTTTAAGTAAAAAAAGGTAAATTTAGGATAAATATCAATTTTTTTCAGTTTTTCGACATTTTTTTCGATTTGATATCAGATTTTTTTCACTAAAAATATTTCTTTTTATGTACTATAATTGCTTATATTCGACTGAAGTAAATAAATAAACAAGTTCTGTGTCAGCATTATTAGTTATGAACTTTCCTGCCAAATTAAAACAATTTTTTTCTCCATTATGGATAGTCGAACCGAAAAACAAAATAAAAAATGAAAGACAACATCGATTTTTTTACTTCTTATTAATCAACTTTTGAATCAAATCCTAGGATTATTTCATTTTCAGTTGTATCCATGCGATTTCTGCGCCAAGGACCTGAGGAACGACCTCAAAGAAGATCCTCCAAGGGTCGAAAATCGGACAGATTTCGCTCAGTGGATGTGTGAGCTTCATAATAAGGTATCATAATCAAAAAAACAAGAATTAATAAATTATTCAGGTGAACGAAAAAACGGGGAAAGCGAAATTCGATTGTCGGACAGTTTTCGAACGTTGGCGTGACGGCTGGAAGGACGGTTCCTGCGATTATTGACCGATTTTTCTATTTTTATGTTGTTTTTGTATATTTTTAGGATTTTATGTTCACGTTTTCACAAGTTAACATGATAGTTTATAAATTATATTACTTATTTTTAGTTTTCAAGCTGCTGATGAACTTCTAGCCGTTCTTTGAAGGTTGCTGATTGGTTCTAGTGTTCACTATAGGGAAATACTGAGAATGAGTGGTCACTAAAGGGGTGCAGAAGAAGTTGGAGCTGGTTTTTGAGCTTTTGAGCTATTTTTTAAGGCTAGAACTATTGAAAAGAATAAGAGAACGTATTTTTTAGCTTTTTTGACAATAAATGTAGTTTTCCCAGCATTTCAGTTCCTAAAAAAAGGTATCTAATTATTTCTAGTGTTCACTATAGGGGATTATTGAGAATAAGTGGTCACTAAAGGGGTTCAGAAGAAGTTTGAGCTGGTTTTTAATCTTCTGAACTATTTTTTATGGCTAGAACTATTGAAAAGAATAATTGAACGTATTTTTGAGCTTTTTTGACAATAAATCAAGTTTTCATAATATTTCTAAAATGATGTCTAAATGGTTCTAGTGTTCACTATAGGGAATTATTGAGAATAAGTGGTCACTAAAGGGGTTCAGAAGAAGTTTGAGCTGGTTTTTAATCTTCTGAACTATTTTTTATGGCTAGAATTATTGGAAAGAATAAGAATGAGCCTTTTTTTTATCAATTATTAATTTTTTTAAAAGTATTTCAGTTTCTAAAAAAAGGTGTCTAATCGGTTCAAGTGATAACTAGAGGGAAATTGTCCAAATTGAGGGAAAGTGGGCACTAAAGGGAAATTTATTTTTTCTTGTATATTGTGAGCGTCATTCAAGTTTTTTTTTTTCTTTTTTTCTCAGTTTCATCAATTTTGAAGCGGCTGATTGGACAAAAAAATAGACATTTTTATTCCAATAATCTTCAAATAATAAAAAAATCATTTCTGTTTAGACAAGGCCAAGCCGAGACGCTTATTCCCGACATCGTGAATATTGCAATATTGACGGATAAACGGGTCCCCAAGAATCCAAGTGGGACTGAAGGCCGGCGAGTAGAGGTCGAACAGGGTTAGGTCGCATTCCTCGTAGGAACTCTGTAAGAAATTTCGGATATGGCTTTCACAGAAGTCAGGAATAATTTAGTCAAAAAAATCGGTACAAACGCGCTCTGTTGCTAATTTGAATAAAAATTATTTTCAAATCCAATGACGGCTCGGACCTTGGTAACGCGAACGGGACGCGAATCGGATTTGTCGGGAAATTTCTAGTGACTACTTTAGTGGCCTCAGCGCTCTTAAGTGATCCCTAGAATTGCCCAGAAACGTCCGGAGCACGTCCGTTTCCCGTTACCAATGTCCGAGGGAGACTGAGAAGAAGGCATAAAAACCATGAATAATTCAGCCAAAAAAAGTGTAAAAATGCGCTCTATCGCTAACTTGAATCAACTCTGACCTTGGTAGCGCAATCAGAGGTGTCGGGGCATTTCTAGTGACCACTTTAGTAGCGTCAAAACTTTTAAGTGATCCCTAGAACTTCTCAGAAACTTCTGGAGCACGTCTGATTTGCATTACCTAGTTCCAAGGTAGCTCAAACCGGAGGCGAATCGGACGTGACGGGGCCTTTCTAGTGACCACTTTAGCGGTCTTAGTACTCTTAAGTGATCCCTAGAACTGCTCATCAATGTCCGGTTGTCGTTGCTGAGGTCCGAGGTAAAGCAAACCGAACGTCTTTGAGAACTCTAGTGCCCACTTTAGTAGCGTCAGAACTCTTAAGTGATCCCTAGAATCGCTCAGAAATTTCTGGAGCACGTCTGATTTGCATTACCTAGTTCCAAGGTAGCTCAAACCGGAGGCGAATCGGACGTGACGGGGCCTTTCTAGTGACCACTTTAGCGGTCTTAGTACTCTTAAGTGATCCCTAGAACTGCTCATCAATGTCCGGTTGTCGTTGCTGAGGTCCGAGGTAAAGCAAACCGAACGTCTTTGAGAACTCTAGTGCCCACTTTAGTAGCGTCAGAACTCTTAAGTGATCCCTAGAATCGCTCAGAAATTTCTGGAGCACGTCTGGTTTGCGTTACCGAAGATCGAGATAATGCAAACCGGACTTGAATTGGGAGTGTCGGGGCATTTCTAGTGACCACTTTAGCGGTCTTAGTACTCTTAAGTGACCTTTAGAGTTGTACAGAAAAGTCCGGTAGGTCCGATGTAACGCAAACCGGACGTTTCTGAGAACTTCTAGTGGCCACTTTAGTGGCGTCAGCACCCTCAAATGACCCCTAGAGTATCTTAAAAACTTCCAGTTTCCGTTACCGAGCTTTCAAATCCAATAACTGATAAAATTAAATTTTTGAATTCCTCGGACCTTGGTAACGCGAACGGGACGCGAATCGGACGTGTCGGGGAATTTCTAGTGACCACTTTAGTAGCCTCAGCACTCTTAAATGATCCCTAGAATCGCCAGAAGCGCCCGGAGCACGTCCGTTTCGCGTTACCAATGTCCGAGTCAAATCAGCCGTTTCTTTTTTTTGATTATCAACGGAGCGCGATTTCTTCTGCCATTTTCCTTCTTTCAATATTATTTTTACTTGAATCAAACAATTTTCAGCCTTTCCTCAAGCTCTATTTCGCCTCTATCCAGAATTTTCGACGAACCCTGGCAATAATATTCGAGGGATGAAACTCGAGAGTTTCCCCATTGATCAGCATCTTTATCGTCGGCATTTCATTGATTTTGGCGCATGGGACGACGTAAGAGTCCGTTGAAAAGTCGTAAGAAGCTCCGTATTTCTGAATTTTACCTTCTCGATTTCTTAAAAAAATATTCAGCTAACTCTAGCCAATGATTGAATAATTGATGAAGGACCGCCGATAAATGACGTTCCTGTATCAGAAATGACCTCCCAGCCTTGATTATGCTCATCTGCTGATTTGATTCCTATTCTGGAAAAAATGCGAAAATGAAAAACAAGAAGCAAGTGCGCTCTACGGATAATTTCTCAAAAAAAAGCGTAATATTTCATGTTTTTCAGACATGATCAAAGAGAATCATATAAAAAGGACCCCTGAAGATGAAATTGCCAGTAGGAAGCTTTCGTCAATGGTACCCAGGTGACAACAGGACCACAATTTTCTTCATCCTGGCCTCCGTAAGTGAAAACGCCGCCGGTTGGGTAGCGTCGAAGGCCGTGGTGTTCTAGGTAGACGGTGAAGATTGGCTCGTCTACCAGGCCCTTAAGTATCATAATTTTTAAAAAGCGCGGCTTTTTTTGTGAGGTTTCTGCGCTCTATCGAAAAAAATTCCACGTTTTTCTCTGAAAAAAAAGGACTTTAACTAATTTGGAGGGTGAAAAGGAATAAAAGTGTTCAAAAAAATAAGAAAAAAACTTTCGCCCAAATGTTTTTTTGTCAACTAGAAAAGGAATCGTGAAAGGATCAATTTTTCACGTTTATAGTTTTTAAAAAAACGCTATTTTTTTGAAGAAAAAAATTATTTTTCGAATTTAATAAGTATGCGAGTTTTCGTCGTTCTGTGTGTGCACCAAAGACGTCAAATATTACGGAAATTGTGGGAGGGGCGTCGTCAAAAAGAACGCCGTATTCAGAAAACTAGAACGAATATTGTCCGACCAACTTTATTCACATATAAAGAAAGTCAGAACTTTCTATAAATTTGCTCAAAAATTTTTTGATGAACTGGGGATCGATCCCACATAGTCACCATCTGCGCAAAATTCTAGTTTTGGAGATATGATTTTTCAAAGTTTCTATCCTTAGCCATGAGACGCCGTTTGGAAGGAATCTGGCCGCGCCACCAACCACTGCGTGGCAGCTAGGAGCGTGGTGCAGTGGCTAGCGCTTTAGCCTGCGGATTTTATGTTCAGGGTTCGAATCCTTTTACCGCAAACTTTTTTTGTCATTGTTTTTTTCAAGAGTTCTGATGAGAATATTGGAATTTTACAAGTATAACCAATCCAAAAAAGTTTGATGGCCATTTTTTTCAAAGTTGCTTTTTTTCACTTCGGAAAGTTCTGAAGTTTCCGCAACTTCACAACATTCGAATAAAAAACGTTTTTCTGAAAATATGGTCAGATTCAATGATGTTAACTTTAAAAAGCTCAAATTTATGAGATTCAAGTTTTTTCAAACCTGGTTTACGGCATTAATAAACGGAGGTGGTGCTCTATTGACGGCCAATTCAGTAAATCCAAGCCCGAGAATTCCTGAAAATCGTATTTTTCACTCAAAAAGTGGATAAAACCCACCATCAATGTCTTGTCTAGCGAAAAAAGGAGCCAAATTCGTCGCCTGCCCGAAAGTTTGGCTCGGAACGCACAAGGTTGTGTCGGAAAACTGTAGATAAATCATTTTTTAATCAAAATTTTTGGCGAAATTTGAAGCACAAGGCCAAATAAAAGTTTGAAACTTTAAGAAGAGCACATTTTTTGATGAAAATTCGATAAATTGAGCTTATCTCTCCCTTCTCGAAACTTGAAAATGCCTCGAAAAGAAAAAAAACCCACACACAACGTATCGTTGCCGAAATAGCCGGAAGCGCTTCCAGTACCATAATTAATTCGGAATTTTCGCCCATCTTGCGCATAAGTCGTGGAAATCGCAGAGTTGTAGCGTTTTTTCCTAGAACAGGCCGAAAATCTGAAAAAAAAAATTTAGCGTCAAAAACCTGCTCAAAATGATAAGTCAAAAAAAGCGTCAGAAATTGAAAAGTATTACTTAAATTCCGAAATTTAGAGAGGATTTTTGAATTTCGCGGAATTTATTTTGAACACGGCATGTGCGAGGGCGCCGCAGTGCATGCACACTACACACTACACTTTACGGAAAAATATTTAAAAAACGTCGTGCTTTCGAAAAAGAAAGCTTAAACCTCGTAAATTTGATAAATAGCAAAAATGGCGTAGAATAATAATCATAGTCCATTCACGACTATCATAAATAGTCCGTTTCAAACGATAAATTTTGATTTTATTTTTATTTTGGATTTTCAACAATATTCGGAAAAAATCTCACAACTCATGCTTCCCACAGCTGGCGTCTGGCACCCAAACGTTCGCACTTCCTAAACGTCCTCATTTCAATTTTTTCCAGGTAAAAAATCTCACCCGTATCTAAAACAACTAAAAACGTCTGAGGAGGTGTTCCAACTGTAATATTCCCAAAATAAGCGAAATCACGAAAATCCGCCACATGTTGGTGTTGTGCTTGGCTGTCATATGGAAATCATATTGCTTTTTATTGCTCATGTTACCCACCTGGTTAGCTGGAAACGTCGAAGAGCAAATCTTTCTTGTGGCTCTATAGGCGGCTGGGAAAATTGACGCCTTTCCACTCGCATTTGGAATTTGGCCCAAGCGGCGCCCAAGCAGAGAAACCCAATTATTGAGACGATCTTCATCCTGGAGCCTTTTTTAAAGTTACAAATGCGCTCCAATGATAAGTTAGGGAAATATCGATTTTTTTTTTGAGTTTGCTTCACCCAAATTTTTAACTACGGTAATTTGAGGGATAATCTGAACCTAAAGAATCAATGAGAAAGGGAAAAAATCGAAACTGTATGATTACAGGTAGACACCTGGATCGGTTGTATATATAATCATTTGAACCATTCAAAACAAGCTGATAAGGGCCCCCACGCGTTGTGTTTTTGCACTACAAATACCAAAGTGTATGGAAAAAGTTTGGTGAGTAATTGGACTCTTCCTGGGGCTTTGGAAATCTCGAAGAGATCTGCTTAGTCAGGTAAATATTGGAAAGTTTCTGCTTTCGAAAGGTGCTTGGAAGCTTTCCAGCAAGTGGTAAAACGCCTTCCGAACACCTTCTAGTTAAAAAAAAGCCAGCCGGAAGGCTTCTAGCAGGCTTCTAGCAGGCTTCCGGTAGGCTTCCAGCAGGCCTCCGGTAGGCTTCCAGCAGGCCGCCGGTAGGCTTCCAGCAGTCCTCCGGTAGGCTTCCAGCAGGCCTCCGGTAGGCTTCCAGCAGGCCTCCGGTAGGCTTCCAGCAGTCCTCCGGTAGGCTTCCAGCAGGCCTCCGGTAGGCTTCCAGCAGGCCTCCGGTAGGCTTCCAGCAGCCCTCCTGTAGGCTTCCAGCAGGCTTCTCGAAGACTTCCAGCAGCCCTCCGGTAGGCTTCCAGCAGGCCTCCGGTAGGCTTCCAGCAGGCCTCCGGTAGGCTTCCAGCAGGCCTCCGGTAGGCTTCCAGCAGCCCTCCTGTAGGCTTCCAGCAGGCTTCTCGAAGACTTCCAGCAGCCCTCCGGTAGGCTTCCAGCAGGCTTCCGGTAGGCTTCCAGCAGGCCTCCGGTAGGCTTCCAGCAGCCCTCCGGTAGGCTTCCAGCAGGCCTCCGGTAGGCTTCCAGCAGGCCTCCGGTAGGCTTCCAGCAGCCCTCCTGTAGGCTTCCAGCAGGCTTCTCGAAGACTTCCAGCAGCCCTCCGGTAGGCTTCCAGCAGGCTTCCGGTAGGCTTCCAGTAGCCTTTCAGTAGACTTTCAGTAGGCTCCCAGTAGCATTCCAGCAGGCTTCCGGAAGGTCCCTGGCAGTCTTTGTTCATTTTCCCCTTCTAAAGACCTTCCAACTACCTTCCGAACACCTCCCGAAAAAAAATTCCCAAAAAATTCTAGTCCCATTCACCTTTCAACCTCCTGCTGTCACCTTCTTAACACATTTCGAAGTGTTTCCTGAATAAAAAATCGGAAAAGATTGATTTTTCTTTTTTCTGAAAACTTTCCGGCAAAAAGATTGTTTTTTTTTATTTCACTTCATTTTCGTGGGAGAGGGGGCGAGAAAAAAACTGAAAAATAAAGTTTTTTTCGAGTCATTATTATTTTTTTTTGGGGGGGGATGGGGGGGTTTGATACTCTCAAAGATTTTTTTGAATGATTCCGAAGATGCAGGAACTTTAAATTTATTGAAAAAAATCAATGCATCACAGTTTTTTTCATTTTTTTATGTCTCCAAAAACACTTTTATTTTAGTCGAATTTATTTAAAAAAACATTTAAAATCAACAATAGAAAACACATGAAATAGGAGAACAATACAAAATAACCACAGAAAATGAATAATCAATCAAATAATTACATAGTTACAGGATCTCAGTATTAATAGTTAAATTATGTACCTGAGGAAGAGACCAGAAATAGAGTAGGTAACCGTTATCAAGTAAGGAAAGTACTTGTGTTATCAAACTTGTAATTAAGATCATTAATAAAGAAATAAATACCAAAATTTTTAGAAAAATGGCAGAAAATAGAAGTAATTATGATAAGAAAAACGGTAAAAAAAGTCAATTTTTTTGAACCACTGAACGAAAAATATTACAATGAATATTACAAGTTGAGTTTCAATGATTTAACTATATCAAAAGAAGAGTTTCTCACGGATTTCTGTAAAGTCCGGTACCTTCGAGACGGCGTAGTCCACGCATCCGACGTGGCACTTCAATTCCTTCGCCATCAACGCGTAGATCATGTCGTACTTCTGAAAATATACTTGGTTGGAAAGTTGGAAATTGATTGGTTATGAATCGACTTTTCAATAAAATCGAGAAAAGGTTCTTAATGAACATTGGTGGTATAGTCCGTTTATCGCGACTTGAAAGGATTTCTCTGCGCCCTCCTCGTCTCTCGGCGACTCTCTCATGTTGACGTACTATCTCCATGTTTCTCTGACCTCGCCGGTGAGGGAGTAGAGAGACGCAGACACTCGAAAACTGGCGAGGTCAGAGAAACATGAAAATAGCACGTCAACATGAGAGGGTCGCCAAGAGAAGAGGAGGGCGCAGAGAAAAACAGAGTATAGAAGCTCAAGAAGAGGAGGGCGCAGAGAAAAACAGAGTATAGAAGCTTGAGAAGAGGAGGGCGCAGAGAAAAACAGTATAGAAGCTTGAGAAGAGGAGGGCGCAGAGAAAACAGAGCAAAGAAGCTCTAGAAAAAAAAGAATCATTCCAAAACTAACTGAATTTCGAATAAGGAAAAAAAAATCAAGATTAGAGGTCCCTCAACAAAAAAAAAATAAAAATAAGATTAAAAACTAACGCAATTATGCTGGAATTGGAGGAGAGCCTGGTAGAGTCGGAGGCATTCGTGGCGCATGTCCCGGGCGATTCCCAGGACCTCCAAGGCGATCTTGTGGCCCGAAAGTCGCCCCAAGTCGGCGACCTGCTTCTCGATGACGACCAAATCGTCGTCCAATGACGTCATCATGCTTTGTGCCAGCTTCTGAAAATGGTTCTGACGTCTTCAGGAGGCTTTTGAAGCTGGGTGAAGTCTTGTAAAGATTTTTAAACATTAAAAAAAGACCAGGGTTTTTTTCGAACGAAAAAAAGTCCTTCATGGAGGTTCTTCATGAGGTTTTTTTGTCTAATTGGATCATTTTCGAAAAAAATTCAGAAAGCTCCCAGATGATTTTTTTAGGTATTTTAAACCAAACTAGATGCTTTAAAAATATTATTTGAAGAGTCAAAAAAACTTTTCAAGGGACAGAAAAAAAAAAAAAAACTCACGATCATATGACGGGCGTCCGTAGTGGTGAAGTTGTACACTCCTCTCATCTTCAAAGTCAGCTCGAACTGAAAAAAATTGAATATTCAAATTTCTTGGACCTCAGGAATTTCATTTGCAGCCTTTCTAACGACCGGATAATTTCAGAGATTCATTTTTTTTTTTTGAAAGGGGAAATCTTTCAAGAAATCTGCTCCGATTCAAAATTCTCAGATAGCTTTCTTGATACATTTTTGAATTTGAGAATATTTCTTTGAAGTTATTTTTAAGGTCTTATCCATTTGAGTAACTAAAAAACGTCTTAAAAAAGTCCTAAAACCGAAAAATTTCCAGGGCCGCAATAGAAAAATGTTACAGAAATAAAAGAAAAAACTCACATAAAATTCCAAATTCTCGAACGCTTTCTGGACTTCATGGTTACACGTCTTCAGAAGCTGAAGACGTGCTTCCCATTGATCCAAGGCCAACTTCTGGGCCTTCTGCTGGTTGTACTTCTTGACGACGTTGGCGACGATCGATTCGATAGTGAAGGTGTTCATTTTCGTGGACGGAAAGCTAAAAAAAGCACTATTTACGTAAGAGTATTATAATGAAGGTTTTGAGTGAGAAAATATCAAAATTTGATGTGAAATTTGAAGAAAAATGGACTGATAAGTCGAAAATTCGCTACTTTTTTAATTCTTGATCAATCAAAAACATTTTATTGATATAGAAGCTAAAGCTTGAAAAGGAAATGTCAGTTAAACATGATTTATAAAATTGTAAAATGCACTATTTATGAGAAAATGAGAAGAAACTGTTGTATAAAGAAGCTGATAAATGAAACAAATCATAAAAAGCCAACCTGAACGTCAGAATAATAATAGTAGAAGGAATGGGGTAACAAGACGTTTGATCAGTTGTTGGGATTCGATTAGGAAAGGTAGATTGGTTACCTGAGAGCTCCTATTTATACTGATTGGTAGACTCCGCCCACAAATTGGGGTCTCATGCCAGAGGGGCTCAGAACGGGTTGGTCGATTCGCACCTTTTTGGAAGGTTTCTTAGGTTTTTGATTGATGTATTGGTTTTTGAAGGTGTCAAGGTGTCACTAGAGTGGTTTGGAAGTTGTGCTTGATAGACTCCGCCCACAAATTGGGGTCTCATGCCAGAGGGGCCCAGAAAGGGTTGGTGTATTCACACCTTTTTGTCAGGTTTTTGTCAGGTTTTTGATTGGTATGGTCACCTTTGAAGGTGTCAAGGTGTCACTAGAGGGGTTTGGAAGTTGAGCGGAGGTGTTAATGGGGGAAAATAGATCATTATTGGGAATATTAACACATTTTATTTGAAAGGCTCATCACTCGAAAGGTCATTTTACTTTTGGGAACTTCCTGAAAATCGTCCAGAACACTCCTGGATGTACCAGAAGAAGGCTAGACCTGCAAAAACTCCTCGTTTTTGAAAAAGGAAACCTCAAAGTCAACGAAACCACTAAAAATCTGTAAAAATAGGCCATTTTGAGGCTTCAAGCCCTTGTTTCTCGAAAGCTAGGAAGTTGTGAAGTTTGAGATTTTCAGAATCTTCTACTGGTACGTCAAGGAGTGTTCTAGCCAATTTTCAGAAAATTTTCAAAGTGAAATGACCTCCCTTGTGAGGCACATCAAAATTTCAACCGGGGGAGGGGGGTTAAAAAAAGGGTCTTGCTCATAATTGGAAGTGGATTCGGAATCGGGCTGAACTAAGGATTTTTGAGAGAGTTTCGGAATTTCTGGTTTCTTTTATTTTTTCAAAAAATCTTTTAAAGAAGGTTCAATTTTTAACAGGGGAGTTTGAAAATGAAAATATCAAATTTCGAATTTCTGAACTTGACTTTTTCCGAAGAAAACCGTTAATTTGAATTTTAGTCCTTTTGGAAAAAAAACCTTCTTTTTTTGTAGTTTTTTTTTCAATGATATTGGTAGATCAAATAGAAAGACCATTCCCGCGAAAATAAACCAGTTTTGACTAACATTTAATTTTTCTCAGTTTCAGATTTTCCTTTCCTTTTTTGTACACAATCATCTATCAATATCAAAAATAGTGATCATTTCATTTTTCAGATGGTTTTTCTTATGCTTTGGCAGCTGATTTTCGGCTTTTTTCCCAACTCATTTTGAACTATAGTCCATTCGCCGCGACTTGAAACTTTCTGCCTATCTGCGTCTCTCTGTTCCCTCACCGGCGAGGTTAGAGAAACATGCAAATAGCACGCAAACGTGAGAGCGTCGCCGGGAGAAAAAGAGGGCGCAGAGAAATCTCTGCCCTTTCAAGTTGTGGCAAATGGACTATATAATTATTTATTTTGAACTTTCTACAAATCAAGCCTTTTTTTCAGCTTCATCTCCATGAACTAAATTTTTTTGCAGCTTCATTATTTTTTTCATTTTATATTCTTTTTCCATTTGTGACCCTTATTCCGAAAAGAAATAAAATCTAACTTTTCCACCAGTTTTTCTTCTCTAGAAAGTCAAATATTTTTCAGTTCCTTCACGAAAACGACATCAACATCGAGTCGATCGTGGCCAAGATCATCAAATTCATATTTTCTTGCTCAAAACCTTCTCGAACCTTGGTAACGCGAACGGGACGCGAATCGGACGTGTCGGGGCATTTCTAGTGACCACTTTAGTAGCCTCAGAACTCTTAAGTGATCCCTTGAATCGCCCAGAAACGTCCGGAGCACGTCCGTTTCGCGTCACCATTATACCGTCCTTCCTTCGAATATAACATAAGTTCGGCCTTTTTTCAGTTTTCCGTTCCAAAATCCACGAAAATGAACTCCTTCAACATCGAAACCATCGTCGCCAACGTCGTCAAGAAGTACAACATGCAGAAGGCCCAGAAGACGACCCTGGAGCAGTGGGAAGCACGTCTTCAGCTTTTGAAAGAAGACGTGCAACCAAGAAGTCCAGAATGGGTTCGAGAAACTGGAATTCTATGTGAGTTTTCTAATAATTTTTGCATTGAACCTTCCTACTAGTTCAAGACAATATATTTCTGGGTCTTTTTTGAAGTTTTTCTAGTTTTCTAGTTCAAATGATTTAGAAAATCTTTTTTCAGAAAGAAACACCATTTTGAATATAATTAGAAAGATTCTGAGGACACCTGGATTGGAACAAAGATGTGTAGTAGATTTTCAATAAAGTCCTAGAAAAAATGTAAAATTCGAATATACTGGCCATGGTCTCAGTTCGCAGTGGGACTTCTGGATAAGACCATGTTTTCTAGATGTAGTTTTTTACACTGATTCCAAATCCGGTCTCAAAAAAAGCTGCAAAAGCCTGTGAAAAAAGTTAGGGACCCTCAAAAGTCGAAAATTTCAGTGTCTCCGATTGAACTTATTTTTAGAGGGTTTGTAAATCTTGTCCCTCTAGTCATAAAAATCATTAAAGTTTTCTCAGAGATTAATTTGGATCTGGGCTTTTTTTGAGAAAACTATAATGGTTTTTTTGTGACCGGAGAGACCACATTCCCTCCAAAAATGAGTTCAATCGGAAAAACTGAAATTTCCAACCTTTGAGAGTCCCTAACTTTTTCAGAGACGTATTGGGCTATTTTTGGGATCAGATTTGAAATCAGCGTGAAAAACTACATCTAGAAAACGTGGTCTCATTCAAAAATCCTACTGCGACCCTTAAAAGAAAAATCCCAAAAGTCTTCAATTTTGAAAGAATATTTCTTCTGACACAAAAAAATAGTGAAAAAATCTTTTTTGAGTTCGATCTTACGTTGAAGATGAGGCCGACTTAAGCCAACTCTATCGACAGACAGGCCAGAAGATCGCCTTGGAGGTCCAGAGAATGGCTTTCAGGACTGTGTTAGTTTTCATTTTTTTTTCCCCCCTCTTTTTTGAACAGAGTAAGAACTACATTTTTTACTTCAATCTGAACTTTTCCATCGTTTTCAAAGTTTAGTTAAGAGCCTGAAGAGGTTAACGGATTTCTAGTGATACAAAAACCTGAGAATATTTTCCCCAATTTCCATTCAAACTTCATTCATCCTAAATTTATACCCTGAACTTTCAAAACAGAAATAATTTCAGAAGTAAGACATGATCTACGCGCTGATGGCCAAAGAGCTCAAGTACCACGTCGGATGCGTGGATTACGCCGTCTCGCAAGTTCTAGACTTCGAGGACCTCCGTGAGAAACTTCCTTTTGAGTCAGTTAACAGTCGAGCCCTCAATTCTGTTCAATAAATTTGATTGAATTCAAACTCTTGTTTTGTTATCGATGAACCGAAATCTTCAAATAAAACATATAAAAGCCTAAGCAGTGATCGTCGGAAAAATGACAAGAAAGACGAAAACGCCGTCTAAGCTTGATCAACGACAGTTTCGCGAAACGTCAAATTATTCTTCTATTATCACATGATTCAGAAGAGAACCTTCTCTGAAGACTGAATAAAAGTTTCAAAGATTCAAAGGTTTCAAAAAAAATCCAATCTTCTCTATATATTCTTAAAGTGATCAACGACAACTTTTGCTTTCAAAACTATTTTTTCAAAAGCTTCAAAAGAACACTGAAACTTGTCTTCCTCATCAACAACGCCAATTTTTCTCCGTTTATTCCAAAAAAGCGAGGCAAAAAAGGTGAAACGGACAGAGTGGTCGTAAAGAAAAGGCCGGGCTTGTCAAACGTCAAACTGACGGCAGGATTTGACGACGTGGCACTGGCGCTCGGCCGCCGAGACGCCCTGGTAGAGAGCGTCGTGCATCATGTCCTGGAAGGGTCATGGATTCAGACAAAGGACTTGGGGACGACTTATAGGAATTTTAGGGAAATCACTCAGGGCCACTCAAGAGGTCCATTGGAGAGGACACTAAAGTGGTCACTAGAACCACCTTTATAGATGCCTCTATTTTGCGTCTTAGTGGCCCCTTCAGCAGTTTTTAGTGGTTCAATAGTACCAGTGAGACTTTTAGAGAGACCACTAAATATTAGCCCCTTAAATGGCCACTAATCCGCCTACTAGTGTGGCCACTAGTTCGATATTCAGAGCGGCCACAAACGTCAAGACCCTAAAGTGGCCACTCCAATATTTTTCAGTTCACTAGTACCGCTACGTCTTTTAAAGATGCCACTAAATATTAGCCACTTAAGAGACCACTAATTCGTCCACTAGAGTGGCCACTAAAATCACCTTTATAAATGCCACTATTTTGGTACTTAGTGGCCACTTTAGTAGTTTCAAGAGGTCCAGTAGTATCACTAAGACTTTCAAAGAGGCAACAAAAATCACTTTTAGCCCCTCAAGTGACCACTAATTCGTCCACTAGAGAGGCCACTAATTCGAGCACTAGAGTGGTCACTTAAACGCCAAGACCCTAAAGTGGCCACTAGTTAAGTGGAAAAAGCTTCTATAGGGGTCAAATTCAGGTGATCTCTTCAGGACCTGATGCCGTCTTCAAAGTAATTTCGCGAAATGCAAAATAGCCGTCAGAGAAAGAAAAATATAACTAAATTTTGGAGAGTCAGAGATCATTTTGCATTTCGCGAAATTACTTTGAACACGGCATGACCCCCGACTCCTAAAGCTCAAGTGATCCCTATAGGGCCTCTGAATTTTTTTCTTAAGAATCTCTAGTACAGCTTCTCTCACGCCTTAGAATCCATCACGGAAAGGAAAAAATAAGATTTGCAGCCCCCACATTGAGAACGGCGGCGCCGCAGTTGGCCGGCTTGATCAGGTTGATGTAGTAGGGTCGGTAGGTCGAGGCGCCGGCCAGACTCATCGTCTCGCGGAAGTTGTTCTCGTCGTGCTTCAGCCACCCGTACGACACTTCAACCTGCGGGAGTTTTATTTTTTTATTGATATTTTTGACTCGGGAAAAAAATCTAATTGTGCATGTCTAGTGCGAACGTTTGTATATGGAAAAGCGCAAAAAAAAAAGCTTATAAACCTTTTTTTTCATTTTTCTCGATAACTATTCGATGACTTTTCGAACGCGTCACGGTCGCGCTGCGGTTGTGAAAAGAATCCAAACTGCTTAGGAGTTCCAGAGTGGTCCCTGTAGGGGTTAGGTGTGAAAACAACCCCTAGAGGCGCCGAAAAAGTGGACCCTACAGGGGTCTGAAGTCTCACCCCTTAGCCCCTAAAGCTGAAGTGGACCCTATAGGGGCCTTTCAATTTCATTCAAAAAACGCTTTTTGTCCAGTTTTTCCCATGAAAATGCTTCTTCAGTTCATAACATTTATCAACTAGCATGTCCCCTAAAAGGGCCACTAACTAAAACCCCTATAGGGACACTTTTGCAAGCTTTAGTGGCCCTTATAGGGGTTGGTAAAGTGGTATGTAGAGGGGAGCCTTCAAGGGCCCGTAACGTGGCCCCTATAGGGATCATTTTCGCAAGCTTTAGTGGCGCCTATAGGGGTTGGTAAAGTGTTATTCAGAGGTGAACCTTCAAGGGCCGCTAACGTTGCCCTATATGGACCGCTTTTGCAAGCTTTAGTGGACCCTATAGGGGTTGGTAAAGTGGTATTTAGAGGTGAGCCTTCAAGGGCATCTATAGGGACCACTCTGGAATTCTTAAGTATCATCTTTGTATTGAAAACAAAATTTTTCGAAATTCAGCGTTTTTAAAAGTAATTGTTATTATTACCAAGGGGACTTCGAAATGGATTCTTTTCCGATAAACGTTATCATTTTGATGAGATTTTTGTTCAAGATTGGAAAAACTAACGATATTGTCTCCGTAGCCCTCCGTAATGCGGAGACGGACCGAGCTGAGAGCTCCGGGAGCCACGGCCAGGGGGCGGGCAACGTCTTAACATTTTCTAGTATATTTTTGTTTTTCGTTTTTTTCCCAGCTTTTTTTCACCACTAGTTGAAGTTTATGTTCATGAAAAAAATCGAAAAAAAGCTTCTTATATAATTTTTCCACCTTCTTGTCTCTTCTATGAAAGAAAAAATCGAGCTTTCGATTATATTTCACCAAGAATCTTTGAAAAAGAAGCTTCTGAATTTTTTCCAGAAATCATTCATTCAGAAAGTTTTTTTCATCTCTGTAGCTTCCAAAATTACCAAAATTTTGAAACTTCAAAAAATTGTTCCATGATTTTTGACCAGAAATGGACAAAATTCATGAAATTTACTAATTTTCTAGTTCTTAAGACTCTTACAGTAACACTGCTAAAAGTTCCTAAGGAATTAAAATCCAAAGAAATTTAATTTTGAGCCCAAAATTTCCGAGGTTTCTCAGGTCGTTTTGAAAAACCTTTTCAGAAAATATCCTTTCCACACCAATTTTTTCAATTTTTCCCATTTCTTTCAAAAGAAACTACTTTCCAGAAGCCTCCTTCAAACCCTCATCCTCAAAACCAGCTTTTCCAAAATGTCCCCCCTACCACTATCGCTGGGGATCAAAAGGCCCTGGCCGACGAGCAAATCGATCGAGCTCTTCAAATGCTTCTTCGAGTCGAACTTGATGTCGTCCTTCTTGTCAGTGAGCCAGACGCGAACCCTAAAGTGGTCACTCTCGGGAAACTCGCGTAAAGTCGGTTGCAAACCATTCGCAGTCGTCAAAGGCAATGTTGACCGAGAGGAAACGCGACTTTGGCAATTGCTTATCAATGCAATCTTTCTAAATATCTCATTTCTCATTAAATCACTCGGGAAAAATTACAATTTCCACAATTTCGTACTGCCACAGAGCGAGATCTTTGCTTTCGGGGATTTTCCTGAAAAAGTTGAACAAATTGGGAAAATCCATCATCTTCGAAAGGTTTTCATCATTTCAAGCCTGAATCTTTGGATTCTCTACAAAATACTAATTCTCCCATCAACATTAAAGCGCAGCAGTGAGAGTCTAACACTAAAACGCGACGCCAACCGACAGTCGCATCGGTGGTTCAGTGGTAGAATGCTCGCCTGCCACGCGGGCGGCCCGGGTTCGATTCCCGGCCGATGCAATTCCTTTTTTGCAGCCGTCAAACCAACCAAGTGGAGGTGATTCCGCTGGTGCCGCGCGTGTCGTAGAACACCTTGGGGCACCTGCCCTTCTTGTTCAGTTTCATCAGCGCCGTCTGCTTGACAATCAACTAAAGGGCACACTGTATAGCGTTTCAAGTTGTTAATCACCGGAAGGTTCTCATAATTGCGAACGTTTCCAAGGGCAAGTCTGTAGTCGAGGACTTCCTTGCCTTGATTCACCAAAACGGCCGGATTCTTGACAGTGTTCCTAGGAAAAATGAGCATTTTTCCCTACTTTTGCATTCTTTTGAAAAATGAGAAACGAAAAAATCAGGTCTCGACACGAAATTACGGTAGTGAAACCTGGAATTTTGAAGTATGATTTATTTTTGCCTTTTGCCCATCTCCAAAATAGCCACAGCTAATACGGCTAACTTAAAACGCCAAGGGGGCGTGGCCTGTCTGCACCCTCCACCAACCAAGCACTGTATATCTTCTATTATTGTGTCAGGACCCTTTTTTCGAAGCAAAATTTTCCGTACATGGAAACTTTTCAGATGGCTTGAGAAACCAAAAAAAGGGTCTTGACACGATAATAAAAGAGAGTGCCTGACCGGCGGAGAGCGCAGACAGGCCACGCCCTAAGCCATACTTTGCGACTTTCGAATTTCAGAGACCCCTTTCTCGAGTTCAAACTACGCACAAGTTGGGCAGGAACTCGGCCCTTCCGCCATTGGACGGCTGGCTGACGGTCGGATGGCAGTAACGGCTGTTGGAAAGGACCAGCAAGTCCTTGTTGGCCATCTTCACAGTGACCGGCTTCACTTCGGGCTTTTTCGTCGTCAAGTAGGCGTCGTAGTCGTAGGCGTCAAGGGTCTTCAAATCGGTTATACTGTATGGGGAAACCAAATATTTTCAATGTGTTCAGATTATGAAGTAAAATGACTTCATTTGAAAACGCTCTGTAGAGGGCTCGCTCTCTGATTGGCTCATCACGTCATTAGGGGCGGAGCTTGACTGTATTCTACCGAGAAAGTGGTCTCACAGGGAAAGGTTTGCAGTGGCCACTATAGAGGCTCGCCAAGGACTACTTGGAGAGGACACTATAGTGGCCACTATTATTCGTTTTAGTGACCACTTCAGTAGTTTTTCATCCAGTATTCCTACCAGTAACTCCGATAACTTTAAAACAAGCATATTGAACCAGTTATGTTGATCCATTGACCCCTAAAATGGCCACTAAAATTTTTAGTCTTCGCACTTAGGCCTCTCTAGTGGCCACTAAATGTTAACCCCTTAAGTGGCCACTAATTTGACTACTGTAGTGACCACTAAAACGTCAAAACCCTAAAGTGGCCACTAAAAACTTTCCCAGTACCGCCCAAAAACCGCGATGGGTGTATGCACAATTTAAACCTACAGTGTTCCAAACCGAAAAGTGCCCCTTTTCAAAAAAATCCAGCTCGCTCCTTTTTTTCAACTTTTCTTCTTTTCATCACTATTGGAAAACACTTTTTTTGCCTCCCCCTAAAATTCTACCGATTCACCATCAGATTATAGGTTCCATCCGTGGCGGTGGCCTCAAAGTTGAGCCAAGGCAAGTCCCAAGCCTTGACTATCCGATTGCTGCCTTGATCTGAAACAAATTTTTGGAAATTATAAAATATAGCCGAATACGAACAGATGATCAGTTTGTGATCCGCTGGGAAAAAGTGAATCGAGCCATCTTGGGTGCAAAAATCGGCCTGCGAGAAATCAACGGGGTCAATAAGACGATCCTTCGTCTGTGCCGGACACACGTAAACTCTAAAAAACTATTGTTAAACTTCATAGTGTTTCAAAACCATCAATAAGTTACAAATAAAAACAAACCCCTGGCAAATTTCAACCGGCCATGCGACAACTTGGAAATCGGTTGATGGAAGTACATAGAAGGCGGCAAACGTTTGACGACGAATATGTCTGAATAAAATTATTTACTTCCCTGGGAAAAGTTTCGTTCAAATAGGAGATTTAAAAACAAAATAGGGAATTTAAAAATAGGAAATTTAAAAATAATTGAAGCAAGAGATATTTCCGCTTTGTTACAAATATAACTTTTAAATAAGCTCTGTTAATTCCATGTAAAAAAATAACTTAAAAAAATTAAATAAAAAAAGAATTTTTGAAATGCTAAAAAAATACGCCTGTGTACGCTTGCTGGCGCATATATGGTTCAGAATTTTCATATCTGAAAAACCCACGTTGATCCAAATTCCACTCTCATGTTATTGTCCAAAAACTCCAAACTCTGAAACGAATAGTTTCGGAGGGATCGTTCAGCAGTCTACTCACCTCCGGGTAATCGAAATCTTTGGGAGGAGGAGTAGGCTTCGGCTTCGGGTTCGGTTGAGCCGTTGGTTGAGGCTTCGTTGGCTGTTTTGGCTGTTGTGATGTGCCATTGGCAGCATCTACCCAATAGAACGACTGGATGTTTAGCTGTATATTGTAAGTTGATAAAGGTAAATTTTAACAAATGTCTTTTTCACACCTTCGGTTTCTATTTTCAATGTGTTTTATCGATTGATTTTGTTTGATTCAATTTTTTAGACAGTTTCTTCGCACTTTGCGACGCATGTATTAAATAAAACTGCTCGTGAAAAAAGGCCATTTTTGTTCAAAGAAAAGTAGAATTGAAAATTTTTCAACCCAATTCATGAAGAAAATGTTTTTAAAACTGAACTTGAAAAAATCATGCATTGATTTGGATCGAGAGGCTTTTTGGTATCATAACACAGTGACTTTCGCGCTCTATATTCAATTTGCAGCTCCCAAAGCAATTGTAAAATTTTTGAGGGCTGCAAAATGTTTTTTTTTTGCAGCTGAACTGGGCCTGGGATCTTTAGGCAACTATTCCACCTCGATAAATAGTCTAAATTTGGCATTTATGAACCTTTTCCCATACCAAAACCCCGGAAACAGTGTCCAAGGGAACTCACAAGAAGAATGGTCAGAAGCACAAGTCGATTCCGCATCTTCGCTCGGTAATGACGAGCTCCAACGCGCTAGTGACCTCCTTTTTTCTTATCCTTCCATCTTCACGCTATTTTATTATTTTATTCACTTTATTTATTCGATTTCATAAAATGAGTTCGAGTAACTTCTTTTCTCGCCCTATAATTTTTTCCTTGCATTTAAAAGAAGTTTTTTAAAATTTAATTCCATTTGAAACGGTAGAACGGCTCAAAGCGGAAGCTTTTCTGGAATTAAAACTAGAGAAACGACTCATTTTTGAACCGCGACGCTTTGAATTATTCCAACTACATGCGAATGCGGCTGCAACTACTTTTGAATAAACGAAGAATTAATTTTTTTATTATATGTTATTAGTGAAAAAACGCGATTTTTTTGAACAAAAATAATTTTTTTCGATTTTAAGAGTATGCAAGTTGGCGTCATTCTGTGTATGCACCAAAGACGTCATATATTACGAAAAATTAAGCGCGAGGAGTCGTCGAGAGACTTTCTATTCAAAAATACTGTTATGAGAAGTTAAAAATTTCTTTTTTTCAATTATCAAAAAAGGAACGCTCGAATACCATTGGAGTTTCAATTCAACTTATTTTTGACAGAATTGTGACTTTTCCTTGATTAACTTCTCGTTTGAATTTAATAAAGCTTGAAAAAGCTGTCCAAGTCTTGTCGATCAACTTTTTTCGGGTCTCTTTTAAACTCCATGTGGGAAAGAAAGCTAAGAAACTGGATAATGGAGGCGTTTGATCTCAAGCCTTTCACTTGCCATTTGCCACAACATTCCCTTTCGTGATGTCCTCAAAAATCAAGTTCGTTTCTCAAAATTTGATATTTATCAGTTTATCCTGTTTAGGTACGCAACCTTGATAACCTTTTCGATATTGTTCGTGTTGGCAGTGATTGCCGCCATTTTTTGGGATATAACTAGTGAAGAAAGTTGGTTTTTCCCTTGATGTTTCTATCGAAATTGACTAGAAAATTGATATAATTGATTTAGAAGGCCAACAAATAACGGTTAAAGTTCATCAGAAGGAAACGGCTGTTCAGGAGTTGCATCCATGGCTTTCGGTGCGTTGAAATAATTTTTTTGAATAAATGAATTTTTTTCCTTGGTTTCTTATATAACCGAGAAAGATTGAAAAAAATTATTAGGCCTCATAATTAATTATTTTCAGTCTGATTCAGAAGCACTTTCATAGAAAAAAATCGAAAAAAATCGAGAAAAAAACCCCTTTTTCTTCCTTTTTTTTTGTGATTTTTTTATTTTTTTATTTTTTTTATTTTCTCCAGACTTCCTTGTATTTTTTGCTTTTTATAAGAGTTATAATTTTTTTTAAAAGATTTACAAACCAAAGAAAAAGGGAAATTTAAGGAAATCCGGAACTTTTACGGCGCCCAAGCTGTGCATCGCAACAATGTCTTGAAGAAAATGACCAATGATTCCGATTTTGGGCATTTTTTAAACACATTAGTACCTGAGGTATCTTTTAATTGTTTCCTGAAGTTTCAAAATCTTTCTGGATTCCAGGTATATTGCTTGAAAAAAGTTCGGATCGGATTTACCTGGGAAAGTAATGAAAAATGGATGTGTAACCCGTGGAAAGTGCCGGCCGATTGTTTGTAAGGGATATTTTTTTATTCGAAAAAAACAAAAAAATTAAAGAAAAAAATGGAGAGAAATGGTAAAGAGGGGGTGATATGGTCGCAATCGCATCAGAAAGCGAGTCATGCAGTTTTGGCGAAGCTGGTAGCGCGCTCGACTGCCAATTTGAAGTCCAGGGTTCGATCCCTCTTCACTTATTCTTTCTTTTGCCATTTTTTAAACAACTTTTATGAACAATCACGTTATTCTTTTATCAATTTTAATAGTCAAAAGTTGCAGAATAGTGTCCGCGGACCTCAGCGACGCCAAGTTTGAGCTTCATCTCCAGCAAGTGACGCATAGTCGGTGCAGACTTCTTGGAATCTCCAAGGTTTTTTTATTTTATTTTAATTTTTGAAGCAATTTTTTTCAGATGCAACCTCACGAATGGTACGTGTCTCAGTACAAGGAACTCAATGGAACTATAAAAATTGCTGAAATTTCGCAGAAAACTGAGAAAGAGAAGGGGAAATTCACTCTAGGTTTGCTTTAAAACGAGTATTTCTTGCGAATTTTACAAATTTTCAGCCGATTTGGTTGGTGAAACGAAGATGAATGAAGTTGAAGTTCTGAAAATGGAATTGGATGGGGCGGAACATTCCGTTTTGGAACCTTTTTTTGAAAAAAATACCTTGTTTGTCAGGTTTTATAAAGAAAAAAATGGACTGAATTCTTATTTTTTTATAAATATTCAGATAATTATTCAAATCAATGGGACACCGAGACAGATTTTGGACTTGTTGGAGATGTTGGCAAGGTGATTTTTTGGGTCTGAAATTGGATTTTGAACCTTTCAATAACACAATTTTGAGCTGAAAATCTTGAAAAAAAAAACTTTTTTTTTCCAGGAAAAAGTACCGAATCTACTCTCACGAGGTCAATAACCTCAATCGGCAGCAGCTGGGCTTCAGTTTGATCCACGATTTTTGTGTGAAAAAATATGAAATGTACCCATTGGCCAACTACGTCATAATGGACTCATAAGATTTGAAAAAAAGTTATAAATTATGAAAAAAAAATTCGATTTTCTCAGGAAAACTCTGTAAAATCCTCTCTATAGCCTTTTTAACCAAGTTCGGAATTAATTTATAAATATTTATTTGGTTTTAAAAATTCAATGAAATAAATTATGAACATGGCGTTTATGTTAAACAAGAAAATGCAAACGTGTAAAAATGACATGGAGATTAGGAAAAGTGACGTCATTTGTTGTTGATATTATGAAAAAGATGACGTCATGAAAAAATAGCCAATGCTCAAAAATAATAATAAACGACAATGGAAAAGCGCAAAAAGCTCAGTAGAATAAAAAAATGACGTCATCAAGGTTAAGAAAAAAAATGACGTCATGAAAAATCAAATCTCAAAAGTATAAAGAAACGACAATGGAAATTAGCGCAAAAAGTCCAGTAGAATGAAAATGACGTCATTAGATAAATTCCAGTTACTCAAAATGGCAGAAACCGATGCTAATTACAGTGGAAAATTAACGTAAAAAGTACTTTAGATTTAAAAATGACGTCATCAAGGCCCAGAAGAAGTGACGTCATGAAAAAAACATCCGATTGCTGAAAATTGGCAAGAAAAAACGCTATTTAAAGCTAAAATCAACGATAAAAGCCCCTCAGATTAAAAATGACGTCAGTAAACACCTTAATTTTCTATTTACATGTAACAATAAAGGTATATTATTAATATGACGTCATAATATGCTTTGTAGAGCCGAAACTTGTTATTTTATTCAAATAATCAACAATTTTCATAAAGAGAAACTTTCAGTAGAATGACGTCATCCTATTATTGCTCATGCTATAGGAAATCCTTTGAGACAGTCTGTTCATCTGCGCACTCTCTTTTTCAGGCGCTATTTTCATTTTTTATGCCTCGAAGTGAGAGATCAGAGAGCGCAGACGGGTTAGACTGTTAAAAATCGGGGTCAAAAATTTTTTCTCATTATTGCTTATGTTAAGAACACTGTTGCTCATATTAGTCGAGCGACCGGTCACAATGGACCGCAGCACATCCTCCGAACCATCTTCCGAGCCACTGGGAGCAGTCCTCAGCCTCCAAGGATACCACGATGGGCCGTTTACAGGCCGCCTCTCGGACTTCCTTCCCGCAATCGATCGATTCCAGCTCGGCTCGGGGCCAGATTTCGCGGACGCGACGGGTCAGTTCCGCGGCGAGTGCCTTGGTCGTCGCGGTCGCGAACGTTGAGCGGAGTGTCTTGCACTCGCCGGCCTTCAGGAGCGAAGGGACGGCCGCGTATGGGAACTCGTCGTTGAGTGGAACCTGGATTTTTATAGTTCATTCTATTAGGAACGTTAAAATGGCCCCTATAGAGGTTAGAGGAGATAACAGACCCTACTTCGGAATTCTAGAATGGTCCCTATAGGGGTTAGGAAAAAAGCAACCCCTCTAGGGGGCAAAATAGTGCTCCCTGGAGGGGTCAAATATAGGTGGTCTTTATGGAGTTCTAGGTCTGAGCCCTGAAGCTCAAGTGGCCTCTTAAGGGCTCTTTTTTCAAGATCAGGGAAATACTTTGAGAAAAGAAGAGGTTTAGACATCTCTGTGTCATTTTTTCCAGACGTATTATGATGACCTCATGAAAACCACGAAGGACAAAAATGACGTTATTGAATCATGACGTCACTTTTCAAAAACCCTCACCTCGGTCTGGAAGCTTTTGTGGTCGTCGGCTTGTTCAGGGGGAAACTGAAAAATGAAAAGTCTGTAAAATGCGGACACTTTTCCTCAACCTCATCGTCCTTGACTTGGAATCTCTTCTCGACAAAGTCCAAATAGCGCTTTTCTAGCTCTCGTTGCTCGTGGACTTTGATGATTTTCTGGAAAATTATATTTACTGTTTTAATTTTCATGGTCGCACTGGGAATGGCTGAGCGCGTTGCGGTCGCGAAACGGTTAATTAAAGTCTCAATGCTGTAATTTTTGGTATTCCCAATCAAGTAAAAATTGCATTTTGATATGCTTGATCCGTTGGGAGCTGCAAACTCTCTTGCTTATTTCTTGGGGGCTGCAAATTCTCTTTCTTGTCTGTTTGGGTGCTGCAAATTTTCCAGATGGATCATTTGGGGGCTGCAATTTAGCCAGCCTGATCATTTTGGAGCTGCAAACTCCCTTGCTTATTTCTTGGGGGCTGCAAATTCTCTTATTTGTCTGTTTGGGAGCTGCAAATTCTCCAGATGGATCATTTGGGAGCTGCAATTCCGCCGGCTTTATCAAGTGAGGGCTGCAAATCGGCCAGCTTGATCAATTGGCAGCTGCAAACTCCCTTGTTTAATTCTTGGGAGGCTGCAAATTCTTTTTCTTGTCTGTTTGGGGGCTGCAAATTCGTCAACTCAATCGATTGGAAGCTGTGATTTTGCCAGCTGGGTCATTTGGGAGCTGCAAGTTTTCCAGCTTGATCAGTTGGGAGCTGCAAACTCCCTTGCTTATTTCTTGGGAGCTGCAAATTGGTAAGCATGATCGCTTGGGAGCTGCAATTCTGCCGGCTTTAACAATTGAGGGCTGCAAATCGGCCAGCTTGATCAATTGGGGGCTGCAAATTCCCTTGCTTATCTATTTGGGAACTGCAAATTCTCTTTCTTGTCTGTTTGGTAGCTGCAATTTTGCCAGACTGACCGATTGGGGGCTGCAAACTCCCTTGCTTAACTCCTGGGGCCTGCAAATTCTCTTTCTTGTCTGTTTGGGAGCTGCAAATTTTCCAGCTTGATCATGCGGGGGCTGCAAATTCGTCAACTCAATCGATTGGAAGCTGTGATTTTGCCAGCTGGGTCATTTGGGAGCTGCAAATTTTCCAGCTTGATCAGTTGGGAGCTGCAAATTCTTTTTCTTATCAATTTGGGAGCTGCAAATTCTCCAGATGGTTTATTTGGGGGCTGCAAATCGGCCAGCTTGATCAATTGGGGGGGCTGCAAATTCCCTTGCTTATCTATTTGGGAGCTGCAAAGTTTCCATATCGATCATTTGAGAGCTGCAATTTAGCCAGCCTTATCGATTGGGAGCTGCAAATCGGCCAATTCAATCGATTGAGAGCTGCAAAGTGGCCAGCCGGTTTTGCATTCTGCAAGAATGATAGGAAGTCGCTCAAGGTCGGGTGCAGCGCCAGGATGAGTACCGAAACTTCAACAAGAAACGCAGCGCGACCGCAACGCTTTCAGCCATTCCAATCTAACCTCGCTGGGAGCGAAAAGCTGGGGTTTTTGGTATTTTTCCATGTAGAAATGCTTGTTTCGACGCATCAGTGGATTATCGTCGAAAAGCAAGTAGTTGGCGACCGCCTGCGCCGCATCACTTCCCCGTTTCACTGAACATTTGAAAATAAAAATTTTCAAGAAGTAGCTCAATCGGTACTCATAGACGTAGCTCATAAAACCACTCCCTGGATCAAAACCCACGTTGGAAATGGCAAAAATGGGTGTATTCGAAGTGGACGGCGATCAAGTGGCCCACGTAGTGACCATTGATTCGTCCCAATCGATAAAGACAGTTGTGCTGACAACGGATTATTGAAGACCTCATGCCTGTATTTTCATTTTTGAACCCTTCAGGGGCCACTTTTCGAAGAACTGACTCGTCGACAGGACTTCAATCTCCGGATTCCCATCCACCGACGCCCAGTCAATTTTGTCTTCACAAAGGTAGCGGCACCTGAATTTTATTGATTAATTAAATCCACTTTATATATTTTTTCAAACTTCTCATCCTGCTGAAGGGTCTTCTCAAGGGAAATTTCGAATTCCTGAACACATCTTTGCCAATCTTGGTTCTCATAAGCTTCCACGCCGGCCATGAATCTGATCTGGAAATTTTTAGTTTTATGAACTATACTATTGACTTGAAACAGGAAAACTTTAGTTTTGAAAAAAATTGAGAAAAAATCGGAGCAAGAGTGCTCCATGGATAAAAACTTAAATTTTTTAGATAAACGGATTTTAGATTTATGAACCCTATCATTGACTTGGAATAGCGAAAAAACTCATATTTCAGCGAAAAAAAAGTGAGAAATAAATTGAGAAAAATCAGAGCAAGAGTGCTCCATGGATAAAAACTTGAATTCTTTAAATCAAGGGGTTTAAGTTTTATGAACCATACTATTGACTTGAAACAGAGAAAAAAATTTTTTTAGTCAAAAGATACGAAATTTGAGAAAAAATTCTGAGCAAGAGTGCTCCATGGAAAAAAACTTAAACCTTCAAAATAAGAAGATTTTGTGAAATTTTGAGACTTCTCTTACTATTTTTACGATTCGTGGACAAAATATAGTGTGAAAATCGGAATAGTTTATCAAAAATCATAATTTGTTCCTTGGAGCGCACATTCACTCATAAATTCGGCTATTTTTTATCAACCAATTTTTGCAGCTTTCTCACTTTTTCCTTGCTTTGAAAGTGAAAATTTACCTCAAAACTTCAAATTTTCATCATTTACGCCAGAAATTTTCACACAAAAACCGGTTTTTTGAGCTATATTCCGACAAATTTTCAGAATTAACAGCTTTCTTCACCTCGTAATCCCTTCTTTCCGCATCAATCAACATTGAGGCGTCGTATTCCGGTTGATTCATGTAGAATTTCACATTGGCCAAGGCTTCGACGTCATTTGGACTGTTCACCAAGAAGGTGTAGGCCGATTGGACGGCCTGGGCAAAGTCGTTTTGCTGAAAAAATTGATTTTATTTGTTTTATCAGTTATAGAACTTTACAAGAACTTTAAAATAAGCAAAAAAAATCAAATCATTTGCCAAAAAAATGAAAAAATGTATTTGGTCGTGTCAATAATTATGACGCACTTCAAAAAAACGAGTCCATTTTGAATTTCGGCTAATTTTTTTTTTTGAAATAAACATTTAAAAAACTCTTTCTAAGTATAATAATAACGAAACTCTACAGGAAAACCCAAAAATACTTTGGAAAATCATTAAAAATGAGCGACAATCCCACACGTTTCAATAATTATGACGCACTGGGAAGTCTTTTTTTTCAAACTACCCAGTAACTTTCACAAGTTTAGATTTCATATCCCACTAATATGAGCAACAATGAGCGATAAATTGCAATGAAAAGAGCAAACCTTCCAATAGCAGATATGCATGTATTGATAAGGCTTCCGTTCCATCATATCGTAATAAACGCTCATTTTTTTGATTCCAGGTCGATCTTAACAATATTATGAACCCTTTTGACCACCGTAACTTGGGAGTGGGGAAAAATCAATGAAAACTGAAAAAATAACGAAGAAAAGTGAGTAATCTCGTCGTTTTTTTTTTCGAAATCCGAACCTCCCAGCCGATTTTTGCGACATCGCAAGACGCACAACGCGATTTCGCTCGTCTCATGCCATCGGGCCAGTTTTTGAGTGGATTTCGGCGTTTCGACGACGTTGGCGCACTTTTTGCGACAGTAGAAGAGCTCGTCTTCAAAATATCTGAATTCTTTTTTTGTTTTTTTTATGAATTTTGTTTCATTTTTTCAAGAATTTTCTGACTTTCACTCTTTTCTGATATGGAAAACAGGCATAGCTAGCCCTACAAAGAATTAGTTCGTTGGAGCGCGATTGCAGGACTTTAAAAGGCTATTTAAGCAAAATATCACTAGAAAGGTCCCTAGAGGAGCAAGCACTCGAAGGACTCCTCGAGGGACCACTTGAACTATCCTATAGGGGCTCTAGAGCTTGCAAAAGTGGCCCCTTTAGGGATTTTAGTTAGTGGCCTTTAAAGGCATAGGGGCAGTAAAAAATGGGGTTTCAGGAGAAAGCAGTATCTAATACAGTTTTTCTTCGCGAATCGAACTGTGTACTCAAAAAAATTACAGATGTGACAACTCTAGAAGAAAAACGCGATTTCACTTTCGCGCTTTCAATTTTGAAAAAGGCTTTGGATCGGCCTACGGACAAATGTTTACAGTAGCCGTGCACGCGATGTTGCGGACGTCTCATTAGACTCGCATTTTGTGAGAAATAACCGGCTATCTGCTTCAAATTAAGGGTTTCTTCTCTGAAAAATCGATCAGGAAAGCAGAAAACACACAGTGATATTAAAGAAAACACAAATAATCGCTATCCCAATCGAAACCTGTGTAAAATCATCATTTTTCACCAGAAAAGCTTTTTTGCGATCAAAGTTTGCAAATTATACATAAATAGAAAGCTTTTGTGACGAAAAGAACTTTGGTGACAACAGAAAAAATTGAAAATTGAAAGAAACGAAGAAAAAAGCGAATATCCGGAAGATGGCGAAGCGTGTTGTCCATAGAGCAACTTTACTGCAAAGCGCCCTTTTTGCGGGAACTCAAGCTTTCCTTTCTCCGACTTTGAATTATTTTTTCTCCAAAACTAGGAACTTCTGTACGTTTCCAAGTTCACCGTTCGATTTGCAATGAAAAACTGTACAAAGTACTGCTTTGAACTGAAACACCGTTTTTTACTGCCCCTATGCATTTAAGGGAGCACACTAGTCCTTTATTTTTATGAACTCTATGAGAAGCATCCGACAAACTCAATCAATTTCTACAGGGCCCCCTCTAGGGGCCACTCTGACGTTCCTAAGTACAAGATAAATACCGAAAATCGTCGATGGCTCGACGCATGAAAGCCACGCAATCGGGCCAATTCTTGGCGGTATATTCATTTTTGCCGAATTGATAATATTCTTCATAAGTTATCGTCGGTTCTTGGCAGGTTCCAATCACGAATAAAACTGATAATATGAAGAAATATGTCAGCATCTCGGCCTGAAAAAACGTATTTTCAAAGCGAAACGTTAAGAAAATGATTGGAAAAGGCTTGAAAATCATTTTATTCAAAAATTTCCATTAAAAAAAAAAATAAAATTACGCCTTATGGAAGTTATAATCAGAGTTTTACAGCTAAAAAAAAGACCTATTTTTTCAAAATTATTCGTAAAATTGGTTGAAACTTGCATGAATTAAGCTTCCATTTAACGTTCAAAAATACGAAAAAAGACAATTTTAAGTTTTACGAGAACTTAAAGTGGAAAGAAAAGAAATAAAAGGCCAAAACTCGCAAAAAATGGAAGGCTGTCGAGCATCTGGCGATTTTTGTGCGGCGACTGGACACATGTTGTAAGCTCCCGAGGAAATAGCGTTGGAATGATGGAGAGTGCAGAGGCGTAAACTTTTAGAGGGGTCAAAGAGGAAGCTGAAAAATAGCTGCACTTTGAAAAAAAGGTTCATTATATTGGGTTTTATTTAAAAAAATAATGAAAAAAAGAAAATAATTTCGAGGCTCGGAAAAAGAAAAATGCTAATGCTGATGGAATTCAGTAAAATCAAAAATTTTCCTATCTTTTTGAACTCAAACATTTCACAATTTATTTTCGAGAGCCCAACGTTCTTTTTTTACGACGCCCTGCCCTTCATTTTCGTAATATATGACGTTTTTGGTGCATAGACAGAACGGCGCTAATTTGCATACTCATTTAATTCAAAAACATTTTTTTGTACTAAAAATTGATGAAATCAAGTTTTTTTCAAGCATTAAAGACATGGAAAAAAGTTGAATGTGTCACATTTCTATGATCTAGTTGATTTTACGACAAAAAAAGTTGGTTTAAAAAGTTTTTTTCACGTTTTTTTGAAAAAAATTGCTTTTTTTATTTTTTTATTCCAGAGCCTCGCGACAGAAAAAAAGGATTTTACGTCTTCAACTTCTTTTTTTATTGATTTATTTCATTCAAAAACAACAAAAAAATGACAGAAACCCGACAAAAAAATACATGCAAAAATAGATACAAAAAATGAGCATAAGGAAGATGAAAAAAAACCCGCTGAAAAGTGTAAAAAAGAGAAAATAAAGAAACAACAATATGATAATAAAAATAAACTTCTATTTCTACAATCTAACCTGGGAATTTCGATTCATCACTATCTTATCATGAAAATTTGATAAATTTTAAACTTAACATTTCGATTTTTTTGAAAGTAATTCAAATTTCGGGACTCCTAAGCAGTGAATCGAGTATAATGGCCGCACGGAGAATGGCTCGACGCGTCGCGGTCGCTTCAGAAGTGCGTCCGCGCATGGAGCCATTCCAAATGCGGACAAGAGAAGTACAATCCGTAAAGAAACAGATCAATGCGGCTGAGGTACATGACCATCGACGTAGAAATTCCTCGTCATTGAAGGTAAAGTTACAGTAATCCCGTTGAGCTCCTTGTTCAGGATGATCTGACAGCCGAGTCGGGAGTTTGACCGGAGAGCTGGGGCCTAAAAAATGGGTTATTATTTAATTATAAAGTTATTAAAGCACAGAAAAATCCTCTAATCACTGTTATTCTATAAGACAACTGGAAAAATCACTAAAATTAGCAAAGAAGTAACTTTTTTTTACAAGATTCATTCAGTATCAACCTTTTTCTACACACAAACCTGATCCAACATATCATCCTCCTCCTCTTTAGGCTCAGGCAATTTATTAAAATAATCGCCTTCAACATAAACGTGACAAGTTGAACAGGCCAGTGAAGCCTCACAAGCGCCTTCCAATTCGATATCGTATCTAAAAACATATATTTATTAGTTTTCCGAAAAGAATCGACCACCTATGAGCCAGGTACATGACATTGTCGCCAACCTTCCCGCGAATTTCCTTTTTCGTTCCGTCTCGCAAAACGTAGGTGATATTGACGACATCTTCCTCGCTTTTTGGATCCTGAAAGTTCAAAAAGACCTTAATGATATTTCCAAATAATTTAAAACCTCATATTCATAATCGCCATGTCGCAGAACACAGCTGGTCGTCACGGAACGACTAGGAAATTGTGAAATCGAGGGCGCATTTTTTGCAGCTTGCGAGACTTTGACCACAGCGTTTCCTAACCGTAGTAAGCGGAACATTTTCTGTTTTCTGAAACTTTTTATTGAAAGTAACGGGTAATGAAATTATAAAAAGCAAAAAGAATAATTAAAATAGAAAAGAAAAAATAAAAAGTTGCGCATGCCTTGCATGAAAAACCGTGCGGCAATTTTGCGGCTTCTCCCCGCCCACAAGCGCGCGGAAGGTTTTTGCTTTTTTATTTATATTTTATATGTTTTAATGATTTATCTTCAATTGTAAGTTCAATAAAATGTGCAAAACTGTATTTTTTCGAATCTAGGTGACAAGGAACCCCTTCAGCAGGGGGTTTCGTGGATTATAAGTCTTTTAAAACCTGTTCGCTTTTTGCTACCAAAATTTTTTTTAAAGATCTCTATCAAGTTCTTTTTAGTGACGCAAGTAAAGATTGATGAGGGGTTTTTTTGGTTATAAATTGCGAATGAAAAAGTTTTTCTCCCAATTATCGTTCTAAAAAAACTGGTTTTTTTCTTTTTCCAAATTTCTATGTTTTTCATTTTTCGATTCATTTATTATCAAAATGTCAGCTGATTTGAACAATTTATAATATTAACAGTCATATGAAGAGCGTTTCGCTTTTGGTGCACTTTTTCGATCGAATTATTAATTATAGGTTATGGAACTAGTTTTCTTCATGCTTACCTCGTTATTGACCATTCTTCCTCATTGATTTTCGATTTGGCCAAGTTTGAAAAAGAGATTCGTCTTTCCAAACATTCCGATGTGTTTTTGCCTTTTGCGGACGCTCAGCAGGTGGTCGTGTCGACCTTGAATCCCATTGGCTGAATCAATCAATTTGCCTTTTTTGTACTCTTTTTGTCAAAGGAACTTCCAAAAAGTAGTTCTTTCTGTTGGATAAGTACCTCTCTCGTGGAAATCCTTTGGAAAACCGGAATCCATTGGGAAATGGCTGAGATTGCGATGATTAGAAGTGTTTTCGACGTTACTTTTATTGATTCATGCTTTTAAGCCGGGTTTTGTTGTTATTTTTTCTCGGTTTCATGTGATTTTTTTTGGTTTTTCTCGATTTTCACAAGTATTAGGGATAACCGTCTTAAAATTAACAGTATCCGTTATTTTCTTCGTTTTGAAGTCTTTTTTAAGTTCTCAACTTCAAATTTCATATGTTTTCATATAGCTTGCCGAAGTAAAAATCAATGGAATTCGATAATTCTTGTTTTATCATCAATTTTTTTCGTCAAAAACATAGATTTAAAAAAAGCTTTTTTTAAATCTGTTTTTTTGACTTTACCATTGAATCTGACTTCAGAAAAAAAGTTAAAAAAGTCCTGGAATCGTTGTTTCTTTCGAATTTTTTCCTAAGAGATTCAAATTTTTCAGAATGGCCGTGTCCAAGCCGGCAGACTACCTGAACTCGGCGATCAACTACGTCGACGACCTCCACCGACGTCCGCCCCTGGTCCAAGTCGCAGTTGGCGGCGGGGTCGGCGTTACCGCGGGCTACATCGCGACGCGCGTCAGCAAAGCCGTCGCCACGACGATCGGCGTCTCCTTCCTCCTGCTGCAGTTCGCCGTTCACCGCGGCTACATCGCCGTGAACCACGACAACGTCGGCCGCGACATCGCCGGCCTCAAAAAGTCGCTCCGGAAACGCGTCAACGACGTTCCGCACGTCGGCGGCGACGAAGTCCAGAACTTTGTCGTCAAGAATAGCTGGACCTTCAGCGGATTCGCCGCCGGCGTGTTGATTGGCTTCGGTTTGGCTTAGAGGGGTGGAAAAAAACTGGTTTTTTCGTGTTGTTGGTAGGATGGTCGGATACGGCTAATTTGAGGTTTTAACTGGAACCGGTAGATCCATGAGAATTTTCGAAAATTTTTTTCTTTTTTCCTGAAGGTCTCGCACGGAAACGCTAGCCTTCCTAGTGACAACTTTAGGGATTTTAGTTCTTTTAAGGGATCCCTAAAAATATCAGGTTTCCGTTAAGGATTTCCACTAAATCAGCAATCATTATCAATAGAGCGAACTTTCCCAAGACCTTTTTTTTTCTTTTTTTTTATTTCTTACCGGTTTCCTTTGTTTCCCTACTCATAAGATTGTGTTATTTTTGCTGAAAAATCGGCAAAATGGGTACTTTTTCGTGAAAAGTATCAATTAATCTCATTACGTGTACATTTATGCCATTTGTTAGATTATTCCGAGCTTTAACATTTTTTTTTTCGGTGCAATAAAAGATTTCCTCATTTTTGCCTCTTTTTATCGTTTTTATATTGGTTTGATGACCATATTTATCTCATTTTTTGTCATTTTGTGTAATATAATTTATACTTGTCGTGCGTGTCAGTGTACGCTTTGTGTGTAGGGAAATGCGATGCACGCGATGACCCAAAAAAATATTTTTTTCCTGCCGCTAGACCAATTTTTCCGCTCACCCCCCGTACATGGCTCAAATCGCCCGTTTCATTACGTTTCTAGGCGTGTTTAGTGGAAGTTTTGAAGGATTTTAAAGCTTGAACTTGTTCAAATTGAAAAAAATAGGTTTAAAAAATGGTTTAGAAGGCTCATTTTGAATTTTTTTTTCCTCCTTTAGGTCTTATATACATTTTGAATCATTTTTTCTCCTTTCTAATACATTTTTCAATTCTTTCTGGAAATTCGGAAGGCTCTCAAAAATAAAAATTGCCTTTTAAATGTTTGTTAAAAATTTTTTGAATAGTCTGTTGAAGATTTTAACGAAAAATTAAAAAGTAATTTGATCTCCAAAATGAAAAAAATTTTTCAACTTCTTATTTTTTTCAAATGTTCATATAGAACTTCGGTTACGACCAGAATTTTTTTAACTGTTCTTAAGTTTTATAAAGTCATAATTCAGTTGGAAAAAAAGGTTTTTTTAATAGATTTTTTTTCGGGGTTTGATCCATTCAAAAATTAGATAAATGGTTTCAAAAGCTCTTAGAAACATTTTATAGGCTAGTGAAACCTATTTTTTTCGATATTTCAAGAGAAAAAGCTCTGCACGGAAAAAAATTTGATTTTTTTCTTTCTTTTTAAAAATTTGTAAATTCGTATGGTCATAATCGTTTTGGCATGACTTCCATTGAAAAAAACTAGATTAAAGACGTTAAAATCTTCAATTTTATATATTGAAACTCCATTTAATCGTATATATATATACATTTCCTTGGAAACCCGGGAAGCTTTCAACGGAAAGCCACTCAAAACACTTTCGGTGATAGCGGCGAGAGATTGTGGGAAACTGAGAGGGATGGGAAAGATCGTCCCCTCCGTTCGGCCGCTGACTCATTCATTTTGTGTTTGCCTTTTCATTCTTTTTTTTTAAATTTCAAGTTGAACCTATCCAGTTCTGGTTTTGTGTTGAAGTTTTAAATTGGTGGTTAGTTAGTTTGGCTTTTGCATGATTTATTCAGTTTTTAGCTAAAAATGATGAATTTCGTGACTTTAAGGATCGTTCTTTCACGGCGTTTTTTTCTTACGCAAGGTCAAGACTTTTCGTAAATTATGATGCTTAGGTTGTAAGCACACCGAGACGCACTATCGCATACTCAAAGTTGTTTTTTCAATTTTAGAATTTGCAATTTTTGCATAACTCTTTCCGTAAATCTTGCGAGAGCTTTAAAGGGTGGGTCTTGTAATCCAAAAACGGGTCCTGAACAAATCAAAACTACTGTAGTCGTACGATTTAGGAAAGCCCGACCCTGGTATTTTTCATCTGCATTTTCTTTCACTGACAAGAACGACGTGCTTTTGAAGACTTTCATGATTTTTATTTTATATTTTTGGCTTTTGCATGGTTTTTTTCATTTTTTTAGCTTTTAAATCTTGAACTTCGTGACTTTAAGGATCGTTCTTTGGGGCGATCTTTCTATGGAAACAGAGATATTTTAGCTTTTTTTCCTTTAACTATAGTGATTTGAACGGGTTTTGTGAATGAAAAGCTTGAATTTTTTTGTATTACCTTGAATTTTATTTAATGAAAATCCCTTCAAAATGTTCAAGTATTCAAATAATTCCTCATTTTACACGTAAAAGAACGAGCTCCGGTCATTTTTCTTCCGGCCTATTTTGTAATTTTCTAGAAAAACCGTTCATAAAGCTTGAGAAATGAAGTTTCCTCAGAAAAAAATCGCCCACAAAAACCCTTTCTGTGTTGAAAAAAATAGTCAAAATAATTTTTTTAACCGATTTTTTTCTTGGAACTGCAAAAAAATCAATCGTAAATGAGAATATAAGATTTTTTTGCGTTTCAAATAAAAAAAGTTCCTTCAGTAAAACCTCCAAAAAAATATAAGAAAGTTATGTCTTTTCAATTAAAAATAGTACAAAAATTCTGTCTATTTTTTTCGAGTTATATCTCGTAAATAAAATTGAAGAGTTTTTTTCGCTTTAAATTTCAACCTTCTTCAGTGAAACTTTCAAAAAAATTCGTAAAAATACCTCTTTTTACACATAAAATGACTACATGCGGTCACTTTGTTCTGGTTTTTCCTTGTAAATTTGAATAGAATTATAATTTTTAGCTTAAAATTCAAAGTCTCTCCAGTAAAACACACAGAAATGTTCGTACAATGCTCTTTTTACACACAAAAGAACAACGTTCGGTCACTTTTTCTGCTGTTTTCCCTAAAACTTGTCGGAAACGACCTTCATGAAGCTTGAAATGAAGTGTCCGCAGTAAAACACGATAATTTTCATAGAAAATCTTTTTTTTACCCATAAAAGTACAACATTCGGTCACTTTGTTCCGGTTCTTCCTTGTAATTGTCATGGAAAAAAACCGGAGGCCGTGGAGCACCCCCAAGGCGTCAACAAATCGTCTAATGATGAATGGCCGGCTCGTCGTCGTGTTCTTTTTTTTTGTACCCCGTCCATCGCGTTGTTTCGTTTGCCCAACACCCCTTGTTGCTTTTTGTCCTTTTTGCAACCGCCTTTTTATTTTAATAAAGTGATTTTTTTTGTTAATGTACTTATTTTTTTGGATTTATCATTTTCTCGTAAAAATGTTCCAGATTGCTTTGGTTTTTTTCTTTTTCCTTGTCGAAGTAAATGGAAATTTTCGCGTTTTTTCGAATATTTTCAATTTGGTAGGTTTTTTAAAGAAGGTTTTGTAACTAATAAGACCTTTTCAAAGCCCAATCAAGCGAAAATGGACCAAAATCTGAAAATTAAGACTATTAACCAATTTTTGGAAGGTAGGGGGGAATTTTTTTTTTTTAAGAAAATGCCAGTTTTTAATGTCATTTTTTCAAAATTTCTAATTTTTATGTTTATTTTGAAGAACAGGATAGAGAATATCTGTAGAAATTGTGAATGGATACAAGGAATATCAAAAAATTCCAAAAAAACTGAAAATCTGATATTTAATAAACTTTTTTCGTGTGCTTTTTCTTCTCTTACTCGCTTATTTTCGCGTTTTTCTTCCATTTTTTGATTTTATCATCTTTTTCAGGTTCCGTGACGGGTAGTAGCAGCCTTTTTTTTGTATTTTGAACGATTCTTCGTATGAATTAAGGTTATTTTTTTCAAAATTAGTTTTTTTGAAAAAGATAGCTTTAGAGTTTGAATTTTTAATCTTCTTGGACAGTTTTTGATAGTTTTTTCTTTCAAAACAGCAGTTTTTTGGTTTTTTTTATCCTAATAAAGTACAGTACCGTCAAAAATACGAAAAAAACATTTTTTTCAACTTTTTTGTATGAGGCTGTATCTTTTTTTGAAACTTTCTAAGCCGCGTTTTTTTTTCTATTTTTCTTGTCTAAAATTTCACTAAAGGGTTAAAAAAATACCTAGAAAGTTTCGGAAACATCAAAAAAATCATACAAAGAAGTTGGGATCAAAAAAATCGTTTTTGTTTTGAATTTTTTTCTCTTGAAGCTGTAAAATCGTATAGTTTACCAAAAAAATAAAGTTATATATATTTTTTTGAATCCTTGACCTTTTTTTAGTTGAAAAGCTGCGGGCCAAAAAGAAGCGAACGAGCTGCCCTGGTGACGTCACGCCGTGCAGAAAGCATGGCCAATCAGCGGAGAACCGCCGCTGGTCGGGCGAACTCCGCCCAGCGCGTTTATCGCCAATCGGTACGCTATTTGGCTTTATTTTTTTCAAAAATCAAACTAGTTTTGAAAAATTTTTAAAGAATCGTTATAGGAGGAAGGGTAAAATTGTCGTTTTTTTATCGCTTTTTTTGCTCGAAATTTGACTATTTTTTTAGTAATATTTCTTTATTTTCAATGTGTTTTGTGCTATTAGAATATTTATGAATATCTCAAAATTGAAAAAAATTTGCTTGTTCTTTTTTTTAAATAATCGTCGTTTTTTTCAGTATATTTTTTTAGGTGAAATTATTGATTTTTTTCCGTTTTTTTTGTTCAACTTAAGTTATAAATTTTGATTTTTTTCGTGTTTTTTTAAGTTGAAAAAAAGAGCGTTTAAAGATCAAATGGATAATGAGAAAAACTTTTTGAATAATGATCATTTTTTTCAGTAGATTTATAGGTCAAATTAGTGATTCTACCGTGTTTTTCAGTTGGTTTTCAGTCTTAAATTCTAATTTTTTTCGTGTTTTTTTCAGTTGAAAAAAATAGTGAGTTTAGCAATGTTTTTTTAGATTTTTGAGAGAAAAAAATTATTTTACGCCTGTTTTTTTCATAAAAAAATCGAATGAAAGATGATGAAACTGAAGATTTTTTTCCATTTTTTTCACAATTTTATAGGTCAAAAATCATTGATTATATCGCTTTTTTTCTGTTGATATTTTTTTACCTAGATCTTGATTTCTCACAGTTTTTTTATAAAAAAATTTGTACATTTTTTTACGATTTTTCATGAGTATTTTTTTCGAGTTGAAACAGTGAAATGAGTTTATTTTTGATCGAATTTTCGAAATAAAAAACATTTTTGCAGCAAATTCGGTACGCACCGGGCGCCGGCGGCGAATCAGAAATCAGTTGTTGCGTCAAATATTCCGTTTTCGGGTTCAATGTGATTTTCTTCCTTTTGGGTGGGTTTTCTTTTTCGTTCAAAAAATGAGAAAATTTCTTCAGGTGTTACTTTGCTTTTGATCGGAACTTGGGCGCAAATCGAGAAGAACAATATTTATAGTCATTTGAACAAGGTTTTTGTCTCGATTTGATGATTTTGAGCTATAAATATTGATTTTCAAGGCTTCGAAATTGTATTTGGATCCGACGTGGCTGCTGCTGGTCGTTGGTCTTTTGACTTTCATTATTGGTTCGTTTCAAATTTTATTTTTAGCGTTGAAAATAGGGATTTAGTGATAGTTCTGTAGGCTTTTCAAAGGAAAATGGTTATTTTTGAGATTTTTTTTGATTCTTTTATTTTTCTGTAGGGTATTTTCTTTTTAATATGACATTTTTCGGAGGGATAATTTTCATAAAAGTTTAGTTTTTCAGGTTTATCAGTCCTGATAATTTTTCGCGGTTATAGGTACTTTATAGGACACTTTAGGGACCACTTGGAACATTTTAAGACAGTTTTCTGGTTAATTTTCAATAGTTTTTGATTTTTTCTAGTTGTGAAAGAGCAGTTTTCAGGTTTATGAGTGTCAAAATAACTGTTTGGATATTTTTTCATGTTTTAGGAACAGTATAGGACACTTTAGGGACCACTTGGACCATTCTATGACATTTTCAGTGGTTTAGGATTTTTCCTATTTATCAAAGATAAATTTTGAGGTTTATCAGTGATAAAATAACTATTTTAATATTTTTCATGTTTTAGGAATAGTATAGGACACTTTAGGGACTACTTGGACCAATTTATAGCACTTTTTTGTCCCTAATTTTCAATGGTTTATAATTTTCTTGATTATTAGAGTTTAGTTTTTAGATTTCTTAGTGATAAAATAACTGTCCTGATATCTTTTCTAGTTTTTAGAAGCTCTATAGGACACTTTAGGGACCACTTGGACCATTTTATATCAATTTTCGTCACTAATTTTCAATAGTTTATGATTTTTTCCTAATTTTCGAAGTTTATTTTTTAGGTTTATTAGTGTCAAAATAACTGTTTGGATACTTTTCCTGTTTTAGGAACTTTTTAGAACACTTTAGTGACCACTTAGACCATTTTATGACAGTTTTTCTGTCTATTTTTGATAGTTTAAGATTTTTCCTGATCTCTAAAGTTTAATTTTCAGGTTTATCAGTGATAAGATAACTATCCTGATCATTTTTCGTGTTTTTAGGACCTTTTTATTGCACTTTAGGGACTACTTGGATTATTTTACATCAGTTTTTGTACCTAATTCTCACTGGTTTATGATTTTTCCTAATCTTTCAAGTTTAATTTTCAGGTTTCTTAATAATTAAGTAATTATCCTGATATTTTTCTGTATTTTAGGAACAGTATAAGACACTTTAGGAACCACTTGGAACATTTTATAGCCCTTTTTTGTCCCTAATTTTCAATGGTTCAAGATTTTTCCTAATATTTAAAGGTTAATTTCCAGGTTTCTTAGTGATAAAATAACTATCCTGGTATTTTTTCGTATTTTAGCAATTTTTCAGCGCACTTCAGGGACTACTTGGACCATTTTAAGACAGTTTTCTTGTTCATTTTCAATAGTTTACGATTTTTCCTAATATTTAAAGGTTAATTTCCAGGTTTCTTAGTGATAAAATAACTATCCGGATATCTTTCCGTGTTTTTAGGGTACTTTAGTGAGCACTTAGACCCGTTTTTGTCTCTAATTTTCAATGGTTTATAATTTTTCTTGATTATTAGAGTTTAGTTTTTAGATTTCTTAGTGATAAAATAACTGTCCTGATATCTTTTCTAGTTTTTAGAAGCTCTATAGGACACTTTAGGGACCACTGGGACCATTTTTTTACAGTTTTATTGTTCATTTTCAATAGTTTATGATTTTTATCCAGTTAGTCAAAGTGCAGCTCCCAAATCCATAAGCTGACCGATTTGCAGCTCTCAAATCGAAAAGCTGACCCATTTGTGATAAGATAGCTATCCGGATCTTTTCGTGTTTTTAGGACCTTTTGGTGCACTTTAGGGACCACTTGGACCATTTTACATCAGCTTTTTGACTATATTCCAATGATTTCTATGTTTTTTTCATTCAAAATTCAAATATTTCTTCCCGATTTTTAGGATTCAGCGGCTGTGTTGGATCTCTCCGTGAAAATACGTCGTTTTTGACGTTTTATTCGACTTTGTTGGGCCTTTTGCTCATCGCCGAGTTCTCTGGTTAGTTTTGTAGTGAAATTTAAAAATAGAAAGAGAAAAAATACAGAAATAGAAGAATTATGATGAAATAATAAGGAAAAATGTTATAAAATAAGTTTTTCCTTGGTTTTTTTTTCAGATTTTGGGTGAATTAGAGATATTTTTTTCAAAATTTCCACGATATTTAATGAATTTTACAGTATCAATCAAATATAACCTTGCATTTTTCATTTTAGAAAGTTTTGGAAAGGTGGAATAGCTGTATTATATCAATTTGAATCGAGAAAAAAATTCAAAAAATTTTTTTTCAGTCGCTGTTTTTGCCTACGTCAGGAGAGACCAGCTCGATATGTACATTCGGAATTTGTTGAATGACGTGGTGAGTTTTTGAATTTTCAGAAAAAAAAAATGAGAAGCTTTCAAATGATCAAGTTTCATTAAACTTGCAGCTCCCAGAAAAAGAAAATGAGAAAAAAAAAATCTGAAATATGTTATATAAAAGTCAAAGTGCCGCTCCCAAATAAATTAGCTGTCACTTTTGCAGCTCCCAAATGAATAGCTGACCGATTAACAGCTCTCAAATAAATTAACTGACCAATTTGGAGCTCTCAAATAAATAGCTGACCGATTTGCAGCTCCCAAATGAATGAGCTGACCAATTCGCAGCCTCCAAAATTTAAAAAATACCAAAGATTCTTTTTTAGTGTTTAGTTTTTAAAAGTACATAAAATATATCATTCGTAAAATCAGAAAAAAAAAGTCTCAAAGAAGCTTTTGTAAAAAGGCTTGATAGCGCTTCTTATTAATTTTGATCGCAAAAGTTTTTTTGAAAAATGATGTTGGAAAGAAGAACGGTCAGGATAAGTTTCAAGTAGGAATTAAAAGTAAAAATATTCTTTTCCTTGAATTTATTTTAAGAAGGGAATCTTTTTTGCACCTCTTTAGGAAATTAAAAAGGCACTTTCGTTCTTCATTGAAGGTTGTTCGAATGAATTATAAGCTACAAAAAAAAAATAGGAGGTATTTTTAATTTTTTTGAAAAGTTAGAAAGTAAAGCTTGAACCTTTTTTTCTCTTCTCAAGAACAAGAGGAGCTTCTGTTGATCTTGAGGTCTTAAAGGTTTCAACTTTACCCTGGAGCATAATTATTAATGCCGTTTTCAGAAAAATTTCCGCGAAATTCGAAATTATCTCTGTCTCTCCAAATTTTAGTTATATTTCTTCCCACGTTGACGGCTATTTCGAGTTCTTCGGAATCACTTTTAACACTGAATAGTGTAGCGATTTTACATAACACGGGCAAAGTCCAGAAGGACCTAGAAAGAACCTTTCGGAAAAAAGGTTTTGGGAGCTGCAAATTGGTCAGAATTTTGATTTGGGAGCTGAAAATTGGCCGGATTTTCAATTTGGGAGCTGCAAATTGGCCGGATTTTCAATATGGGGGCTGCAAATTGGTCAGATTTTTTATTTGGGAGCTGCAAATCGGTTAGCTTCTCGATTTGGGAGCTGCAAATTGGTCAGATTTTTTATTTGGGAGCTGCGAATCGGTCAGATTTCAGAGCTGCACTCCGGTTTTGTGATAACTTATTTTTGAAAGACGCCTTTTTTCTCGACTTTTTTTTGAAAAGGTCCTTAAAGGAGGAAAAAAAGAAGAAGGTGATCCCGAGACTCTTTTGACAACCTTCTAGGAACTCGAAAAAAAATATTCTAAAGCTACTTTTTAAGGTCGTTTGCACTTTACCCGTGTTATTTACGCATGATTTTTCCATAAGAGACATTTTTGAAGGTTGTCGGCTACCGGGACGATCCGGACCTTCAAGTCCTGATCGACACGATGCAGGAATCGTGGAAATGTTGCGGGATCAACGGCGCCGACGACTGGGATCGCAACACTTATTTTTCGATCGCTGCTAGGAATGTGAGTGGAGATGATTAGCGTTGTCAGCGAGAATCTTGAGATAAGATAGTTGAAAAAAAGAAAAATTGAACGAAATTGGTTGTTATAAACTTGATATCTGTATTTTGTGACATGAAATTGTTCTTTCAAATTAAAAAAAAATTTTTTTGGTAGGAGGAAAATTTTTGTTTTTCATGAGTTCTACATCGCGGTAATTTTTTATCAATTTTCAAGTTTCGATTTTTTCAAAAATTCCTTGTTAGAAACGCTAAAAAGGTCATTTTTGATGATAATCTGAAAAAAAAAGTCAGGATCTTGAACATTTTTCAGTGAATAGTATATTGATTTCCTCAAAGTCCGTCTGATCCCTAAAGCGTTCACTTAGTCCTATACATGCAGAAATTTGAGTATTTTAAAGCGGTCACTATAGGGAAAATCTTTGGGGCCCTTGAAGGTTACCTTCAGAGACCACTTAACTTCTCCCTGTAGGGGCCACTTTTTCAAGCTTTAATGCCCCTATAATAGTTGTAGTTAGTGGCCCCTATAGAGAAAGCATGCTAGGAGCCCCTAAAGGGCTCAAGATCTCAAAAAAGTTAGCGTTTTTTGAATGGAAAACATTAACAGAAAAAAAATCTTTTTTTTTTTGAATCAAAAATTGTAACCCAATAAATGTAAAAACCCTATAGGGACCACTTAAGCTTTATGTGGCATCAGATCCGGAACCCCTAAAGTGACCGCTTCAATTTTACCTGTCAAGGGACCCTATAGGGCCTGTTTTTGCACCCTAACCCCTCTAGGGGCCACTCTAGCATTCCTCAGAAGGAGGTATAGATACGAAGATTATTTCCGAATTTTTTTTGGCTCTTCTAGGGCCTGTTTTTCCTCCTGGACCTCTCTAGGGACCACTTAGCCTTTAGGGAGCTAGACATCAGATCCTGGACCCCTAAAGTGTCCGCTTGTATTTTACTTTTCGAGGAGATACCATTTTGGCCACTCTAGGGCCTGTTTTCGCACCCTAACCCCTCTAGGGACCACTCTAGCATTCCTAAAAGGAGGTATAGATACGAAGATGAATTGCGAATTTTTTCCGTTCTCTATAGGGCCTGTTTTTCCTCCCGAACCTCTCTAGGGACCACTTAGCCTTTAGGGAGCTAGACATCAGATTCTGGACCCCTAAAGTGTCCGCTTGTATTTTACTTTTCGAGGAGATACCATTTTGGCCACTCTAGGGCCTGTTTTCGCACCCTAACCCCTCTAGGGACCACTCTAGCATTCCTAAAAGGAGGTATAGATACGAAGATGAATTGCGAATTTTTTCCGTTCTCTATAGGGCCTGTTTTTCCTCCCGAACCTCTCTAGGGACCACTTAGCCTTTAGGGAGCTAGACATCAGATTCTGGACCCCTAAAGTGTCCGCTTGTATTTTACTTTTCGAGGAGATACCATTTTGGCCACTCTAGGGCCTGTTTTCGCACCCTAACCCCTCTAGGGACCACTCTAGCATTCCTAAAAGGAGGTATAGATACGAAGATGAATTGCGAATTTTTTCCGTTCTCTATAGGGCCTGTTTTTCCTCCCGAACCTCTCTAGGGACCACTTAGCCTTTAGGGAGCTAGACATCAGATTCTGGACCCCTAAAGTGTCCGCTTGTATTTTACTTTTCGAGGAGATACCATTTTGGCCACTCTAGGGCCTGTTTTCGCACCCTAACCCCTCTAGGGACCACTCTAGCATTCCTGAAAAGGAGGTCTAGATAAAAAGATGAATTCCGAATTTTTTTCGTTCCCTATAGAGCCTGTTTCTGCTTTCTAACCTCTCTAGGGACCACTTAGCCTTTAGGGAGCTAGACATCAGATTCTGGACCCCTAAAGTGTCCGCTTGAATTTTACCTCTCAAAGAGATACCATTTTGGCCACTCTAGGGCCTGTTTTCGCACCCTAACCCCCCTAGGGACCACTCTAGCATTCCTGAAAAGGAGGTCTAGATAAAAAGATGAATTCCGAATTTTTTTTTTCGTTCCCTATAGAGCCTGTTTCTGCTTTCTAACCTCTCTAGGGACCACTTGGAAGATCATAAGAAAAATTTCTTTTTTCTCCAGGTTGCCGGGGCCACGGAAGCCGGCGGTGTTCCATTTTCCTGTTGCGTGAACAGCAGCGAACTGTCCTTCAAGAATTTCTACTGTGGCCATGGAGTTCGCTTAAAGGTTTTCTAGTCATAAAAATGATAAAAAAAGTGTAAAAAAATGATCATTTTTTTCCAGCAAGACGTGATGCACCGGGCGATGGCCCAAACGGCCTCGATCTACACGGAAGGATGCCTTCCGAAATTGCAACTTTGGCTCAATAATAATGTCCTCCTCGTCGGGGTCTCCATGATCATCATTGCCATTATACAGGTTTTCCGAAGTTTTTCAAAATTTCTGAGAAAGATATTTAGGTACTTTTTTTTCCCTCATGAAAATTCAACTTTTTCGAAAAATCTAGCCCACATTTTAATCAGAACTTCATCTATTTGAATTAATCCCGATTTTTTTTTAAATTGACGCGTTTTTCGTTTCGAAATGATGTTGTTAAATAGGAATTTCGGGAGCTGGAAAACGCTGAAGTGGGTCCTTAAAGGAGTTCGAAGTCAAGTGGGTCCTTTAGGGAGTTTGAGGTCAAGTGGGTCCTTTAGGGAGTTTGAGATTTAGTGGGTCCTTAAGGGAGTTTGAGGTTTAGTGGGTTCTTTAGGGAGTTTGAGGTCAAGTGGGTCCTTAAGGGGGTTTGAGATTTAGTGGGTCCTTAAGGGAGTTTGAGGTTTAGTGGGTTCTTTAGGGAGTTTGAGTGTTAGTGGGTCCTTAAGGGGGTTTGAAGTCAAGTGGGTCCTTTAGAGAGAGTAATAGGAGCTTCTGAAGGGAAAAATTTGAAGAAACCCCTATAGGAGGCACTTCCAAAACTTTCTCTTATTGGGAAAAGCTGAGGGGCCCTCTAAGGAATTCGGGTCCTTTAGGGAGGGTTTTAAAACTTCCTAGAGGGTCCTAGAGGGACCGATTTGAAGGATCCTTAAAGGGGGCACTTTTTAGCTTGGGAAAATTTCCAGCCCCTGAGGGGGGGGTGAGGCCAAGTGGGACCTTTAGGGAGAGTATAAGGACCTCCTAGAGGGTCCTAGAGGGACCGATTTGAAGGACCCCTATAGGGGGCACTTTGAAACCTTTTGCAGCCCCCCAGAATCCTGGAGAAACGCGCAAAAGGAAGTGCTATAGTACACCGAAGTAGAGGGCTTTTTTTTCCCTGTAGGGCCCACTTCAGCTTTTCCCATTACATCGCTATATGGTGACTTTAACACGCGAATTTCGAACTTATCTAGAAAAATTCCCAAAAAAAATGTTAATACGCAAAATTGGAATTCCGGGAGCCCTGAAAAAAGTTGGGTCCTACAGCGATATGTTGCTTCTACGCGCGAAGCTTCAACTTTTTAAATTTGTAGGGGGTTTTTAACGAAAATTTTTTTAAGATTACAAGAAAAACTACAAGTTTATATGTTAATTATTAAAAAAACGCACATGAGTTCGCAGCAAAAAAATGATTCCAAAATTGGTTATTATGGTTTTTTTGAAACAGCGAAAGGTTTTACGATTTTCTTGTCCTCTATAAAATCCGTTTTTTTGATACGTAGTTATAAAAAGCTCGGTTTAAAAACGTATTTTTTTGAACAAATTTTCGGAAAAAAAGTTTATAAATGACATTCCTGTATGAACTCCAATATAAAAAAACGAGAATTGCTAATAAGTTATCAATAGCTTGACGATTCATCTACTTTATACACCTTTTTTTCCGAAAGTAGGCATTTTTTTCAATATTTTTCATTTTTTTATTACGTTTGAAAACTGATGAAAAATGTTGCAAATATTTAATTCTAGATCAAAAAAATAAAGGGATTATTCGTGCGCCAAAAATTCTTTTTCAGTGTTTTTTTGGAAAAAAATCCTTAATTTTTTTAATCTTTCCATGAGAATATTGTAGCATCGATTCATAAATCCGAAAAAAATCAATTTTTTTCTAATATAGTCCATTTACCGCTACTTGAAACTGCTGTTTTTCTCTGCGCCCTCTCATGTTTCCGTGCTACTTTCTCGTTTCTCTGACCTTGCCGGTGAGGGAACAGAGAGACGCAGACACGCGAAAACTTTCAAGTCGCGGCGAATGGACTATAAAGAACAGTGAAAACCAAAAAATTCCCGATTTTCCAGGTTTTGGGAATTTGCTTCGCGCAAAATTTGAAGAGCGACGTCTTCGCCCAACGCGCCAAATGGTACTATACCCATTGAAAATCATCGATTTTTCCCTCTTTTCACAAATTTTCTAGGATTCTCAATTGCATTTTTCACCTCTACGCAAGTTTCTTTTTCTGTCAAATGTCAGTATTTTCCCCCCGAAATATTCCATTGAAACGAATCTTTCACAATAATTCCTTTCCAAGTATTTCAATCGTTACGTGTTCCTTCCCCCACACTTGTTGCTTCGATTTCCACATTTTTCTAGGTTTTATCGACTTTCTGTTCTGTGATCCTGTTCCTATCGCTCAAAAGTTGATGAATCTTATTGTACACATGACTTCTCCGCCTTTTTATGTGATATTTTGCAATGAAGTTGTTTGATTGAAGTTTTTCTGAACTTGAAAAAAAGTTATTATCTGCGTATTTTTTTCAAAAAATAAGAAAAAAGCATTTTTTCGAGTCATGGGTTACGGTAGACAGCTATTGTTCCTACCGAAGTGTATGCACAAGACACGCTTTTCACGACGCATTATTTTAATCGGCTTTTTTCACGTTTTTTCTTTAATTTATTGGAGAATTTTGTCGTTGTTTCTGTTACTTGATGAAGTTAAAGCTTCGTATTGCTTTTTTTGTGAAATCAGAAAAAAAGTTCATCAAAATCATTTTTTATCAAGGCGTAACTGCAAAAATTCAATCTCAGTCTCTTTTTCGTAATTCTTGAGGAATAATCACACTCAGGAATGGGAAATCGTGTTTCCAGCCTTTTTTGTGCTGAAGCTATGGAATAATCACAATTTATTTGACAAAACGTCAGGTTTTTTCGTGGTAATTTATTTTTATATATATCTCTGATGACGCGTTGATCGAGTAAAATTTAATATTTTCGACGATTTGCACACCATTTTACGTTTTGAAACGTGCTAAGATGAGCTAATTTTCATTTTTCAGTGAATGAGCCATTCAAACTGATGGTTTTGGTGGAAATTACTGTATTGATCGCTGTATTTATTTCATTTCTGACAATCATTTTGGAAGACGAGGCTCATCCGAACGGCGTTAAGGTTATTTTTAACGTAAAATCTGTTATTAAAAATCTTGCTAGGGTATTTAAATGAGAGAAATATAATTTTTGAAGGTCTCGAGACGTTTTTTAGTGTTACTTGAGGTTGTATATTTCTTTTGGACACTCCAACAAGAGTTTTGAAGTTTAAATTGAATAAAATCATGGAAAATATTCAGAATATCACAACTTTTCTGGAGTATCTTTGTATCAGCGGGGAGCAGTGGAGAAGTCACGAATTCCAAGGTTTTCGTTCAAAAATCCTGTTTTTTCAAGAATATTAATTTCAGAGAAGAAGCTGCGGAAGAAATCAAAGTAAAAATGGCCGAGGAAACGAAAAAAGACGAAGAAGAGGCGAAAGATTTCATTTCGAAGCTGAAGGCGAAGTTTTTTTGGAGCTGAAATATTTGTTTGTGGATAAACCGCCGGAAAAAAATCGAGCCTTTGCCGGTGAGTGACGATTTTCTGTTGAATTTTCAATGGAAATCTTGATTTTTGATTTGAAAATAATTATTTTGAAAAGCTTGATATTTTTTTCCTCAAAAAAATAGGCAAAAAAATTTTTTTTCCTATTTTTTTGTGAAAAAAAGTTTGGTCATAAGATTTTGCTTCTTCCTTTCTGAAATTAAGAATTAAACTCAAAAATTCTTGGATTCTGAACAAAAATGGAATTATCGACATCTGAATGACAGTTTTCTATTGAAAAAAATGAAAAAAATAAAAAAATTTTTAATTTTTTTCAGCCTAAGAAAAATATTTTTTTGTTACATAAAAAAAGATTGCAATGGGAAGGAAAAAGATCACTTTTCTGTTTCAAAAATCTTATAAAAAAACTGAATTTTCCGAAAAAAATTCCATTACTTCTGCTATAAGCGGGATAAATTATTTTTTTAAATAGTTTTTTTCGTTTCTAGGCTTGAATTTGATATTTTGAAAGTTTAATTATTCCATTTTCCATTATTTCTACAATTTCCAGCAAGCTTTCATCGACTTTGTCCGGAAAGAACGGCCCTTCAAAATCGCGGCTTCCGTCGCCTTCATCCTCTACACGTTCTTCTTCTTCGTCCCGTTGATGTTCCACGCGACGAGCGTCTACAGGGCCCCCTTCCCCAATGTCTCGCCCAATCATACCATCAATCTGCCCATTAGGTAGATTATTCCCATTTTTAAAAGTCTATCTTTGTGATTTTTCACGATTTTGTGTACTTAAAGCAAAATTACTGCTTTTTTCTTCGATATTTCGCAAATTCATACGATTATTTCGATTTTTAAAAATCGAATTTTTTAATTTTCAAGCCAGATTATTGCGTTATTTTCTGATTATTTCCCCCATCATGTAGATTTTTTCAACTTTTAAAAAGTTTATTTTGGTGATTTTAAACCTTTTGAAAGTTCCACATGAAATCATACGATTAATTGGCCCATTAGGTAGATTATTTCGATTTTCAAACGAAAAATTCAGGTGATTTTTCCGCCATTTTGTAGATTTCAACCAAAAATTACTGCTTTTTTTCTTCGATATTTCGCAAATTCATACGATTATTTCGATTTTTTTAAAAAATCGAATTTTTTTAATTTTCAAGCCAGATTATTGCGTTATTTTCTGATTATTTCCCCCATCATGTAGATTTTTTCAACTTTTAAAAGTTTATTTTGGTGATTTTAAACCTTTTGAAAGTTCCACATGAAATCATACGATTAATTGACCCATTAGGAAGATTTTATCAGTTTTCAAACGTTAAGTTTTGCAATTTTTTTGGTTTTCTGATTATTTTCGAACTAATTTCCGTGGTATTCTCTCATTTCCACGAAGGAAAAATATTAAAATCCATTCCAACTTTTCAAGAACCCATGAAACCTTCCCGTTGCATTTAGATGTTTGTACCTCGAAAATTTCCCTGTTCAAAAAAATTCCTATGGAGGTAGAAAGCTATTTTTTAAACTTCCGTTCTTTTTTTCTTCAAATATTGAACTAGGGAATATTTTTTTATTATCATTAGTTGATAGAAAAAAACGGTCCGAACCTTTTTCGATGAATTTTTGAAGTTAAAAAGTGTAATTAAAAAAAGCGTTTTTTTCAAGTTATGGGTTGATTGAAAGGCATAATTGATTGATTTTTTTATTTTCTTGCTTTTTGAAAAAAATTCAATTCAAATATTTTCCCCACTTTTTTTGGATATTTTCAGGGTGATCCTGGCCACGACGGACCCTGCCTTGGTTCCTGTCGTTAAAGATTTGCTCATTTCGGTAGAAATCCTTGATTTTCCTCTCCTTTTCAAGGTTTTTCTTTCAGCTCGAAGCGGATTTATCGAAAATCGACGTGGTTTATCCGCTTCAAATCGATTGGATCACGGAATTTGGCGGTCTTCGGTTTATTTTTCATGGAAAATTAAAGAATAATGATGATTTTTCAGGGATTATGAAGATTTTGAATCGAATAGAGACATTTTGAACTCTTCTTCGTCGACTTTTGATGTTCATGTGGCGATTGTGGAGAAAAAAAGGTCAGGGGTTTTTTTGGAGGAAAAAAAGTTGATTTTTTTCGAAAGATTTTTTTGACTGAAAAAGTTAATTTTCTAGTAGTTTTTTTGACTGAAAAAAATGGATTTTTTTGAAAGATTTTTTTCACGGAAAAATGTATTTTTTTATAATGTTTTTTTGAATGAAAAAAATTGATTTTTTTCCCAATATTTTTTTCACTGAAAAGCTTGTTTTTCAAAAGAGTTTTGACAGAAATGTTGATTTTTCGAATGATTTTGACTGAAAAGTTTCTTTTTCAGAAGATTTTTGAGTAAAAAATTGATTTTTCCGAAGGTTTTTGACTGGAAAGTCGATTTACAAAGAGTTTTTTTCGACTGAAAAAAATTGATTTTTTTTAGATGGTTTTTTTGACTGTAAAGTTGATTTTTCTATAGAATTTTGGACGGAAAAAGTTTAATTTCAGGAATTTTTTTTGGTTGGAAAGTTGATTTTTTTAGTAGATTTTTTTGAATGAAAAATTCGATATTCCAGAAGATTTTTAAATCAAAAATTGCTTTTTCAGTAAATTTTTGACTGTAAAGTTGATCTTTCTAGCAAATTTTCGACGAAAAAGTTGATTTTTTGGAAGATTTTTGACTAGCAAGTTGAATTTTTTACAATTATTTTGAACAAAAAGTGTAGGAAATGTAATAATTTGAACACAAATTTCAACGAATTACATTATTTTTGTGGTTTTTTAGGCGTTTCTCGAGAAATTCCATGATTATGGCGCTTTTTCAATGATTCTTAAGCCAAAAATTCGATGTTTTCGAAATATGATTTTTTTTCCAGCAATGGAAGCATTTCTCGGCCACAAATGTTCAGTTGGGCGTTGGAAAATGGTCTTTCGTCCAGTGGCTGGCAGATTCCGAAGAAGGGGCATCCAAGGCCGCTTTCAGGGTTTCTGAACTCGTTGCTGATGTTGGTTTTTGGAAAGAAGAAGAAAAATGATCAAATTCGGCTCTTCTTGAAAAAAACGTTGAAGTGTAGAAAATACAGAGAAATTGTAGAAAAGTCAGCTTGATGATATTCTCTTTACGTATTAAAAAATAATGGCTGAAAATAATTTTCAACTATTTCATTTTGTAAAGATATCAACTTTGAAAGCAAATTTATAACAAGGTTTTAAAGGCTTAGCCTCAGAAAGCTTACAATTTATTGATTGAGCTAGCAAATTTGCAGCCCTCAAAAATGGTTAGGCTGATAAATTTGCAGCCCTCAAAAATTATCTAGCTGGGAAATTTGCAGCCCTCAAAAATGGTTAAGCTGATGCATTTGCAGCCCTCAAAAATGGTTGAGCTGATGAATTTGCAGCCTCCAAAAATGACAGAGCTGAACAATTTGCAGCACCCAAAAATGACAGAGCTGAACAATTTGCAGCACCCAAAAATGATTAGGCTGATCGGTTTGCACCCCTCAAAAATGATTGAGTTGATAAGCTTGAATCTCTCAAAATTCATTGGGTTGATCCGTTTGTTGATTAATTTTTTTTTAATTGATTAGGCTGATTAGTTTGCAGCTCTCAAATTGATAGTGCCGATGGATTTGCAGCTCCCAAAAAAATGATGAAGCTGACAAATTCGCAGCTCCCAAAAATTATCAAGCTGATCTATTTGCAGCCCCCAAAAGTGGTTGAGCTTGAAACTTTGCAGCCCTCAAAAATTATCAGGCTGGCAAACTTGCAGCCCTCAAAATGGTTGAGCTGATGCATTTGCAGCCCTCAAAAATGGTTGAGCTGATAAATTCGCAGCCTTCAAAAATGACAGAGCTGAACAGTTAGGCGCACCCAAAAAAGATTAGGCTGATCGGTTTGCAGCGCTCAAATTGATAGTGCCGATAAATTTGCAGCTCCCAAGAACGATTGAGTTGATAATTAGCAGCTCCCAAAAATGATCAGAATGATCAGTTTGTAGCCCTCCAAGAGATTAGACGGACCAATTTGCAGCTCCCAAAAAATACCAAGCTGAAAAATTTGCAGCCCGCAAATATGAAATCCTTCTCTTTCTCTCTCGAATATTTATGATCTAGATCCTCCTGGACGTTCCCCACTTGAACTCGATCGTTCGTCGCGATTTGCGAGAAAGGATGGCCCCTTGGCAAATTGCCACCCTTCCCTTGTCTCACCAGGTTTGATTATTAGGAAGTTACAGAAAAAAACTTTAAAAATGGTTTTTAAAAAAACAATTCTCATATTTTCTCTCGTTTTTCTAGTTAAAAAAATGCATTAGAAAAAAAGTAAAAAAATTCATCTGGAGTCCTCCAATTTTCGAAACTTTCTCAAAATGATTTTTTTTTAAATATTTTTTCATCACCTTTTTAGAGTTTTTCTAGACTGAATACAGCACTAGAAGATTATAGAAAATTCGCTGAAGCTTCTTAATTTTTTGCACCCGACCTGAACCGGTTTAAAGTGAATTGGCGAGAAAACAATAGGGAAAAATGTTGATCGAGTTTTCAGAAACGCCTCGTTTGGGACTCGGCGCCATTGGCCATGAATTATCACGTCCAAGTGATCCATGTTCATGACAACGTGGCGCCAACTCCAGAGGAGCTCGAACTTCAGCGGAAAACTCCCAAGGCTCTGAGGATCTTTGGAAAAATGGTCGAAAGGGTCACCAATGTCGAGGTTTTGCCAGTTAAATGTAGCTTTATTGAATTTCAGAGCTTTTTTTGAAAATATGTTAAATTTTAATAGTCTTTTCGGACCCCTGACAGTCGGAAAATTTGAATTTCCCTTCACTTTCTTTCCCGAAATAATAACACAACACAATACTTTTTACAATTTTTTTTCGCTATTTTCAGTTTTTCTTAGTGAATTTGCTTCACAAGGAATTTAAAAAGCAAAAAAACAAATCTGATTTTTTAGAAATTAGCGAAAAACTCTATTATCTATGAAACCGCTTGAAAAAATCCACCCTTCGGAGAAGTTGTATTGCTCATGTTAGCTCATTTTGATTAAAAATCTAGGGCTTCTTAGTCATTTTCTAGTTCAAAACCTGTCTCGAAAAGTGTTGCAATGTTTTTCCTCTATTATTTCTCATATTAGCTCATTTTTCATCCCAGGAAAATTTATTTCAAAATCACCTTGCTGTCCATAAGCTTCTGTAGAGAAGAGTATTCAAGACTTAATAACCCTACTCTTGCTCATATTAGCTCATTTTTCATCCCAGAAAAATTTATTTCAAGATCACCTTCTTGTCCAAAAGTCTCTGTAGAGAAGAGTATTCAAGACTTAATTACCCTAATATTGCTCATATTAGCTCATGATTGACCAATGATTATCGTTTTTGACGAGAAAAAATACACGAGCTCCCCTTTTAAAGCCTCAAAAAAAGAGTCCATCAGAAAAGAAAGATTCTCCAGGTCTCCTCCGAGCACCTGTGGGACTTTGACGTCACTCGGTCCTTCTTGGAAAAAGACGTCCAGGAAAGACTCGTGCTGACCCACGACAACATGCAGCAGCTCCTGAAGCAGGTCGAAGCCCAGCTTCCGACGTCCCTGGATTCTGGAGCCGTCCTGAGGGTCGTCGTCCTGGAGACGGCCAATTCTGTGACCGTCCTGGATCAGATGGTTGGAATTTCTTGCTTTACGATCAAAATGATATGATTTTTAGACTAATTAGTTATGTCAATTTTGTGGGCATTTCTTGAGGAAAAGGATGATTTTGATCAAATTAATGATCCTAGAGAATGTTCCTAGATGGTCTAGAGTTTTTCTTCATAGAAAATGGACGGTTGATTTTCCTAGAAAACTTTAGGAAAAAGTTCTTTTTGGTGAGGGTATGATCAGGAGGCATACATGGGACAGTCTCGGTGGAAACTGAAAAAAACGGGGGGGGGGCGGGGGGAAGACTTGGGGGTCTCCAGTCATGGTCATCTCATGTATGAATCAGAAGCGACTCGTATGCTGGTTCCCTAACAGAGGTACCCCTAATAAACTCGTGTTTTTGAGGCCAATTGAGCATAAATCGGTTGGACCCACCCCAGCCTTTTTGGCCTGGGATCCAGCCGACGTATGTATTTGAGCCTCAGTTGGGCTAAAGCGGGCCTCAGATGGGGTAAACGTTGCCAAAAGTTCTACACGCTGTGGTTATACGGGTTTGATACGGGGGATGATGAGACCCCGTGGGCTATCCTCATCAGCATACAAAAGCATCGAGAAAAAACATTTTTATAGGGTGAGGACAGCAACGGATTGGCTGTGGCTTCTTGGGGCGCCGTCCTGGCGCGAAACGAAAAGACGGAATCCAGAGCTATCGCTGCCTTGAGGTCGGTATCCATTGCATTGGATTGTCCTTTCTGAGGCTTTGAAAACTTTTTTTTAGAATCTCTTCATTTTTCAATGCTTGAAACTCTTCCTTTTTCCAGAATCTCTTCATTTTTCAAAGCTTCGAACCCTCCTTTTTCCAGAATCTCCTCGTTTTCCGAAGCTAGAAATCTTCCTTTCTCCAGAATCTCTTCATTTTCCGAAGCTAGAAATCTTCCTTTCTCCAGAATCAGCTTGAAACCCTCCTTTTTCTCCAGAATCTCCTCATTTTTCAAATTTTGAAACCCTCCTTTTTCCAGAATCTCCTTATTTTTCAATACTTGATATCCTCCTTTTGCTCCAAAATTCCCTCATTTTTGGTATCTTGAAACCCTTCTTTTTCTCCAGAATCCACATCGGAATGGACGCCGAACTGATGCCGGGCTGGTCGAGGCCTCCAGCGCCGCTGTGTGAATGGGAAGTGGCTCGGGCGAGACTCAGAGCCTGCGTCGACAACGGAATGAGGGCCGCCAGTGCTATCAGGGCTCTCAATGTTCGTTTTAAGGGTTTAGAAGCGAAAAACAGATTTTCATAGAAAATGATCAAAGTCATTGTGAATCACGATTTTTGAAGCTCAAAAGGCAGATAGAGCAAAAAATTGAGCTGTGAAAAATTCCAGGAAGTAGCCGACAAGATTACGAATATCGTGATCAACGACGACGTCGCTGAACGAGCCACTCGAGCAGTTCAGCTCCTTTTTGAGGGTCTGAAGCCTGGACAACAGCCGGATTATGAGAAGGTTCATTATTAAATCGAAAAATAAAAAGTAGAAAAAAACACAAAAAAACTATTGAAAAAAATAGAGCGGCTTTGATATTCAGAAGGATTTGGAGCACTCAGAAATGTTCAAAAAAACAAAAAAATTGATTGGGAAATTAGGAAAAATTCGATTGTAACTGTAAGAAAAGAGCTTTTAAAAGATTTTTTTAAACTTGAAAAATCGAAAAAAATCAAATAATCCAAATAATGGTCTGGAATCAGTTGAGCACCTAGTTGAAGTGTTTCTGTTATTTTTGAATCGTTTAGGAATTTCCAGGGAGTTTTTAGAATCAAAAGATAACCCAAATATGAGAAAAATAGGTTTTAACTGTAAGGAGAGTTTTTGGGTTTTAATACACGGAAAAAATTCAAAAAAGAGCAACGAATCAAAAATTTTGGATTGGAGGAAGGGTTTTCAGCTTCAAAAAAATGACGGAATGGGTCAAAAAAAGGATCTTTTAAGGGGGGTCAAAGAACGAAAAAAGATGCGAATTCCCTTTTCAAAACTTTGAATTTTAACTGGGAGTTTCTAAAGTGCAACTTTTGGGTACAAAATTTTATGTTTTGAAGAAATTTTGGCGTCTAAAAATCTTCATAAACCGATATTTCAACAAAACGGAATCAAGAAGAAACTAATCAAAAAAATCAAATAATCAAAAAAACATGGTCTAGAGTCAGTTGAGCTCAAATTTGTAGCGTTTCTGATATTTTGAAACGTTTCGGAATGTTCAGAAAACTTCCAGAAGCAAAAAATGACCTGTGAATAGGAAATTCGGGTTTTAACTGTAAGGAGCGTTCCTTGAGTTTTTTTTTACGCGGACCTAATTCAAAAAAAGGGCACAATATTGTTAAAAAATAGGCTTGGAGACGGCTAAAATTGAAATTTGAGTCGTCCTGGTTGTTTTGCAATGTCCAGGAACTTGTCAGCATCATAATATTTTCGTCTTTGAGTGAAATAAATGAATAATGAGTCACTTGACAAAAAAATTTAAAAAATGACTCTCTCGATTTTAGGAAGAATCCGGTTCATACAAATTAAATCGACCACACTGAATCCGAAAACAGCAACAGTTTTTGTGTGGGACCTCTGCGAACTGAGATATTTCATTAAATGCAATATTAAAAAAATTTTTACGCCAGTTTCACTCATTCCACGTATGAGTCAAAAAAAAATTCGAAAAAATGGTTTCAGCTGGTCGAAGCCCGAAAGTTGGCCGACAGCGCAAACTCCGACCATTCCTTGCTCTCTTTGTTGTATTTTCCAATGGATCAGAGATTCGCCGTTTTCCTCCCGATTGTCTTCCCAATTTGTATCGCCACCGGCCTCTCGTTCTATAGACTTTCCATCACTTGGCTCACTAGGTCTTGGCTTTAAAATCCAGAAAAACATGCCTTTCCCGTTTTTTTTTGTATCTTTTGAGGTGTCTTAGTCCATTTTTAAGATACATTTGAGTGATTTTTTAATGATTTTTCGATTTTTTTGGTGTTGAAAATGTGATTTTCCCCTCATGATTTTAATCTTCACGAAAAATTATTTTAGAGTGATTTTTCGGCCTTCTATTGTCCCTTTCTCTGTACCTAAACCCAAGTTCTCTCAAAAAATTGACTTTCCTGAAGTTTTGAATAAGATGTGCTCCAACAGAAAAATTTCCCCACCATGGCCTTTTATTCCCGAGAAAGTGCGCTCCATCGAACTTCTCATTTATTTTCCGGAAAATGTGCCCTATCGAACTGAATTCATGTGATTTTCGTTGTTGATCTATAACTAGTGATTTTCAGTTCCTTTATTTAAAATAACGACGTGTTTAATTTTATTTGCTGGTACATTTTCTGTTGTGACTTTAACGATGATTTTTTTGAATGAAATGAGACCTTTTTTTGGCTTAAAAAGGTTATTTTTGGGTCGAAAACTGGAAAAAATTCAGAAAAAAAAATTTCCGGCACAAAAATTCCCACGCTGCTACGTGAAACTTGCACGTTGGCAAGTGATTTTTTATTTTACGAGCCGAAAATAATAATAATTGGAAAGTGAAAAACGAACTCATTTTAACTCTAAAGCTAATTCGCCTCTCCTCGTCGCTAACTACTGGACATCATTGATTTTTTGAACCAAGCCGCCCGTCACGACATGCAACAATTCAAGGTATACTGTGGTTTTTGATCGGGGGGGTACTGTAACTTTTGATTGATTGGGCTTTTTGAAGCTTTCTTTACTTTGAAAGGAAAAAAATGGTAGTTTTTGGCTACTTCAACGATATTCCAGGACCCTAGGCTTTTCAAAAGGGGATACTGTAGTTTTTTGATCGGGGAGTACTGTAGCTTTTGACTGATTGGGTTTTTGAAGCCTTTTAATTTAAAAAAAAAAGTTTTCCGGATGTCTTAACGTTATTCCATGGCCCTAGGCTTTTTCAAAAAGGTATACTGTGGTTTTTTTGATCGGGGGTTACTGTAGCTTTTGATAGATTTGGTTTTGAAGACTTTTAATTTTTTTAAAAAAAGTTTTCCGGGTGTCTTAACGTTATTTCATGACCCTAGGCTTTTCAAAAGGTATACTGTAGTTTTTTTGATCGGGGTGGGGGGGGTACTGTAGCTTATGATTGATTGGGTTTTTTTGAAGCCTTTTAATTTTTTTAAAAAAAGTTTTCCAGATGTTTTAACGTTATTCCATGACCCTAGGCCTTTCAAAAGGTATACTGTAGCTTGTAGATAGGAGTACTGTAGATTTTTTTGGAGTTTTTGAGGTTTTCTTTTCTTTAAAGGAAAAAATAAGTTTTTTTTCGGAACTCATATTAATAATTTAGGTGGAATCGTGAATTTGAGATTATTCAGATGGTATACTGTAGATCCAGGGTTACTGTATCTACGAATTTTTTTTTGTCCCTTTTTTGTGTTCATTTTAGGGCTCAAGTGATCACTGTAGGTCGAAATTTAATTCATAAATTTTTGTTGTTCAAATATTAATTTTAAACTGATCTTAGAGATTACTGTAGGTGGTTACTGTGGTCCATTTTTTTTTAAACAGTTTTTATGAGTTTCCAAAGTTAGTAGGGCTTCTATCAACTATAATAGTTCAGTTAGTTTTTTGGAGGTTACGGTAGGTTACTGTGGCTCAATTTTTGAAGCTCGTAGTAGAGGATTACTGTATTTGCATTTTACTGTAGATCAATTTGGTTTTAACCAACTTTCAACGTTTTTCGGATTTAGTAGGGCTCCTACAAAGAATAAGTGTTCAATCAATTTTCTAAAGGTTACTGTAGGTTACTGTAGATTGTTTTTGAGGTTCGCTCTTAAGGATTACTGTATTTGAATTTGGACAGCGACCATGTCCTTTTTTTTTGGAAAATTTGTAGAATTATATCAGGAAGCTTCAAAGAAAATTAGCTGTGAGGAATACAGCTTTTTTTTGAAATGATTTTTTTAAAAAAATTTCCAGCAAATGACCTCGCCAATCGACTCGAATGAGGAGAAGCCGCCGAAGACTCTTTTCAAGGTTTTTATATTTTTTTTTTGGGAAGATGATCTTTTTTTCCAGCTGTCTCCGTCGAAAAAGGCGATCCCGCGCCGAAGTACTCCTCGTTTGCCGTCGGTTCTGATGAAGGTCCGTTTTATTCCCATATTTTATTCATTCAGCTTCGAAAAGAAGTAAACAGTGCTCTATTCGAGTTTCTGTGGCTCTGATCGCATTGAAAAATTTGAAAACAGCGCGCCGGACTTTTAGTGACTTTCGCGTTGGGCTATGCTTCATGTGTCCGTATCTCATTCAAGGGTTACTGTAAACTGTAGTTGACGCGTAGGATACTGTAGGCTCTCTTTTGAGCTTACTGTAGCTTTCTCATTTTGTGAACGATCCCTCTGTGGTATCATTTGTCTCCCAAGATTCCTGTAGGTTACTGTAGATTTTTCATTTTATCAGTGAATCATTGTCTCACTTTTAAGCTTACTGTAAACGGTTATTGTAGCTTTTTTAGTTTTAGGACGATTTTGTTGGATTACTATGGGTTACTGTATGCGGGAAGTTTTGTTTTAATTATCAAAGTAAGGGAATTATTGGCACACTTTTTAGCTTACTGTAGACGGTTAATGTGGATTTTTGAGCTTGTGCTGACTTTTGTTCAGCTTTGAGACGATATACTTGTGATTTTATATCTTTAGAGATTACGGTAGGTTGCTTCAGGTTACTGTAGTTTGTGAGATGGGCTACGATTAAATTCTTTTTAGTTGAAATCTCTACTGCACCTCATTTTTCAATCCTCGATTTTTTTCCCCATGTTTGTTAATGAGGTTACTGTAGCTGGTTATTATTATTTTTTGAGAAAATTACGGTAGGGTCTTTTTAAGCTTATTCTCTACTTTTATCATTAATTCCACTTTTGTAAACATTTTGAATTGTCGAAGAGCTTATTTGAATTTTTGGGATTATTGAAAGGATTGGTAGATATTGTGGGAGATTTTTCTAAGCTTTAAGCCAGGTATCCAGGTGGAAATTCTACTTTCAGCAAAATTTAGAGGTTCGAAATTCATTTCTCATTGTCCCTTCAGTTCAAAAACTGATTTTTAATGTCAAGTGCAATGACGTCATTCAAAAACACTCTGTGGATGGCTCGCTCTCTGATTGGTTTATCGCACCATTAGGAGGCGGAGCTTCATCGAGGACTTGACTTTTGAAATCTGAACAGACTATACTTTACCATGCCTATCAAAACTCAAAGTTTCAGAAATATTGAACTTTATTATTATCAAAAAAAGAAACTATTCATTCTCGCATTCGTCGTTGTAATGCATTCTCGAAGCCGCGTCGTCCAATTCCTTGTTGATTGTGGAGAACTCCTCGATCAGCTTGTCGATCGTGTTCCTGTCCAGAGGTCCAGGATGGGACTCGAGGATTTTCTCGAATTTCTGCCGGAAAATGGCGCGAATCGATGGGAAACGCTTGTCGTAGTAGGCAATTCCGGCTGCGACGTTATGTTCGAACAACCAGCCGCTGTCCAGACTCCTCATGATGTCTTTGGGCTCCTTCAGGTCGTAGTAGGCTTCTAAGGTTGGAGCCGCGGATAGGTCGGCTTCACTAGGCTCGGTATTGTTGTAACGTTTCCATGGGACTGGCCCGAACTTGAGAGCCGAACGTAGTTCTTGGAGGCCGATGGTCGCCACGCTGTTCTCGGTCAGACACGTGTTCAGAACTCGCGCCAGATTCTTCCTGACGATGTTGCCGGCCAGTAGTTCGTGCTCCTTGTCCCCGAAACAGGCCGAACGGAGCTTCTCCAGCTCCTTTTCGAAGTCGGAAAGGTCGGTGGAATTCGTGGCGTTTGTAAACGGTCTCGCCAAGCTTCCTGGATGTGGATTTTTTATAAGAAAAAGCTTGATCCATAGTGTATTTTTACTAGAAACGGACATTTTTAAGATGGTAGAAAAGGGTTGGTAAGAAAGCTTTAAAAAAAGGTTGTTATAGAGAATTTGACCAGGTTTTCTGAACATTTCGTACGGGGTTTTTGAGAAAAAGGCTTGAAAAAGAGTTTATAATGCATTTTTTGTAGGAGAAGTATTTTTTTAAAGGTTTTTTTTCAGTATGTCCTTTTCAAGGTAGATTTTTAGAGCATTCTTCTTAAGAAAGTAAACAAAAATATATTTTTTTAAAAAGAAAGTTCTTGGAAAAAAATATTCTGAAAAGTTCAGTTTGAAGGCTTCTTTGGGAAAAAGTTTCAAGAAAAAGATGTCGATGAGCTTTTTTTAAAGTCTATCGGAAAAAAATTGCTTTTTGGAAAGAATAGTGTGTGAAGGAAGGCCAGAAAATTTTACAGTTTAGAAAAAAAAATTTTTTAAATCAGTATTTTTGGTTCAAAAGATACTACCTAAGAAGATAACGAAAAAAAATTAGAAAAATTAGAAAACAAACAAAAAATTCTTCATTTCTTGAAATCAGAAAAAGGTGCATATAAAATGATTTTCGATAAATATTAGGCTGCAATTTTTTTCACGTTTATTGAGAAATTTAGTTGAAAAAAATTGCTGGGGAAGTTTTTGGGAATAATAAAAATCATTGAGAAACGTTAATATTGATAAAAAAGTTATTTAGAATTTTTAAGATAAACGAATTTTCGTGAAGACATCTTATCATTTTTCACAGGCTCTTTTGTGAATTTCTGAGCCCGAATTTGGGATCAGCGTGAAAAAATGTATCTGGTTATAGAGGTTTCGAAATTTTGTAGGAAAGAAAAAATGAAGGAAAGTGATTTTTTGAAAAAAAGAGACGGTAACTCACCAGCGTGTAAATGGGTCGCTAGGAAAAGGAAGGCGGCGATTGCTGGTCCCATTTTTTGAACTGAAAGTTTAATTTTGAAGATTTTTTTTAATAATAGGAGAACGTCGAGATTGAGAACAAGTCGAAAAAATCGCGAAATATAAGTAGAAAGGTAGAATAAAGGTGTCATGAAGATCCGAAAAATAGAGACGATTTGACCTGATTTCTCTCTCTGAATCGGTCCGATTTCTAGGCGGCGTCAAACTCTAAGTAATTTTGAGAGACTGGGAAAAAGGACTACTTGGAGAAGACACTAAAGTGGCCACTAAACCCACCTCTATAGTGGCCACTATTTTCCGTTTTAGTGGGCGCTTTAGTAGTTTTTCATCCAGTATTCCTTCCAGTAACTCTGATAATTTTAAAACAAACAGATTGGACCAGTTATGATGATCCATTGACCCCTAAAGTGGCCACTAAGTGGTCTAGTAGTAGCACTCAGACCTCTATAGTGGCTTTTAACCCCTTAAGTGGCCACTAATTTGACTATTATAGTGGCCACTAAAACGTCAAAACCCTATAGTGGCCACTAAAAATGTTCACAGGAAGCTGGATTAACATCCGTAGAGCGCACTTGAAAAATACTTTTCCGTGGATGTTTTCCTTGGAAATACAACATTTTTCACTTTTCAAGTGCTTCATCTCTTCTGGAACTTTTCTAGAATTGTGTCAAATTTCTTTGGAAATACAAGTTTCTTCGCATTTTAAAACATTCATTCAATAACATCAATATAATTAACGTGAATAGGATCTAGTTTTCCCAACATTCATAATTGTCCAAAATTTTTTTAGTAACATCACTGAATCGGTAATTGATCTCAGTGAACTCTTTGATCATTTTGTCGATGGTTGCTCTTTCTAGGGATTTTCCTGTCTTGGCCCGACGAATTTTATCGAGTTTTCGCCTGAAAAGGCTGCGTGCAGACGGGAAACGCTTGTCCAAGTAGACGATAGCGGGAATCAAGTTCTTCTGGTAGATCCAAAAGCTATCGAGGCTTCTTTGCCTGGAGCTAGGCTCTCTCAGGTCGTAGTAGGCTTCTAAGGTTGGAGCGCCAGATAACTGGGCTTCACTGGGTGTTGTGTAATTGTTGTGTTTCCAAGGGCGAACCGGCCCGAAGTCGAGTAACGATCGCATTTCCTGAAGACCTATCGTCGCAAATCCTTCTTTCATCAACATCATAACGACCCCTCCTATTGCGGAGGCCTTAAAGCAGTTTCCGCTCAGTTCTTCTAGCTCCTTTTCGGTGAGACAGGCCGACGCCAGCTCCTCCATCAATTGGTCGACGTCGGAGATGGTAGAATTTTTGGGAAGGCTTCTGGAGGTTGACGTTGAGCCAGCTGAAACGTCTGCTAGTGCAAATTTTATTGGAGGTGATACCTGTTGTCTTCTCCAGCTCTTTATCGACGTCAGAAGAAGGAGATGAGGTGGTAGCGTTTGAGGAAAAGCTTCTGAAGGTCGGATTTGAGCTGTTGGAGCTAGCGACACTGTCTGGAACTTATTCCGTTCAACTGAGAGAGTTTAAGGGGAAGCCTTGAACTTGAAGCTGAACCTTGCCTTTTTGGAAAAAATGAAGTTTGGATACTACCAAAGTGCACTTTTCGGACCTCGGTAAAGTCACGGATTTTCTGAGCATTTCTAGCGGCATCTGCACTCATAAGTGATCACTTGAAAAGCTCAGAATCGTCCGGGACGCGTCCCGCTTGCGCTACCAAGCTCCGAGAAGTGCAGGTGTCCTTTTTTTCAAAAAAGAATGGGTACCTGTCGTCTTCTCCAGCTCTTTAATGACGTGAGAAGAAGGAGATGAGGTCGTAGCATTTGTAGGGAGGCTTTTGGAGCTGGCGGTGCTGCCTGGAAACTTCTTGTCAATGCGAATAACTTTTGAAGAATTCAAAAGGGCTCAAAGCCGCGTCGCGTACGCAACGCGTCACCCTTGTTGATCTACTCATATCGCCTGACAATACCTGCATGTAGGTGAGGTATAAGGAAGAGGAAAAAGACGAGTTTAGGTCCCATTTATTGACCTGAAAAAAATCCTTTAGATGAAGGTGGTTAAGAAAAGCTTTTGACACCTTTTAGGGACTCAAAAAAAATCTCTAGATTGTTTTTTTTTGCACTACCATTTCCTAGCTTATTAAGAAAATCGGAAAAGAAAAAATTGATTCAAATGATGTTGGTCATATGAGAAGGAAGAATGATGCAGACTGACCTTGGTACTCTCTCGGGACTGATAGGAATCTCAGAGAGCGGCGAATGTGGCAATCGGATCGTTTTTACAGAGAGATTATCCGTAGAGCGCATTCGACCATCAAGAAACTACCATCGCGGCTGTTTTTTCTCACTCGATTGCACATTTTTTGTGACTTGCAGTGGAGCCGCTAGAGTGCCGAATATTTTTATAATGTTCGCAGAAAGTTTAATTCATGCAAAGAAAACATAAGAAAACTATAGATGATGAACTTTTGGAAAGACAGTAACCTCTAACCCAAGTTTGATCTGCAGGAGGGCGCGACTTCCGAGATTCCGGAGGGCGGGAGTTTGAAATGTTTCCGCAGCAGCGAAACCGGCGACCTCTACCTGAAGATTGAGTACAGCCGCGAGCAGGTATAATTTATCATATTTATGACGTCATTTGTGATTATGACGTCACTATTATTGATTGTTTTTTTCAGTTTAATCAATTTTTTTTATTTGATATATGGTGATAAAACGGAAAAAGGCGATGACGTCATTAGAGGAATTTAAAAGTTGCCATTTTTTCGAAGCTCACTTTTTTTCATGACGTCATTCAAATACCATATTTATGACGTCAATTGTGATTATGACGTCGCTGTTATTGATTGTTTTTTTTAGTTTAATACATTTTTTTTATTCGAAGTATGGTGATAAAACGGGAAAAGACGATGACGTCATTTGAGGAATTTAGAAGTTGCTATTTTTCGGAGCTCACTTTTTTTTATGAAGTCATTCCAATGTTCGAGAACAAGTCTTGAAGCCCAAAATGTTTAAAACAACTCATCCGCGCCATTTTACGAAGCTAATTTTTCCAGATGAAGAGCTTCAGTGCGTCGCCGCTGTCGCGTCAACGCGTCGCCAACTTCCGCGACATCGTCACCCACGCGCCGGAGCTGATCCGCAAGCCGCCGAGCATCCCCACCGAGTTCGCCGTCACCCTGTTGACGTCGCCGGTCGCGACAAACTCGTGCGTCAGCCCCGTGATGACGTCATCCGCCTCGGCGGCGCCTTCGTTCGCGCCCCCGTCGCCGGCGATCGTCGCAGTCCCCGCCGTTCCTACTCCTCGTCGCGGTCCCATCACGCCGGTTAAACTCGCCGATCGTCGCATTTTCGGCTTCGACACTCCGCCATCGACGCCCCGCCCATTGAACTATTCCAAACTCTCGGCTCCGCCCCCTCCTCGTCCGTCCTTTTTGGCTACCCCCATTTGAAACGTTTCCTGTCGTGTCGCTTTTTTTCTCCTTTTGTGATTTGATTTTTTGATTGGTGAATGTGGATAGAGCCTATCCAAGCTCCGCCCACTCCATTAACAATGATTTCTTTCGTCTCTGATGAATGTAACATTTATTTATAAATATTTACCGATTTGATTTCTTAAATCGGTTTTTTTTCCTTTTTTTAAAAAGCCAGAGATCATCTCGCATGAATATTTGGACACAGAACGCCAATCTGCGCCGACCAATGTGTCATAAACAACAAAAAAGTTGAAAGAAGTCCGAAGCTTCTGGATGAAGCTTAATCAGCCTATATCATTTTAAAGCTCACAATGAGACGAATCGATTGATTTATTCATATGAACTGTAGCTGCTCTAGAAGTCGAGATATGAGCGTTTAAAGCTCACCATTAAAATTAAAATAGGCGTCAGATAAAATGCATTTGGTGGGCTGCACCGCGGTGTACTTTTCTGGCGAAAAAGAAAATGCTCAAAAAAAAAGTTGGTTTTTACAAGTTTTTTTAAGTTTAATCGATAGAGCAGTTTCCATGTAGTACTGTTATCATATCAGTTAATAGGGGAAAACTCGAAAATTGAGGGAAAAATGGGTCCAAAAAGTCGTATTTTTCAGACTTTGAAGCTTCATAACTTTGTTCATTCTGAAGATACACAAGAACTGATTATATCGATCGATTTGTCTTGTTATCAGCTTTCTAATGATGTAGTATTTTAAGAGTTTCGAGCAATTTTGATGAAAATGACTAATTTCGAAAAGTCATATCTTTTTTTTCTAGGCGCCCAAGAACTTTTTGATCAAGATTTTCATACTTCTGACGTCATTTCCTATCGATTGATGTGAAAATCTGGAAAAATTTGATTTTCGGGAAAATGGAAAAAAGTGCAGTCTAACCCCTTAGGTTTTTTTTGAGCTTCTGAGGTCGTGGAAGCCGATCTGGACGATATTTATATCAATCGATAGATCTCGTCGAGAAAAACACCTGAGACCAGGTTTGACCTCCGTAGGTCAAGTAGGAACTTAATTATAGGCGATCAAACTTTGAGGTGAATCTCAAAATAAGTCGAAATCATTATCAATCGATAGACGAGACTAAGAAGAGCAAGAAAAACTAGGTCGCGAAGTCCTTAACTTCCCAGGAACAAAGTTAGGAATTTTCAAAGTGTCGAATATTAAGCTTTTGGATGAAGCGCAATATATTTGTGACATGTATCATTGAAAAGCTGACAACAAGACAAATCGATTGATATAAATAAATGAAATGTAGCTGCTCTAGAAGCTGAGATATGAGCGTTAGAAGTTCACCATTATTATTTCGATAGGCGTCAGATGAAATGCATTTGGTGGGCTGCACCGCGGTGTACTTTTCCTGCGAAAAAGGAAAAGCTCAAAAAAAAGTTGGTGTTTTTCGAGTTTTTTCTAGTTTAATCGATAGAGCACCATTCATATAGCACTGTTAGCATATCAGTTAATAGGAAAAACCTCAAAAATTGAGTGAAAAATGGGTCTGAAAAGGCGCATTTTTCAGATTTTGACGCTTCATAACTTTGTTCATTTTGAAGATACACAAGAACTGATTATATCGATCGATTTGTCTTGTTATCAGCTTTCTAATGATGTAGTATTTTAAGAGTTTCGAGCAATTTTGATGAAAATGACTAATTTCGAAAAGTCATATCTTTTTTTTCTAGGCGCCCAAGAACTTTTTGATCAAGATTTTCATACTTCTGACGTCACTCCTTATCGATTGATGTAGAAATCTGGGAAGTTTTGGTTTTCGGGAAAATCGGAAAAATTACAGTCTAACCCCTTAGGTTTTTTTTGAGCTTCTGAAGTCATGGGAGCCGATCTGGACGAAACCTATATCAATCGATAGATCTCGTCGAGAGAATGACCTGAAGACCGGTTCGACCTCCGTAGGTCAAGTAGGAACTTAGTTATAGGCGATCAAACTTTGAGGTCGAATCTCAAAATAAGTCGAAATCATTATCAGTCGATAGAGAAAATCGAGAGAAGCAAGTAAAAATAGGTCTCGAAGTCCCTAACTTTCTGAAAGCAAAGATATGAACTTTCAAAGTGTCGAATATTTAGCTTTTGGATGAAGCTCAGCCTATCGATAATTTACATTATTGAAAAGCTGACAATGAGACAAATCGAACGATATGCTTGGATAATCTGTAGCTGCTCTAGGAACCGAGATAGAAGCGTTTGAAAATCCCCATTGAAATTTTCAGTAGGCGTCAGATAAAATGCATTTGGTGGGCTGCACCGCGGTGTACTTTTCTGGCGAAAAAGGTGAAGCTCAAGAAAAAGTTGGCGTTTTTCAAGTTTTTTCTAGTTTAATCGATAGAGCAGTTTCCATATAGTACTGTTATCATATCAGTTTATTGGGAAAAGCACAAAAATTGGATGAAAAATGGGTCCGGAAAGTCGTATTTTTCAGATTTTGACGCTTCATAACTTTGTTCATTTTGAAGATATCCAAGAATTGATTACATCAATCGATTTGTCTCGTTTTCAGCTTTTGAATGATATAAAGCTTCAGGAGTTTCCTTCAACCTGAATGACGTCATAGAATTTTCCAGCTTACATCTCAGCTTCTGACTTTCGCTAGTTGAAATCGCTATCAGTCGATAGAGCGCCTTGAGGCCATTCCAGTGATATATCTCAATTCCTGATTATTAATCAAGTAATCGAGTTGTGAGCTGAAGCAAGTCTGAAGCTTCTAGATAAAGCTTAAGCTCGTGGTAATCTATATCATTGGAAAGCTGAAAATGAGATCAATCGATTGATATAATCAGTTTCTTTGTACCTATAAAACGAAAGAAGTTATGAAGCTTGAAAGTCTCGAAAATGCCCTTTTTTCGGGCCTAATTTTCACCTAATTTTTGAGCTTTTCCCTCTTAACTGATATGATAACAGTACTATATAGAAGCTGCTCTATCGATTAAATTTGAAAAAGCTTGAAAACACCAACTTTTTTTTCGAGCTTTTTCTTTTTCGCGAGGAAATCACACCGATGAGGGCCTCAGATGGGCGCCTGACCCGACGCGCAACCTCGGCCAAGGCGCTTTATTCGACGCGCAAATTTATTCTTTCAATAAATCTTTGACGGCCTATATCTCGGCTCCCAGAGCAGCTACTGCTGATCGAAATATATCAATCGATTTTTCTCGTTGTCAGCTTTCGAATGATATAGATTATCAACGGGTTCAGCTTTATCTAAAAGCTTCAGACTTGCCTCAGCTTTCAGCTCGAAGTGATAATAAGTTAACAGGAAATCAGGTATATCATTGGATTCGTCTCAAGACGCTCTATCGATCGATAATGATTTCAACTTCTTTAAAGGAGAAGCTGAGATGTAAGCTGGAAAATTCCGTGACGTCATATGGGTTGGTGGAAGCTTATCGAGTTCTATATCATTAGAAAGGTGATAATGAGACGAATCGTTTGATATAACTAGTTACTTTTAATCTACAGATTGAACAGAGTTATGAGCTGAAATGAGTCTGAAGCGTCTTAATGAAGCTTGATTTGTGTATGAGCAATTTTTTCGAAGTTTTCCAAACTTTTCTTTTTCCGCAAGCCTCGGAGGTTTTCACCTGGTTATTTAGGCTCATGACGTCATATTGCGCCGATTGATATCACTTTTATAAGCTCCGCCCACTAAATTTTCATGATTCTTCCTCCGACAAATGTAATATTTATTCATATAAATATTCACAATATGATCATTTTGGTTCGGATATAATTTTTTTGACTAGATATAAGGACTTTTGATTGGGATAGAAAAATCTTATTGCGGGAAAAAAATTGAAGTATATTTGTTCTCGGAACAAAGTAATATTGTTAATTAATTAATTGATTAATTAGACGGCGAGTTGATCGATTGTCGTCTGGAGCATCCTTTCCACATACTCGTCTACCACGCCGTTGTTAACTGTCGTCGTTTCGGACATCAGCTTGATGGTGCCTAGAATTGCAATGTGTTGCTCATACTGACTGAGGCTGAAGTCTTGATAACTTATATTGCTCATGTTACTATGATAATTATTGTTGCTCATGTTATCTCAGGCTTCAAATCAAAAAAAAAAACATAAAGCTTACGCTATCACCTTATTTGCAGCTCTCAGAGCGCCAAAGAAAAAATAATAATGACGTCACTTCACAAGTTATTGCTCATCCTAGCTCATATCAAATTCTCTAAAGCGTCCTGCGAAAATATGACGTCATCTTATCAGAAATAAATGAAAATGGCTCAGTTCTTATATTGCTCATCTTAACTAGTCCTTAAATAAGTATTGCTCACGTTAGCTGATAATAGCGATAAGAGTATCATGACCATGACGTCATCCAAATATTGCTCATTTTTGCTAAGACTAACCAAAAGAGACGCGACGACCGCGATTGTGCGAAACAGTGAGACCGCTGCCGTGGCTGCTGACTTCCGGCAGAGGCGACGGCGATGTCGCGACGTCGATATCGCTCTGCGATCGAGAAAGTCGCGGCGAGGGTGGCGTTAGCGACAGAAGATGCGACAGCGACTTGTAAGGCCCGTCTGGAAACGAGTGACGTCATTAGGAATTATAATGACGTCATTTCTTTTTTCCTTCGGTAGAGGGGATTGAGAGGGGCTAGAAAACTCCAGAATGAAAAATCGAAAAAAAAAATTACCCGGAAAAATATTTTCGACGTTCACGGCGTACAAATCGTTACCTACGCGGAAGCCGAGCTGAAAAAAATCGTTTTTTGGAATTTTTCGTCTAACTGTCCAGACAAAACGAGAGACCAGACAGTTAGACAGATTAAAATGATAATGAATGAACTATAAGAATCAGAATGACTTTTTGAAAGACCGTAGCGGTGGCGGAGAAAATCGTGGCGTCAAAAAGCCGGGATTCCAATTCCGGTGTGTAGAACGGGGCTCCAAACGGGACGAACGTCATCTGGAATGGTTATTCTTGAGTATCGTTGGACGCGTTGCGGCTCCGCGTCGCGGTCTTTTTCTTATCATCAAAATAAGATGCTTGAAAACATGTATAAAACTGTAAATGTTGAAGGAAACGCTTTCTTTTCAAAAAAAGAGGAAATATCATTCAAATCTTGATTCCAGTTCCGTCAAACGCGTCGCGGCCCAATTTTTAAAATAATCCAACTTTTTGAGGTTCTAGTTCAAAATTTTCCGCTGAATTTACCGTATTTTGAAAATATTCAAGCGTTCTTGGACCCTTTGGAATCGTTATCGCATATCAGTTTTCTTAGTGAAAAATCAAGGTTCTAAAAATAGAAAAAGTTGTTAAAAATCTCAGTTCTCTCGGACGCGTTGCGGCTCCGCGTCGCGGTCTCTCCTTCAAATATTTTTTTTTTGACATTTTTTTAAGCCAACCCTTTTAAATTGAGTTCTGTGTGAAGAAAACTCACAGAGTACTGTAAATGAGGGTGTTCGGCGAGTATCTGAACACACTGTTTCAGGGCGATCGCCAAGTATGGCCAAACCAGTCGCATCGGTTTCGATGCTTCTTCTCCTGGACTTTTTTTTGTGAAGTGAGATGATCAATAAGTCGTTTATTTCATTCTTTCAGCACCAGATCGACAAGTTTTTTTTAAGCCATCGGACAAAAAAGGTGTGCCAGAACGCCGCAGTGTATGCACACGACACACTGCACTTTACGGAAAAAAATATGGGCGGGCCGTCGGTAACAAAAAAAAGCTATAATTTTCAGCTCCTTCTAGATTAGGGATATTTTTGGTATCTTCTAGAAAAACCCCGAAAAATGCCCTTCACTTCATCCCTTCTAAAAATTTCGAATTTTAACTTTTTCCTTTCAAATCTGGTAGCATTATAAAGCGCTAATCTTCCACTATTTCAAAATATAAATTTTTCCTAATTTTCTCACGTGGACGCTTTTAAAATGCGAACAGAAGATGCCCACCTTCCAGTTCATCAACACAAATCCTGGCGACGAACTCGATGACCGTGTCACAGTAGCGTTGTACATGAAGGCGGATCTGGAAATTGCATTTTTTTCAAATTTTGTACTTAATTAGTTAATTAATTAACCAGGTGATTAATTAACAAACCGGATCGGTAGTGAGAAGAATGCCTCCAATCCATTCGTAAGTGGAGTCCGCGTGAGGTTTTAAAGATCTAAAATTAAAAAAATTGTCTTTTTAATTCAGAGAAACTTCGCAGAAAACTAGTCAGGAAAAACTTTAAAAAATTGAAAATGTGAAAGAAATTTCACCCTTAATAACCAACCTACAAATCTCCCTATATGTAGTTTGATCAGGTCCGACTAGCGGGAAGGTGAACTGGACGATAAATTGTACTTCGCCTTCCAGAGGATCCGCCGTCCAATGCAGTACCTGTAAATGACGCGAAACTTGTCAAAACTGGCGCCGCCGATCAGCTGTCGGGGGTGTAGCTCAGTGGTAGAGCGCTCGCTTTGCATGCGAGAAGTCCGGGGATCAATCCCCCGTACCTCCAGATACCTTTTGCCATTTTTTAAACATGTTTCGATTGTCTTTTTCAGAGCAAACTGTTACAGGAAATCTTCTGATCACCGACAAAATGCTTCAAAAAGTCTAATATTTCTAATTTTGAACCAAAAACCGAGAAAAATAACAGATAAACTGAACTTTTTTCATTTTTTTTTTTCCATTCTCAAGATGATAAATCTTTGAGGGTTTTTTTAAAGTTTTTTTTACGTTCTAGAAACTCTCACCGGCGGTTTTGAAGTCAACGAGGCGGAATCTTCAGAAATGGTGCAATGGGCTATCCGGACAAGAGCGTCGATTTCTGACTGAAAAAAATTGAAAATTGAAAATTTTATTTGTTGAAAAAAATCATTTTCAAACTCAGAAACTCGTAAAACTTCACAAACGTTTGAAATTCTTCGAAAAAAATTCAAAAATTTGGCTCAAAAAAACAGCAAAAAAACGGTTAGTAGGGCTCGAACCTGAGACTCAATTACTCTTGTTCGAGTCTCTAACCAACTAGACCAAGATGTTACTTTTGACTTTTTCATTAAAATGATATATGCTATTATCAAAAGCTTAAGAAACCCCTAAAATAACGTTGCAAAAAGGCAAAAAATCCACTAGAGGGACCCGAACCTGGAACTAGTTTACTCCTGATCACGCCTCTAACCAACTGCGCCAAAATTCAATTTTTTTTTTTACTCAGATGTGAAAAAACAAAGCTCCTGAGAGTTGAAGAGGAATTTCGAAAGAACGCAAAAAAAGTCCACTAGTAGGACTCGAACTCGTGACCCTTTTCCTATCAGTCGCGCCTCTAACCAACTGCTCAAACGCACCTTTAAGTTGTCGTTCAATGTCAGGAGTGTATGGCTAATGGTCGGAATCGTTTTCCATTCTGATAATTGTTCCAATCGCTCCGATTTCCACTCACAATCGGGGAGTTTACTGGAAATCATCGTTTTTTTCGGGAAATTAATTAGAAACTCACTTAATTCTGTCAATCGCCTTCTGATTCAGGTCATGTGCTCTTCGGTACTCAGTCCGGACCAACTGAAATATTTTTGAGTACAGAGAAAAATGGCAAAACTCAGAAAAACGGAGAGGGATCGAACTTGTAACCTCTTGAATGTCAAATTTCACCTTTCCCTGCGGCGCTACGCCATTTTTTTTTGAAGTGGGAAACCGAATGTACATGTAGCTGTTAGGAAGAAGCTACGAAAAGCCAAAAGTTCTCCTCAAAATGGCTCAGCAAAAACGAGGAGATGAATCGAACCAGTGACCTCTTGGGCTTCGAATTGAAATTTTCCAGCTGCGCTAACCTATTTTATAGGTGGTCGAAAACCGAAGGAATAGCTGACAGAGTACATTTCAAACAAAAAAGACTCAGAATATAAGTTTAGAAGCTTGGCAAAAACGTCAAGAGGAACCGATCCCGCGACCCCGTCAGCGATGAATTAGAGCTTTCCAGCTGCGCTTCTATGTGAAGTAAATAACTCTCTGAACAGTCATCAGAGCGAGTTCCAAGCAAGAAATGATCAAAAAACGACTTCGAAAACTTGACAAAAACGTCACGAGGAACCGATCCCGCGACCCCGTCAGCGATGAATTAGAGCTTTCCAGCTGCGCTAACCATTTCTATTAAAAGTGAATACCTCTATGAATAGTCATCAGAGCGAGATCTAAGCAGAAAATGATCAAAAAACGACTTCGAAAACTTGGCAAAAAATGGGTGAGGGCTTGAACTCGTGACCCTTCGAGCTTCAGTGAACAACCTTCCAGCTGCGCTAACCTATTTCATTTGTGATCAAGAACTCTATAAACAGCTATCAGAAAAAGTTCTAAACAGAAAAGATATTCCTTGAAACCTCAAAAAAGTTTTAGAAGCCCGGCAAAAACGTCAAGAGGAACCGATCCCGTGACCCCATCAGCGACAAATTAGAGCTTTCCAGCTGCGCTTCTATGTGAAGTAAATAACTCTCTGAACAGCCGTCAGAGCAAGTTCCAAGCAAGAAATGATCAAAAAACTGTTTCCGAAGCCTGACAAAAACGAGGTGAGGGCTTGAACTCGTGACCCTTCCAGCGACACTCCAGGGACTCTAAATTCAAAAAATACCTCTTCAAAACGAGCTTCCTCCGCCTCTGTCCAATGGCGTTTAACGACGAATAATTTGATGTTTTTTTCGGCCTAAAATTTCGAATTTTGGGTACAGGATTTCATGATGAAAAAGTGAAAAAACGGTACATTTGCCAAGAAATATCGAACTGCGAAACGGAGATTCCCCTCGCCAACGTCTTCAATTCCAACTACGAGATTTCCTGAAATATAAATATTTTTTTAAAAAAAGTGGCGGGATTGAGCCAATTTTTCATAAAAAAATTCAAGAAAAAAATCAATCATTACTGTTTCAAATTTTAGTCATATACTTATGTGAACAAACGCTCAATTGATTTTTTTCAGACGATATATCGGTGGTATGAAAAAAACACCAGCGAAAATTCAAACGGCGACTTTTCCGATTTTTTCATTTCGCTAGGGAACTTTCCGACGGCCACCTTTCCGACGAAACTTTTTCCGACTTTTTTCCCTTATGCTTTTCGGTTTATAAAACATCTATAAACATTTTTTTCCTATTTCTTTGTGTTTTAATTATGAACAAACTACCTACTTTATATAGGAAGATGTAAAACGAAGAGTTTATCGAGAAAAAAAAGTCGGAAAAAGTTTCGTCGGAAAGGTGGCCGTCGGAAAGTTCCCTAGCGATATGAAAAAATCGGAAAAGTCGCCGTTGGAATTTTTGCCGGTGTTTTTTTCATACTACCGATATATCAACAATACAAGGATCTGGAAAAACGGCAAAAGGCAGCTCGCTCTGGGTGGGAGTCGAACCCGTGACCCTTTTGATGGTGTTTTTGAACAAATATGATAGGAACTACACCTCTTGGGGCACAAAATTCATGATTTTTCCGAAATTTTTTATCATTCTGCCCCTAAATCCATTAAAAACCCATGAATAATCACAAACCCGAGACGGGAGGAGGCCGATAAGTGGAGAAAACGCGCTCCGACGCTAATTGGAGGAGGCCGGCGAGGGAGTCGCGCAAAATTGTGTCGTGTGCGATCGCGAACATTTTTTGGTATAGGAATGTGACTGAAAAAATCGGAATATGGAAATTTTTAGGGAAATGAAATTTTTTTATAACATATGGATAGAAAAAAGCGAAAAGACGGAGAAAATTAAGTTGGAAAAATTCAAAAATTCAAACTTCGCCCTAGAGCGCACTTGCTAATGAGAACAGTCCTATTTTTCGATTTTTTTCCGAAAAACGACCAATAAATTTTCATTTTTTTCGGATAGAAAAAAAGCTAAGGAACTTAAAAAAATTGATTTTTTTCAGTGCTTTAAATATAAAAAAATTAAAAAAATTAAGCGTAAGAAAAAAATTTTTCTTTTTTTGGTCGAAAAATCATCTCAAAAAAATTTAGAAGCCTTAAAAAAAGTAAATTTCGCAGCGAATTGCTTTTTTTACTTATCAAAAACGATTTTTTTGCAATGAAAAATTTAAAAAAATTCTAAACTCAATGGACCAAATTCCGCCGAAAAAAATGTCTTTTTCCTCATCAAAAAGCAATTTTTTTCAATAAAAAAATCAACAAATCATTAGATGGGAATAACTAAATTAGCTTCAAAATGCACAATTTTTTTCATAAATTACGATGAAAAAAATCATAATTTATCCAAAAAAATTTCCACCTAAAAAAACTTTTAAAGAGAGAAAATTGAACTATTCGTCCACTTTTCAAGTCGAAAAACCTCCCATAAAGTGCAAAAACGTATACTTTTGCTTGCTTATGAAAAGGGGGAAAAATTATTTCCACCTGCCAATTTTTCTCCCTCTGAAAATGTCGCCAGGTGACATTAGTCAAGCGTAATAACAAATGTATAAATATCTTTTTGAGGGCAGGTGCGGCGATTTTCCCGGCTTTTCCCAGTTTTTACCTAGAAAATCACTCTGAAAGCCGATTTCTGTCATTTTTTTGAACAAGAATTCGAGATTTGAGAAGAAAAAGACTCAAAAAATCTCAGAAATCATTAAAAAAGAGTTCAATATGAAGTAAATACTTAACAAGCAAAAATATCCCTTAAGTGGTCATTCCAAAGTCTCTAGGGGTCAATTACAGCTGAAGGGACCTCTTAAGGGATTTTTCTCGTTTCCGGAAGTTATCCCAAGGCTAGTTCCATTGACTTTTTTTAAACGAAAAAAAAAACCGTTGGGGTTTAATGGTCGCATTTGGAATGGATTTTTTTAAAATAAATGGTCGCATTTGGAATGGCTTTTTTTAAATAAATGGTCGCACTTAGAATGGCTTTTTTAAAATATATGGTCGCATTTGGAATGGATTTTTTTCAGTTTTCATCTCATTTACCTCCGAAAATCGTCGAAAATCGTCCCAAAACAAAAAAATAAACGCAAAAACCCTCACAGCCACTCGAAAAAACAATTAGCCGAAAAGAAAAACGAGAAAAAAGGCAAAGATTTTCGGTTGGAAGGGAAAAAAAGACGAGAAAACGTGCGTGCGGATACAAATTTCCGCTCTGAATTGTGCTCTATTGATAAAAAAAAAGGTGAAAAGAAGGAAAAAAATGGGAACAAAGGAATTCTAATGAAAGGGATACCTTTCTCATTGTGCAAGAAAAATGTTTCTTTGAAAATCATGGATTTTTCGATCTCTGTTGAAAAAATCAACGGAAAAGGTTGAAAAAAAATGGCAAAAATAGCAAGAACGTGGCCGGGAGTCGATCCAGTGACCTCTCTAGTGATAAACTCGAGACCTTATTTTATTTTCCGAAGGAAAAACAGTTAGGATAGCTCAATTTTGAGCTCAAAAAAAAAAATCGAAAATGGCAAAAATTACAAAACCTGACCGGGAGTCGATCTAGCAACCCTTGGAGTAATAAAATACCGAAAATTCCGCATTTTCCGAAAGGAAAATCGATAAGACAGCTCAGTTTTTCAGCTCAAAAACGAAATAGTAAAACGGCAAAAATTACAAAACCTGGCCGGGAGTCGATCCAGCGACCGTTTGAGCGATAAAATACAGAGAATTCCTATTTTCTGAAGGAAAAACCAATAGAAAAGCTCAATTTTCAAGCTGAGGGAAAGATCAAAGAATGGCAAAAATCACAAAACCTGGCCGGGAGTCGAACCAACAACCCTTGGAGTAATAAAATACAACGCTTTTCCTCCAACTTGTTAACAGGAGAAACGAAAGGAAAGCTTCATTACAAAATGGCAAAAAAATCAATAAAGCCTAGACAGGAGTCGAACCAGCGACCTTTTGACTGATAAGAATTGGAGGAATTTCAAAGATTTTACACCGGAAAAAACCAACTAAAAAGCTCAAAAAATGGCAAAAAACGAGAAACTTGGCTAGGGATCGATCCAGCGACCTTTTGACTGATAAAATAATCGATTTTTCAGACTTAACTGCATTAAAAATGAAATCAAATCCGAGAAAAACGTACTTAATTCTCGTGAGGGTTCAAAAAACCATGGGAAACTTCTCAAGGAATGGAAAAAGAGCATTTTGGGAGAGCTCGAAAAGTGGGCGTGGCCTGGAGCAAACATCCGCGTCTAGGGCTCTTTTTTGCTCAGTTCGGAGCAAGAGGAGGAGGATATGGGAAAAAGGCTCATTTTAAATTTTTGCACTCGGGTTTACGATGCAGTTAATCTTTTTTTGGAACCGTTTGAAAAAATCGCATTTTTTAAATTTTCGTAGGGGATTGAACCAGGAACCTTTCTAGCCATAGCTTGGGACCTAACCGACTGAGCCAACAAAAATCTTTTAAATTATAAGATTTATATCAGAAAAAGTGGGGCTTTCCATCCTAGAAACAGATTTTTCCCTCTGAAAAGCTCTCAGATAAATTAAAAAAATAATGAGAAATGCCACTCTCGGTTGATAATTATTGCACGTGGAGGTTGGAAAAAAAAATTACGGGTTATTTTTGGAAAAAGTATGGAAAATGGAGGGGAATTATGAAATGGATAGGAAGGCCCCTAAAACGGAAAAAAAAAATTTTCAATGCCTAGTTTAGGTACCCTAAAAGGTCACTGGATCGGTTCCTGACCAGGTTTTTGCAGTTTTTGCCATTTTCCGAGTTCGAAATTTGCCCTTTCTTTACTTTTTTATGATGGAAAATAGGTAAAGCGTGTTTATTCTATCACTCAAAGGGTCACTGGATCGATTCCCGGCTAAGTTTTTGCCGTTTTTGCCCTTTTTCGACTTCAAAAATTGACTTTCCTCTCAGTTTTTTTAGATGGAAAGTAGGAAGTCGTTTTTTTCTATCACTCAAAGGGTCACTGGATCGATCTCACTCCAGGTTTTTTCATTTTTGCCATTTTTTAAACACAAAAATTGACCTCCCTTTCAGTTTTTTTTCGATAGAAAATAGGAAATCGTTCTCCTCCATCACTCAAAAGGTCACTGGATCGACTCCCCGCCAGTTTTTTACATTTTTGCCATTTTTTGAATTTAAAAATTCACCTTCCTCTCATGTTTTTCAATAGACAATAGGAAAAAAGGGTTTATTCTATCACTCGAAAGGTCACTGGATCGGTTCCCGGTCAGGCTTTTTCCTTTTTGCCATTTTTTAAACACAAAATTGACCTTCCTCTCCTGTTTTTCAATAGAGAATAGGAAAAAGGGGTTATTTTATCACTCGGAAGGTCACTGGATCGACCCCCAGCCATGTTTTTACATTTTTGCCATTTTTTAAAGTTAAAATTTGGCATTTTTTTTTTTTTTGCGACAGAATCAGGAAAAAGCGTCCTTATTTTATCACTCGGAAGGTCACTGGATCGATTCCCCGCCAGGTTTTCCCATTTTTGCAATTCTCAAAAAGATCAAAATCAAGTTTTTCTGCTGGCTTTCAAGCACTATATTTTCAGGATAAGGTTGAAAGATGAAACTTTTTGGGGAAGAAAAAAACAAAAATGGGTTGTGGAGAAAGGCGCGCAGCGAGGAATGATTGATGGAAGTCGTCAAGCGGGTTTTCAACATATTTTCCCAATTTTTTTTTCCTTTCTGGGAAGAAAAATCGGACAGAACAACAGGTTGAATGATGACTTTTCATTCTCAATACCGAAAATATTATTTTTTTGATTGAATTTAAATCCAGACATAGATATACCATTCGTAAATGACCAAAACATTGAAAAATAAGTTTTTGAAACTTATTATATATAGTTTTCGAAACCGCAAGTCAAGTTAAAAAGTAAATTCTGGATAACAGAAAAAGTTTATATCGTATTGAAATATTGGTAAAGCCCGACGGTTTAAATTTTCAATCAAACGATAAAAAGCAAAAAAAGCAAAACTTGACTGGGAGTCGATCCAGCGACCTCTCGAGCGATGGAATGAACTTTTTCGTATTCTTCGTAGCCCATCGGGGGGCGAAAATCGGTCCGAAACGGCTTTTTTTTGCGGAAAATGAACGATTAAATAAATTTTAGAAAGCAGGTATTAAAAAAACCCTTGAGTGAGCACTTTATATAAAAAGATCTCCCTTAAAGGGTCACTCAAAACTTTCCGGTCAAAATTACCGATGAAGTGATCTCTTAAGGGTTCTTTTTCCCACTTCAAAAACGAAGATAAGTAATGAAAATTCAGGATTTTTCCAATAAATTCCTTCTCAAGAGTTTGAGAGTGGTCCCTATAGGGGCTAGGAAGAAAAACAGCCCCTATAGGGACCGTAAAAGTGGTCCTTATAAGGGTCGTTCAATTTCATCAAAAAAAGTTATTTTTTAGTTTTTCGCATGAAAATTTCTTCGCCTAGAGTTCAAAACAATTATTTACTAGAATCTCCCCTATAGAAGCCCCTATAGGGGTTAGTAAACGGCCTCTAGTGTTGCCCCTATAGCGACCACTCTGATGTTCCTAAGTTGAGTGGTTCCTCCGAAATTATTAAAAGAACAAAGTGAAAGTATTCACCGTAAAACTCTGGTTACATAAATTCGCCCAAAAGTCTGAAAAAGGGATCTCTTAAGGGCAAATTTCAGAGGGGTTCTAAAGGGGCCGCTTGAGAGTTCCCAAGTGAACACTTGAGGGGAAAGGCCGAGAAAAAATGTTAGAAACTTGGAATGATCAAGACTCTATAAAAACCAATTTTTTCGGACTGAAAGCCCAAGAAATGGTGTTTTTTGGAATCTCAACTTCAGCGGAGAATAAATGAGTATTGAAAAAGGGGGTCCTCCAAACGGAAGGCAAAGCGATATCCCTGCACGTGGAGCACGCGAGAAGTGCTCCAAAAAGAGCTCAAAACGGAGACGAAGAAAAAAAAACCCCTCAGGCCTCTCCGTTTTCCTCATCAACCAGATATTCCTCTTTTATTCGAAATTTCGGTTCGAGAAACCTGAGAAATTATAAAAAATGGCTTGGAAAAAGTTTCAAAAAAGCTTCAAAAAGGCTTGGAAAGGGCTTGATAAAGTGCCGATTTGTTCAGTAATCAGATAATTTACTGTTTATTGAACATTTCGATTTGAAAACTGAAAAACTGGTCCCAAAATGATGAAAAAAGGCTCAAAATACTCGCAGAATACTTTGAAAAAAGCTGCAAAAAGGCTTGCAAACAGCTTCGAAACAGATTTTTTTTTTTTAGCAAACTTGGGCTGAAAATTAAGAGAAATGGCAATAAAATGATGAAAATGGCTCAAAGTAGCTGCAAAAACGCTCCAAAAAGGTGGCAAAACGGCTTCAAAATAGCTCGAAAAGGCTCAAAATTATCGTCATATTTGTGGCTTTTTTTGATTTTTCTCTATTTTAAGTGATATAACAACTTGATCAAACTGTAGATTTGAAAAAACTATAGAATATGATCAAAAAGACCTCAAAAACGGCTCAAAACACCTGCAAAAAGGGTCAGAAAAAATAGCCGCGGTTCATCGAAACATTTGCGCTCTACGGATAACATTAGGAAACATATCCTCTCAACATATAGTCCATCAGCTTGCAAGCTGAAACCAATTGAAAGTAGATTCTAGCGGTCATTAAAGTGACAGAAAGGAAATTTGGGAACGCAGCGGTTTTGTGTGGAACTTGTGCGCTCTATGTAGAATTTTTTTTTTTGAACAATTAGAGAAAAGACCCCAAAAACGGCTCAAAAAGGCTGCAAAAAGGGTGAGAAAAAATGGCTGTGAGCGGTTGGAGCATTTGCGCTCTATGGATAACATTGGTAAAAATATAATATTTGCGATATAGTACATAGAGTCCATTAACTTGGAAGCTAAAATTAATTGAAAGCCGGTTCTAGTGGTCATTTAAGGGACGGCAAGCAAATGTGGAAACGGAGCGGTTTTGTGTGGAACTTGTGCGCTCTAGGGAACTTTTTTTTTCCAAGAAAATTTAAAGCTTTTGCTACAATCTCGTTGTTAATAAAGCTTGGAAGTGATGAAAAACTAGCTCCTAGAAGCCCCTTAAGGGCCTACTTGATCATTTGAACACTTTTCAAAAATGTCATCAGAACCATCGACTACATGATAATTTAATGCAAAACCTCTACAAAGACGTATTTCGAGGATTATTTTGACCTATTTCCCCAAATATGGAACGGAATATTCATAAAACATGAAAAAGTTGAATTTTTTTCGAGAAAGAGACATCATTTTGAAAAACGATATAAAAGCCAAAAAAATGTCCTTACTATGCAAAGCTACCACAACAAAGTACGTCCATAAAATGCGAACATTAAAAAAAAACTTTTTGATAAAAACCCATCTTCCCAAACTCTTTTCAATAAAACCCGTCGTTAAAAAAGTTAACCCAAGCCTCAAAAATCGGAGTAAACAGCCAAAATCATCCGAGTTACCACAAAAAACGACGTTTTTAAAATGCGAACAGTTCAACTTTTTTTCAAAATTCATCTTTTTTCGAGACTTTTCCAATGACTGACCATCATTGGGAACTCTCAATTGAGCCAAAAAAAAAATTCATTGGAAGTAAAACGGTTTTTAAAAAAAAGCTGCTACTACATAGTACGTCTGTAAAGTACGAACACTTCAAAAATTTTTTTTGAAAAAAACTTTTTTTGGATTTTTTTAAATTTTTTTAATGATAGAATGATTATTAGAAACTTTCTGACGAATCAAAAAAATTCAATTGAAAACTGAAAAACGTCTCAAAAAAGCGCCTACTACAAAAAACGTTTGTAAAGTGCAGACACTTTGAAAATATTTCCAAAAAGCCTATTTTTCAGAGCTTTTCCATTGAAAGTCTCCATTAAAAAAACCTCAATTTAAGATCCAAAAAACCATTTTTTAAAGACAAAAAGTGTCCGCATTTTACAGAAATCTCGCTGAACTACTACAGAGAACGTCTGTAAAGTGTAACCACTTTTAAAAAAATTTAAAAAAAGAAAAGTTATTTTTTTCGAGTTTTTTTCATTAAAAAAATCTTCATTGAAAAAAACCTGTTCCCAAAAATTTTTTTAAAAGGCGAGAAGTGTCCGCATTTTTACAGACATCTCACTGGACTACTACAGAGTATATATGTAAAGTGCAACCACTTTCAAAAATTTCCAAAAAAGTCCATTTTACAAAGCTTTCCTTGTTGAAAATATTCATTAAGAACCTCATTCAAAAATCCAAAAAAATTACTTTTTTTGAGGCAAAAAAGTGTCCGTAGTTTACAAAGCACTCACAAACCTACTACAAAGTACGTCAATAAAGTGCGTACACTTTGGAATCCTATGGAGAGCTCATTAATGGGCGCCACAGCTGTGTGTGTGGTTGGATTGCATTCATTGGCGTCCTGGGAAATAAATCGCCGCCCTTCCTTCATTTGCTGGGAATTCTCAGAGTAAAAAAACCAATTTTAGATGATTTTTTTGAAAAAAATTCTAATTTGCAGCTCCCAAAATTTGAGCAACATAAAATTTGCAGCTCCCAAAATTTAAGTTACATGAAATTTGTAGCTCTCAAAATTTGAGCAACACAAAATTGCAGCTCTCAAAACTTGAGTAATGCAAAATTTGCAGCTCTCAAAATCTAAGCAATGCGAAATTTGAGCAATACAAAAATTGCAGCTCTCAAAATTTGAGCAGTACCAAATTTGCAGCTCCCAAAATTTGAGGAACATGAAATTTGCAGCCCCCAAAATTTAAGCAATGCGAAATTTGCAGCTCCCAAAATTTGACCATTACGAACTTTGCAGCTCCCAAAATTTGGCAAATATCAAATTTGCAGCCGCCAAAAATTTATCGAAACATTTTTATAATCTGAGAACTTATCTTATCTCTTCGATACAAAAACTTTAATTTTCAGTCTCCTTCCAAAAATTAAAAAATCATTTTTTCGAACGGAACTCTACGAATTACAAAACTCCCTTAAGAAAAAAAAGTGTCCGAATTTTCCAGAAAAAGGGAAAAAGTCCTCTAGTCAAGTAAGTCAGTTGAGTTAGGCAGTAAGTGAGAGGAGGGCCGTTGGGGGGGGCGAAAAAGAGAGGAAACGCGATTGTTCCACTTAAGACCCGATTAGGGAGAGAAGGTGGGCGGAGCCTCGGGGCTGGTCGGCTCGCCGGAAAATTGCCCAAATTATATTATGTCCTTGCATTGATATGTAGATGCAAACTAATGAACTTTTAGGTTGAAAAGTGGATTGTTGAGAAAAAAATAGCCGCGTGAGTTCGGTGGGGCGCATTTGATTAAGAAATATTTTGGTGAAAGTCCCAAAGAGAATAATGACCTAAGTAAAAAAACCATATTTTTCATTAATAGAACTATCTTCAGAATCTTTGAAAATCCCGTTTTCGAGGTGAGAAAAAAAAGCCGCGAAATTATCCGTGGAGCAAATTTTCTCATAAATCGAAGGAAAAATTGCTTTTCGAGGTGGAAAAAATAGTTGCAGAGTTGGAGCTTATCCAATTTTCATTGCAAATGTATGTGAAAAAAAAATAGCCGTGAAGAGTTCGATGGAGCAAATTTGTGTCAGAAAAATTTACAAGAGTCTTTTTATTCAAATTCGAAGCCGTTTCATTATAGGATATATCAAGAAATACAACAACACTCAAATTTCCGATTAAAATGCGCTCCACCGCACACTCGCGGCCATTATTTCCCATGCCTAAAAATTTTCAAATGGATCATTTTCTAGGCTTTTTGAAGTCGAGAAAAGTTCCAAAATAACCCGATTTTCGAGGCGAATAAAAACACGCGGCTTTTCAAGGAGTTTTCAATCCGCCTCGGCTTTTTTTCACTCAGAAATTGCTTTCTAAAATTAGGTTTTGAGGGTCGTCGTCTGAATGTCAGGAGTTCGACGACGACGACGTAAATTTGATGGACGTCTCGAGAAAACATTTGGGAAAAAAACGAGTGAAATTCCTGACTAGGAAACGTTTTTTTTCAGCAGTTTTATCGCCAGAGAAGCCAAATTTTTTTCCATTTTTTTCGTTTTTTTGGGCTGTTCTAAAAAAATTTCCATTTATGGAACAAAAGATAGTGAAAAATGAGATTGAGAAGCTTTTTTTTTGAAAAAAGTTTTTCAACTGACCTGTGCAAAAAAAGCGCCGCATCGTTTCCGTTGGAGCGCACTTACCTCTGTAATTTCGGAAATTATTTTTTTCAGGGATCTTCCGAGCATCTTCAAAGAAATTTTTTTGAAAAAAAGCTTCCAAAAAAATCTTTCAAAAAGAAAAAAATGGTTTTTTTCGAAAAAAATTTGAAACTGTTTCACAATTTTTTTAACATTAAGATGCCATTCTAGAACCTCGAATTTTGGACAATCGCAAAAAATTCTGTTAAAAAAATAAACTTTCGCCTTGAAAAGCCTCCAACACAATAGATTCACTGCTAAAAAACCAAGCTACTCCAAAAAATCCAAAAAAAAAATTTGAAAATTCATTCTCGCATTAAATATCAACTCCAAGTTCAACAACAAAGTGCCAACAATAAAAATCAACAAAGGTGCCTAAAAATGATTATTTCATGACGTCTCCATACTTTCAGCACTTTCCTGAGTCGCCGTTTTCGTTTCTCGGATCGATTTTACCTGAAATTATTCAATTAATTGAGAAATTCAGGTATATTTTACCATTTGATGAGCTTTTTTGGTGGCTTTCAACAGCCGTTCATACTGGAGCATGTTGAGTTGGACCTGAAGGAAAAATTTTGGAATGAAAGAAAATTTTTTACGTGTTAGTAAGGTTAACCCTAAACGCTTGATAGTTGAGTTTTTTTCTCCAAAAAAATAAATCATCCAGATTGAAAAAAATCATCTTTTTTTCGAGATTTTCTGGTGCTTCAAATCTAAATTCTATCACTTTTTGAAACTTTCCCGCATTTGATCTTCAGAAAGTTTTTTCCGAGTAGTTTTTTTCATGCTCATTATTATTTATTTTAACTTTCCAAACTCAATAAAAATTCATTAAAAAGTTTCGAAATGAGCGTAAATATTCTTGATAATCGTTTTTTTAGGAAAAACATGCCCTAATGATAACTCTTGCTACGGTAATTTTTTGTCGTTTGTAACCTCGAAAACAGGCAAAACGTAATGCTGAGCTTCCTGGTCCGAGCTTTTGACCTCTCTTTTTGAAAAAAGCCTGCGGGCTCAGGCCGGGCCAGCCCTCGAATAAAATTCATTCTACTCCAAAATTTTCATTGCCCCAATTTTTTTTTACTTCTCAAATCCGTTTCTGTTGAATACCAAGTGAAAAAAAAAACCAAAATCATGATTTTTGTCATAGAAAAGCCTGTCATTCGAACTGAAGAGAGTTTGAACTCTTTGTGTTGCGCATTTTTGCTTGAGGTCTCCCTAAGGCAGTTCCGGGCGCCAATAAACTGACGGGCTGGCCCTCGCACAAGGCTGCTTGAGAACCCATTAAAAATTCACTGAAAAGTTTCAGACAGGAAAATTTTATCTAGTTAATTTTGCTCCAAGGCCAATTTGCCTCTCCCAAACCACAACCGAGACATTTTCTTGAGCTAAGTTCGCTCCAAGGCCAATTTGCCTCTCCCAAACCTCAACAGGCGGTTTTTTCACAGCGTCCTCCTGTGACGTCTCCATCGGCTCGTCGTCCTTTGCAGAGTCTTCCGACTCCCCAACTTCTGCACTGGATAGAGGCATCGAATGAACTTCTCCATTTTCGGTCCCCCGGCATTCCGCTTGGAGAAGAACCGCTTTCGGGTGGCCTGAACTTATTAAAATCATTCAATAATTAGTTTTCAAGGCTTGGAAAATCTTAAAAAAAGGTAAAATTGTGAGAAAATTTGCTATGGAGCGAATATTACCGTTGAAAAAGGCTGATGGGCTTTTAGTTCATTTTTTCAAGTTCTAGGAGCTCTAAAAATGGTGAGAAACGAGTTCAATAGCGGATAGCAAAAAAACTCTGGTCTTCTGAAAATCAAAAACCTGAGATCAAGTTCCTGGCGTTGGCATTGGTGACGCCCCAGAGAAAGGCCAGATTCATGACGTCGACCGGCGCGCGGAGGTCGATCATCTGGCGGGCGCCGCTCGACATGAGCACGCCACGCGACCGCATCGCACGCAACAGAACTCGCCCATTGAACAGGGACTGCAAATCTTCGTTCCGATTCATTCAGATTTTAACGTTAAGATTCAGAACCCCTGGCTACAGTACATAGTCTGTTCAGATTTTGAATGTCAAGTCGTCTCTCAAGCTCCGCCCCCTAATGGCGCGATAAACCAATCAGAGAGCGAGCCATCCACAGAGTGTTTTTGAATGACGTTATTGCACTTGACATTCAGACTATGGCCAATTCTCGTCTAAATTAGGAAGCGAAGGGGCGTGGCCTGTCTGCGCTCTCCCCCAATCAGGCACTACCTCCTTTCTAATCGTGTCAGGACCCATTTTTCGATGGCTCAAACCAGTCGTGATTTTCGTTCCGATTATTTATAGAGCTACATTTTGTTGATATTTTTCGATCTCAAACCCAGAAAAAATTCAAAAAATGTATCGCCATTAAAGGATCATAGTAAGGATGAAAAATCGACGCGAAAGATACAGTAGCCCTTGAGGGCGGAGTTAGCTACTTGAATATCGAAATCTGAACAGATTTTATAGCCTATTCCACGCAATTCACATTTTATTTTCGGTCAGAATTACTTTTTTTTTGTAATACGTGACGAGATTTCCAACAAACTTCATATGGCCAAGTTACGCGAGAAAAAAAGTCAGATTTTTTTAAATAAAAAAATTCGAATTTTAAGAGTCACCTCGAAGGTAAAAACCAACCATTTTAGGTATGAGAACATAGAAAAAAACGGTATTATCTCAAATTTGAAAGCCTTAAAACAACAAAAAAAACACCAACGATTTGCCGTGTATTCCTGTCGGATAACGCTTCGGCGTAGTTCAACTCGTAGAAAATCCCTTCGCCTCGGATTCTTTCTAATATTTTCGTACCCGAGAGCCATCGTGTCTGCAAAAAAATTGATTCGACTTTTTTAAAAAACCAAAATTCAATTTTCTTCTACGTGAGAAAGTCCGAAAAAAACGGGAACTTTTTTCCCGTGTTAAACTTTTTTTTTCCTATTTATTGCTTTTTCCAGTTTTAAACCTGGATTTTCACCTGAATTTACTTCTCTGTCCAAATTTGGAAAGACCTTTTTCCTTTATATAGAGTAGAGGCCAAAAATGACTGCTCGAAAAAAAAATTTAAAAAAAAACGATCATATTCAAATTTTGTATGATGGATTCGAATAAGCATCTTGAAACATCAAAATCCAATTTTTAAACCTGGAAATGATATTTCGAACAAGGAAATAAAACTCGAAAAGGTTTTCACAATTGAATTGAGTTATATCATGCGAAAATTTTCTGAATAAAAATATTTTCGCGATGTCATTTTCAAGCGAAAAATTTGAGTTAGGAGTGAAATTTTCAACTTTTTCGTTCGAAATTCATGAAAAAAACCTACTTTCACAAAAAATTGTATTCTCACCAATCATTCTATAAATGAAACCTGTTCATTGGCCTGCACAGTAATAATATCGAAATGTTCAACTTTTCTCGACAAAGTTTCGATAACCGAGTCGTTTCCCGGCCGAACCGCCACCAAATCAAAATCCTGAACAAATAAAAAGTATTTTTTTAAAAAAATCTCAAAACTCACTAAAATCCTAGGATGATTAAAAGTCTTGTTGAGAACAACCTGGGCATTAGCCGTGAACGTTATTCGACTGGAAAAAATTTTCAATTTTGAAAAATAATCATTTTCGAGAAAATAAAAACCTGAACTGCCTAAAAACTTTGCCTCTTTTTTTCAGGTCGTTCAAATCCAATTTGCTCTGATCCACGTAAAACGGCTTTGGTAATTGTTTCTTGATCTGGAAAATATAAAATTTCATAAAATGATCGATTTAAGAATTATGGAACCCCTAAATTTTCCGATCCTCCTTTTTTCTTCTTTTTCTTCGGCGGCTCTTCACTGGCTTCCAATTGAACATCGGCTCCGGGCTGAAAAAAACGTCTTTAAATATTTTATCCTCTTATTTAATATTAAAAAAACCACAAAAAAATAAAACAATAACTTCGGTTTGGTACTCGGCAATGTCCCCGATATCAATATTTATCGCCACCGCATCGTATCCCATCCTAATCGCCCGACGAACCATTGAAATTGTACTAAAATAAAAAAAATTAGCAATTCACAAAGGAATAATAAACTTTTCAATATTTCCAGTGTGAACAATGTTCAAATCGGCGTATTGAAACGTGCTTTCCGGCGCCAATGGCGTAAACTCCAAAGGTTTCAGTTTTAATCGCGCCCTCGCCGTACTTGTGGCCGGTTCTGACATCCCTAAACAACGAAATAGCTTTGTACTCGAGAAAGAAGAAAGAAAAATGAAAAAAAGGAGAGATCGCGTAAATTTTTGAAATTGGCGGTGTTTGCGGTCGGCACGAGAAAACGCACAACGGGCGGGGAAAAAATGAAAAACTGTTTTCCAAAACTGAAAGTTGTGTTTGGAGGAACTGAGATTTCATGAATATTACTCAAAAACTTTGATGATTTAATAACGCTTCATACTGAATATTTATTGAAGGACGTCATTATAATTTTTCTCTTGAAAAAGTTAATAATTCATTTTTTTGCATATTAGACTTATTAGTATCCATCCAGAAGATATATTGTTGAGCTTTTTGAATCTAGAATGCTTCAATAATTTTTCAAACGAAAAAAATGACGTAGTAGTGATTGAAGTCTCGCCGTTTTCGGATTTTCAAACATCACCTGCTTTTTTTCCAGATAACCTTTCTTTTCAGATTTCCATTGGGTATGTTTCAACTAGCTCATTTTTTTGCCTAATTATTTTCCAAAATGCATTCATCGACTTTATACGGAAGATGTGGAACATTCATCGACCGTTCTTTTTATTTCACTTTATTGGACATTTTCGGTATAAGCTGTTTTCCATTATCCTTCTTGTGCGCTTATTGCATTATAAAAAAGTCGACTCCAGCCATGAAAACCTACAAATGGTCGTTATTGATGTATCTTGGATGGTATGCAATCTCTCACAATTCAGAAAAAAAAAACGCAAGCAAACATATAAAAAAACTTCAAAAAAAATTTTTTCATTTTCCTCAGACTTTTGCGAGACGTATTTGATTTTTTTATAAGTTGATCTCAGAAGCTTCAAAAATATTAAAAAGACTTTAATATAGCTTTTCCAGTCGTTCATTAGGTGAAAACACATATCTTGATTCATGTCGAGCTGTGCTGAATAAGCTATAGTTTGAACAAACGGCGAACAAATTGAAATAAAGAGCGGAAGAGGAAAAATAAAACGTAGAAAAAAAAAAAAAAAAACTTAACGAAGATTCAACTTATCGGGTACGTGGTGGTGACGACGTAAAGATGCACCATCACGAGCGTAAAAAAATTAAAAAAACTTTTGATTATCATATATATTTTCACGTCTATTCAATCTTATCAGTTTTTTTCATGAATTCAGTGTATTTGAAAAACAAAAAAAGCCTGAATTTTTATTTCTCAATTAAAAAAATATCAGGTCAACACTGTTCTGTACCTTTTTCTCCGTCGGCACTCATCCAGTATTTTTTTCATTCCTTACCTTGGAGGATATGCCGCAGGTCTTCTTACAAAAAGTCGGTTGGAGCACAAAAGCTTTGGCCACAACCGGCGCCGGATTTGTCCACTGTTAGATTGTCTTTTATAAATACAATGAATTTAATTTTAACATTTCTAGGCCTTTTGGCATCCGTGATGAGCACATTTGAGCACCAACATCAAAATTTTCTGCCGCCGAGGCATTTTCTCAAATTAACAAAGAGTCAAAGGATCATCGTACACGTTTTCGTATACTTCTTCCACTTGATGGAATTTTATTGGGCCACGCTTTTTGAGCCGGAACAGGATGCGGCTAGACTTCATATTGCAGAGGTTAGTTTATTTCATTTCCTAGGGGTTTTGAATAGAACAGAAAACATCTTAGCTTTTTAGAAACATGTGGAATAAAATATCAGCAGCACTTTGCACTTCCTTTCAAAAATTCATGACGAAAAAACATTAGCACTTGAATTGAAACCTAAAAAAAGTTTATTTAAGGGGGATCTCTCATATTTTCAACTCCAAAACAAGATTTTCATAATTCTCAGTTCAATTTTAGGCTTGGCCAGACGTTCCTTGTGACTTCTGGACACCTGAATTTTACTACCTGACCGATTATTCCTTCGGTCCGGCTCATATCTATTTTATGTTCGTTGTTTCATTTCCAATCATCATTTCAACCAATTTGGTCATTCATTCCTTCAAGTTGGTCGGTTTTGCCAACGTTTCTCTGTCTGAAGCAAGGAAAAGAGTCCGGCGGAGATATCTTTGGCAGCTGATTTGCATGGTGAGTGCAAATATGATAACTTGAAAGTTTTGTGTTAGGCTGAGATTAAGGAATAGACTTTTTTTTGAATACTGGAAAAACTAGTTTAAAAAAAGTTTTTTTGAACACTGGAAAACTAAAAAATAAGGTTCGAATATCAATTTGCAGCTCCCAAAAAGTTGAGCAGACCAAAATGCAGCTCCCAAAAAATTAAGCAGAACAAAATGCAGCTCCCAAAAAGTTAAGCAGACCAAAATGCAGCTCCCAAAAAGTTGAGCGGACCAAAATGCAGCTCCCAAAAAATTAAGCAGACCAAAATACAGATCCAAAAAAATATTAAGCAGACCAAAATGCAGCTCCCAAAAAATTAAGCAGACCAAAATGCAGCTACCAAAAAATTGAGCAAACCAAAATGCAGCTCCCAAAAAATTAAGCAGACCAAAATACAGCTCCCAAAAAATCAAGCATACCAAAATGCAGCTCCCAAAAAATTAAGCAGACCAAAATGCAGCTACCAAAAAATTGAGCAAACCAAAATGCAGCTCCCAAAAAATTAAGCAGACCAAAATGCAGCTCCCAAAAAATCAAGCATATCAAAATGCAGCTCCCAAAAAAATTAAGCATACCAAAATGCAGCTCCCAAAAAAATAAGCAGACCAAAATGCAGCTCCCAAAAAATTGAGCAAACCAAAATGCAGCTCCCAAAAAGTTAAGCATTCCGAATCCTCGACTAACCAAGAAAACAATTTGAAAAAATTTTTCTCCAAAGCTGTAGATTTTCGCATTAGCATCTTCAAATTTCTAGAGTGCATGTTTATAAACCCTGAAGAAAGCTTTATAAAAAATGTTTTCGCAGATTTTCTTCCCATTCCTACTGATACTCATGCCGATCATGATTTTCCTAGTTCTATATACAATTTTATCAGAAAGGAGTCATAGTAAGTCCTTGCCTGAAAAAATTACATTTAATTTCGAATTTTCAGGAATTTTCACTTGTTTCGTGATCGTCGCGGCCCACGGACCTTGTACAGCCTTATTATTGATGTTCGCTCATCGGCCTTATCGGGGATTTCTTCTCAGTTTCGTCCGATGCAGACCTCAACAATGTAAAAAAATATAATTTGTTTCATATTCCGGACTTTGAAACCCGGCATATAAAATGAAAGGAAACATATTTTCAGCACAAGTTTGGGCGAGGTCCTCAAGAAATTTGCCACAAATTTCACAAGTTTCAACTCGCTCAATTCATATCACTTGACTAAATATAATAAACTTTTTTTATAAAATGACATTGGTTTTTCTATTTAAAAAAGAATGAAAATTGGAAAATTAAATTGATTCAAAAAAAGTCAGAATTATGCTAGACCTACTTAGGAGTTTTAGAGTGGTCCCTATAGGGGTTACGGGGGAAACAACCTCTATGGGCGTCGAAAAAAAGGTTCCCTATAGGGGTTTAGGGTCTGACGCCTTAGCCCAGAAGCTCAAGTGGGTCTCTCAATTTTATTTTTTAAAAAACCCTTTTTTATTACAGGGTGACAAATAAATATTCAAACGCGTTTGAAACGTTATAACTTTCTCAAAAGTCAACCAAACACCACCAAACTTGGAACAAATTTTATTCATACAATATAGGAACAAAATTCAAGAACAGTTTTCGAAACGTCCTCCTTTAGCTTTGATAACGGCCTTCAGTCTCTTCGGATACGCATCGATCACGGCACGAAGGTTGTCGTCGTCGATTTCGTCCCATTTCTTGATGAGCGCGGTCTTCAGAGCTTTGATACTTGGGTAGTTCTTAGAAGAGACCTTCTCGGTCAAATATCCCCACACGGCATAGTCCATCGGGTTGAGGTCGGGCGAGGAAGCAGGCCAATCAGCAGCCGAGATGAACTTGGAAAATTGGCGCGATACCACTCTTGAGTCCCTTTGGCCCGATGAGCGGGGGCGCCGTCTTGCTGGAAGGTCCATGGTCGGTTTCCGTAGTGAGAATTGGCTCAGGGCAACACCCTCAACTTTAAAATCTACTCCCTGTAGTAACTTGGTTCACTTTGACTCCAGAATCCACAAAGATCAGCGGAGTTTTGTCGTCAGCGGTAACAGGCACTCTGATGGTTAGTAGCGATGATCGGATGGTTTTGGCCGTTCTTGTTCGCCTCCACAGTGAAGATTTTCTCGTCGGTAAATAGCGTCGTCAGATGCAAGCCATCTTTCGTGCCAGCGAGCAGCTTTCGAGCCTTTTTCATCCGGAATGTCTTGTTTTTTTGATTGAGGAAGGCTCCTTTCTGCATACGGTAGGGAATCATCTTCAGCTTGTCCTTGACAATAGTTCTCATCGATCCTTGACTCATTTCGTATTCTTTTGCCATCTTTCTCATGCTTCTTTCCGGAGTGCGTCTGATTTTCTCTCGAACGGCTTTGACTGCTTCTGGAGTCGTGACGGTGACTGGACGTGCCCTTCTTTGCATGTCATCTGAAGTACCGAGATGCCGATAGCGTTGTGCAGTTCGAAAAACGAGAACACGAGACACTTTCAGCTTTTTAACGATCTCTGAACTTGTCATTCAGCTTTTGACACAATGAATGATTGCGGTAGGGTACGGAGATGGGGCCACCATTACCTGAAAACTGAAAAGTATGAGCTGTAACTTTAAACACATGATAAGTGAGCATGAATGAACGAAATAAACAAAAAAATTCAAAGGCCAGTCCGTTGTGCAAAAAGCAGCGATCAAACAAAAAACGGTTTGGATATTTATTTGTCACCCTGTACTTTTTCTAATGGAAATACATCTCCGCTTAGAGTTTATGATAATTACCCACTAGCTCGTCCCTTGTAGGGGTCCCTAACTGAAACCAAAATAGGGACCGCTTTTGCAGTATTTAAAATTTAATTAACCTACTATTTTTCACCACTTCCACTGTTTTTCCCTTTCTCAAAGTTCACAACTTATAGTTAATTTGTTTCTGAAGCAAAGAAAGATAATTACAAGGTTCGCAAGAATTACATGTTACCTACAAGCTTGAGCAAAGTAAAAAATGCAGCTTTTCTCCCAGAAACTTTGTTTTTTTTCCATGAAAAGTGATTATTTCTTTTCGAAACAATGATTTTCTGTCCGCTCTTGGCCAGTATTGATTTTTTGATAATTATATAGTAAGTCAATAATTTCCTTATTATCTTTTTATCATGAGAAGGATTATGTTAAAAGAGACTTTCAAAAAAAAAAAGTTTTCCTCTGATTGCGTTTGTTCCACCTGCGTCAAATCGTGCTTTTTTCGAAACTCTCAAGTTTCTAGGTTCCTATTTTTTTTGGAAACTTCAATTCAATAAGCGTTATTTTCGTCACTTTCATGAATTCAGGTTAGAGTTTTATGACAAAAATCTTTGGCCGATGCGGCGGCTTCCCGGATCGATCCTTGTATTTCAACTTAATGACTATGTTTGGTTGGATTTGTATGCCATTATCGACTATTTGTGCCTACTGTATAATCAAAAAGTCGCCTCCCGCAATGAAAATGTATCGATTGTCGCTGCTCAACATTCTATTTTGGTTCGTTGGATTTGGTCCTGAATTTAGGAATTTCTGGCTTCTCTGCGCTCTCCACTTTTACTTGCTATTTCCATTTTTTTAAGACTTGACTGATGAAAAAAAGAGAGTGCAGACATGTCAGACTGTTGGCTGAGAGGGATGCACAGTTTGAAATGAAGAAAATGAATCGTTTTTTTATTATTTTCGTTTGAGATTTGAAGGATTTTCAGTAAAATGAAGATTTTTTTCGAGACATTTTTTTCAGCAAATTTCAAGTTTTTGCCAACTTTCTATAGAATTTTCTCAAGATTTCAGCTGAATTCCAGTCAAAAAAATAATGAACCATGAAAAATACAGCGTCGATATATTTTCTTTCCCCCAGGGCTACAACATTCTGTCTAATGATGGCTTTCGGAGCCCGTCCGGTCTTTTTTCTACCATATCTTGGCGGTTTTGCGACTGGACTTTTGCGCTCTATGGGACTCTCGACGAGGTTCCTCGCCCAAGTCACTACTGGCCTCTTAGGAGGTCTGAAAATTCAGAAAAATTTGATCGTTTTTTATTTTTTACAGGCGTCGGAGCATCCGTTGTCACCGTTTTCGAGCATCAACATCAGACTTTCCTACCACAAAGACATCCACTGAAACTGGAAAAAAGGACAAGAGTCATTTTGCTGTTGGGCTTGTATACCCTTTATCTATTTTCCTGTCATTGGGCCACGTATTTTGAGCCGGATCAGTACAAAGCAAGATTGGTGATTGCGGAGGTGATAATTTTTCTTTTCATTAGACGGTTTTTAGCTGAAGTTTTTATCTGTATTAGGTACACAGTTCTTAAGTGTGTTTGAAGGGTATCTCGTGAGAATAAATCAGCTTTTTTGAAATCGAAGAAGCAAACTTGCAACTCCCGAAAATTCGAGTTTTCGAATAGGACGATTTGCAGCTCCCAAAATTTTGAGCGAACCAAGATGCAGCTTCCAAAAAATTGAGCAGACCAAAATGCAGCTCCCAAAAATTTAAGCAGACCAAAATGCAGCTCCCAAAAATTTAAGCAGACCAAAATGCAGCTCCCAAAAATTGAGCAGACCAAAATGCAGCTGCCAAAAATTTAAGCAGACCAAAATGCAGCTCCCAAATTTTTGATCCAACCAAAATGCAGCTCCCAAAAACTCGAGTATTCGAATAGGACGATTTGCAGCTCCCAAAATTCGAGTTTTCAAACAGGGAAAAATTTCAGCTTCCAAAAACTCGAGCTGACCGAAATTCAACTCAAAGTTTTTAAGCAGGGAAAGTTGCAGCTCCCAAAAATTCGAATTTTCGAATAGGACGATTTGCAGCTTTTACCGAATTTCTTCAGACCTGGCCGGCAATCGCCTGCGACTTTTGGGGTCCTGAATATTACTATCTAACCGAAATCGAGTTCGGCCTTGTCCAGGTCTATTTTCTGAGCTTGAGTTGTTCTTCTTTCGGCCTCGCTATTCCTCTGGCCTTCCATTCTTCGACCTTGATTTCTAGTTCCAGTTTTAATCGATCCGAAGCCACTAGGAGGGCTCGGAGGAATTATATCCAACAGCTGTTGGTCATGGTCAGTCTAGCACTTTTTGGGTTGAAACTTTCCGGATCTTCTTTTGATACCTTAAGAAGTATCCTGGTCACTTTAAAAGAAAATTCCAACCGCAAAGTTGAAGTGACCTTCTTTTTAAGTAGAAGATTGATAAAGAAAACCTTTTTCAGGTATTTTTACCGGTATCATTGGGCCTCATCCCGATTTTCTTCTTTCAAATCGGTTCCACTCTTCTGGAGAAGAAAAATGAGAGTAAGTTTCTCACGGCAAAATTATTTTTCCTTGACTGGGAATCGAACCCCTGACCTTTTTGACGGTAGATTCTCTCACAACCTACTGGGCTACGGAGAAACAAGTAATAATTTCAGTGATGACCTACTGTTTCGTGATTTTATCGTCACACGGTCCTTGTACAGCCCTGTTAGTTATGGTGGTTCATCCGCCTTATCGAACCTTTTTGATGGATATTTTTGGATTCTACAAGAAGAAAAAAGGTTTTTCTTTTTTTTTTTTGTTCAATTATTTATTTTTCATTTCAGGTGGAAGTTCTGTTGTTTTCAATCTTCCCGTTCAAACGAGAAGAGTCGTCTCGAAACATATAGACACTGGAATTAGCTTTTAAAAATGGCCGCATGTAGAATGGTTCGATGTGTCGCGGTCGCGCTGCGGTTTGATGGTCCTTCATGTTTTTTTTGTTAGTGGAAAAAAAGCGAAATCAAAAATGAAGGAGGCGGAGTGAAGCCCATGTGACGTCATGGAAAACAAGCGTAAACAACAGAGAATATTAAAGGCGCATGTTCAATGGGTCATGAGACGAATCGATTTCTCATTAAAAAACGCAATTTTTCTATCGGCGTGTTAAAAGTGATTCCCAAAAGTTCAAAATAGCCGCCGGAGAGTGAAAATTTCGCGAAAATTACTTTGAACACGGCATGTGCGAGAGCGCCGCAGTGCATGCACACGACACACCAAAGTTTACGGAAAAAAAAAATATTGACGGGGTCAAAAAGAAAACACCGTGCTTGCAAATCATCCATATTTGTTTAAGTTTACGATAAATTATGTTCTGAGCGCTAGTCATTTTAAAAGAAAAAGGAAAAAAAAGATGTCATTTTTCCTTTAATTCCATCTGTTGACTTTTTTACTTTTTCACCTGCAACCCTTTATTATTTTTCTTTCCCTCGGTTCTTGAGTTGCTAGTTTTTCATTGATTGACTTTGGACCCTTACAGGGTGGGGTTCATTAAAGAGCTTCCAATCTTATTTCTGAGGCTCTATCTGAAGTCAAAGCAGCTCGAATCATAGTCAACAAATCACAAAATTTCCCGCTCGTTTTCAATTTTTCATCTAAAAACCGTTCTTACTTATTCTAAATTATTATCAGAATCAGTCAGTTTCAGGTCGGATGTCGGAAATCTTTGGCCGATGCGGCGGCTTCCCGGATCGATCCTTATATTTCAGTTTGATGACTACTTTTGGTTGGATTTGTATGCCTTTATCGATTTTTTGTGCATATTGTATCATCAGAAAATCGACTCCCGCAATGAAAATGTACCGCTGGTCGTTGCTCAACTTTTTATTTTGGTCAGTGAAGTTGGAGAAGTTTCCCCTTCCAAGTAATCTGACTGATTTGAAATTTTTCCAGGACTACTCTACTGTGTTGGATGATGGCTTTCGGAGCCCGTCCGGTCTTTTTTCTACCGTATCTTGGCGGTTTTGCGACAGGTTTTTTGCGCTCCATGGGACTCTCTACGAGGTTCCTCGCACAGGCCACTACAGGCTCCTTGGGAGGTTCGCTCCCGACTTTATTGTTTTCTAAAATTAGAATTATTTTTCCAGGCGCTGGCGCGTCAATAGTCACCGTATTCGGCCATCAATATCAGTCTTTACTCCCTCAAAGACATCTAATGAAGCTTCGAAAAACGACAAAATGTGTTATTCTGCTCTTTGTGTACTTCATTTATGTATTTTGTTGTTATTGGCCTACGCTTTTCGAGCCGGATCAGTATCAGGCACGATTGGTGATTGCAGAGGTGAGGAAATAGCAGTAGAGCGCAAATTCTGTTAATTTGAAACCCCCTTTTGAAGAGAGAACTTTTGGTCTGCTTAGCCTTTTCAAAAGTTAAACAGATCAAAAAGTTAAAAAAAAATTTCTTGTGAATTTTTCGGTGCTCACGTGACAGAAACTGAAACGAAAATCGTGAGTTTGACTGAAAATGAAAAAAATATTAACGATATTGGGAACCTGAGACATAAATAAAGAAACATATCGAATCGTTTAGACTTGGCCGACTATCGCCTGCGATTTTTGGGGTCCTGAATACTATTACATTTCCGAAAAGGAGTTTGGCCTTGTTCACATCTATTTCCTAAGCTTGTTGGTTTCCATTTTCGCCCTCTCTACGCCTCTGATTATTCATTCCTCGACTCTGGTTTCTAGCTTTATTGTTACCGCCTCCGCAGCTACGAGGAGGGCCAGAAAGAACTATATTCGGCAGCTTTTGGTCATGGTGAGTTTCAAGGCTCTCACAAGGAATCTCATTTTACTTTGCGGTTCGTATTTTTTTTTTACAAATTCGCTCAAACACTCTGAAGAACCCTTATAGTCGTTTCCTGCACAAACTTCTAGTTTTTGTGAAACGAATGTTTGAAGTTGTAAAACAGGGGTAACTTTTCGACCTTCAAAATTGATCATCTTAAAAACTAGACGCTGGCGCGGGTCACAACTTTGATGGATCTACATATTTCAGAGATTGTTTGAGAAAATTTTTAGAAAACTTTAAGTCGCAAATTGAAATGACCTCCTTGTTGGGTCTAAGCAGTGTTAAAAGAAAACGTTTAAAATTAATATTTTATCGTTGTATTGTGAAATATACAACTTTAATTTACAAAAAAACGTTTATAGTCTGTTTAGATTTTTGAATGTCAAGTCATTGCTCAAGCTCCGCCCCTAATGGTGCGATAAACCAATCAGAGAGCGAGCCATCCACAGAGTGTTTTTAAACGACGTCATTGCACTTGACATTAAAAATCTGAACAGACTATATAGGTCATTCCGCGCCAGCTTGTCGCGATTTCCAGTTTATTTGGAGCTAGAGTAGCCTTTTCGGCGCTTCGCTTCGATGCTCTCGGTGTGCCCCTTGCGTGCGCCTTTAATAAAACTCATTATTTTTCGAACTTTGGAATTTTTCCTATTCTACAAAAAAACAGTTGTAACATCAAATTTTATATCAAAATAACCCAAAAACTATATGCAAGAAAAGCTCGAACAGCCGGTTTCATTAATAACAATTAAAAAGTAGTAATTCAATCTTTTTGATTTTCTTTTTTTCTTACAAATCCAGCACAGAATCTGAGTGTGTATAGTCAAAGCGAAAAAAATGAAATCAATCCATTGAAAAACAACCTTGTAAATTAATAGAAGAGTGAGAGGAAATTGAAGCAATATCTTATCAGAAATAATGTTTTATTAAAGGCGCACGCAAGGGGGAACACCGGGAGCATTGAAGCGAAGCGCCGAAAGGGGTTCTGTAGCTCCGAGGAAAATTAAAATCGTGACAACCTGGCGCGGAATGACCTATACTTCATAACCAAAGTAAAAACAAGACCAAAAAACTCAATCGCCTGACGCGATTGCGCGGAAATGAAACTGTGAAGGTGACCTGCACATCTTAATATTGCGCGGCAATTTAAAATGGTGTAGATTTACGGGGTTAAATCTAGACACTACAAAACTTAAGAACTAGAAATTTGCGCAGGTAGCGACTATGAAGGATCTCTATTCAGAAATTCAGAGAGTTTTTTAGCAAGTTTGTAGAAAAATCCAAATAGCAAAGTAAAATGACTTCCCGTGTCAAGGAAACTGTCTTTTGTAAGTTTTAAAATCGCTCGTATCAAAATGAAAATTAATCAAAAAACTGGTTCGTTTCTGAAATGAATTTCCCGATTCCTGTTTTAAATTCTAGTCGATTCAAGTTTTTCATCGGATTACTTTTTAAAACGATGAAGCCTTTCAGGTCTTTATACCGGTATTCTTAGCAATTATCCCGCTTCTCCTATTTCTCTCCTGCTACGTTGTTCTGGAGGATAAAAACGAGTGTAAGTGTCATACTTCTCAGAGTACTGAAACAAAATAAATTTTACCAAGATTTTCATTTTTCGTGATGCAAAAAAACTGAGCCTGTGCAAAAATAATTTCAAAAAGCAGTCTAAAAAGCCAAACATTTCTAAAAATATGAAATATTTTCAGTGATGTCATACTGTTTGGTGGTTCTATCGTCACACGGCCCTTGTACTGCCTTATTGGTCATGGTGGTTCATCCGCCGTATCGAAAGTTTTTGATGGATCTTTTTTGGTTGCGAAAGAAAAAAGGTACCTTCTCGCAAAAATACCTGTGGTTTCACCTGGTTTTAGTAGTTTCAGATAAACGCTCAGCCGTTTTCAACCTCTCTTCTCAAACTCCTTGAAACAACAGGAAACCCGATTTTGCTTATAAAATTGCCGTATCCCTTCTGCTTGCTGCGGAAAGTTGCTCAAAAAAGTCAAAAAAGGCATGTTTTTCCGAAATCATTTTTGATAATCCTCCACGGGCGTTTTTGTAAATAGAAGAAAATGCAAAATGCAATAAGGGGGCGTGGTCAAAACTCTCGCCGTTTTCCCATGTGACGTCATGAGAAAAACGCATAAACGACAGGAAATATTAAAGGCGCATTCAATGGGTCATGAAACGAATCTATTTTTTTCATTAAAAAAATTTTTTTTTGTTGTTTTAGTTTTAAAACACATGCCGTGTTGAAAGTAATTCCGCGATTTTCAAAATAGCCACCAGAGAGTGCAAAATATAACTGAATATCGGAAATTCAGATGTGATTATGAACTTCGCGAAAATTACGTTGAGAGCGGCGTGTGCCAGAGCGCCGCGGTGTATGCACACGACAAACTACACTTTACGGAAAAAATATGGGCGGACCGTCGCCAAAAAAAACGCGGTGCCTCATAAAAACGATCTGAAGCTTTTCACATCTTCAATTTAAGAGCTGAGATTCAAACTAATCGAATTTTTCTCCGGTTTCATCTGCTCGCCTTTGTTTCCACCTGCATCACGTTTTTCTTCGATATCAAGATTAATAATTTCTGTTAGTTAACCTGTTTTCTCAAAAAAAGTAGAAACACTTTTTAGACCTTTGAAAGCTCAAATTCAAGTTATTTAAAAAATAACCACTGGTTTTTTTAGACCTAAGTTCAAATGAACCTTTTCTTCACACCCCCATATTTCGTTTTTTTAAATTTTAAAAATTCAGTCTGAGGCGTATGTCGGAAGTCTTCGGCCGTTGCGGCGGCTTCCCGGATCGATCCTTGTATTTCCATTTGATGGCCATTTTTGGTTGGATTTGTATGCCTTTATCGACTATTTGTGCCTACTGCATAATCAAAAAGTCTCCTCCCGCAATGAAAATGTACCGCTTGTCGCTGCTCAACATTTTGTTCTGGTCAGTTTTGTTTGTAGCTTGGTCTTGAACCTTCGATCACTTGTCGGTTCTGAGTAAATTTTGAGTGGCCATTATAGGTTTTTGACGTTTCAGTGGCCACTATAGGCCACTATAGCCACTATAGCTACTCAAGCTCTTAAGGGGTTAAACATTAGTGGCCATTATAGAGGTCTAAGTGGTACTACTAGAGCAGTAAAAGGGGTCAATGGATCATCATAAATGGTCCAATCTGTTTGTTTCAAAATTATCAGAGTTACTGGAAGGAATACTTGATGAAAAACTACTGAAGTGGCCATCAAATGAAGAATCTCTATAGTGGCCACTCAAACGGAAAATAGTGACCACTATAAGGTGGGTTTAGCGGCCACTTTAGTGTCTTCTAAAAGTAGTCCTTGGCTAGCCTCTATAGTGACCACTAACAGTTTTTCCAGGTTTGTCTCCGTTCCGGCGCATGTCTTCATGTTTCTAGAAAAAGACAAATGAGGCTTGAAACTTTTTTATCGCGATGAATTTTTCATTCGAGCGAAGTTTGACAAATTTACTGTTGTATAAAAACACCTGTTCTTCTAGTTCTTTCATTTCCGCCTGGAAACTGAAATTTCCATTTCAATAATTGTTCAGCCCAATATATGACCAACTTTTAACCAAGCACAGTGTTTCAAAACGGGCGAGCGCAGGCGAAAACAATGGCCGTCTCAATGGAGCGAAAACGCGAGTTCCTTCTAACGCAACGCGGTGCGGCGCGTGTCAAGCTCTCAAAATTTAATTCAATTTAAATATAGTTTTTTCTCTTTCTCTCGCGTATTTTTTCAGATTTTTGAATCGTTTTACTTTCTGTTGTGTAATGTAACTGTGTTGGATACGTTTGAGAGGTACTTGAGTTAATTTTTGATCGAGATGGTCCCGAAATTTCGGCAAAAATGACATTTTGATGAGTAACATTTTTTGCAGAAGCTACTTGGTTCATTTTTTTGTTTTAAAATGCTCAGAATGAGTTTCTCAAGATAAACGCCTAGAGCTTTTTTTTTAATTTTTTTTTTCGACGTTTCACAAAACATATGTTGTCTAAAATGACTTTTTGAGTTATAAATTTTTTTGTGTCGAAGCCAATTGATTCTTTTTTATGTTTCAGAATATTCAGAATGCGTTTTTTGAGGGAACCGTCATGGGTTTTTCCTTCAAAAAAATATTTTTAGGACTTCACGCGACGAATTTTCCTGAAAAAAAGGCATTTCGTGTGATAAATCTTTTGGCAAAAAGCGATTCCGTTCATATTCCATTTTCAATAGGTTTATTGTGCGTTGGACTATATTAAAACTACTATAAAAGTTCAAGGAGGCCTTGAAAAACACTATTCAACGTTATTTTTTCATCCAGTAAATGCACAAAAATCGGCTCTCAATGTCGCGCCGCTATTGCAATAAGCCGCGCCCCCATTGCATACAGCCACGCCCAATGACCACATCTGCCGCCTGTTTGGGAACACTGTGCCAAGTTAGTTCCGTAGAGTCAAGGAAGAGAAACACCTTCGAAAATGCCTGAAAGTTCTTATGACTGAACATTTTGTGCTTTAAAAGGAATTTCATCGACTTTTCCGTCGGAAATGAATCCATTTCCAGGAGCACCACTTTCTGTTGGATGATGGCTTTTGGAGCCCGTCCCGTATTTTTTCTGCCGTATCTTGGGGGTTTCGCGACAGGTTTTTTGAGCTCCATGGGACTTTCGACGAGGATCCTTGCACAGATCACCACGGGCTTCATGGGAGGTCCATTTTCCATTTATTCCGTATGAATCTCTCTATTTTACAGGCGTTGGTGCCTCGATAATCACTGTTTTCGCGCATCAACATCAGTCTTTTCTACCTCAAAGACATCCAATGAAACTTGAGAAAAAGACTATAATTGTTCTTCTGGCTCTTTTATTTTTGTTTTTTATATTCTGTTTTTATTGGCCTACGTTTTTCGAGCCGGATCAGTTCGAGGCGAGATTAGTGATTGCAAAGGTGAGGCTTATAACATAGGCAAAGTCGGTGGGACCCTTAATGGGCCCTTTGAGCGTCAGTTATGGGTGCAAAAAGGTTTCCATTAATTTTTCCTAAACGAATGACTACTGTTTCTTTTTTACTGCCCGTTTTCGTCCTTTCATCGGCCTTCATCCACCTTTTTGGACCCTTTTGAGACCTTTCTGCGAGACATTATTTTGCCTTTTCAAAGCCTTTTTTCACCTTTTTTTTAGCTTTTTAACCGCGCGAAGAATGAAAGGTTCGATAAAGGCCGCAAAACGGAACCCTTATAGCGGCCATTCTGCAGCCACTTCCTTTTCGCACCCGTTTCACTTCCAACATAGGCACTGCCAAAGTCGAAAGTGCGGAAAACGGGTGCAAAAAGGGAGTGACTGCGAAATGACCGCTAAAAGGGTCCCTTTTTACGGCCTTTATTGAGCCTTTCATTTTTGTTGGGTAAAAAAGGGTCATAAAAGGGCGAAAAAAGGGAGAGGCCGCAAAAAGGGTGAAGAAAGAGTGAGGGTGCAAAAGGGTCCTCAAATTCTCTTCTATTGATAATTTCCGATTTCATTACTGTTGCATATTATGGTTCATACACAGTCCCTTGTAAAAAAATTATTCCTAATTTTTTTAAAAAAATTGTATTTCTCAAAAGGGTCCAAAAAAAGGGTGGAAGAAGGCTGATGAAAGGACGCAAAAAGGCAGTAGAAAGGAAACCTTTGCCACCCGTTTAGGAACAATTAATGGAAACAGACGGAGCCGTAACGGACGCTCAAAGGGCCCGTGAAGGGTCCTTCCGACTTTGCCCATAGGCATCAGCCTTCTTCCACCCTTTTTGGACCTTTTTGAAAAAAAAAATTTTTTTTTGGATTAAGAATAATTTTTACAAGTGACTATGTATGAACCAAAATATGCTACAGTAATAAAATCGGAAATCATCGATAGCAGAAACTTTCAGAACCCTTTTGCACCCTCACTCTTTCTTCACCCTTTTTGCGGCCTCTCCTTTTTTTCGCCCTTTTATGACCCTTTTTAGCCCACCAAGAATGAAAGGCTCGATAAAGGCCACAAAACGGGACCCTTTTAGCGGCCATTTTACGCACTTCCAAATTTGGCAGTGCCCAGAACGTTTCGAAAGCACATTAGAAAATGTCTACCAGGAAAACAACTTCTTTTTTTTGCACCTTTTCTCTACGAAACTGCGAAGGTTGTCAATTAGGTTGAAGATCTTTCGACGAAAGAAAACCGTGAAAATCTGGGCTTTAATATTCTTCAGACCTGGTCAACTATCGCCTGTGATTTTTGGGGTCCTGAATATTATTACCTTTCCGACGACGGGTTCGGCCCCGCGCACATCTTCTTCTTAATTCTGAATGCTTCAATTTTTGGCACCATCACGTTCCTCGTTATTCATTCGTTCAGTTTGGTTTCCAGTTCTAGTTTGACTGCTTCCGAAGCCACCAGAAGAGCACGAAGGAATTATATTCGACAGCTTTTGGTCATGGTCAGTCGTCAACTTTCTGAATTGAAAAATTGGATTTTCGGCTTGTCTGCGTCTCTTTTTCTCTCAAAAAAAAAAAGTTTGAACACGAGAGCGCCGTTGAGGGATCAAAAGAGCACGAACCGGTAAGAATGGTCCAAGTCGTCGGAAATCGAATATATAGTCCGTTTTTCGCGACTTGAAAGGCCGGGAGTTCTCGGTGCTACGACAAGAGCGAGTTTTCCATTTTCGAGGAGTACTGTAGGCGGAAATGCGCATTGAGTGCATACACATTGCATGTTTACACTTTCGTCACCGGGTAGGACATCTCCGGGTTTTTTGTTTCTGATTTTTTTTTCGAATATTTTTCAACTTTTTTTTGTTTTTTTTTACAAGACTTGCATTTTTCTCGAGGATGTTTGCACGATAAAAAACAGTATCAAGAAATAAAAATTGAGAAATATTCGAAAAAAAACCCGGAGATGTCCTGTGTAAACACGTAAAGTGTATGCACGCAATGCGCATATCCGCATACAGTACTCCTCGAAAATGGAAAACTCGCTCTCGTCGTAGCCGACTTATCTGCGCCCTCCTCGTTTCTCGAAGTCTCTCTCATGCTTACGCGCTATTTCTGCGCTTCTCTAGCCTCGTCGGTGAGGGAACAGAGAGACGCAGACACGCGAAAACTGTCAAGTCGCGGCGGTCGAACTATACCAAAGAGGTATAAATGTTTTTTCAGGTATGCCTACCGGTAATTTTGGGGGTTATCCCAGCTCTTTTTTTCCAAACCGGGCACGTTCTTCTGGATGAGAAAAATGAGCGTACGTTTCAAGTTTCAATCGAGAATTGAATTTTACAAATCATCTCCTTTTTTACTCTCCAAGTGAACGGAAAACTGTTCGTCCTCGGTCGGGATTCGAACTTTTGACCTCTTTCATGATATCCTGAGTCACATCCCACTAGGCTATGGATCAATATATATATTCAGTGTCCTCATATTGTTTCGTTGTTATATCGTCGCACGGCCCGTGCTTAACCCTGTTAGTTATGGTTGTTCATCCGCCCTATCGAAATTTCCTGAGAAGTTTTTTTCGATTCGATAAAAAGAGAAGAGGTATTTTGAAAAAAAATTCGTTAGACTGAGTTTTTTCGCTTTTCAGAAAAAGTTCCAGCCGTTGTCAATCTACCTGTTCAAACTACTTCAATTCAACGGAGTATGCGAGGCTTATAAACCGCCTTGAATCTACCGGTCGCATGTGGAATGGCTCACGGGTCTATCTGGAACTTCAAAAAATCTTTGCCAGAGCCAATTTTTTTTTTTTTTGATGACATTATCAAACGAATAAAATTCCAGTATTTGTTAATTTATGAATGAATTCATACAGACATCAGTGAACGGGAGGAAACGTCTGGAAATGGATTTTTATTCAGTTTTTGGGTTTTTTTGACTATCAAAACTCCTTAATGTACCACCTCTCCGCGGTGATGGGGATCAACGACCATTTATGGCGGCAACGTCATAAATGGCGGCTAACGGTACACCGGTCACGCAGTTCGCCTTGCTTTATGCTAATAGAATGGGCGGTCCTCCTAGCCCTGGCAAGGCAACGAGGATAACCAGACCACAAAAAAGCTAAAACACGTTCAACAAGACGGCCCCAGTCCTCCGCCCGTCGGTCACGCGCCTCTCCGGTATCGGGGGCTGCCTCTGCCGACGAGGGGCGATCAAATCTCGGAGCAACAGGATACCATAGAAACGGACTACGGACGCGCCACGGTGACTGTCTACGTTTCGGAACCCTCAACTGCCGCTCGCTCGCTTCCGATGCAGCAAAAGAGCAATTGCTCGCGGCAAACCGAAACGCACTCATCGACATAGTGGCGCTCCAGGAAACAAAAATCTCAAGACACCAGCTGTAAGACTTGGCCAAACGGTGAACTTCTCATCCTCGGCCACAAAGTCCCTGGGAAGAACGTCGGCGGCGTCGGTTTCCTCGTCAATCGCTCGGTCCAACACCTCGTCGACTCGCACGAAATCGTCAACGCCCGCCTCGGCATCCTCCGACTCAACCTAGGAAAAACGAGGAAGACTCACCATCATCAACGTCTACTCGCCGACCTCACCAGAAGCCGAATCTAAGGCTAAAAAGGGAAGAGAAGGAAAAAGGAACTTGACGATTTCTACCGGAAGCTCGAGGAAACGATCCAACGAGAGAAGGCGTACTACATCTTCGTTCTGGGTGACTTCAACGCGAAGATGGGCAAGTGCGCCACTCCCTCGATTCGTCACGGGAAGCACGGACTCGGAATTCGGAACGACAACGGAGAACGCCTAGCCGAACTTCTCGACTCCAGAAGGCTCTACCACGGCAATTCTCTCTTCGAGAAGCCTGATCGGAGACGCTGGACCTGGAAATCGCCCAACGGAGACACCACCAACGAGATCGACCACATTCTGGCCAACCGGAAATGGTCTCTCCTCGACGTTGCCGTACTACCCAGTTTCGACGTTGGATCCGACCATCGACTCGTTCGCGCCAAGGTCCGTCTGAACCAGAAGTTCCTGAAGAAAGACTACCACCAGCCATCGAGACCGAGAAGACCAACCTACGACATCACCACGTTGGAGGAGAAGATCTCGGAGCACGACTGGCAGCTTCTCGACGACCCGACAGCCGACTACGAATCCCTCTGCGATGGCCTCATCAGATGTGCAGAACCTGCAGCTCGACCAACCTCGTCTCTACCGCCGCGACTCGACCAACGAGCGAAAGATCGGCTGCGAAGAAGAGGAGAAGTCAAACGAGACCCGCAGGCCACGCACCTAGAACGTCTGACGATCGACAAAGCCTGCAGAATGGCCGTGCAAGAGTCTCTAGCCAACCGACGCAGGAGTGCACTTCTTCAGACAGCTGAGAAACGTCAAAGCCTCAAGAAGAAGAAGTTCGAGCTCGTCGACGAGCGAACGGTGATGACAGCACTGAAGGACGAGAACGGCCAGCTGAAGACGTCAAGGAACGAGATGGAGCGCCTGACGGTCGACTTCTACACGAAACTCTTTCGAAGCGACGTTCCCGTCCCCAGAACACCAACGCCGCCACCAGAAGATGAACCCCCGATCCTTCCCGAAGAAGTCAAGTACGCCATCAGGAAGCTGAAGGTCGGAACGGCCGCAGGACCCGACAACATCTCATCCGAACTGCTGAAGGCTGGAGGAGACTCGCTGTACCGACTACTTGCCCGGCACTTCTCCAAGTACCTGAGCGAAGCCTCTATTCCTGAACAATGGAAAAACATCCAAGACGATCCTCATTCCGAAGAAGGGCGACCTCACCGACCTGAACAACTTCAGACCGATCTCCCTCTTATCGGTCGTCTACAAGTTGTTCACCAAGGTCATCGTCAACAGACTAGAGAAGCAACTCGACAACTTCCAACCGCCCTCGCAGGCTGGCTTCCGACGCAACTACTCTTGCCTCGACCACATCCACGCCTTGACCCAGGTGGTGGAACGGCACCGGGAGCACCAGATGCCACTTGCGTTGGCCTTCGTCGACTACTACAAGGCATTCGACAGCGTGGAGATCAACGCCGTCTTGAATGCTCTTGCCTCCGCCGGAGTCGCCACGAAGTACGTCGAGCTGATCGCCAACAGCAACGAGGGAACGTCCACGACCATCCAGCTGTTCGACAAAAAGCTTTCGATCCCCATCAGGAAAGGTGTTCGCCAGGGAGATACCATCTCCCCCAAGTTGTTCTCCACGGCACTAGAAGACGCGATGCGCCAACTTGGATGGGACGAAGAGCACGACTGGGAAGACAGTACAGACATCAGAGGCATCAACATCGACGGCAAGGTCCTCACAAACCTCCGCTTCGCCGACGACATCGTACTCTTCTCAAGCTCCACCACCGAACTGTCCTCCATGCTGAACGATCTGGACGAAGTCGGCAAGAAGATCGGCCTTAAGATGAACGTCAAGAAGACGCAGTGGATGAAGAACCGCTTCTGCGACCAAGGCAAAGTCACCCTTTGAGGGCCGCGACCTTCAGGAGGTCACATCCTACATCTACCTTGGCCGGGAAGTAAACATGGTGAACGACCTGCAAGCAGAGATCGGCAGACGTAAACGCGCTGGATGGGCCGCCTTCAACTCCATCAAAGAAGTCACCAGTCAGCTGAAAGACCCGAAACTGCGAGCTCACATCTTCGAAGCGTCGATAATCCCTGCCATCTCCTACGGTACCGAAGTTTGGCCTGACACGAAGAAAAAAATGCAACCGCCCTACGAACTTCCTACCGCGCACTGGAACGTGCTCTCATCGGCACCACTCGCTTCGAGCAGTGGAAAAAAGAACAGAGGAGCACAGACCTCCGTCAACTATCCCAAATCCGGGATCTAGAAGAGCACATACAACGCGGGAAACATCGCTGGGGCGGCCACGTCATCCGCAGACAAGACGACCGCTGGTCCACGAGATTAACACACTGGATTCCGAGAAACATCAAGCGCCCACTCGGGCGCCCACCGACCAGATGGACGGACTACTTCCGCAAGAACATCAGTCAGCCAGGCCGCCACTGGATGACCGTCGCGCAAGACCGAGCCGCCTGGAGAACGTGTGGTCCACGCTGAGAACATCAGCGAAGATGGACCATCAAAGTATCAAAGTAAGTATCAAAATAGTTTTGCAGGTTTTTGGAAGACCCCCTTCAAAAAAACGGCATTTTGGGAAAAAAAAATTTCTTAAGGATTTTTTTATATTTTCACTTTTAACAGTACCTAAAACCGTCCAAAATTCAAATATAGTCCGTCCGCCGTTTTGCGTGTCTGCGTCTCTCTGTTCCCTCACCTGCGAGGTCACAGAAACGCGAAAATAACGCGTCAACAAGAGAGGGTCGTCGAGAGACGAGGAGGGCGCAGAGAAAAAAGTCGCGAAAAATAGACTATAACTGGGAATGTTCGCATCCTCACACTGAATGACCACTTGAGTGATCCTTCGGCCAGCCAAATTTCCAAAAGGAGGGTAGTTGGCACGGCTCTTGGGGAGGGGAGCTGATCGAAGTCCAGCCACTTTATTTCTTCATCGGTGTCTTTTTCACCTGCAAAACTTGATTATTTTTTTTTTCCTTTGACGCAAAGTTTTTTAGATTTCTAGTTTTTCATCGAGTAACTCTGAGGTAGGCTTGGAAACTGGTTATAGCTCTTTTTTTTTAAATTTCTTACGAGAAAGGTCACCTTAACTCAAATGAAGCTTTCTGAATTCTTTAGAATATATTTGCCTTCAATCTTGTTGCTGGGGCACAGTCTGGAGTCAATGGAGCTCGAACTTTAATCAAAAAAATCTCAATATTTTTTCTCGTTTTCCATTTATATTCATCCTTCAGATTCATCTAACTAGGGAACTTTTTTTACCCCCCGGTTGAAATTTTGACGAAACTTTGCAGAGATGTACTTTGAGGTCTCCTGAATCCAGAACAAGAAAAAAATTTCTCGCAATAGACCTTGTTTTCGAGATATGCAGCCTCGAAGTTTGCACGCGAAATCTGCGGAAGCATGGAAGAGGGAATATGTTGCGCGCAGTGTCGGTGGAATGCCAGGTGATTCGTGGCAGGGTGGTATTAGGGCGCGCGCTATATGCGAGCTGTGGTGGGTTCGACCCCCATTGCTGACGGGTTTTGCAAAAAAATCTTTTGCCAAAACTCCAATCATTCAAAACACTTGGTAAGCTATTTTCCTGGATGGAACGAATTGAAATAAATTAATTTTGTGGAATAAAAAAATTTCCATTTTCAACAATTTTGAAATGCTGATTGAATATCAACCCGTGTAAAGTATAAGTAAGAACCATTTTGACTGATTCTAAATCATTCTCAGAATCAGTCAGTCTCAGGTCGGATGTCGGAAATTTTTGGCCGATGTGGCGGCTTCCCGGATCGATCTCTATATTTCAACTTAATGACTATGTTTGGTTGGATTTGTATGCCTCTATCGATTATTTGTGCCTATTGTATCATTAGAAAATCGCCACCCGCAATGAAAATGTATCGCTGGTCGTTGCTCAACTTGTTATTTTGGTTAGTTGCTTTCGAATTTCTGAGAAACCAAGAAAGGCTGTTTTTGTTGACGGCTCGAAAATTCAGAAGAGATCTTTCAAAATTGAACGATTAGAAAACCATAGTTTTCTCTTCCAAAAAATGTGACTGATCGAAATTTTTCCAGGACAACTCTTCTCTGTTGGATGATGGCTTTCGGAGCTCGTCCGGTCTTTTTTCTACCGTATCTTGGCGGTTTTGCGACAGGCTTTTCTGCGCTCCATGGGACTGTCGACAAGGTTCCTCGCCCAAGTCACTACAGGCCTCTTAGGGAGGTTCATTTACAATTATTTTCCGCAATTTCCTTCGTTTCACAGGGGTCGGGGCCTCGGTAGTAACCGTTTTCGAGCATCAATACCAATCGTTTCTTCCTCAAAGCCATCCAATGAAGTTTCGAAAAGGGACTAGATTTGTTATTCTGCTCGTTTTATATTTCATGTATGTATTTTCTTGTTATTGGCCGACGCTTTTCGAGCCGGATCAGTATCAGGCACGATTGGTGATTGCAGAGGTGAGGAATTAGCTGTGGAGCGCATTTTCTATTACTTTACAGTCAGATCTTTGAAATTAAGCAGACCAAAATTAGGCTCGCTTGACAAAAAAAAATTGATTCGTAGAATTTTAGATTTTTAATCACGCTTTGGGAGCTGCAAGTTCCGTACCAACTTGCTGCTCCAAAAAGATTGGAAAGCCAAAATCTCAATTTTTTCGCCGAATTTGCAGCTCTCATCATGCTCTTGGAGACCGGAATGAGATAAATAACTGAAAATATAGTCAATGTTTATCGACTTGAAAGGCAAAGGAGGCGGGGCAAGGAGCGGGACGCGTAGCGTGTGCGTACGCGGTCCTTGGCACGAGTCCAATTCAATTGCCGCCTAAAAAAGCTCGGCAACCGCTCTTTTTCAATGTTTTCTCCTATTTTTTGATGCACGCATGGACATAATCAATAAATCATTGAAAAAAAAGAGAAAAGAGCGCTAAATGAGCTCTCAGAATGCTCGCTGGCGGTTGAATTGAACTCGTGCCAAGAACCGCGTACGCACACGCTACGCGTCCCGCCCCTTGCCCCGCCTCCCTCGCCTTTCAAGTCGGGAAACATTGACTATAGAGGAATCTCTAGACTTGGCCGACAATCGCCTGCGATTTCTGGGGCCCTGAGTACTATTACATTTCCGACAGCGGGTTTGGCGTCGTCCACGTCTATTTTCTAAGCTTGACTGTTTCATCTTTCCTTCTCACAATGCCTCTGGTCATTCACTCCTCGACTCTAGTTTCAAGTTTCATTGTCACGTCCTCCGCAGCCACAAGAAGGGCTAGAAAGAACTATATTCGACAACTTTTGCTCATGGTAAGTTTGATTTTTTCAAAATGAAAAGGTTCATTTTAGATGAAATTTTTGTGAACTTGAACGTCCACCGTAAGAAAAGCGGTTCTTGATATGAAATTAGCCGTTTTTTAGGTTTCTTTTGAGGTTTTTCAAGTTTACATCTTTTTGGAAGTTTGAAGATAAAAAAGTGCTTTTCAGGTTTTTCTACCGATTTTCTTGGCGATTATTCCGATTTTCTTAGTTCTCTCCTGCTACCTTGTTCTCGAGGAGGAAAATGAGTGTAAGTCAAAGTTATAGATTTGATGAAATGAAGTCATCTAATCAGATCAGTTTTTGTGATCAATCAGAGTGGTCTTGAAAAAGTTATTCGAATGAGATCCAAAACTGCAAAAAATGCTCCAGAGCCGAACCCATGACCATTTACAAGACAGTTTTTGGAATCCCTCTAGGCGGCATACTTAGGAGCCGCAGAGTGGTCCCTTTAGGGGCTTTTGAAGGTCCTTCCTCAGACCCTGAACCTCTAAAGGGACTGTCTAATCTTATCCCTAGAGTGAGCCCTTTTTTATTCTCTAAAGGTCCTCTAAATCTTTGACTAGAAGGCTTCTAGGCACGGCGTTCCCAAACGGGGTGGTGAGACGTCAAAAAATTTTTGGCGCGAAATTGGAAGTACGCAGCCAAATGTATTCTTCTTCGTTGAATACTCAGTTTTCAACGATAGGTAGCTGTGACGTCACAGTCCTTTTATCCGAAGCGCGCACTTACTTTTTTTTGTAAATTCAGAAGCCTCGCTCACCTTTCCTCACCCCATTGGGAATGCCGTTCTAGGGACCAATTTAGCCTTTCACATCGTCTTACCAACCCGTTGTTGCGAAAATAAAGTTATTGATTGAAAAATATATTTTCAGTGATGTCATATTGTTGCGTGGTTTTATCGTCACACGGTCCTTGTAATGCCTTATTAATTATGATTGTTCATCCGCCGTATCGAAAGTTTTTGATGAACCTCTTTTGGTTCCAAAAGAAAAAAGGTTTTTCTAAAAAATACCTGTTTTTCCACAAGATTTTTGAATTTTAGAGAAGCGTCCAGCCGTTGTCAACCTCTCGTCTTAAGAAAAAAGTATGAAGTAGTTTATTTTTAATTTTCTAAATAATAAACTTCATCATGAATACTTAGTTGGGCGCGCCGTAGCGCAACAGGTTGTGTGCCTGTCTACGGTCCACAGGGTCACAAGTTCGATCCCAACCCCGACCCAACCAGGGGGTATAAGAAATGTTGGTAGTGGGAAACCACGACTTCATAATCCCCAGCCGTCACACACAAGGACGGATATGTCACTCGAGCCAGTCCACTGATATCAGGATAGGACCTCGGCTAATCGACTTGGGGCGCCGACGCCGCTCAAGCGGTACAAAGGCGTAAGAAGAAGAAGAAGATTATGTAGGGACCGCAGTCGAATTTTCAAAAATTTTTTTTCAGCATTGAGCCTTGTATGGTTTGATAGCTGTTCCGATTCAAAACTCAGAACCGTTTAGTTTTTCAAAAAAGATTGAGGATGAAAAAATTTATGACGGAAAATGTGGCGCGCCGCGCACCATTTTTTTAGTACTGAAATTTTGGTATTATCCATTTTTGACATTTTTCTCGATTTTTCTTCCAGAACAACTTTTGATACTGGTCTATTATAATGTAAAAAATCATAAAAGAGTGCTAAAATGATGCTAATCAGCTAGTTTGCCGAAAAAGTCGCTATTTTCCAGAAAACAAAAAAACTGCCGCTTGCGGGCATCGAACTCGCGACCTCAAAATGAAAAATCGCATCGCACGCGCTGCGCCAAGCTGTTAGGTGCAACCCGGGGAGCTTCCATCCGCCATACCCTTGAGCCGTTTGGATAGCACAGATTGCCTATATCAAAAATAGAAATTTGAAGTAATTAAGCTATTTTTATCAAAATATTTTCGCAAATCTTCACTAAAACTTTTCGTGGAAATTCACTTCGAAAAAACTGTTTTTTAGTGCTTTTTGCCTCGTTTAACGATCGCTTCATTAAAAACGGCCCCGTAAATTTTTTTGGCAAAGACGAATTTTTTTATTTTATTCTTTTTAATTGAAAGATTTTTTTACTAATAAATGTATATAATCGTTTAAAAAACCTGCGTTCGACCGTTTTCTGTGTGATAAACGCCGCTAATTTTTTTCTCTAGTTTCAAGAGCATTTTTTTGCGTATTAAACAACTTTTTTTCAAGCACAGGTGCTGTGGAGAAAAATTTAAGTAAGCCCATGGTCTAAATTTTGAAAAAACAAAAACTCGATTGAATATTTATTTCACTCCAATACATAAAATAACATGAGCTATAAAGAAAGAGGCAAAGTTGGGCAAGAATTGTATGGGAGTGAAATGAGCACCGGTTTTAATACGCCCTCACGAGCGAATTTACCGGTATAGGGAATAGAACACGTAGAAGGATTTTTGATCACAGTAGACGTAAGGGAATGTTGGAAAAGAGTTCTTCGTTGCTTAGCGAGTCGAGAAACTTTCTGAAACGGGTGGTAGACGTGTTAGGGTTGAATCTTGAGCAGAGTCTATTCCAAAGAGGAATGACAGTGCTAAAAAAACTATTAAATCGGGAACCAGTCTGAATCAAACGAAAAGGATACCGAGGTGAACGACTTCTACTGAAAAACTTTTCTGCGCTAGGAAAGTGGTAAATGCCCAGGACGATTTTTTGAAGCGTTACTAGAGCAATAGAAGTTCTCCTACGGAAAACATGAGTAGAACCGAGTACATCAAGGCGATGGGAGTATGTGTCAAAGGATTTATTACGTCTTATGAAAAACTTGCCTAGTATAATGACGGTAAGGTTTTTTTCAAGGAGGACGGAAAGTTCTGAATTTATAGGCGGTGAGAAGATTTCAGAGCAATAGTCAAGATAGGGTCTAGCATACATGTTGAATAGTAAATTATACTGCTGGATGTTCAAGTGAGCAAAAGCTTTGAGCAGCTGTTTAGATTTGAGAGTGGCAATGTTGACTACATGATTAATGTGAGGGCAGAAACACAAATTTTTATCGATAAGGAGACCGAGGTCTCTGACAACAGTTTCAGATCGAATAGGTGAGCCATTAACATTGTAAACATGTTCAGGATTGTTCCTGCCTAGATGAAGAACAACAGTTTTATTGGCCGCAACTGGGAGGCCCCAAGTTTTGGACCAATCGAGCAATCTATTTATACTGTCTTGGATAGCATCAGGGTTATCTGAAGAGATTTTCAAGTCATCGGTGAACAAATATGAAGTAACGGAAGAATCAAAGATATCTGGGAGGTCGTTGACAAAAATTAGGAAAAGAAGCGGGCCAGTGACAGTGCCTTGTAAGACTCCTGAGACCACGTTGAAGCTATCATCAGAAGCAAGACCATCAATTAAAATCTTAGATGTGCGGCCAGAGAGGAAAGTTTTAAACCAATTGACCATAAGACTATTGAATCCGAAAGTTTCTAGTTTGGCGATAAGAAGGTTGTGTGGGACATAATCAAAAGCTTTCATGAAATCAAAATAAACGACATCGATTGGTAATCCCCTACTAATAGAAAGTTTCCAGTTTGTAACAGAGTCAAGGAGAGCAAGTGTACAACTTCGATTGTTGAGAAAACCAAACTGACGGGAAGAAAATTTGAGTTTGAAGCTTGATTTTATGTGAGTGGCAATTATTCGCTCCATAAGTCTTGCCAGAGGATGGGTTAGACTTATAGGTCTATAATTTTCAGGATCAGCCTTTTTTCCTTTTTTATAAATTGGAACAATGTATGAGAGTTTCCAAGATTGGGGAACAATACAAGAGAAGTATGAATCTGTGAAGAGAATTGACAGCGGAACAGAGAGGGCTTCTCTACACTGCTTTTAACACATAGAAATTCATGAGATCAGATGAGAAGCCAGTTTTTTTGGAGCCAATTTAGAAATGAATTTATGAATGTTGAGAGGAGAAAAAAATCAGGATGAACAGAAAAATGGTTTGCCGGTTGGAAAAAAATGGAAGGAATTTCAAAATTATTTGAGTTGCGGTTAGTAGAAAAAAACGTCAAGAAAGGCAGATGACTTATCAATGTTGGACATACAATAAGTGCCTTTGTGCTCTAAATGAGGTATGGTCGGTTTCAATTTAAGTTTTTTTTAGAAACATATTTGATTACAGATGAAGGATTTCCAGAACGAACAACATCAAGTTCTTTTGCGTTTGAGCAGGAGCCTAACCCTATTTTTTTGAGACGAGAAAGCGAGGAGTTGAACCTAGTTCTCTGGGTGAAAGTAAGAAGCCCTTTGTCTTCTCAAGCCAGCTTTGTTTCTAATGAGACTTCTTATACTACAACGAGAGCGATTAGGTCTGAAAAGGAGGATTGGAAGGACAAAATTGATTTATTAGTTCATTGAAAATATTGCAGAAATGTTGGTATTTGTTTTCAAAGGTAGAAAAGAAAGAAAATTGTCTGGGCCAATTATAAGAAAATAAAGCGTTGTTAATAGCAATATAATTACCTTTGCGGTAATTTTTTCTAGGTCTGGCTGAGTCAATAGCACGATGAGTGTCACTTTTCAGAAGAAAGGAAACTCCTATGTGATCGGTAGCAATTGAGGGTTAACAGGTAAAAATTGAGGACAAAAAAAGAGATTGCAATCTGTGAGTAAGACATCAAGGATAGTGTTAGTACCACTCGAAGAAAAATCTAGTTGGAAAAATCAACTAATTGGTCTAAATTGAAGCTCGAAGCAAATTGAAACATTTGGTTAGTATGACTAGCATTATCTCCATTCCAGGAGACGTTAGGAAGATTAAGGTCACCAAGAACAATGTTTTTAGAGGATCCAAGAAGAAAAGACAAATTTTCTATAAGAAATTTTGTGTACTCGCTGCTACTGTCCGGTGCTCTATAGATTAGATTGAAACGAAATTTATATCCTGGGCATATAAGATCAAAAGAGATTATTTCGCAGAAATGTTTCGAGTAAAAATCATCCAACCTGGCATCCAACTCGATGATTTTCAGACTTTTCCTGTAGAGAATTAACACGCCTCCTCCCGATTTCTTGTAGTGTTCAGGACGTCGATCACATCGAATATGAAAGTAAAAATCATTAGTTAGTAAAGAATCGACGCAAGAGTTGTTCAGAAACGTTTCAGAAACGAAACAAAGGTCAAAGTTCTCAAAAATCCAAGTAAGTTATCAAAAATTTTTAAACTTAGACACAGAGCTAATGGAGCGAACATTTATGAGAAGACATTTAAGGTTGTTCGAGTTATTCTGATCAGATGTTAGCGAATCAAATGATTTAGACGTTTTTACAAAAGAGTTAGTCAATTTGACATAAGTATTAGGGATATTTACATTAGGAATAACATTGAAATTAGAATCATTAGTATTTACAGGAATTTGAGGCAAAAATAGCAAGAGGAAAAACGTTCGGGCCGCGAAATCGACGGAGTCACCATGAAGGACTCAGACTCACCGTAACCAACCGTGTGTGGGGTAGAAAAATAAAGAAAATGGAGGAGGATCACAAGCGGGTCCACGGCTGGTGGGTAGGTGAGTGTGGGGGAGGACTGGTAGGGCAAAACGGAATCGGAAAGCGCGGTAGTGACGAGATCCTATTGTTCCATTTCATTTGCCTCAGGCAAGGAAGAAGGCGCTGAAGACGGGGAAATGACAATGGACGGATCTTTTGATCTTCGTTGAAACTACAAACTTTCTAGGTTTATCAGTTTCGACGATTTCAAGGTCTCTAACAAAGTACTTAAAGATTCCAGCCTTAGCGTTATCTTCGTAAGCCTTTTTTCTCAGGGAGCGGAGAAGGGATAACTCCGTTAGCGTCATGTCGCGTCTGCAGCGAGGATTCATGGGACACGAGAGACTGACGACCGGAACAGAATGGCGAAAACGACGAATGAAAATATCACGGTTGTAAGTAGAACCGAATCGAATTTTCAGCGGCCTGCGTTTGGCATCACACTGGTGTCGAAAAACTTCATCCGGGCACGGAATACCGGCTTCAGCACATATGGCGTCGACGAAATCTCTGTCGTTCTTGTCCTGGGCAGGAGTTTTTGAGTCGTCAAGGCGTTCTATGACTGCTTGAAAGCTTTTTTCTCTCATTGACGCAAGCTCATGGGTCATTTTGACTTGAGATGAAAGTCGGGCAAGGTTGTCAGGCAGCGTTGGCGAAGATTTGGCTGGTGTAGAGGAGCGAGTATTTTGCTGAAGTGAGCGATTGAGGTTTCGTAGAGCTTCATTTTCGGATACGAGACGAGAATTCTCAGCGACGAGACCAGAGTTTATCTCTAGAAATTGAGACAAACGGGAGTTCAAATCTTCATAGGCTTGTTTGAGCACTTTATTGTCAGCGACCACTTGAGCCAATAAAGTTCGGAAATTTTGTTCATCATCCAGATTAGGGTCAGAACTCAATGAGTCATCTGCAGATGGAGCCGGACGCTTTTCCCGAGGCTGACCCATAGTCCCAAAAACAAAGGGTGAAAAAGGGCCACGAAAAAAAGTAGAGAAAAAAGAGCCAACCGCACGCAAAAGAAAAAAAGGCGGTAGACTGAGGAAAAAAA